CTGTTTTCTGTCTGAGCTAAAAATGCATTGAGCCACACTAAGCTCAGTGGTTTTAGCAACACACCAAAAGATACACACAAACTACCCAACCCAGGTCTAAGGTTGGACCTCCTTATTACAGCAATATCTTCTTTGGAAACGTAGCAGCTTTAGCCCTGGAGACCAATGATGCCTGCAAAATGATAGACGAAAGGACAGTCAGTTGATCCTTTGTGGGTCTATTGGATTGATTGAGAATTCATTAGGAATGAAACTGTAGTATCAGAAGATGTAATTCTGTGGACTGAAGTTCAGATATGAAAACTGTAAAACATATTCAGAAATGAATGATGTACTATGATTTCCGGCCAAACCCCAAAATGCAAGATAATAAATAAACCAAGATGAACCCCGAGATACCAGAGAATCAATGGAGTTTTTTTGAGGTGACAGTGATGATCAAGATTTAATAGCATATACTGTACATGATTGATTTTCCACAGGAGATGTAAGAAAAATGTAGTCTAGTTTTACTTACCGCAAGCAACACGGCCGCCTGCGTTTCCGGTAGCCAGGCTGAGTTCATGGCCTCCTGTAAATGTAAAAACCAATGAGTCTAGGTTATAAAGTGTTCTTAGGATGGATGTCGAATCATAAGCATTATCCATTAGATGTCCTCAAATGGAATGTGTAAAATTTAAATTCTTCTAGCATAATAATAAGGGTAGATAAAATCTCAAAAGAATAAAATGGTCAAAGGTCATCACCCTTTCCGAGATCATCAGGGTCTGCGTGGACAACAACAGCCCTTCCAACAATAGAGTTTGGTCCAGTAAGAGGAATCTGTGAAACGAACACAATGTCTTTTAAGAGATTTGTTCACTATAGCAGTTTTGGATTAGGAAAAAGAGCACAAAACAGGTACACAGCTATGAACCTGGGTGTCAGTGATTGTGAAGGAGGCAGTTCCTGAGAAAAGCAAAACAATTTTTTTTAATGTAAATCCATGAACAATAAAGCTGGTGAAAGATGAAAAATGTAGTATAAAACTAAGATTGCAAAATCAAATTTGAGAGAGTAGCAAAAAATGAGATGCAAAAGTGCTCTAAAAAAAGCTAGAGATGAGGGATACAAATGTTGAGAAGGAATACCATCGTCTCCAACAGTGATATTTCCTAGATCACCAGCATGTCGATTAGCATCCTCAGGGGCACCGTGTGTTTTACCATCAGGGTTGAAATGTGGACCTAAAATAGGAATTTGACCAAAGGTTTAACAACAATTTCAGTCACTTTGGCGATAATTAATTAAAGTTCCTGATTCGAAACATAACTATAAGCTGCAATAGTTTCTAATCCATTCAAAATTTTCAGAGAGTTACCAGTAGACATGCAACCGTTAGTGGTGTCACCAAGAGCATGGACATGGAAACCATGAAGACCAGGCTTAAGACCAGAAACTGTTCCAGTCACAGTAGTCACACCTGCAAAAATCCAGCACAAAGAACTCAATCTTTTGAGAAGAAAAAGAAAAAAAAAAGAAAGATAGGCTTCAAAGATCTTATATAGCACTCTTAAAAAAAACCTACCATCTCCTTCCTGGGTGAAGAAGATAGTCCCCTTCACACCCTCGCTGCTGTTCAAAACTGCAACTCCTTTCGCCATTGTTTCTTGGCCTTTGTGATCTGTAAAAAAACATTCATATCAACATATATACAAACAAGTAGACAACAAATGGTTGTACAATACATTAAAGATGCTCAACAGAGGAAAACCCAAAAATATCAAAACACCGATCTCAGCTAAATTTTAAAGCTTTGATGCGTACCATAAAATAGATCTTAATCCCATAAAAGATTCATCGATTAAAAGAACACCCAAACCGGATATTCTACAATCTAAGCCATAAATATGAACTCTTACTGGTTAACATAAAAAGGTCAAGCTATCTTCAGAAGAGTGATAAACCCAAGAGAAAACAAGCAAGGAATCAATAGAACCGCCGATCATAAATCGAAAAAAAAAAACATGTCCTCAAGAGATCTATACGTAGATTCGGAGTTGGAATAGGAAAAGATCAAAATCAGCACAGAGGGAGGTCAAACGTGACAAGAATCGATTTAAGATTTGAAACAAAAAGTTACACCAAATCGGAATCAAACATACCTCAGGAAACCCCTTTGGGAAGAATAAGTGATTGAGCTATCAAAAAATGCTGAATTTTCTCTCTGAATGTGTTTGCTTTGTCTCTCTTTCTCTCTTGGTGTGTGGTTTGGTTACTTGTTTGTTTCTATATAGCCCACGAGGTCCAAAAGCTGGGTAGGTGTAGGTACGTGACTGATCGCAATTTAATTTAAAAAGCCACGTCATTGGATAATCCAAGATAGACTTTTCCTAACTTTGACTTTTCTCTGCTGATGTGGTCAAATTTGATTGGACAAAAGTTCATGATTTTTTTTTTATCATCTCTTTGATGGCTTATTGGTTGGTTGTATAAGTTTATACATTTATACATAAATTTGAGAGAGTCTGTCAAAATTGTATGTACCTTATTTCTTTGGAGAAGAAGAACCTCCTTATGTATTTGTAATGTTAGACTATTTAGATGCATGCATCTCTTAAACTAGCAAGAAAAGGTTAAAGATAATGGAAGATCAACTACAAGTCTACGACGTTGATTAACTGTGTTATGCATACTATATCAAAATTTTGCATATTATTCTCTTTGGTGACATGATATTTGTGTGTTTATTATAACACTATACGAAAATACTATTGTTATTTAGTTCCAACAGTCAGAGGCATTATTTATGCGTTCCCAAATTGTTATCTCCTTAATTTTGATAAAACAAACAAGTAACTGAAACAGAATTTCTTGTTTTACAACTATTACAGAACAATATGTATATAAAACACTTCAAAATCTAAAATTGGCTGCATGCATCATGCCTCATGCATCCTTGGTCAGTGATTGCGCGCTTAAGAAGTTTTTAGTCATATTTTTTGTTTTGTCGTTGGGTATAAATTTTGGCTTCAAGAAATAGACAGTGACTTTTCACCCCAAAAAAAAAAAAGATTTCTTAAGTTTTTGAGATAATAGTAATTGCCAAGCAGTGAGGGATCGAGTGTAGTTATTTTCATCATGTTCATTTTAAGCTTGTTAAAGACATTGAGGAGATGAAGCCGAAAGTGGATGCTCTTGAATGCAAGTTAAAACAGGTTTTACACCAAAAACAAAAAAAAGAAAAAAAAAAAAGAAGTTAAAACAGGTCTGCTTATCAAACTTAGAAAACCATGCATAACTTAGCTTGGGTTCTATCACTGAGTTTTACATCTGATGCAGACTGATTCAACCATTTATAAGCTAATGGAGGAGCAGAGCCGGACCAAGACACATTAACATGAGGCATTGCAATGGGGCCCCCATTTTTTAGGGGGCCCACATAAATTTTATTTTAGGTATATATATACATATATATTAATTTTTGAATAGAATGAGATCGTAAATGATTGTGTAGTCCAAAATATTAATAAATATTAAGCTGTTTTTTCTTTTTTTTCAGAATATTATTGTACTTTGTTTTGAAAACAATAGTTTTGTTTAAATTGGTTTACGTTAAATCTTTTGGCAAAACTCTGTTTTTAAGACAAGAATACTCTGTTTTTTAATTTAAATGGGGCCCCGGATTTCATTGGTCCGGCTCTGTGGAGGAGCGGGCTATAAGCTCCCAACATACACAAAGCTTTCAACATGATAAGTTTTAGGCAGGCGATGATACAAAGGAGCTAAAGCCTATGGATAAATCAAAGAAACACCTGAAACAGAATTTTCTTGTTTTACTTCTATAGCTAACAATGTATAAGAGAAGCCATAGAAGACTGAGTCAAAAGTGGATCGAAAAGCAAAGCAGAGAAAGAATGAGCTGGCTTTGGAGTAGAAGTTGGAAGTCTGTTTGAACCTTTAGTACTTGCACTAGTTATTTTATAATAAGATACAATGAGCGATACAGTTTAGGAAGAGGTAGCTTGGAGCTAGTAAGCTCATGAGTTTGTTGGGAGATTGAGGCTAAAACTACTCCACAACATTTCCTCTTTGTTCTTGAGAGAGAGTGTTGACTCAATGCAATCTTTCTCCATTCCTCTACTACTTGATAGCTTAAACTCTATCAAGACTTCACAATCTAGCTACTTGCATGCATAGTGTTTGATCGTGCTGAAGAGTTGTTTTACCTAGTGTTATTACCTTTTTTAAAAGAGATCAACAATAGTGAAGTCATTGGAGGATTGCAACCAACAGATTCGGAATCAGTTTTTACACTGTTGACCACGATCCCTATAGATCGACAACTTGAAATTGATAAAAGCGGAGACTTTGAATCCTAACATAAATGAAACTATTGGGAAATTGATGAGATCCAGCCAAACCGAGTCGAGTTCGACGGAGATTCAATATAGAAATATAAGAGATTTGTCAATATTAGAATAAGATTATGTTTTCTATGATTATATCGATATCGCTTTTTTAAAAAAACGGAGATATTTTTGGGCCAAATTACTAAATCTCGATTAGAATATATTTAGGATTACGTTTTCAAATCTTTCATTTGGTGGAAAGCGAGAGAGATGAATGGAAAAGCAAAAGATATGAAAACAATTACATAAAAGGGAAGCAAAAGAAGTTTGGTGATCCGAATCAGAATCACGCGTGTAATCCTCTCTAAGCATTCATATTAAAAAAAGGTATTCACAATCACATATTTTTGGCATCTAACGAATGTAATCTCACTTGTAATTTTTTTGTTTATTCGTCAATCTCACTTAGTTTTTGTTTTTTTTACGATAATTGTTACAGAATTTTCGAAAATATTAGTCCAGTCGTAACAAATTATATGTTTAGCAATTGCTGTTAGGTACAACAAATATTCACCATCTCTCAATCTCAGTACCATACCTTTTTCAATTTTAATTTTAATGTGTTCAAACACATTAATACATTTCCATACTTGGCCTTCACTGCTTATACCCAACCTTCTTCTTCCCTAAGATTAGTTTTTTTGCACTTCTCTCTTTCCCTCGATCGCTGCTTCTTCGCCGCTCAATCTCTAGTTCCGTTCCGTTAGTTCTTCGTCGGAGATACGGTAAGGTTTTCTTCCGATTTCATAAGCCTCGTTCTTCATCATCTTCTCTGGCTTTTTTGTTTTTGTTTTGAAACTAGGTTCTTCTTCCTCGAGTTTCGAGGTTTTCTTCTTTAGAATTTGCTTTAGAAATCGAAATCGCTAGCGCTCGGGAAGATCCATGTGATCTGAGTTTCCTATTCGCTAGCAGATCCCGAGGTCGCTCCTCGTAAACGTCGTCGTTTTATTTCCCCCCCCCCCCTTTTGTTTTAATACTATGGGGCCTGTGGAGGCGTAACTAGATCGTCGTCGAACTGATCACTGGGGGACTAGGACGATTTGGTTTTTCGGCTACTCGAATACGTGTTGCCGACAAATTTGTGTCGGCCGGATCGCTGAGAGAAGACGAACGCATTAAGGTAAAAATAGTCACGTTTGAGTCTCCGGGCGAGTTCGTTCATTCAGATTTGAGAACGCGTCGTCGACGAGTTAGTGCGGTGGTTTGTTTATGGTGTTGGAAGAGGAGAATCCGGACTCGAAACATTCCCACACAGAAACTTTTCTGAATTTACTACTTGTCTTTTTTAGGGGATTTCGCTGTTGTGCTGGTTGACTGTTTGGTTAGATTTCGTCATGTTCCCAATGGGAGAGCTGAGTTTTATGATTGTCCCAAATAGAGTATTGATCTGATTTCGTTTTTCGTTCTAGTGTCGACAGTTTCATGGTTGAATTATTCTGAGCTGATCTACGTTTTTTTCTCTAATTTTTGTTGACATAGGGGTGGCGAGAATCCTGCTGCAAGTGGTAGCTGTTTGATACTGAGTGATTTTGTCACAGCAACATGAATATGCCGCTGTTGGATATTCAACCACGAACGTTGCAGTTTGCAGGTAAGATATTAGGGGACTGATTCTTATCAACTGCAAAATGATCATTTTTTAGTTCCAGTGAGTAGACACTGTGGTCCTGTTAATAGTTTCTTATATTTTTGTAAAATGTGGATTTCATAGCTAGGGTGTGTTATTCCTTAAGCAAAGTGGCCAAATAGCCATTTTAGCAGAAAGCTGAGTCTGGAGAGACATGTTCCAGTTATGAATACCAAGTTTTCTGAATTCTCACTATTTCGTTAGAATTCTATCATAGTGGTGCTACTGTTTGTGGGTCTGTTCTCCTGTAAGATGAGTTGATGTGATGTTAATGTGGCTTTTGTTTTGAGGAATTTTCAAACTCTTTCCTGCTGCTGGATTTGTATGTGGTGAAAATTCTGTGATGGGGTTTATTACCTCTCATTTCGATTCTGAGGATCCAAAATAAAAAATGGAAGTTGTCAAACAATATCTTTGGCTTGGCATTGTTATCCTTGTAATACTAATTGGTTTCATCTTTTGTAGTTGACCTGAAGAAGCAGAGTTCTTGCGTGGTACAGCTAACCAATACTACCCATCATTATGTTGCATTTAAGGTCTAAAGAAGATTCTTCTCAAACTTTTTTTTCTCTTTCTTTCTGGCTTCAGGATTTCGAATATCTTATAAAATTTCTGAGAAAAAGTATTCTTTTTGTATATAAACCTAAATTAGATGTGGTTTTTGACAGGTTAAAACCACATCACCTAAGAAGTACTGTGTTCGTCCAAATGTTGGTGTTGTTGAACCAAAATCATCCTGTGAATTCACTGGTATGCCTACTTTTTATATCCTTCCCAGCAATGCTTGAATTTCTCGCACCTACATTCTTAGACCGATGTGATAAGCTGTTACATGATGTTTGTCTACATGGGGCGGGAAATGAACTGGAATATATGCATAGATCTGTCCTTTGTCCCTTGGACATGAACAGCGTTTGGACATTGTTTTAGGATCCTAGGCTTTAGAGTTCAGTGTAGTTGTTAGAGAGAGAAGGTATCTGCTTATTAATGTTCAAATTATTTCTCATTACGTGGAACCTGCATTTTGGGTTTGAGCATTCAAAATTTTAAACTGGTTGATGAATGGGTTCTTGAAATTCAAATTCAGTCAATGCTTTGGGTTATTGAGTTGTATATGTTGTTTATGCAGTCATTATGCAAGCTTTTAAAGAACCACCTCCAGATATGGTTTGCAAAGACAAATTCTTAATCCAGAGTACTGCTGTATCTGCGGAAACAACTGATGAAGACATCACAGCTAGCATGGTAAGCATTCCAACACTTGTTGATCTTCTTTATCCTGAATTTGAGTTATTTGGTCTGTCAAGTATATATGTACACTCATTTACTCTTGGCAGTTTTCGAAAGCGGAAGGCAAACACATAGAGGAGAACAAACTCAGAGTCACTCTCGTGCCGCCCTCTGACTCACCTGAACTATCTCCAATCAATACACCGAAGCAGGAAGCAGGATTTAAAGATTCCATCCTCAAGGATCGTTTATATAGCCAGTCAGAGACCCTAGCTCCGCCACAATATGTAAGAAGAGTAGTTACCCCTTTCCGCAACAACTTTTATGATTTGTTAGTGATGAAGAGTAATTTTCCAAGCAGTGAGTGTAGTTATTTTCCAGCAAGTCCATTTTAGCTTAGCCTATAATCACAGTTATTGGGTGCAATAGGGATTTTCTTGTACTTATTTGTTTATTCTCAAAATTTGTTTTTCTAGGAGGGTGAGATTGGAAAAGAGCCTAGGATGGTTGGACATGATGAGTTAAAGGCAACCGACAATGCAAAGGAGTTAAAGACACCAAAAATGGCGACCGTGGATTTTATGGAAGATCGATATACTGCTAATGACTTGAAGGCAACTAAAGATAGCTACGATTCATCGAGGATGGCAAAGGAAACTGGATTCGATCCAATTATGTCTCATAAGGTTGCAGATGATGGAAGGGGGATTAAGGCAACAACTAATTTGGACGCTCCCATGAAGAAGGCCATGGATCTACCTAGGGATCAAGGGTTTACTAATGGAATAGCTTCAGTTGACAATGCAACCTATCCCGATGAACCAAAGGTACCTAAGGAGAGAGATGTTGTCCAGCTGCAGAAAACAGATGGCCAGAATGCCAGAGGATTGGATGAACTTAAGTTGGTTAAAGACATTGAGGAGATGAAGCTGAAAGTGGATGCTCTTGAATCCAAGTTAAAACAGGTATGGTTATTTTAGAAATCCATAACTTCGGTGCTATATGTTACTGTGCTAAAGAGTTTGAATCTGGTGCAGGCTGATTCAACCATTTCGAAGCTAATGGAGGAGCGATCGATAAGCTCCCAACACAGACAAAGCTTGCAACATGAGCTGGTGAGAATACTAGTGAGAAAACATAGCTGTTTCTTTCTCCAAGAACCAAAACAGTTACATAATAACGAAGCTTGTATTTTGATGATGATGCAGGCGGAACTGAGAACGAAGAAGATAGTGAAAGAAGTGCACAATGGGTTCCCTCTGCTGTATTTATGCGTTGTGGCATTCATCAGCTATGTTATCGGGTACTGTCTGCGCACTTGACTGCTCGCTCGGTCTCTATATCATATCAAGTGTGCAGTTGGGATATATAGACAAAGAAGGTAAAAGGGTTAGTTTTCGTCTGTTTGGGTTTGCTTTGTGGGAGAGGATGAATGATTTCTCCAACACATTTAAGATGGAATATGATAGACTGTATAGCGTTGGTGTTAGTTAACACAAGGGACATATATGGTATGATGATATGCTTTGTTTCTCTGCTTCTTTTACTAATTTGAAGCAGTTTGTTGGATTTGTCTCTTCTGAGTTTCCCTTGTTTTTTGTTTTCTTCTTTATCGTCGTCATCATATAGACCAGGGGCCATAGGGCCTAGTGATGGGTATTCGGTTATCTGCCTGGTTTATTACTTCGATTTTAGGTTATTATTTTCGATTTTAAGAATTCGTAGACTTATTTGGTTTAGTTTGGTTTATGCAGTTTAGGTTTGGTTTGCTTTCACGAGATTATATTCTAGTTCGGTTTTACATGAATATACTCTAATAGACTAATACTACAAAATTGTTATTACAGTATAATAAATATTGTTTAGCAAAAAAAAGTATAATAAATATTCACATATTAATAGATTTCGTTTCAATTTTGGTTTGAGGGTAGACATTTTGGTTTGTTAATTTGTTTTTTCTATTCACATCGTTAATATAGCTCGCAGATGACAAAATAAAGAAAACATGAGAGCTGTAACTTGTAAGCAGCAACATGGAAATTATGTCACAAATAATACAAATCTAATTAATGGGTCTTTTCACATCTTAGTATGATTTTAAGTTGTAAGAATATTGGTTGAACATAGAAGCAACGAGAGATGCGTGATACATGAAAAGTTGAAAACAAAAGACATGGATCTAGAGAGGCAAGCAAAATGTAATATCTTTTTTTCTAAACTTGAGGATGTCCAAGTTGCAGTGAATGATTCCCTTTAATCATGGAGAAATTTATTGAAAAGATGTGTTTTTCCTCACACTTTATCTTCGATTATTTTCGTACCACAATTACAACTATTATCACTAATATGTAAGTAACATAGCTTGCGACTCTTCTTCCATTTATGAGTTGATTATCACTATATTTATAAGTAATTACCAACGAATGTTCCAAATTAAGCAAATTTTTGTTATCGACACACTATGGATTCATCTACAATATATTAGCGAATTCCTTTTATGGAAATATTTCGATTAAAAAAACATTTGATGGGTCGTTCACTAAATAAAGAATCTAGTAACCTTTTCTTAAGGAAGATATACATTTTCGTGTGGAGATCAACCTATCTTCGTTAATTGACTACGCAAAATAGTTAATGGAAAGGGCAGAGTGACTCGTGAGCTTGGCAGATCCAAAAGAGGTTGTCAAGAAAAAGCAGATTTAAAAGTTCTTCCCTCTTCTTTAAGTAACACATTAATTTCACATATATGTACATATATGTTGCATTTAATTCATATACATACATATATATTCTCATATCTATAAAGAGAGCATAAGACTCAGAGAGATCTAGAGATAGAGGGAGAGAGAGAAAGATGGGTAGGCCTCCATGCTGTGACAAGATAGGGATCAAGAAAGGACCATGGACTCCTGAAGAAGATATCATTCTTGTTTCTTACATCCAAGAACATGGTCCTGGAAACTGGAGATCTGTTCCCACCAACACTGGTCATCATCTTTCTAACATGTTTTCTTCTAGTGTTTTTTTCTTTCTTTGTATATATGTGTCTTGATGTTAGTATCTTTGGCTTTTAAAAGGGTTACTGAGATGCAGCAAAAGTTGTAGACTCAGATGGACAAATTATCTGAGACCTGGAATTAAACGTGGAAACTTTACTCCTCATGAAGAAGGAATGATCATTCACTTGCAAGCCTTATTGGGTAACAAGTAATCTTAAAAGAAATATCTTCGACATCTCTTTATCTTTGAATGTTTTTCTTGATATTTTATCTTTGATGATATGAACCCTAAACTGGCTTTATTCTCTAAAGATGGGCGTCCATAGCTTCGTATCTACCACAAAGAACGGACAATGATATCAAGAACTACTGGAACACACATTTGAAGAAGAAGCTCAACAAGTCCGAGACTGACGAGAGAAGCAGATCAGAGAACATGGTGTTGCAAACTTCCGCCACGAGAAACACCCTTAATCATAGATCTACCTATGCTTCAAGCACCGAAAACATTTCCCGCCTTCTTGAGGGTTGGATGAGAGCATCTCCAAAGAGTAGTACAACAACTACTTTCTTGGAACACAAAATGCAGAACCGGACAAACAATTTCATCGATCATCACAATGATCAGTTTCCATACGAGCAGCATCAAGGTTCTTGGGAAGAGGGTCATAGCAAAGGAATCAACGGGGATGGTCAGGGTATAAAGAATTCAGAGAGTAACAACGGTGATGATGTTCATCATGAAGATGGTGATGATGATGATGATCATCATAATGCTACACCACCATTGACATTTATTGAGAAATGGCTTTTGGAGGAAACAAGTACTGCTGGGGGCCAAATGGAAGAGATGAGCCACTTGATGGAGCTCTCTAATATGCTTTAATTGTGACATTTTCTCCTTTGTTTTTCTTTTTCCTTGTGAATCTTATTAATGAGACTACTAATTTTATGTACACGAATAAAGAAACCAGAAAGACATAATATCATATGTGTTTTGGTTTCTCTAAGATATAAGTAGCTAAAATGCTCACTGCATAAGTTGTAACTAATCTAAACTTGTCTACCCATTTACATGAATAAAATCCAATCTAAGACTTGTATATTGTAATTAAATTTCTTACAAATACATGTTATTATGTCTTCCTTACAATTCATCTTTAGATTCTACCAAGTCGAATCCACAAATTCAGCAAAATATAAATTCAAAGCTAATATATATGCATTAAGCCCTCATGCTTAAGAATGATGTAGAGAGAGCTTTTGCTCGCAAATCACAACAGTTCGAGCAGCGTTAATGGGAACTCGTGTTGCCTTTTAGTCCATAAAAACAAGATGAATGAGAGTTGTATTAAAAGCTTTGCTCATACACAAAAATGTGTGATCTTTATATTTTAAGAAATGAGAAACAATAATGAATCGAGAAATGTAGGACCTCCATAACTAATTAAGGATGGGTAAGTGTAAATGAAAGAGATGAAGCCACACGTAATTATCACTTGAAAATGGCATTAATATAATAAATATAGACATTATCCTTGTTCCGTTTATCATTCTTCATGCAAAGAATTAAATATGGCCCTTAATTATGACGTTTCAGCTCTAGGTAATGTAAGCACTCGACAACCAAATAAAGCTATTGTTTACGGCTCCTAATCTCTATAGGCCCGCTAATAATAATAATTAACAATCAAATGCAAGTCAAAAATGAGCAACAAGAAAAGTATATAAAAAAAGATGGAAGCACATCACAGCCAAAACTTTTGGTGGGTTCTACTATTATTTTTTTTCCGTCCAAAAAGGCAAAAACAGATACAAAATTTGAATACAAAAACAGTTAAAATAGTTAATTAAACTCAAATTTATTAAGTAATTTAATCGGTTGCTTAATGCTGAACAAACATCTAATTAAACTTTTTAAATACCCTAATAAATAAAAAAAAATTGTTTCCACAGTACCTTTCTCAAATTGCAACTTTCGGCAGCCGTTTTTGTAATCAGTAGCCGACTTTCCCGTCCCTCTCCACATCTCTCCATCTTCATTTTCAATCTTAACATTATTTCATAATTATTCGTAAGAAAAATATAAAAAAAACTTGACCAAAAAAATACAAAAGATTAAGGATTAATACCAATATTACGACTTTTTTTAGTCTGTTTCCACCGTGTTAATCTTTGGTTTTCCCTGGTTTGGTCAATCAAATAAGATCTCATTCAATGTCTCTCACAATGAATTTTTATTAATTTAAAAACCAAGTGATTTAATTGTGAAGACTACGTGCAGCAGTCCTTGCTGGGTCTATTGTTACCTTTTGAGTTTTTTTTTTAAAATATATAAATGGGATCAATGTTCTCTTGGAAGCTCTCTCTCAAAAATCACAACTTTGCTAGATTTTGGAATTTCACTTTCTACTCTGTAATTAAGACTTCGATCCAAAGATATACTTCTATTGACTCTGGTGATCCTCATGATCAAAAGGTTAGATTTTTCTATAACAGAGCAATTTTTTTTTTGGTTGATCATATAAAATTTTGTGGGTGTTGATCCTATGATTGATTTATTTAGTATATTATCTTTAGCTAAGTTGGTGACCTTTCATTCTAATTTTGATCTCTGCTCGTTGAGCTGTCAATTGTTCTTTTAGATCTCTTTTCCTTATTGTGGCAAACTTTTGATTTAGAGTGGTTTAAAATCTTTGTTGGAATTTATTTTTGCTTCAATTTCTGACTTTGGGATAAATATTTGATCTTCCTGTACTGGAGATAATTACTACTATTATTATGTAAGCTTGGTTTTGTTTTGGTCAACTTTCTGTTCTTGTCTCTGTTTCTCCCAAATCTGCAAATATCATTGTAAATCGGATTGGATTCTGGATATTAGTTGTCATTTTTGCACTAATCATGTTTGTTTCATTGTCTCTTGCTGTATTCAAGAATCTGTCTGAATCTGAAATCTCTATCAACTTTGATCTCATTTATCTTCTCTGAGTATATTTTTGTACTCTTACTAATTGTTTGATGTGTATCTCCATTGATGCAGATTTGAAGCCTGATTGAGTCTTGATCTTATGTTTCTGCAAAAAGATGCCTACTAGACAAATGTCTGCAGTGAAATCACAGATGGGTTCGCGGAGTTTCACTAGAGCTTTGGCATTAGCCTTTAATGAGTGGCTACTGATGTTCATGCTCTTTGTTAACTCCATATTCTCTTACGTGATCGCGAGGTTTGCTGATTACTCCGAGCTTCAATCTCCATGTCTGATGTGCTCAAATCTTGATCATATTCTCGGGAGGACAAAACATTCGAAGAAAACTCATTGGGATATGATTTGCTCTAAACACAAATCAGAGATCTCGTCATTGGTTTACTGTCATGCTCACAGCAAGCTTGTTGATGTCCGTGGAATGTGCGAAACTTGCCTCTTCTCTTTTGCTACAACCAATAAGTCAAATGCTGAAACTTACAGATTGTTGGTTGGTAAATTGGGTGATAATTCTTACTTTGGATCCAAGAGTGATCGAAGTACAAATCCAAATTGCTCTAAACTTACAGATTGTACATGTTGTAATCAGTTGTGGGGGCCTCAAACCGCTGCTACTCAGGTGGCTGAACGGGAAATGCTACCCAAGATTGGTTTGCTTAGTAAAGTGCGAATCGGGAAGCAATCTACACCCAAGAAAAGTGTCAGCTTCAATCATTTGCCTGATGTTGGGTACACTGAGCTCAAGATTCATTCAGATACTGAATCAGAAGCTGTCTTTTCAGATACTGAACCAAAGCAAGAATCTTCACCTAGCCATTTGCCTCATGTTGGGTACAATGAGCCCAAGATTGGTTTGGTTGGTGATGTGAGAACCGAGAAACCATCTACACCCAAGAAGAGTGTCAGCTTTAATCATTTGCCTGATGTTGGGTACACTGAGCTCAAGATCCATTCAGATACTGAATCAGAAGCTGTATTTTCAGAAGATGAAGGTGTCGTCCTAAAAGATGAGGATCATAAGTATCAAACCGTGGATCTTGAGACTCCTCCAATTATCACCTTGCCTTATGATTTGGCTACCGACAAGCTGCTAAACTTTGATTTCCCTGTGGAGCCTTTACTGACTCTAAATGACCGAGAAGAAGTTCATTTGCAAGAGAGCAAATGGAGAACTTATTCCTCATTTCCCGAGATTATCCCAGTTAATGATGTGCCTGAAACATCAGAGAAGGTTTTTAAGGAGGAAGAGATCAATTCATTAGATAATCTTTTCTTAACATCACGCGCCATGGAACATTTTGCAGCTGTTCCAAAGAAGAAAAAAGAGCCGATTCGCCTCCAAGATATTTCCTTAACACCAGATTTCAAGGAAAGTCCTGCAAATGACTCCTTAATGGAGGAGACTGAGCTTATTTGTCTCAATGATGTTACTTCAACATCACGCGCCATGGAACATTCTGAAGTTATTTTAAAGGAGAGAGAAGAACCGCTTCACCTCCTAGATATTTCTGTAACACCAGATTTTAAGGAAAATCCTGCAAATGCCTCATTAATGGAGGAAACTGAGCTTGTCTGCCTCAATGATGTTAGTTCGCCATCACGTGCCATGGAACATTCTGAAGCTGTTTTAAAGGATGAAGAAGAGCCGATTCGCCTCCAAGATAGTTCTTTAACACCAGATTTTATGGAAAATCCTGCGAATGCCTCCTTACTAGAAGAGGCTGAGCTTATTTGCGTCAATGATGTTACTTCAACATCACACGCCATGGAACATTCTGCAGTTGTTTTAAAGGAGAATGAAGAGCCGATTTTCTTCCAAGATATATCTTTAACACCAGATTTGAAGGAAGATCCTGCAAATGCCTTCTTAATGGAGGAGACTAAGCTTATCTGCCTCAATGAAGTTACTTCAACATCAAGCGCCATGGAACATTCTTCAGTTTTTATAGAGGAGAAAGAAGAGCTGGTTCGCCACGAAGATATAACTTCAACACCAGATTTTATGGAAAATCCTGCAAATGCCCCCTTAATGGAGGAGACTGAGCTTATTTGCCTCAATGATGCTACTTCAACATCAGAGGCTGCTGAAACTCCTGAAGTTGTTTTAGAGGGAATTGAACTTATGTCCATCCATGATAAGTCTCTTGAAGAGGTTCCTCAATCACTCACTACAGATGAAACCTCTGTTGAGATGTCAAAGGAGAGGGACACTCACCAAGCTGATATTAACTCTCTGGAATCTGAATACATTGTTGTACCATCTCCAAATTCCATGCCTGAAAATTCAACCGAAAACTGTAAGTTTAAACTTCCATTTGAATGCAAGGACTGTGTTTTTCCCCCCGCTTTGCTTGTATGATGGCTATGGAACTGTAAATCAAAGATATATAGTGCGCTTGTGTAAACTTAAAATTTTACACTAATACTTATGGGTCTCTGATAAAGCAAATGAATTTTCATATCAGGTGTATCAGACAACAAAGAAATGAAAGAGACATCTCTTACGGTCTCTTCATTGTCTGAAATGGCTCCACGGGACGTCACTTCTCACACAGAAGCAGCTCTTGAGTCAGAATCTTCTTCCTTCAACTCAATGTCGGTGGCAGCAGAAACAAATCAATATTCAGGTGAGCTACTGGACCTTGCGGATGCATATAATATCGTTGTAGGAAATGAGGGTAACAACGATAGTAATGGAAGACAAAAAATAGAGAATTGGATGAAGAAAGATACTTCTAGAGTTAGTGAAGACCTAAAAGCACTTCTAACTCAAATATCAGCTTCTCGTGGGATAGAGTTTTTGTCGCCTAGAGATGTAAGCCCGAAGATATCTGTTAACAGTAGTGATCAGGAGACAAAGAACCTAGATCATGATATGCAGCTGCTACTTCAGAAGAGAATGCTTGAAAGGAACGAGAGTAACTTATCGTTGGAAGAAGTCTCTGTGAGTGAAATCGAGGGAGAAAGTGAGAGTGATCGGTTGAAAAGGCAGGTTGATTACGACAGGAAATTGCTGACTGGTTTATATAAAGAATTAGAGGAAGAAAGAAGTGCTTCAGCGGTCGCTACAAATCAAGCAATGGCTATGATTACGAGGTTGCAGGAAGAGAAGGCGTCATTCCAAATGGAAGCTTTGCAGAACCTGAGGATGATGGAAGAGCAAGCAGAGTATGACATGGAAGCAATACAGAGACTGAATGATTTACTTGTTGAGAGAGAAAAACTAATTCAAGATTTAGAAGCTGAGATTGAATACTTCCGGGACCAGACCCCGCAGAAGAAGAATAAGCTAGATGTTCCAGAAAAGGTGACTGAGATGGATTCGCCTAGTGAGGGAATGAGCAACAAGATACAGAGTTGTTTAGTTGGGTTCGACGAAGAGAGATTATATATCACCAGTTGTTTGGAGAAGATTGAAAACAGAGTAAATGGCGAGGCTCATGGCGATAATCTACCTGCACAAGAATCTGTCTCTGAGCTACATGAGAGAGTAGAAATGCTTAAGGGAGACTTATACTTTCTAGAACAGGTTATGAATTCTCTCGGGCACGGGAAGGAAGGCGTGGAATTTGTCAAGGAAATAGCTTCTCATTTGCAAACTCTGCGGAGTGTCGGCATGAAAAGACAAAATCATACAGAGAGTTGATGCCCTGGGGAACAACCTTCACAAAGGTATGTTCTTTCCTCTTCTTCTCTGATTGTTGTGTTGATTTTGGTTTTTCAGATAACTTCACCTGCGGAACTTAGAGCTCTTTGTCCAAAGATCTAATTATTCATATGTCGTTCTGTTTTTATGTGTTAGATAAATTTGTGGAGAGGATATTGTAGAGGAAACTAAACAAAGTTCAAGAGTGGTGAGAAAAGCTTAAAGGAACTGTACAGCATCTTCATGGCCTTCCCCTTTCGTATACAAAAATATCAGAATTTTTTTACAATTTCATTTTTGGGTTTGGTGTTCATAATTTCCTTGTGGGTTTTCACATTCTTTGTGTTTGTTTTACATTTTTCTTCTAGATTTTGAGTGAAGAGTGAATGTGGGTTTTGTTCTGAAGTTCTCATTTGATTTTTTTTTTTACTAGTTAGATTGATACTTTTGTTTAGCATGTTAAAAGAGTCATGCAACTTTGTAACTTATTGTACATTTCTTGATTATACGGAATGTCCTTTGTTAAACTCATATTTTTTTGTTGGTGATAAGGAAAAAAGGGTTAAAACAAAGAACCTCGAATTTGAAAAATAACAAGAAGTTTGATGAAGTCATAGTACAAATTTTAAAAAAGATAATTAAAAGGAAAAAATGAGGAAGAGAAGCAAAAACCTAGTATCTAAAATATTTTCTTACTGTTAAATTAGTGATATCTAAAATATTTAAAACTTTGTCTTTGGCGAAAAAAAGGGGTTCACGATTAACATGTAAGACCTCCTTGCATCATTCTCATTTCTTCTTTAGTTTGAAACTTCAATAATCCGTCTGCTCCTCTGTCTTAACCAACTCCTTAATTAATCTCTCTTAAGCTTCCTTAATTTCTACAACACTTCCTTTGTCTCAACCAAATTTGTGTAGTATCATTCATGTCCCACTCTTGTACAAACCCATCTCTCACTTCTCTGCTTAATTGGAAGATTGTATCATAGAACATGCTACAGCTTGTGCCCAATGCCTCAGTCTCGTTTTAACCTGTTGAGGATTATCTCCTGCAAATTCATCGAATATGACATTAAACACAACCATATAAGAATATCAATCTGACTAAAAGTTTAGGTTGCTATATTTATATTGTGTGACAACATGCAAAAGAAAAGAATATATATAGTTACCTGGAGACATAACCTTCAAAGAATCAGAGTCGCTTATAGGGCTACCAAAAGAGGAAGATCGGTCTCCAAGGGAAGTAGGACGGGAGGATGAAGAAGATCCACCGCTGCCTGGTGTAGAAACCGGCGAGATCTGACGAGTCACAGCGAAGTAAAGGTCCAATGCAGGCAATGTAGTTGTAAGATGTTGCCCTTGCTCCTCGTTAAACCCGAACCCTAACTCAATAGAACCTTTGAGCTCACTCAAGTCCTCGTCCGTCAAGTCATCTCCTCCTTCGTTATGCTTCTCAAGGTGATGGAGCATCTGGCGGCGGCGACGCTCCCATGCGATGTCTCTGCGGGTCTCTAACATGGAGAGTTGCTTGGAGAGACGTTTCTTAGTCTTAACTCTAGGTGGTTCCAATGGCATCTTTTGAAGCTCTTCTACTTCGCTATCGTAGAACGATGAAGACGATGAGGTTGATACACTCAATGCTTCTCCTACCCTCACCATCTTTCTCTGTTGTTATATAGAAGAAATCGCAGGCACGTTTATGATTATGTATCACAAGAAGTTAAATCTTTTGCGATTTTGTGCCTTCTTGTACAAGTATGCGAGAATTAGGAGAAACAGAAGAACTCGAATAACAAAAGAAGTTGTGAGAGGTTGAGGAAATGGTTTTACTCTCTCTTATGGTGCTGACCGCGCCAAGATAGAACGCGGCCGGCACAAAAAGTAATGTAGAAGGGTAGAGAAGAGGGTTTTGATTCAATGGATTAGTGAAAATCCCAGATCTCTGATTCCCTCAAAAAAAATTCATCCCGGAAGAAGAAAAAGGGTGAAGAAGTTTTTTCTGTTTGGTTTATTTAATGAATGTACAGAAGAGATAGGGTTTCTGGTGAAAGTTTAATGGTAGGATATTACATAACACAGAAACAAAGAGTTCTTGCAGTTTCTTCTACCACACATTTTGTGTTGTTTAAAAGTAGGGTTTGTAGAATTACCATTTGCCATTTTTAATGGGATCCCTCTGTTAAATGCCTGGGGAGATTCTGGAGCTTGATTTATTCTTGAGACAGAATCCAAAAACAAACATTAGTAGTTTTGGTTGGAAAAACGAACTCTTACTTGATTTAGGTTTTGTTCTAGAAACTTTTGTTGTTGTTGTTGGTCGAAACAAGTAAAACATACTAATACTAATTGATTCACAGTTCCAACGTCTAACAAGATGGTATAACCACTAAACTAGTAGCATGATTTAGTTCCTTAAGTAAAATATGTTACAAACTTACAACTTTACGAATCAATAATGAAATAAGCAAAATTACCAATTCTCGAAGTGGACCGAAAAATACCAAAAAATCAATAAAAATTTGGTGTTAAAACCATAAACCGGGAAATACCAGTTGGACCAAGCCTAATTAAAATCGGTCGGAAGAACGAAAGTACAGAGAGTGTCCAATTCTCTCTTGAAAGAAAGAATCGGCCTTGTCAATTAGTCCCAAAGAGAGCAAAACGAAAATGCAGCAGCAAGTAAGAAAATCATGTCAAAGAGTAATTTTGTTGAATTGTTGTTTGAGAATGCTAATTAATTAATGGATGATGATGTTGCAGGGAAGTAAGAGTGGATCTGAGATGGAGGTGACATGGGAGGACCAGCAGAACATCAATACCTTCAGCCGTCTCAACAACAGATTCCACGATCTCGATGATGAAATCAAATCCGCCAAGGTTTTTCCTTCTCTTTTCGGTTTCCGCCTTTTCTTCCACCACTCGAATCTAGGTTTTTTTCTTAAAGATTAGAACTAGGTTTAATTCATGGGTTATTAGGATTGAATTCGCTATGTTTAGGTCGTGGAATACTGTGATTAGACCTAAATCCCGTGAACTCTTTCTCTATTCAATTGGAGATTTTTTTCCCCAGAATTACCAAATTTCGTTTTCATCGGTTTGCTCTCAGCTCACTGATTAACTCATTGTTGCTGAAGTCAGCACAGCTACAAAGCTAAATTACAATGATCCTGAGAGTATGATAAGTGTTGTTGGTCTAGTGTTTCTTTAGGTTGTAGCAATCTACTGTAACATGCTTATACCAATTCTACGCCATCATCGGTAGTAACAAACATCAATCCTGTGCACTCTTCCATTTCACTGCTTCCTTTACTTCACCTCCTTCATTGTGATATAATAAGCCTTCTAGGGTCTATCGGATCATTGGTAATTAACTATTGTCAACACCAACCAATCGGCACTTATCATCATTGTTTAAAAAAGAAGATGTGAAACTTTGCAATAATAAGTGGACACTTGTCTTGTTCTTTCGTTTCATTAGGGGAATCAAAATAGCATTCTACTGTGTGTTTCTGCATCTTAGCTTGATGAAAAAGAGTTTCGATTATGCAGGAAAAGTGTGAAAATCTAGAGGATGCAGGGAACGAGTTGATCCTTGCTGATGAGGAGATGGTGCGGTTTCAAATCGGAGAAGTATTTGCTCATGTGCCGAGGGACGATGTAGAAACAAAGATAGAAGAGATGAAAGAGGCGACTTGCAAAAGCCTTGAGAAGCTTGAGGAAGAGAAGAAATCTATTGTAACACAAATGGCTGCGTTGAAGAAGGTATTGTATGCTAAGTTCAAAGATTCTATCAATCTCGAAGAAGATTAGTTATTTCCAACTTGTTTTTTCTTCTATTGCATTATTCAGTTGATGATTGTACCGAGTGTCGTAGACCAAAGGATTCTTAAAATTTATTTACTGGTTTTGTTCGCTATGGAATTTCTTTCATCTGGTTAATGCATAAATTTCTTTTCTATTTTTCAAGTCTTTTTCTATCTGAAATTATTATGTTTTTGGAAATTCTATAAAAAAATACCAATCAAAGCCAACTTCAACTCTATAACACCAAATTTTTTTCCAGAATTTGTTGTATACACATTCAAACAAAATGAAGAAACACACCCAAATACAAATACAAGAAATATCTTGGGAATTCCAAAATACAAAGCCCTAAATCGATTCCCTTATCTTCTTCAATCAAAACCCAAGAAATGAGAGTAATTCTCCAAACCGGTTTACTCAAATTGGGGTATAACTCGACGGTGGCCGGTTTCCTGAAGCGGCGGAAACCAGTCCACCACGGCGGGCACTTTCTTCATCAAGAAACAAGTCATCGGTATTACGAAAAGCGGCGTGAGCTCCAACGATGAGTAAACCAATGATCAGCGACACCAGAACGTTTTCGCCCACATCTGTATACACCAATGCCAAAACCGTTACCAAGCTGAGTAAAACCAGCACGATCCGGTCATCTACTTCTTTCCCCGAGATCACAATCGAATCGTTCGCGTCTCGTGAGAAATAGAGGAGAATCCATCCGATGAAGACGACGATGAAAGCGATCATAGACATCGGGTGGTAAATAAGGCCGAGGAAAACAATGGCGAGGACGGTGAGAGCGTAGTTTCCACGGAAATAAGAGATGTTGTGCCTTAGATGCGCCATGGCTTCATCGTATCCACGAGGGAGAGAAAGCGTAGACAGATCAAGAAGCTCTCGCCATGGACGGAGCGTGGTGATCATCGATTGCGTCGTCTGCTTGGCGCGTGCACTCAACGTCCCGATGATTGTGGTGTTGGAAGAGGAAGAAGGTCCAACTCCTCCTCCACCACTAGCGCCGCCATAACCGTACGGCGGAGGTTTCTGATTCATCGGATTGGATTTTGTGTTTGAATCCCTTGAAAATTCACAGATCTGTGGTCAAATGGCAAACAAAACCTTAGATTTCAAAGAGTCCCACACATGGGAATTGGGATGATGGGAGGGACTTGTTCGGAGATTATTATTTTCTTTTGGGACCTTGTAGTTTTCTATTATTACAAGTAAAACATAAACAAATCAACTTTTATCGATCGCCTCCATTTTCGCATAAATCAACATATTTTTGTAAATTACACATTTGTGATGGATCTAAATCTTCAGATGATATTTTGGTTTCTGTTCATCTTCTACTCGTAATCGTTAGAGAAACAAAATTGTTATAAATGGATAGAAATATATTGAAATCTTTCGAACCAATAGGTTCTCTTTAGTGAGTATCTGACTGAATAAAAAATACCAACGTTTTCACGTCGGTAGGCTTCTTAGTGATGTCTGAATTGTACAGAAGAAATTGGCCGCCAATTTTCATATATACAAAGAAAAACAAATAAGTAGAAGCTTCATTCATTATTTATCTTTTTGCTTTGGTTTCGATTGGTTTTGGTCTAGGAGAAGAGACTGAGCCACCACCACCACCAAGTGCTGCAGCGGCTGACTCTACATGTGTGAGCAGATACTCATAGATCTTCTTCCGTAATCGATCGATTGTTTCTTTAGAGACTTCTTGTAATCCTTCTTCATCCTCTTTCGACCCAATCTCGTCTAACCAATCATTCACACTCTTGAGCTGAGACAGCATCCCCGCGATCTGCCCGTTATCAGACAGATTCAGATTCGATGATGTAATCACGTCAGCGTCCAAGAATCTCTCTACGAAACCCAAAAACCAATCTTGTGAAACCATTTGCAACTTCTCTGCCAAATCAGTTGCCTCGTTTAGACCACTTCCTTTCACCCAGTTTAGCGGTGGAGATTCTGAACCTGCTACTGAGGTGGCCTTTTGGCTGCTACTGTTCTCCCTGTGTTTACGGATCATGCCTTGTGCTACGAGTTTAGATCCAATTGTTGGCTTGTTTTGGACATTCCCACGGGTTTTTCCAGAGGAATTATTACCCGGGCTCTCGAGTATGATCACAGGTTTGCTTCTGGAGGCAGCAAGTTTGGCTTGTTTGCTGGAGTAGACAGAGAAGGACGATAAGTTAGTGACTAGCGCAGCTTGGACCCATGATGCTGCCAATTTCTGCTTTTCCGATGCCGCTTTTATAGCTTCCTCGGATCTGTTTTCTTCATTTTCTGGGGAGGACGTCGAAGAAATTAATTTGGACAATGACTCTGCTATTATTTGGACGTCCTTCAAACCGGAATGGAGCTTCAAGAACTGCTCAACGACTGGCAATGGATCATCTTCCTTCGCCGTTGACAAAAGATCAGAGTACATACTACAAAAAGGAAAAGCAGAACAAAGTTCATAAACAACCAAGGCAGTAACAATAACATACAGATACAAAAACAATATGTTTTGTCCCTCAAACATCCAAAACCGGCATGAAACAAATTTGGTTAAGATATTACGCACATGAGGCATTGAAGTAAGCTCTCGGAAGCAGAGGCTTCTTGTAGGGCCTCTATTGCGACAACTTGAGCAGCATCTCTATGCCTCAAGACTTCCTGTAAATATTGATAGCAGCAATGACTTAATAAGCTTGTCTTAAAATTTTACTCACGATGCGAAAGACTTAAACATAAGATGCATTGCTATACTAAGAGGTTTTTTTCTGTTCAAGTAAGTAAAACCATACAACAGATGAGAAAAATCTCTACAACCAAGATTTTGCTTACAGAAATGGCATTTGGATGATCGAATTTTCCAATTACTAGGAATGCTTGAAAGCCTAATCATGAAGCAAGCACATATAAGGATCCAACAGCAGTCAAGCCCATACCTGTCCCATCCTCGAAAGAGATGAAGGGAGTGAACTCCATTGGATATTGGCCGCCGCTAATCTTTTACCATTAACAGGGACTTTGACCAAATTCCCAGGCAACCCATTCTCTGCAATAGATTTCTTCTCGACAGATGTAGATTTAGGCCTACTCGTTTTATCTTTGGTGTCCAATATTGTGGTTGTCTCGACTTTCTTGGTTGACTGAATCTTATTGTGCTCCTTTGATGATCTTGCAAATACATTAGCCCTCTCCTGTTTGCTTGGCAACTTCTCACTTGATGTGCTTTTCCGTGGTGCCTAGCAACCAAAAATATACAAGCTATACTCAGAAACACTAAAAACTAATATCATTTCATAAAGTAACAGACAAATTCAGCTGAAAAAACAAGAAACTGATAGGAACACAGACGAAAGTATGATACAAACTCAGATTCAGTAGATAGTAACGAGTAGAACCAGTTTAACAATACTATCAAACAAGTGGTTTCAGCTTCAAATCAAGTGCTGATGAATAGGAGTTGTCCAAATGCCACTTGACATGTCTAAAATATACCCTTTTGCAAATATAAAGCTAAGAAAGATTGAAAAAGCTTACCGCTAAACTCCGGGAATCAGGGGTTAAATCACGTCTGGAAAGGTTGGATTTTGTTGAACTCCTGATTTCTAAATTCCCTTCCCAGCTTTTCCTCAACGCCTTAGCTCCAAACTCAATCCCTTGCACAAAATTCTTAATCATGGGAAGCTTTTCCCAACTTTCGGACTCTCCGCCTTGAGAAGAGACCGCCCCTTATCTGACCAACCCCATTCTAGGAGAACCCTTGTCCAATAACTTTGGCTTCACATTCTGTTGCTGCTTAATCCCATTTGCGAACTTTGCAAAAGAATTAGGAAGTGAATAACAACTCGTAGGCGAAGAAGGAATAGACTTAGAACCTGAAGAAGTCTTCAGCTTCCCCAAAGATTCCTTCTTTACATCCAAACTCAAACTCGATTTCGCAGATTTCGCTCGAAAAAGAGCAGACACGGGCTTTTTACCCTCGGAAGATTGATCCCTAGAGATACTAACACTTAGTCTATTACCTAGTATTCTCTCACCCTCACTTCCACTCCCATTAGCAACCACTCCTCCTTTAACAGATGCCTTAACTCTCTCTTTCGGTTTCGAATTAGCAACACCATTATTATCATTAACCTTGTTGTCATCGCTGAGAAACCCTAGCGAGTGAGTAGCTACAATATCTTCAGGCTCACAACACAAGGATGCCTACCAGGAACAGGCCTAACACCACGAAGAATGGGAACAGGAGAAGAAGATTCGACTCTATCGACATGAATAAACTGACCTAATTGGATCTTATCGCTAAGAATCAAATCATCGTGCTCATCAGGTAAAGAGACATAAGTGGCGTGAGAGGAATCAGAGACTCTGAGATAAAAGCCTTGATTCGGGAATAGCTCACCTCCGGCTAAAGCGGGGACAATACTGACGACTTGTAAAAGAGAGGACCTGTGTTCGCCGGCGATTTTGACGTCGGTGTTCATGTGCTGGAGAAGCTTGAGTAAAACACCGGGGACAAGATTCGCCATCTCCGCAGCGCATCACCGAGGAGAGATCAGATCTCAGAAGCAGCAAATTGAGAGTGTGGATTCCAAGGGAGAAATAGAATCAAAGAGAAAATTGCAAAACCAGAGAAGAGAAGAGAGAGGAGATGCAAGTTATAGTATTAAATATTTTTGTGGGAGCTCGATTAATACAAACAAGACAATAAAGAGAAGAGTACAGGTAGATTTTGAAGAGCAAAAGCAAGACGAATGTGAAAAACTTATGTGATTCTCTTTCTCTTTCTCTGCTGTCTTGTGTTATGTTGTGTGTCTTGGTCTACACACTCTCTCTCTGTACTTATTAATTGGAATTAAGAATGAGAGAGAGCAATAAAAGAAGTAAGTAGAGGGTCAGACTCAGTTTCAGGAGTTGCGAAAAAGATGGCTACTCTTTGTTGTGTTGCGCCCCTACTTATTTGCCTACACCAATGCATCTTCCATTTACTTGGTTTTTTTTTCATCTTTCTTTACCAATATCAAGAATCACGTTAAATAGTGTGGTTTTTTATACGTTTTCAATCTTAAAGATATAATTAAAACATGATATTAGTGTAGAGATTTCAAAAAAGTGATTTATTTTAAGTAAGAAACAAAATTGAACAATAATTAGAATAGTAACAAACTTTTGCTTTTTCCAAGTACCCAAGGATAAAGTTGCAGTATCCTAATCAAATTTAAGTAAAGAATATTGTTTTATTGTTAACATTGATGATACCTTTTATCAAAAAAAAACATTGATGATACCATTATTACTAGGTTTCCCTAGATTTAACTGTTGCCGAATGAACATGAACCTTAGATCTAGGTTTGAAAAGTAGCCAAGTAATCTGCAGACTGCAGCATAACTGGCTACCATTTCTAGGTTCAAGCATGTTAGTCCATATTTTCTTCATCTTGATGGAATTTTTTTAAAGCATTGTGCAAAAAATTACATAATGGTGTGAAGCTGCAACAGTGACAATCATACTACAGAGATTAAGTGAACTGCAGATGATCATCGTAGCAAAGATGATGAGACCATTACAACGACAACCATCACAGCTATGCTGAGGTTAACCACTGTATCAACATTTTCAAGCTTCTCCAGTTTCTTGTGGAGGTCTGCCCGCATTTGTGAGTATGGGCATTTTGCTTCTGCAACAACAAACATAATTCCATTAGTCGAATCCAGTCAAAAGATTAACACAAGCCAGATATCGAATACCTCAATCATGCTCAACACCCTAGCTCAGCTCAAATTCATAATTCTATTCTCATATATTTCTGTATGTAAGTACTCAATCCAAAGTATGAAAAAAAAAGGGAAGGGAGTATAGACAGTAACCTCATTTTTCAACTCATCATTTGGGATGTTTGCATCGTGCTCGGAAAGTTGATTGAGTGGCATCTCGGGATTGCTCTTACTATTGGAGATTTTACTTGAGAAGGCTTTGTAAGCTGAATCAGTATGAATGGTCTCCATAACTGAACCGAAGAAATTTGTGACCGGTACCTAATTCCCAGAGTAAGTAAACTTGGAGAATGAGTAATTAATCATCTCAAGACAGCCATAGTTCAGAAAAAAACCCGAAAAGGAAAAATATCCGGAAGGTGCAAGTTTATTATTTAAATCCCTGATCATGTTACAGTGAACTTATGGCCAATCCTAGACTGTTCAGCCCACCTAGCAAGCAACTAGAACCTAGGTTACTTAGTCTTGATTGGTTACTACAGAATCGTAATTTAAGCTAATATTAAATTAAAATGTGACATTGCACAATCAATTTCCTCCTTACCTCCACCAGATGTGGTTGGTAAAGATCAGTCCGGTAGTAGGCAGTAGACATTAGCAGTCTCGGACGTAGGACCTAAATAAACTGCACAACAGCAAGGGGAGGTGAACAAATGTTTGTAGCTCATAGAGTTCAGGTTAAAAGGGCGTATTAGATTTAACCATGATCTGAAAAACGTCATAGGTAAAGATATCCAGAGACACATATACTCATTAAAATATTACAATTCGAGAACAAGAAAAATACCAAAATATGACCGACATTACAAGGCAGTTCAGACAACCAAAAGGTTTAGTCACACATCCAACTATATAATCGTCTTCTTAGTCAATTCAACAATCACAATGTCGGCATATATAATCAAAGTGAAAAGACATATCATATAAAACGTTAGCAGAATGTTGGTGACCAGAGTTGCATAGTTTATTGTACCTGTTAAGTGAAGCCATTGTCATAGATATTGAGCCTCTCAAAGAATGCAAGAGGTGTAATATGTAAACCGATCTACAACAGAAACACCAATCTGAAGCAAAAACACCATCAGATTTGGAGATCAATATAATGATAAAAAGAAGAAACAACCCACAAACAATGACAATTTCATTGAATAATTTCCCCATTAATATCGTAATGGTACTTTCCATTCATGAAACAGTGAAGGGAACTTACATCTGAATCAAGGTGATGGGAATATGAGTTCTCCGCCTTTTAGACTGCTACCAATAGCCAAAACACCAGGAGATTGAAGCTACAAAAACAATTATTTCGCAAAATTAACAACGTCAAATTACCAAACTGCTGAGAACAAGCTCCCGGCATATACTGTAAAGATACTAGGATATCAACATATTAAATCAAAAGGCAGAGAAAAACTAAAATTTTGGCTTACTGAAATATTAAGATGAAATAACCCTGAAAAGTGCTCGAAGGTGTACCTGATTAAAGAGAGTGGCAGCTTGGCAAGTATCAACCATTATCATCAGCTCCTTGAATCTAGGCTAGCCAGATAATGTCATTAGATAGTCAAAACTGAATTAAGATGAGACAATAAATGAATAATGTTCGTTCCACCAAGAAATGGCCCATGGAAAAGCTAAGGAAAAGCAAGATTTTCAAAAGACAGATAAAAAGCACTGAACGAATGGAGGAAATGGAGTCAATTTGACTTAGAAACACCGTAAATGTGAAACACACCTACGCTTCTCTTTCATTTGTTTTACAGCATCTGCCAAATCGTGGCTCTGGAGTTCTTCTGCATCTTGAAACTTTAAAAATTCATCACCTCCATGCCCAGTCATGTACAGTAGAATATGGCTACCCTCATCACTGAGGAGACGCTTAGACCTTGGAACAGCATTCTCATGACGCCCAGTCAAAACCCGTAAGAAATTTTCAACTGTTACCTCATATCCACGATAATCTACCTGAGAGAAAATGATTTCATACAATCAGCCTTTCTTCTGGAAACATGGCTGTTTATATGGCCTGGGAGAAATCGCCGTAAAAAAAAAATGTAATCTTATGGAAACACAGAGAAAAGAATTCGCAAAACATAGCAAAGCAAATAATTCTGTGCTTGCAAAAATGAAGGCTAAGACGCTTCTAATATACCTAGTACCTACTCAAGACAGAACCTTCACTACTACATAAACAACTCATTGGGCTAAACGCTTGGAGAAGTATCCATCAACCAGAAATTTACCTCCACGTTATCTCCGTACAGGTTAAGTTTGTGGTTTTCATTGTTAAAAACTTGAGCAGGATATTCATTTCTAGCATTACAGGCCATATCATCAGCCAGCATTAGAATAATCCTCTCATCTGGTATTCCAAGTCTCTTGACTGTCCTAGAAACACCAAGTAAAGAGAATATAATGTGAGACACAAATTGCGAAGAGAACAACCTATAAGAATGGTTATTCCAACATAAGTGTGTTGGTTAAGGAAAAAAAAAAGAGCTTTCACCTGTACAGTGACAGAGTATTGGCCATGTGCCGGTAGTTAAACCTGGAATAATGGTAGCCACAACAATAGGTTAATATGTAACTTGAGAATGAGAGAGAGATTTTTGATAACTGAAACAGGTTTCTCAATCAAGCATACAATGTCCTTGGATCAGACGTGGTCAAGTAGATATAGATGATACTTGAATCCAAAGAGAAGAAACCAAGTAACAAAAGATGAACACCAGTTGACTAGAGAAACAAATTTAGATTTTCTCAGCCACTCGACAACATAAATCAAGAAGGCAACAAAATTATGATATAGATCTATAGCATAGGTTAAGTCACAAACGCTCATCATCAATGAAAAACAGATTACTCCAAATTCAAAGGTCTAGAGATCATGGTGAGAAGAATTTAACCTCAAAATCTATTACTATTTGTGACTCACTTATCAGAAAAACTACATTGATCAGCTAAATTTTTGACACGAATCTACACATACCTGACTTAAGATCGAGCAAAAAACAATTAGTTATTTAGGAACGAGAGAGGAGTGTGAGGATTTTACCAGAAAGCGAGAAGTGCAGACCAAAACAGCCCAATTGTGTTCGTGTGAATAGTCGTATCTCCGGAAGAAGAGACGAAGGAGTAGCAGAGAAGCATCCGAGTATAAGAAGAATCTTCATTTTTAGGAAGATAATCTGTAATGAAATATATTGAAATCGATATTGAGGTTTCCGAATCTCGTCTCCGATGTAGATTGTAGACTGATATATAAATCAAAAAGATCTATTTAAAAGAATGTTCCAGTACGCACAAGAGAGATTGCGGCGTCCGCGATGGAACTCCGGTCAAAAAACTAGCTTGCCGGCGGAGGCGTGGAAGGAACGGTGAAGACGGGGAGCAGACGACGGAGTATTCCTAAATAAAACCTCTTATATGTATATGATTAAAGACATTTATTACTTTGTCTATTTTGTTGGTAATTGGATAAATGATTATGAATTAAACTACTGTTAAAACTTTGTGTTATTAATTAATGGTTTTACATTGTTAATTTCTCTTTGAATTTTTTTTTTTTTTTTTTTTTCTGTGTGTCAACAGCTTGATTTCATAGTAGCTTTTAACTTGGTATAAAATTCCATTAAGAATCCAAAAAAAAAAAAAAAACAGAAATGAAATTCCACTAACCATATGTATACTTCGAGTAAAAATCAGAATTTGTAAATACAATTCAAACGTGAGGGACGGTTGAAGGGCACAAGTTATTATTACTTGCTCACAAGCAACCTACTTCGGAGGTAAACGTGAAGTCACTAGAACTAATAAATATGGCTTCCGTTGGTCTGTATTTGTAGAGACAAAAAAATTCTCACTCAGAGACTGGCAATAAGAAGCTAAATCCAGAATTCTCCCGGATTAAAGGTGGCGGTTCGATATCCGCAATTTCAAATTTCTCCATCGACTTTGATAAATCATCAACTGAGAAAGGGATGCTGCAAAATCATTAAAACCAGTTAGAAGACGTCATCAAGTGCCCAAGTCGAAACTTGTTGGTCTTCTAAGTGAAGTAACAACCTGGAGTCGTCATCCAAAAGGAATGAGTTGCTAACAGCATTGTTCGAATCTTCTGTCATTAGCACCCTCATATTTGCTATAACCTATTATTATACATAGTCAGAGAGAGAGAGAGAGAGGTATGTCTATGAGTTAATCAAGGATATAATCACACAGATCATCAGTAACTTAAGGCGACTTACGTCCGGGGAGACGCTGTGAGTGCCGTATTTGTCGTCCCAGTACATCGTACTGATCCTGTATAGCTGTGTATGCTTAGCACCTGTCCACAGTTTCAATTTATCATCAAATGGACACTTGCATAACCCTTTTCGATTAATTTCTTTTGTAAGAAAATTGGCAAGTGTTTGATAAGACATATAAGAAAGTTGTGATAGACTGAGCTGGGGATACAACAACTTACAGGGCAAAGATCATGACTGATCTCATCAAGAGTTTTCTTTGGTTTTTGATGTATAACCTGTATTTGGAGCAAGAATTAATTGTTTACCCCTTATGAGACAATCCTTAAGGTTTAGGTAGAAGATAAGGCAAGGTTACCAGAAACCCAATGGCCTGTCTGATATGCTTAAGCTCATCCCACGAAGAACCCGCATACTGCAATTGTTATTGTTAGTTAATCAGTTAGTGTTGTTGAATAAATGATAGCAGAGTGAGAGCTAATAGAGATACCTCATCTGTTGCCTTAAAACACCAGTGTTCTAATTCAGACAAGCCAGCTTTGACGTACTCGCCATTACTAAATGAACAACACTCGCGTCTCAATAAAAGGCTGTTGGCGGACAACAAAAGAAGCATTTGATTAGTAGAATATAGCTAGCAATGTTTTAGACTAGATAATGGGATTTTAGATGCTAATGAACCCCGGAAAAAACCTGTTAAACAGCTGAACATTGATGAATGAGAATATCTGTGTAAACACTTTACGCACCAAGAATGAAGGAACCTAAACGCATAAATAGAAGATTCAATACTCAGGGCAGTCCAGAACTTATCTATATTAGAGGAAATGGAATCGCCAAGGAACTCACATTGTTTGATTTTAGAGTATTGAGGAAATTTGTAAGGCTCTTGACAATTCCTTGCCAGTGGGCGATCAGTGCTTGCTGAGCTGCAGTGTTGCCAACGGAACGAGATGCTCCTTTCACTAAACTCGCCCTTGATGTTCTCGGCGCCTATTTGAAGTTGCAGACAGATAAATTCAACGAGAAAAAACCTTGTTTTGCTTGTGAATGTGGTGGCCTGTAATTAATGGCATACCTGAATGCACAATCAAGGAGTGGAGAAATCTCCTTCTTCAAGTTATCCCGAATCATTCCGTATATCTTTTCAACATAAGCTGTGAGCTGCTGCTTAAAACAGTAGAGCCGGATATTTTGCTTCAACTTGTCTAAAGGTATCCGCTCCACCTCCCGCAGCACCGTTTATCATGGCAAGATTTCACCTTGGGGTGCCCCGCGGAAGCTCTAATTGATGGTAACATTCTCAAAATTAAAGTTATATGAAACAAGAAGCTTTTGCTACATTGTGTTGATGAAACTCAAACAATATATGTATAAAAGATATATACCTGACTCATCCTTCCAAATAGGGTGGCAGAAGATGAACGGCGGCGCTGCGGAGCCATCCCAGCTGCACCACTAGCTTGAGTGTGCGCTGGAGAAGTAAGAGGAGTGTCGAGGCATTGGATAACCAATAGCCAATGTATTGTTGTTATCTTGAGTCTGAGAGATCAACTTTCGCAACATTATTAATCCAACACACTTGCAATCACAGTTAGATACCTATGAAAACTAGGAAGCTCAAGCCAACCTCAATAGCATGGCCTATTGTCCTGAATAATGCGATCAAATACACTGGTTCGTTCAACTTCAAATGACCCTCCATTGCAGTAGACATTTGTAATGATACATGCTGTGATTGGTCGGTTCCCCTGGAATCCCAAGTGTTGAACAATGCAGCGGATAAGTAGTTCTTGATTTTCTTGCTGTTTCTCATTTAATGATTTCTGTGGTTTGTCATCCACTTCTGAGGGATCTCTATGGTTCATTGAATGGCTATGCAGATCCTGATTCAAATTAAAAGTCATTGCTTCATCATTTAAGAACCTAAATTTGAGACTGACAGACAATTGAAATTGAATTTCCTAAACATATTTACCAAGCTTGACCTCGCATCCACTGCAAGATGACCACTCTCAGAACCTCTCTGTTATTATTAAACAGATGGTGATTCATCAAATTCTGAAAAAGAAACAAAAAGATAGATGTGGTCTAATATATTTAGTTTTACGGTTCTATTTTACCTGTAAAATGGACCGGGAGCGGCCAGAGAGAAATTTATTTGGTGCCATGGACACAGCCTGTTGCCCGTAAGACTTTATTCTCTGATTCTAAGTTGCTGCACTTTTCCTCCATCCTGATCACATTAACTTCTAGTTCAGCTCAGAGGAAAATAATTACCAGCAGAATCATGATGAATAGGAAGATATTCATAACGATGTTTATGATAGATTCTTACCTTGTCAGGGATTCTTGGAGTTGCTGACCTTTCTTCTCCGTCTCTTCCAGTTTCTTCTTTTTGTCTTCGAGAGACTCTTGAGCTTCTTCGAATTTCTTCAGTGCATCATCAGCCCTTTGTTTCTCGTTTTCTAGAGTAGCCTGTTGAAAAGCAAATGATTACTGATGCAAGTAGACTCATATGTAACAATGAATGTAAATCTCTAATTTAGATGCAACTGATTTGCAGGTAAATTGAAAGGAAAGATCAGACAGCTGATTGACCAATGATTTAGCCACTGACAGCAAGTACCTTTACACTATCCAGTTCCTCTGTCATCAGTTCAATCTTCTTGGTATCTTCAACTAAGATTTGTGTTTCTTTGATAACAGGAGGAGCTTCTTCAGCGGCTTTCTTTGCAGCTTCACGTTCCTTCACAAGCAACGCATTTGTTTCATCAACTTTCTTCCGCATTTCTTCGAATGAACTCTGAAGTTCGTAATCTCCTGAGTCTTTGCTTCTTCTAAGTCACCCTGCAAAATTAGTTCAGTGCTAGAAATTATATATCTATTTCAAAAATGTCAATTGAAACGATGTTTCTATGGCAAATACCCTCAAACGTTTCTCCAACTGGACACGGTATGTGAGTTCCTCAACTTTCTTTTCAAGCATATCCTTTGCCTCTTTAAGTGCTCCCGTTTCCCTTGCAGCCTGAAGATAATACAAATGTTGAGTATGTTTAAGATAACTAATCTTTGAAGCAGGCACTTAATTATTACAAAGAAAGAAGACAACAGAATTTATCAGTTTCAGCTTCAAGGTCCCTCAAACTAGCAACCTGCTTTTGAAAGTATTTGTAGAAAATTATAGACTTAATCTTGTCGATGAGTTCCCATCTCAATGCACATAGCATGATAGTTTCCACGAAAATTGACATGTATTGTTAAAGTAGGCTTTTGTAGATGTGATGAATATGTATGTGAAAAATAAAGAAACATTCTAGGAAATGTATACCATTTTGAGTTTCCTAAGTTCTCTCTTAGCAAGTCTGCCTCTCCATCGTGTCTGAGATAGGATTACTCCATTTTTAAGCTTTTGTAGTATGAGATTGCTCTGTGACAGCGCCACTGAGCCTGCCATTAGTAACCGGAAAATTATGAGTTAATGATCATGAGAAACCTAAGATAGTTTTAGCGCTCAATTCTCGCAAGAACCGAAACCTGAACAATTGTGGCAGCCTTTGTTTGCTTCCTGAATCTGAATTGTTTACGAGCAGTCATTGCTCTTAAACCAGTCTGTACAACAAGAGAAGCTACATGGAGCTTTTTATATGATTTTCTAGAATAATGTCTCCGGCCATTCTTCTGAATCTTCACAGCAGCAGCTTCTCGTCTCAAATTTTCGTAAAGCTTGCAGGAAATTCTTCCTACAATATATATTAAGTTACATAAATATTTTTAATATTCAGCCAATCATTCATAAGTGTGACAAAGTTAATGCCCTTCTAAATTCGAAAACGATTGAGCAAGTAGATGAGGGCTCACCTCTACATATAGCTTGAAGAGATATGGTGGCTTTTCTCAGAACAATGAACCGTTTCTGAGCTTGATGAGTACGTATCCGTCGCTGAATTTTTTTCGCAGCACTACTTAACACCTCAGCCCTTCTAGCGTCGAGTTCAGCCATCTGACCAGCCCTCAAGAAGATCTTTGTTTTACCAATCTGCATTAACAAAATATGTTTTGCATTTGGGTTAATCACAAATCTGCTATCATTGAACCATATCCCATTGCAGCACTAATACTATATAATTGGTTCGATGAAACTCGAGGAACCTTTACCTGGTATCCTTTGAGTCCCATGTTGTCCAAGATCTTTTGACATGCGACTTTCTCATCGAAGCTGTTCAGGAAAAGTCAGAAACTACTGATTTGGATTCTCACAACACAGTACACTTTTGATCAGCTAGGGAGAATGATTTTTTACTTACTTCCCTTCTAAAGCAGCAGGAGATAGAAGTCCAAAACGGTTTATGAACTCAAAGAAAGGTTTACGAGTTGGATACCCTGCGCAACTAATTCTAATCGCCTCTAAAACACCCTGTAAAGATAACATAAAGGTTTAAAGTTATTAGCATACACGTTCCAGTCATTAATCGCAGGAAATTAGTAACATAGTTTTTTTTAAGAATTTTTGAAATATTATCTTATCTGTAAACTTACACCACATCGCAGTTGCTGCATGATGTTCACATTCTCAAATATGGCAGGCTTTAGAAGATTGTTAGGCTTCACACATCTGATGTAATGAGGCTCGGTGGAATTTAATGTTTCCATCAGTTGCTGGAGTTGCATCTGCATCAACCAGGCCAGTAGTTACTTGTTACATTTACTCGGTGTTACGAAAATATATTAGTCTTCTTTATCAAAAAGGAAAATATTAATCTTCCATTATACAATTGATGCTGAACATCTGAATAAGCTTCCCTACCTTAAAACGAGAACCAATGGATGAAAACTTTGACGATTTAGATGTTTCTTCCGGAAGTGGAGGGAAAAGACCCACAACAAAGGGACATTTGGAAGCCCCAACAAATCTTGGTGTTCAGGGATCACATAATCCTTGTTTTTATCCAGAAATAATTCAGACTGATACAGAACCTGAAAACGTAGAAGACATGAGAAACTTGTGTGTCTTACAAGGTCAAATTTATTCGAAGGAGAAAGAACCTACTTCTCCAGCATAATGGGCAACAGCGAAATCTGTTCGAGAGAGTTTTGGTTTGATGAACGTTTGTGGGTCTTGAAAGTCTGATAAAGCTTGTTTGCAAATGTTTCATGGGTTGACTTCGGAAACATGCTAAAAAAATATGTTTCGTTAGTTCAAGTCAAGAACATAATCACCTCATGCTTCATATGGAACTAGTTTGATATTTAAAATTACCAAGCTTCATCGAGGAGAGCAACAATTCCACCAGGCTTCTGCAGATGGAAAAGAAAAGGGGAAATAAAGTGAGCTAAAATCCAACTGGTATGTGGAGTTATTTTGTTAATATTGTCCTTTCTCGGTTAACAAATGACCTTTTCTATGAGATCGAGAACATCTTGATTGTCCACAAATTCAATGTAACTCCAATCTATTGCTTCTTTGTGTACTCTTCCTGTTCCATCTTGAAAACGTGCTGGAAAAAAGCAAAAGAAACCAGTGAATTCAAAATGCAGATTTGAGAATCAGAGATGGAATTAGTACACTTTTTTCACTACAATCAAGAACCTACCTGGTTGAAATGTTGCTGCAACTTCTCATTAGTGAAATTAATACAGAACTGTTCAAAACTGCAGCAAAAAGGGTATTAGCAGAGAATGGGGGACTGCATATCTGTGAGCCTTAGCCAATGTAAAGGTTCATTTACCTGTTAGTTTTGAAGCTCTCAAATCCATAAATGTCCAGAACTCCAATTAGAGATCTAGAATTGGCATCTTGTCCAATCGACTTATTAATCTTGTCTACCAACCTGCACATTACTAGAGATATTCACTTAGCGACAAATATGTAAATATCAATTATTGTCGTCTTTTCCCCTCAACAAACACTTACCAATCGAACAGTCGAGAATAGACTGTCTTAGCGAGACCGTCCCGGCTGGTTACAGCACTCTGTGGATCAAGACTTCTCTTGATAACTTCCTCGGGTGTGATCATAACACGTTTACATAATGCATCTTCAAGTGCCTTTAAATCACACCTGAAACGAGATTTCCAATTAGCTTTCAACTGATAACACATTTTAGAGGTCTTCTCAGAGACAAATGTTTTTTACATGAGAAGTTCTGCTGCTGTTTTAAGATGAAATTTCGACTTCTCATCCTTGGGAACTGATGAATCCACTTCCTTTCCCTTAGTAAAATCGATGTTTCCTATATGAAGAATTGCAGCAACCACCCTGAAAATTGCTTCCTGTTGATACAAAGGCAGCATTAAGTTCATCATCAATATAGAAGTGCAGGAACTAAATTGAACTTGCAACATAATAATTATAGTTGCTTACGCAAACTGACCTGTTCCTTTTCGCTAATTCCAACAATATCCATAGCTCTCCTTGTCGCAAGATAATCATGAGCATCGCTTATACCGACAAGCTCAAGCACTTGGACTGGTTCAGATAATGAAAGGTCTTTGGATGACCGAGCTTGTACTTTTCAATTTCCTGCTAGTTCTACTAAGAGTTATGCAGCTAGTTTTTCGGGAACAAGATATTCCATACTTTAACAGTACTTACCTCCTGCGGTGCGGCACAAAGAAGATAGAAGCAGTGGTAATTTCGCTCCGGATCAGAAATTTGGCACACACGAGACCTCTCTAATAGATAAGTTCTTATAGCAGCACCAGATATTCTTCCTTGCTTATCAAATTGGATTTCAACAAATTTACCGAAGCGACTGAGCCAAAGCATAGTAAACAGTTAGCTGAAATCCGAACAATAGATATAGATGCCCACTATAATAACAAGATTTTGAGTCACCTTGAGTTGTTATTCCTCACAGTTTTTGCGTTCCCAAAGGCTTCAAGGACAGGATTTGACTGGACACAGATATTACAAACAAGTTAGTAGAATCCATATATAAGAAGATCACAGAAAAGAGATAGAAAAGTCATTACTTCAAGAACTTGTTGTTCAACAGTCCGTCCTTCTGTAACTGCACGACCACCCAAGTATGCAAGGTACCTCATAAGCATCTTAGTGGTTTCAGTTTTTCCTGCTCCGCTCTCACCACTTACAAGAATTGAATTGCTTTTTCCCTCATTAATCATGGCCCTGAGTGTATATAAATAAAGGCCGTCTTATGCTCACAACACATATCATCATTATATATACAGTATATCTGTAGATCATAAATATAGAAGTGTTAAATTCACCTGTATGCAACATCAGCAACAGCAAAAACATGAGGACTTAGTTCTCCAAGTGGTGCTCCTTTGTATTGTTGCATCATATGGGCATCATAGATGTGAGGCAATCGTTGAAACGGGTTAATTGCAATAAGGATGTTTCCTGTGTATGTCTATCATGAACAAATAGATTAAAGTTAGGACAGAAAACAGTAAAACAGAATGAATGTAAGAGATACTAACATAGATCTCATTAAGTTCATATCTGATCTTCAAGTTCTGAAGAACACCAGGTTCATGCAAGTAAGAGAGCTTTGTCATGTCATCAACACCGCCAGCAGGAGCTTCCACATCTTTTGGGTATATCTTTGACAACTTTGCAGTGACCTATACAAGTCAGAAAAATAAAATCAGTTTTGGGATATACACTAAAGGTGTCAAGTTGAAATGTTACAGTTTTGGTGATTGATGAGTGGACCTTCTTTCCAATAGTGGCTTGGATGACAACTTCTTGTCCATTGATTTTTTCAACCTCGCCATCAATCCAAGCCACTTCAGGGTCTTCAACCCAAACATGAGAACCTACAATGATATTTACTGGAGTTCCCTGCAGTTACAAAAGCATGAGAGTGTGTTGATATACAAGATGCTAAGGAGGAACAACAACAACAACAACAAAAAGCTCGATAAGAAGAGCCAAAACGAGATCACGACAGTGTTGATATACTTGTACATTCCCATGAATTGAACAATCAAACATGAAAATCTTAAGAAAAGTAAAAGGTTCACGTACCATTATCCAATTTTAGTGTGTCTTTTCTTCTTTACAATACATACAAGTGAAGGGAATCCAATCCTTGGGACATTTTTCCACAGTAAATTGGGATGAGGTGACTTGTTACGCAAGAAATCTACAGATTCTGTAGATTCCGAGACAACCCGGAGATTTGGAAAACCCAGATGAAACTCAATCGATTACAGTTTTTTTTTTCGGAAAATCAAAATCAACCCACAATTTCAAGACATCCTCAGGCATCCCAGAAGAAAAACAAAACGATGGAATCACCAGAAAAAGCAAGAGATTGGGAGGAATCGAGATCGGAAAAGGAGAAAGGAAGAAAAGAGGTGAAAGAGAGATTGAAGAGAGGAGTAAATAGAAAAAACAGAGAGACAGAGAGAGAGTGACATTGTTGTTCGCGAGAGAGGAAACAATCCTCCTTCGACTTCGGTAGGTTTCTTCCCCCATGGATTTCGCGCCAATTTGTGGACCTTAATCGGTCACTGTCCTCGCGACACCACGCACACTCTCTCCCTCAACACGAATACTTGTGTATATTTCAGTCCCACCAAAATCATTAACTTAAAGGCCCAAAGTTAAAACACGAACACTAATTAAGGACTTTATTGGAATAATTTAGAAATTCAAGTACAGTATTGTTTGGAGTTTGGAGTTTGATTATAATTTTGATTGGTAACAGAATGATTTTTTGTTTTAAAAAAATTGGCTTCTGAAGTCCTGGACTCTTTGGGGGGGAAACAGAGGAGACGAAACAGAGTATATTTCTGACAAAATAAGCACAGCATAGCGGCATTTCCTATAGCAAATTATACACCAAAACATATAAGTGTACATTGATTTCATTTACATTCCTCAATTCTAGGCTGGCTTATGTATAACTCTGCGCAGCACCAGATGTCAAATAGTATATCATTAACCACTCTTTCTTTCACATATTCATATTCACAGTTGACAACTACTGTGGTGAAGGAAGCACAAGCCGGTTCAACGGCTTCAGCACTTCCGTCAGCTGAGCAAAGGACGGCCTCAGATTCGGATCCCTGCCCAAACAAAAAACCAAACACATTTTTAGATTCTACTAGTGAATTTTGTGTTTGTTTCATGAAACTTACGTTTGCCAACATTCTAGGATGATCCTTCCCACCACAGGATCAAGTTCCTTGGGGATCTCAAGCCGCCGATTTTGGAAACCAACTGCTCCAACTACTTGCATTGGGTTCATTCCTCGCCATGGCAATCTCAATGTTGCTAGTTCCCAAAGTATTACCCCGAAACTGTACACATCACACCTGAGGAAAAACACAGCCAACATTTAGAGTAGAAACTGGCTCTACAATTTGTGGTAGAGCCAAGAACAGAACTGAGCTTCTAATAAGCTACTCACTTTTCATTTGAGGGCTCATTGCGTAGAACTTCTGGAGCCATCCATTCGGGCTGGTAAAATTAAGTATGCATGTGATTAGAGAAGAAGCCATACCCCATATTACTACAAGCATGCCAGCAGCAAATTGCATGTCTATCAAAAAGTGAACAGATTAAAGGGTTTTGCGTTCTCACCGTTCCAGCAGTTGATTTGGAGGATAAAAAAGTATTGTGCTTTAAGCGAGACAACCCAAAATCACCGACCTGCAAGGTTAGTGAGATAAAAAAAAAAAAAAAAATTAATTATTTACCATCAGAGTAAACTAGTTTATTAGTTGGACAACTTAAGAAAATATTTCTTCCTACCTTAACATTCCAGTTGTTATCAACCAAAAGGTTTGGTGTTTTTAGATCACGATGAACAATTGTCGGTGTACTGGTGTGTAAGCAGTTCATCCCCATTGCCTGAAAGTAACAATGGTCGGTCTGGAATTTAGTGACTATTTTGAAGAAATAAGCCTGGGAACATGGAAGTTGATATATGAATCTATTTTTCTACCACGTCAAGGGCCATTTTAATCCGGCGCCGCTCGTCAATGTGAGATTTGGGCCGATGAAGGATTCGATACAAGCTTCCTCTATAATAAAACAACAAAAAACATTAGAATCTTTTGGGACTCCAAAATCTCATATGCAATTAATTTTCACAACAAGAAGATGGGACAAACCTAGGCAGAAACTCTGTGACGATGGAAAGATTTGGAGGACGAGTAACAGCCCCAAGGAAGAATACAACATTTGGATGACGCAATCTTCGCATAATGCGTACCTTCAGATATGGAAATATTAATATTGAGTGGGAATCCAAAGGCAAGCATATAAGCAGCTGCAAGGTAGGCTATTGTGGTTCATCCAAAAAAATAAACGGGTAGCTAAGAATACTAGTAAATAAACGGAAGTGAACTTATGGCTTACTTCGCTTCTGAACTCGGCTAAAGCAGCACCTGAGAAGTCCTGGTCCAAAAATTTCTTGACAGCAACTTCCTAAATCCAACCATAACAAAGACGCAGAAAATAAACTTGAAACCTTCCACTTCTGTGAAGATAAACAGCATGGGGAGACATAGAAGGCTAGTTTAAATCACGAAAAATAATCTATCACTAGATAAACAAAAAGGACAACAGCTAATACTGATGAGAGAATGTGAGACAATACCATGGAGGGCACTGATGCATTTGTGGCTAGTGACTGAAACAAGCCTATACTAAAAGTGCTTTTCAAAACTGTTTTACTTTAAGAATACAAACACTGCTGTGACTGTTTAATGACCAAACATGCATCTAGGCGCTCCATTTTACTCTCTTTGCACTCATCTCAGGTAAACATAGTCTTAAGTCTTCCAAACGGTAACAAATTCAACAGGTTAATAATGTTTGAAGTTCCAGATAACCGCCAGATACATGCTCCTTGACACAATTCAAGCCCTAAATAATGTGAACACAACTAGAGTGGAGCAAGTTCTGGAAAAATTACAGATAAAATTTGCTACAGTAGCTCTTATGAAGTCAACTGTAAGGTTTTGAAAAAACTAACCGTGCCATGCCAGTCAGCATGATAGACCTCTCCATAGGAACCTAAGCAAAATAAGATAAGCATTAGAACATGTGATCTCCAAAAGCTATATGCTACCTAAAGTTTCAATGCATAGCTATCCCTAGTAATAAGCAACTGTATATGGTAGAAAGGGGCTATGCTACAAAATTTTACTCCCAATAGATAATAATTAGCTGCCGTCAAAAAGAAAAGAAAATAGATACTAACTAGTTTAATATTTCAAACATGTAAAACGTAACCTGCAGGGCACATTACCTAATCCTATTCTCTCCCCAATAACAAGATCATTCCAAGGAATTTCACATTCACCAACATCTGCATCATCAAGAACTTGAGGATCATTCCGGTAGGATGTAGAATCAAGAGATGAACTTGTACTTTCGTGATCCTTAAGCCTCGAATCACACCCAGTGGATATGTCATCACTTGTGTACTTTCTATGATCATGGATGTGAGATTCATCCTTTTGGTGTCCATGTACCACAGCAGCAGTATTAGGCTGGAGATCTAGTTCATTGTTGGTGTTTCTGTTCATATTTTCTGCTATACTTGGTGTGAAATTTTCAGTGGATGTGAAGGATGATGGTGCAGCAACCGGTGACACAAATGTCACATTGTCTCTGCAAGGCACATTTGAGGAAACAGCTCCATTGGAGCTTGAGGTAGCATGTGAGGAATGAGTGTTTCCATAACGAGGTTGCAGTTTCGGCAGAAGATTTTCCATATAACTATTCTCCTTTCTCTTTGGGGCTTCATTGCAGCTGTAATTCTTCCACATCATTGGTGCAGGTGATCTACCAACCAGAGGATTATTTTTCTGTTGATGAAAATCATCGACATTATTCAAACCTGATTTAGTGGGCATAAACAGCTTGTCAGCTCCCTTATTTTGAAATGGATTAAGGTCTGCGAAAAGGTTTTTTGGGTCTTCCTCACTGTTCTGATTGTATGGAACTATATTCATGTTTGTTCTTGAACAATCATTTATGGCTCCTCGACTCCCTTTTGCAATTGCTGTTGAGGAAATGTTCTCCAACTGAGTAGAACTAGTTACGCTAGAAGGTGAAGTGCTCAAATCAACATTCCGAAGTGGTCCCAACTTTGGGTATGAGGAATCTGTCTTTTCAGCCTCTGTCCTTCTACCCAAAGGAGAACTATTGTCGGCCAAAGAACTCTGACTACTGCCTTCACCTTCTGAAAGCTTTGACAACTGAGCTGTAGGAAATTTGTTTCCATTTGAGTTATATGGCTCAACAGTATTATCCCTAGCACTTGCAAAATCAGCAGGTATTAGCGTCCCAGGATCTGTCATAAGATCAACCAAGTACTCTCTGAAAGAAGGGGGGACATGTTACATTTTGGTAAAAAGAAAAAAAAAAACTGGAATCATAGTGAAAAGGATAAAGAACAACAACCTTTCATCTTCAAGTCTTATCGTGTTCACAGCATCATCCTCATTGCCTGTGTAGTGGCTACCTTTTACCAACCTACAAGGTAACCCGACACTATCTGCCAAAACCTACATTGGGAGAAGTAAACTGCCCACGAATCAATTTTCAAAATCAAACAAGATAGATGAGCATTAGCAGCAAAGCATCTGATTGTGTGAAAACAGCACAATGCATCTGTTCAGTCATCCTTCACATGTGAGATTTCATTTGAACTTCTTTTTACTAGGTGGTCACTCATTCAAAAATTTCATTACTTGCCACAAGTAAGATAAAACAAGACACTAAATCTAGGAAGAGGGTTTGAAAATGTACCTTGAAAAGCAGAGCACGATGCCTTGAGATACCAATATCTACAAATCCAATAGGGAATACACAAGTATTCAATGCTGCCTTGAACTCGCTGCTTTTGTCAGTCCACTTTGCCAATACTATACTGGAATCTTCCGCAGATCCACCCATATGCCCTGTGACAAGTTCAGCCAGCCTCTGTACCAACACACTAACACTGGTAGTAGGACAATCCATTGCAATGCATTCTGAAATCTCTAGCAACTCACGCAGGGAAGGATCAATGGGTCGATTTACAACTACAGCTTCAAAGCCAGGTGTTCCATGATTGCTTTCAAGATCTTCCAACGATGGCATTTCTCCCTGCTTTGCGGAGTCTGTGGATAGACTGTACACGTCGTAGAAACTATCGACAACTTTCTCTTCATAGTCAAGCACGCCATATTCCTAGAAATAGTTTACTACAAGTTATTCATGTAAAATCATGGAGGCAGTGCAAAAACGGCAAGACATTTGACCCCCACAGTTACAATAAAGTTCAGCCTTTCTATAGAAGCTAAATCTTCAGAGAGGAAACAAAGGTGTATAAAACCAGGCAGGTGCAACAACAACCAAAAAAATCACCAGAAAGAAGTTTACTTGGCATATGGATCAGTAAAGAAGTAATGAAATTCAATTAGCTAATAAGAATCCCAACAATGATGACATGCTAAATTCGGCTCTAATCAAGCTCAGCACACCTTGAAGTCATTATGACACAAGGAGAGAATACAGCATTACCCTAGATAAAAAGAGAAGACTTACCCAGTACTGTCTCGATAACCTCTGGGCCACCACCTCCGATGAATCCCTCCTTGAATCCATCCGTTGATGGCTTCCTAAGCTCAGAAGCGTCGCCGCTCGGATCTGATGCTTCTCCGGATCCTCACTGGACTGCGAATTGGAAGCACTGATCGCTAGGGCTAACTGAACTTGATACTCCTCCTCGGAAGACATGTAATCCGCACGGTTCGAAGCAGCGGTTGGAGAAGGAGAGGCCATCGAAGAAGTAGCTCCGGTGACCGGAAGCGTCTCCGAAACCGAAGAAGAAGTTGCTTGAGGAGGATTTGCAGCAGAAACGTGATTCCGATTTTGATCGGATGGAGGAGCTGCATCGTTGGTTCGATTCTGCTGCTCTTGATTCCCACCTCTGTGTAGCTTCTTGAAAATATGCTTCATCGCTCTCTTTAGATTCTTCTTCTTCTCCTTCTTCCTTGGTCAATCAAAAAAGTGGTGGGAGTGACGGAAACTTAGCCGGCGAGTTAAAAAGGGAGGGACCAGGATTTACGATTATGCCACTGTTTTGACCTTTTTGTTAAATTATCCAATTAAGATTAAGCAAAAGGGAAAATGTGACACGTCGCCATCGGGGCCCACACGCTGAAGAATTTCTATACGCGGCTAATAGGGTAACTTTTTTTTTCTGTTTTAATTAGAGTAAAACTTAATTACCAGATTGACAACAGATGTCTATATCCGTAAATCCTCATATAGGTTCCCGGCAGATTTCGATCGGTAGAGTCCGAACCAACTATGATTCAATGCAACAAAAACAAGATTAAGAATCAATTTGATCATGAAACCATTTCTTAGCAAAACTGGAAAATCCGGTTACAAAAAAGGTCCAATGGGAACAGTAAAGCAGAACAGAGCATGATTTGACCCAGACATGCCAAAGAACCAATGGGTTTTATACTTTTTAAACAAATACATCTTTATTCATGATATAGTATACCTACAGATCAACAAAACTTACAGTTACAACAGAATATATCGACCACATTATGAGATTATGCAAATCTAATTGGTAATAAAACAACAAACAATACAACAACAACTCTCAATGTTCACTGTTCTGTCTTTCTGTGGAATGGAGCAGCCAACCATCATTCTGATTCTGCGTGGAACAGCTTCTCCTTGTTTCTGGGTATTGCTTGAACTGCTTTTGCGGAATCCAGGCAACAAGTGTTGGTAAATATATTAAAAACTCACAATCAATACCATTGATAAGATTAACAAGTAAATCTACAAGTTTAAACATTTGTTTCTAACTACCCATTGAGGTTGCAATAATATTGCTCCTCCATGTCATAGTTTCAGGCAATCCATATTGGCATAAAACTCTTCTACATTGCATTGTGTCACACTTCAAAGAATAAGCAGATTTTCAGAAAAATACTCATGGAGATTTTTAGACAGTAAGAATAGTATTTCTCGGCAACACTACTACATGAAGAAAAGTAAGAAATGTTCATAAACTTACAGTTGATGCTTGTTTTCAACTTCTTCCCCTTGCCATTACTTACTTGGTCTCCACTATAGTTAATGCTCGTTTTCAACTTCTTCGTCTTGCCATTACTTACTTGGTCTCCACTCCGTGTCGACTTGTAATCTCGTAAAGGATGATACTTCATGGATTCTAGCTCTTTTATGGCTATGTCAAATCGGTGTTTTACCTCCCTCTGTAATTACAGAGAAAACAATTTAAGAGACTTATAAAGTCGACTAGTGAAAGTGTGGAACATGATGGGAATCCCTAAATAATACTCACAAGTGCCCTATTCACACCCATGATTTGCTGTTTGCATAACTTCATCTCCATCTCAAGTGCACGCAATTGACCCTCAACAGGAACAGCGTTTTGCTCAACCATTTGCTTTTGTCTGCCACGTACAACCTCCGGCTGCCAAACCTTCAAAGCTACCGATGCTTGCCTGAGAGAGCCAATAACAACTTAGATCAGAAGGATGAATGAGTTAAAGAACAGTAGGATCAATCCTCATTTCACTTTAATCAAACAAAGAATCATATTTTCAAACTGTCACAACTGAACAAGCAATCTCCTTTATAGAGTTAGAATTATCTAGAAACAACAATGCATAGATCAAAGTACAATTGCTACTCGCAGCCATAAAAAACGAAACTTTATGAAATCTGACAAGATGAGCTCGACATTAGGGACTACCTCACTTTGAGCAAATCTGAAAATTGCAGAGAAGAAGACTGTAATCTCTCAGCCTCGTCCGACAATCGAGCCTCCAATTCACGAATCCTCCGGCCCCATTCAGAAATTTCACTCTCCTTCCTGAGTAAAGCTCTTCTATGTGCAGCTACTTTCCTCTCCTTCTCCCTCTCAAACCTATCAAACACATCCATAGAGCTTAAATAACTCACACTGACAAGACAAGAAATCTCAAGTAAATAATCAATCACAAAAAAATTACCTAGTCCTGTAGATAAACTTGGAGGGAGCTTGAGAAGAGGAAGCAGAGACGATATGGGTAGGGAAATCAAGGAAGAGCAGAAGATCCCAGAGGGAATCATCGCAGGACAATCGGCAGAGACGGCGAGAGGAGATGGAGATGCAGCAGAGATCTTTGTAGCAGAAAGTCGAGGACTTTACGCCAATCTCTATGATCTTTCTCCATAGCTCGTCGGGTATCTCGTCTGCGGACATTCCTCTGTTTAGGTTCGGCTTCTCGGTGCGCCAATCGCAGAATTATCAGCGGATCTGATAAATCCGGTTTAATCCGTTCGGTCCGATGTGAACCAAATTGAATCGAATTATTTGATCCCAAAACCGAATTTTATTTTAACTTATACGTTTAAAATTTTAGCTTTGTTTGTAGTTAGTGGGCCTAATGGGCTGTTATTGTTGAACCGCTATTTACCCTTTGGGCTTTAAATGAAATCGTTGGTCGACAAAAACAAAAATATTTATTTTGGCATAAACGAGCTGGTCAGAAGAAGACTCAGAAGTAACTCTCTCCTCTCGTCTTCTTCCTCTGGAACTCCCCAAAAAATGGCGTAGCCAAAAAAGTCCCCCGAAATCGATAACGATGGAGTCTAGTATACTCGATTCTCTCGGAGTTGAGATTATCGGCGTGATGGCTCCCGTCTCCATCTGCATGTTCCTCGTCGTCCTTCTCACCTACTCTCTCTCTGTCACTTCCGACCCTCAGATCCGTTCCGCCGCTAACCTCATTTACATCGAGAATCCCTCCGACTCCGCCACCGTCAAGCTCGAAGGTAGTCTTGCCAACGCCATCGTCTTCGTCGTCCTCGTTGCCGCCGTCACCTTCATCCTTGTTCTCCTCTTCTACTACAATTTCACCAATTTCCTCAAGCATTACATGCGCTTCTCCGCCTTCTTCGTCTTCGGTACCAATTTTTGTTTCCTCCTGCAATTCCTCTTCTTAGGGTTTACTCGAATTCGTTGTTGATTGTGTTGCTGGATTTTTTTTATCTCAGGTACGATGGGAGGTGCAATTTTCCTGTCGATTATCCAGCATTTCTCGATTCCTGTTGATTCCATCACCTGCTTCATATTGCTTTTCAATTTCACGATCTTGGGGACTTTGTCAGTGTTTGCTGGTGGAATACCAATTGTTCTGAGACAGTGTTATATGGTTGTTATGGGGATAGTTGTTGCAGCTTGGTTCACTAAGTTACCTGAATGGACTACATGGTCTATCTTGGTGGCTTTAGCTTTGTATGACTTGGTAGCTGTTCTGGCACCTGGTGGGCCACTTAAGCTGTTGGTGGAGCTGGCTTCTAGCCGCGATGAAGAACTTCCTGCTATGGTTTATGAAGCTAGGCCGACTGTCTCCTCAGGCAACCAAGGGAGAAACCGTGGCTCGAGTTTAAGGGCTTTGGTTGGCGGTGGTGGGGTTTCAGATTCTGGGTCAGTAGAGCTCCAAGCAGTTCGGAATCATGATGGAAACCAACTTGGAAGGGAAAATACTCATAATCTGGATTATAATGCTGTTGCAGTGAGGGATATAGACAATGTAGATGGTAATGGTAACGGAAACAGAGGTGGTGTTGAGAGGTCACCTCTGGTTGGAAGTCCTAGCGAAGGACATTTTGCATCTGCCATATCCTCAGAGCACTCAACCCGAGTTGGAACCAGAGGAAATATCGATGACAGAGAATCTGCTATAGATGAAGAAATGTCTCCTCTTGTTGAGTTGATGGGCTGGGGAGATAATAGGGAAGAAGGTAGAGGTTTGGAGGAGTCAGGTAACGTTGTCGACAGTTCAAATAGAGGCATAAAACTTGGTCTTGGAGACTTTATTTTCTACAGTGTTCTAGTTGGTAGGGCAGCAATGTATGATCTGATGACGGTTTATGCCTGTTATCTTGCGATCATCTCCGGACTTGGCTGCACTCTTATTTTGCTGTCTGTGTACAACCGAGCTCTGCCTGCCCTTCCCATATCCATCATGTTGGGTGTTATTTTCTACTTCTTGACGCGATTATTGATGGAGCCGTTTGTTGTTGGGGTGACAACAAATTTGATGATGTTCTGATTAACCAAAAATTCTAGTGAAACAAGTAAATGATCCTGATTATGCTGCTTTATCCATGTATTGCACCTTGTGCTGTCTCAAATGAAGCAAATATGTTTTTAGTGTTGAGCAATATTCAAGTGAAACTGCTAATGTTTAATGAATAGTCTCTGATGCCGATCGTTTTTTAGTATATGGTTGTAGACATTTCAGGTTTGACTGAAAACTTTAGGATTGGTCTATTGTATTTTTCAATTTGGTTAAAATAGTAATTTCCCTAATTTCTACGACCACATAATGTTTTTGCTACTTCTTATTATATTCACGTGTTCAATTAAGATTTTATATATTTCCAAAATTAGTAAAATCAAAATATTAAAAATTACAAAATTTAGAAGAATTTTCTAAAATAAATGAACGATCGCGTTGATCTCGTTGACTTAGCTCCACCTTTCTCTTTTGTTCTTTTTAATGTAATTTAACGGGAACTTACTATTTTTATCCTATGTGATGTGTATCTTATATATTAAAGGAGAAGTCGAAAGTGCTCACGTTCGCTCTCAGAATATGAGCAGTCGTTTTTACCCCCCCTTTTAATGAGATTAAATTAATGAAATTTCCATATTATTAATTCATAAAAAGTAAACGGTAATTTAAGAATGTTAATATACCATATACATTTTGGTCGTCGTAGATTCGGAAAAAAATAAAAAAAATCGGCCCATCATGTAGAAACCCTAATTTGTGTATTAATTAACAAAAACAAAAGCCCGTCTAAAATATACCGCCTTACTTAAAACCCTAAAACCATCTATTGTAATCTCCTATAAATATTATCGAAACCCTAACAAAATAGGTTTCATAATTGTCGGCTGCAAGCTCCATATATAATGGCGATGGCACCGCGGCGGAGATTATCTCAATGATAATAGTTTAGGTTCACGATGGATAGGACATCGGATTCACTACGTTTAGGTTAAAAGAGAAAAATATCTCCGCCACAATCGCCAAAGAAAATAAAGATTCTTCTTACTCAATTAGCGGCAGTAATAGAAGTGATGTCTATCTACGTTTGTAATCAAAGACTTTTCGAGTAGTTTGACATAGCGATTGTCGATATAGAAGAACCATCCCTAACGATGGTATCAAACTTTCTCCGGTTTTTTGGTTCATGTTGGTATAGTTCTGTCTGTCATACATAGGAAAACTTGGTTTTGTCTCTGAAATTCAGCAAGAACAGAAACAAGATCGGATTTAAGGAGATGAGAAACGTTAGAATCAATGAATCGATCAAGTCGGACTAAGTTGGTTTGGAGACGCTTGAGCTCTTTGGCAGCGATTAAACCTTCTTTGCTCATTTCTTTCTTCCGTATCCATATCGATAGGCTTGGGCTTAAAGCAGGTCTTGATTGGTACGTATGCGTCGAAAGAACACTAATTTATCTGTTTCTTGAACCAATTTGGCTAAGAAGATAAAGAACGCAGTTTTGATGAATCAAATAGTAGTGTCTTCGAAGGTACACATATTTCTTTCAAGATATTTGTTTGCACTTATAATAAAGTGGGTTAAATTTTCATAGGTTGTAGAAGAAGGAAGCAACGGGAAAGCCAAAAAAAGCTTCTTTGATTTCCTCTTATATTGATTGCTTCTTTCCGGTGGTTTTGTCTATGGACATTAGTTTTTCTGTTTTCTTAGGTTTGTGTCGATCTCAAAATGCAGGATTGATAAACCTGAGTGTTCCTGTTTTTAATTAAAAAGGTATATGTTTTTACAGATCTCTTTATTAGTGGAATCGAGACATGTCATGTGATAGTATTAATTAGTTAGATGTATCTTATAATTGCTTAGAGTAAGCTTATGATTTTTTGAGCTTTTAGGTATGAATAAATTGTAGGCTGAAGTTCTGCTAGGAACTCATTCAACGTGTATGTCAATTATGGTCAATTCTGTAAGGATTCGAAAAACGTATGTTTTTACCATCCAATGATGTTGCTGGTATTTAGTTTACAATCTTCCAAACAGACTTAATCATGGCTTCTTTTGAGAATATAATCTGTGAAGCTTGGACACATGATCACATCAACACATGGTTAGAGAGTTCAATCAAGGTGAAATTTATTATTAGTAAATTGCAGTAGAACCAATAATTATTTTTAAACGTTATGTCAATCAATCCGATTACTTTTTGAATTTTGTCTAATATGATTTCATTCGAGTTTGTTTCCGATCTTTAAAATAAATAAATATATCTTTTATATATTATTATTTTCCTTTCATATTGGTTTAATTCTTAAACATTCGGTTTTTTTCGGGATAAAATTGTTTTCCGCTCCAATGGCCGTTCTTTTCGAACGGTAATGAAGAATGGCTCTCCAAGTTAGCATTGCTATGGTTTCTCCCAAAAAAACTTGCAGTAGATGAGCCCATTCCTCTCATACGAAGATGCCTAGGCGATGATTGTTGTTATTCTCTGGGGAGGTAAATGATAGCGAACTATTGTAATGGAATGTATTTCATCAATCATCATTGTTTAAAAATATTTGGGTATTTGTTACCTTCGTTATGAGAGTCTACTTTTGTTAATCGTTGTTATGTTATAATTGAAAACTTTTGATTTTTATATTTCTAATACATGTGTATGTAGAGAATATCAGTCCATATCAGCAAGATAGGAGTTCTCTGGAAATGAAGTCGTAAGGTGGATATAAAAATAAAGTCCATAATCTTATGTATTACAAAGGTATATTTTGCATTCTTATCTTTGGAGAAGTAGAGGTATGAGGTTGAACAGTGTACTCATCAAAAATTTTATTTCATTGGCTTTGACTTCAGTTTGTAATCACTTTAATAAACATTTAGGGATTCAAAATTGTGTTTCTTATATTACAATGAATCGTTTGAATAATGGAAAATCAAGAACTCGATCATTAGTATGTCATTTGAATGATAAGCGATTATGAAGACTTTATGTTTTATTTCCTTTCATAATTAACAGTAGCATCGAATTCGCTAAGCTTCTAAATTAGAAGTTTTCATTTTGTTTAGGTAGTTGTCAGCTGTGAGTTATAGGTTTAAGTGGTGCCAACATGCAGGTCTTGTGATCCTTGAAGCTAACTTGGTGGATATGAGGGAGCTTTGTAAATAAAGCAATATGCGAGTTGAGGTCATGGGTCAAGTTAAAGTTTATAGGGTTAGAGCAGAGTGGTGTATGATGCTTATGTATTGGAAGTAAGTAACATGACCGAGTTGTAAATACCATGTGATTTGAATTCGTGTTCTATTCCCTCACTGAATATGAAGGGCATTCTTATGTGTATGTCAAAGAAGTAAGGGTAAAACTACCAAGAAGGACATATGAGCAAAATGTGTCACTTCAGATTTATGATGGATGCAGGGGTGGATAAGGTGAAGAGTTAAATATTAATGTTTTAAAGTTTTTACCTAGATGGAGCTTTAGGCATGGTTGAGGACACATACCTAGATGGATCTTTAATAAACTTTAATTCTCTTTAGTTTTTGCTTGGTTGGTTTCATTTGCCCAGTTTTCGAAGGATTATCCTTCTTAGATGATCCTCTATTTCGTTGTAAAATTCTCATTCTCAATATGTATATCAATTTTCTTGTGAAAACTTATTTGGATTAGCTTTTCATTGATTAAAAACTACCCTTAATGAATCGATATAATGCAATTAAGGAGTCTATTTGTGCAAGTTTTTATAGTCACGATTTGGTGAATATTGTAGTTGTCAAGGCTTCAAATGTATACAGAGGAGATGAGAGACAAGAGGAAAATCATAAGGGAGAAGATTCATAAGGTCAACCACTTTCACAAGAAGACATGTACCAATGTGTTAGTCTTATAGTGAAGAGTGTCATGTTTTTAATTTATTATTAAGTAATTCATGACTGTAATTCTTTCCATTGAATGAGTTCGACATGTTTACTACGACAACCAATTTATGACCTTACGATGGAAGAACAGATCAACCAAAGACGCCACAATCAACCACATGTAACCACCATGATCTCTTTTCTTACACTTCAAAGTAGATCCAATTGTTCTTTTGCATATATATATTTTTGGATCAAACTCTTATATATTAAAGACTTAAACATTACAACGAGCAACTCCACCAAGGAAGGAAAGGGAAAATAGCGAGAGAGCAGATTTTGCAACCGCATCTGCCTCCGAATTGTTTACACGAGAAAGAAAAGCAAAAGAGATAGAGAAGAAGGAATCTTTAGACAAGAAATGTCAGAGAGAATTTCTTTAAGCTCCTTACCACTACCCTTTGAATTGAGAAGTTTGATGAGGACTTCGGAGTCTGAACAGATCTTCAAAGATCTGAAGCAATTTAGATGAGCGAGGGAAATGATGTGGAACAGAGTACTTCAGATTGCTAGGGCTTCTGCAACAAGGGCAGAAGAAATGAAGGACCTGGTATTAGAGACTTGAGAAACAACTGTTCCTCTCGGGTCTTTAGTGGCCCAACCCATTCCGCAAACTCTGGAGGCAGGGTTCCACGCAGCATCGACAAAGGACATGAGTGTTGATGCTTGCAGCTCGAGATTGAGATGGTTGAGGACACAGACCTTCTGCTTTGGAAGGGAGCTTTGAGCCTCTTGCGAACACTAAGCTTCCCTGACTACCTTTTGGATGATTTGGGTTTATAAAGTAGGGTTAGGTTTTAGTGTTTTACATTTAGACTATTTTAAATACCGGTTTGGGTTTATTCGGTAGAAGAAACAAACGTCCTATGAGAGGAAGAAGAGACATTGATGGGACTAGAATATGCGATGTTCTTATATGTGAGTTCTTTTATGATTTAGAATTAGAAATATTGAATAAGAAATAAACTCATTATATGTATCACCAAATTGAAAAGAATAATATTCAGAACGTGAAAAAACATGATTTATAAAAAAGAAAAAATAAATAAAAAATAGATATAACTTTTTTAGAGTTTCGATTGTAATATATGACATTGTATATATATTTTATTCGTTATTTGTTGTTTCATTTGATATTAGTATTAGCAATGTTTTAATTAGTTGCATTAAGTTTATAGTAATTTTAAATCTATTAATTTTGTATTAAATTTTCTTATTATATAAAGATTGTTAAATGTGTTTTTATAATTTCATTTGGCCGCGTAAGGCGCGGGTAACTCAGCTAGTATATTTTTATTACAAATGTTAACAATGAAAAAATAATATATAGTTTTGAGTCAAAACTTTTGACAAATTAAAACAGAGTAGAGACAAACTCAGATCAGCCTTTGAATCATGAAATCTGCTATTTTACTGATGGTTTCTTGTATTTTCATGTTTCTTGCTGTGAACTATATTCAAGGTAACATATTAATTTCCTTTTAGTTTTGATTCATCACTTGTGACTTCAATTCTGTTTATTTAAACTGGCGTCGATCGTTAACTACAAAATAACAAATATTTGTTGTTGTTGTTGTTGTTGAAACGAAACAAAAGACGTAGAAGCTGCGAACAAGAGGTGTCACCTAAATCAAATGTTCACTGGAAAATGCGGAAATGATGGGAACAAGGCTTGCTTAGGCGATTTCAAAAACAAGAGATTTAAATATGATCTTTGCCAATGTACTGATGCTCCTCAAATAATACCTTCACTACCTCCACAACGTGTGTGCAATTGCAGTCGTCCTTGCTAACTTTTATTTATCTATCCCATAACTAAAACCAATATGATTTTTACAAATGAATGAAAATAAAATTAAAAAGTTACTAAAATTTTCAATTGTCAATTTATTATTATTTTTTAATTATGAACTAGATTATGATTCTGAGTTAACACTTAAAAAGTAGTATGTGTATCTCAACCTCTCATTAGTAAAACATACTACCAAAAAGAAAATTGAATTTCAGAAAAAGAGAGATTGACAATTGAAAAAGATTATGATTATGAACGTAGTATGTGTATCTCAATCTCCCAAGATGATGTAGTTTTCTGAACGTAGAAAATTGAATTTCAGAAAAAGAGAGACAGAGAAGTTGGAACACTCTGCTCAATCACAAAAGCTCATGTTTATGAGTTGCATCGACTTGTTTCGTGCATCTTTGCTTCTTGGTCGAGTCGACTAGTTTATTAATCATGCCCCAGTCATGTCCACTTGCAAATACACTCAAATCAAAGGTACATACAGCTGAAGTTGGTTCCGAACAAAGAAATAAACACATTGAACAATAAGGCTGGTTTCTTCTTTTTTAAAAATATATGGAAGGCACTGAATGAGGATGAATCCAAAAGATGAAGAATCTAGGCATAAGTAAAGAAGCAGATCGAGGTGTGTCTACGCAAATGGATTGCCTCCAGTAGATGCAACAGGGCCTTGTGCTGCTGAATTCCTACATCCATGTTACGAAATAAGACAACAAGATAAGCTCCACCATAGAAACAATATATACATTCTCATCATCATTCATTCATCAAGAATAAATTCTCACTGAAAATGTAACCATAGAATCTATCACATTATCGAACATACGAACAAAGCACTTCTTGAAGTTTTCATCAAAGCATCGCATAAATCATATCTTAAAGATTGCATCATGACATTGTGAAACTTACTGTAGTTGAGACGTTGATGCTTGCCCTGCCATGCATGCTAAGCCACCTGCAGCAGTTTTTTCACAGAATTAGATAACCTATAAGGTTACAAGGATGGGTTTCCAATAGTGAGCCAGAGATATAGTCTGCACAATGTTTACTTTCCCTTGTGAGAATAATTTCAACTTAAACTTTACGTGATAGAAGCAATATTTTAAAGCTATACTTTGAAGGGGCTGAACATCCGATACACAATTGTGTTGATATTTCATGCAACATAGTACGGTGATAAATTTCCTGCAGGAGACTAATAAACAGAAGGAGCATATTTCATAGCACATAATTAATATCACCTTGTGAGACTGCTGGAGCAGGTAAGTACGAGGGTACAGAATCTGCAGTGAGCCACGGTTGTGATACACCATTAAGGAAGCCTTGTGGTGTCTGGATATCGGGCAGTGCCCCTTGTAACGAACTCATGTCCAAGAACTAGCATTAAATACAACCACGACAAAGTCAAATATATAACTTAAAAGGCTTCTAGTGATGTATTCAGGAATAAATACACACGAAATCTTGCACGATCTACGTTGTGTGTTTATCAAATGAACCATGAATGACATAGACACTTTGCAAATATGCTTATCGAAGTCTAAACTAAGATGAGCTCCGGATGAACTACAGTTAGAAGATATCCTTAAAAAGAGGCATAAACAACATCGGAGAAAAGAATTTAACAGTAAATAGGTCAGACAAAATGCAGAAACGAAAATAGAATGAGAAAATAAGTGCATACACATGCCCAAAACAGAGCATATAATTCTTATAATCCATAAGGAGATACATACGAAGAAACAAGAAGGTTTTAGTCAGTTTACAATTTGAGTCATGAGTTAAATTGCTGCCAGCTCAGCAGCTCATATGCCTAGTTTAAATGGTCGGAAGGAAAACAGATAGGGTGGTCAAGTCTTTTGGATAAATACTGAGCTTGGAAAAGTAGGGGATTTTCTAGAATTCATGCCTAGCTTCTTTGATTTGGAAAATTAAGAAAAGAATACTGTTCTTTTCCTATCAGATCCATGCGACATACTATCCCTCAAAAAGAACATGATACTTCCATTGAACAAGATTTGAAGTCATCACCCAACTTAGATATTTTAGATTCTCTAGTTTCTACAACATTACACCATTGCATACAAATGATTGTAAGACATGTGCATGAACAGGGTTCTACATACCATGTCATTTGAGTCGAACTCGGAATCATAGGGTAGATCAAATGGATTAGCTGACTTTTGTTCATTTACATGCTGCCAAGCTTCTTCCTGCAAATAAAGATCTCAATCGATCAAAGCCTAGATAATGGATAGGCAAGTTGAAAGGAGGGTGATCGATAAGGATATAAGAGAAACTACAAAGCATAACTGGAACCATAAGAGGGGAGTACCGAGTATGATGGTGCCATGCCAATGTTTCCTGGAAAACTAAAAGCAGAAGAGCCAGCAGGGATTCTGGTTGTTTGGGTGCCATCATTGCTTAATTCCTGTGACTTGACATCATCACAGAGATTTCAATAGAGAGATTCATCCAGAATACACTGACATGATAACGGAAAATGCAACAACCTCTATAACTTGTGATTCCAAATGCTGTTGATCAATGTTATATGACGAAGTACTTGCTCCATCTACCTGTTGATAAGTATTCCTACCGCTGTCCAAAGGATTTGCCTCAATAGAGTCGGGAAAGGCACTCCACAGCTGCTGAAAACAGGTCGGGTAGGAGTTAGTTCACCATATCCCTAGTATGCATGCTAATCTTTGATTGTGGAATCATGTCATTATTTCAGACATAAGTAACTACAGTAATTAGTTTGTCAGATTACATACAGCTGGCCCAACAAAATTATTATAACATGAGAGCAGTCTGTTTGCCCACCCCAACATGTACATGATCATCACAAATTTCATGAATGAAAGTAGTACCATCGTCAATGTAAGGATAAGATGGCACATGAAGCATTTTCCTTTTTATTTACTCATGTTGCACCCGCACTAATGTAATTGAAAAGACAGAACAGAGACTTAAGACTAACCGGATTATCGACAACATTTTTTAGAACATCCGAGAGATCTTCCTGCCATGGACTTGATATCGACAAAGCATGCTGGTCCATAGTTGATGGATATGGTGGCCATTGCATGCTTGTGCTAGGCTGTGGAATTCCTTCATTTTTCACTTCCAACTGGGGAACTCCAGTGGAGGTAATAACGTTTGTAGATTTTACAGCAGGCATGGGATTGTCAAAAGAAGCCCAACCTTCGTTCTTAGGCGCAGACAAGTCTGGTGGTCTTGAAGTGGGTTGCTGACCCAAATTTCCAGCAAACAAATTTGTCGGGGTGGATGAGTATGTCTGTGGAGCTTGATGAAGATTCACTGTTGGAGGTTGGGATGCTATTGAAGGTTGAAATGTATTGACAGATTGGGCAACTGGCGCTCCTGGCAACTGAAACAAATCTATAGGAGGCTTTGTCGACTCTGCTACTAAAGGAACATGATTAGATGCTTTATCATGCTGGCTTCCTGTATTTTGACGACTTTCAGAGACGGCTTCCCCTAAACCACTCGAGGTATATGACTTGATAGACATGGAATTACTGTCAACTGATCTGACACTCCCAGAAGATGTAGTTCTCTGAACAAAGTAATTGAAGAAAGTGTGAGAAGTTGGGAGATCGGTAAACTCACTTTTTCAACCAGGGGGTGATTTACAAATGTAATAAAAGAACTCTTAGCCAGATTCAAATAAGCATCCTAGAGGATGTGGGTTATTATTACCTGAGGTTGCCTGCCTGGAAATAAGTTCTCACTTGGAGGGGCATTTGAATGCTGAAACTGGGGACTACGAAATTCAGCTTCCTGCTGAAAATTTGGTGACTGTATATCAGACCTGAACGGATCTCCTCCACTTGACACAGAAAAATCTGAAGCCCTTGGAGCTGAGCCCTCATTTGCGAATTGGTCTTCAAACATATGATCACTAAAACGTCCAGGGCTGTATACAAAACTAGAGGCTTTTGCATGAAGACCTTTCACTGAAGCAGACTTGCCGGTAAATCCCAAGGGTATTTTCCCATAACGGCGCTCTTCATACTGATAATCGTAAGGAGGGCTTTGGGAGTAAGAATGATAGGAGTTGGCCCGTCGAGTCATATCTTCAGAACTTCCACGGTCCTGTCCATCGCATTACAGGAAAAAGAAAAATAAATAAATGTTCCATGCATGCATGCACATGGTTGAATTTAGAGCAAGTCAAAAGAAATAAAGTATCAGACATTAGACGACCTATATGTGACTACCTTGGGCTTCAGAGCAACATTGATAATCTTAAAATCCATAATATTGTATTGTTAGATTAGAAACTTCAAGTCTAAAATTTATTAATTTCACAAAATTACTCAAATACATTTTGCAAATCATTGCTGCTTTGGATATAGGATTTTACCCTAAAAATTGTAGCAAAATTTGTGTTAAATTTAGAAAAATGACATAAACGAAACATGATTATCTTGCCTGACTATCTTTCGGAGGCTTGTCCGCATCATTTGCACCTGCATATTTCTTTTGCACATACACACTTTTGATAAATTCGCGAACTCTCTCAGCATTACTGCCAAAGAAAAAACAACATATCATGAATTTTAAACAGATCATATTTTTGAGTTTTTTAAAAACCATGTTTCTGGCTGCTCAATCATGAACACCAAGGAAAGCTAATTATTTAAACCTGTTTTCGGGAAGCCTCTGTCGTTGGTGGTCCCAGTTTTTCAAATATATTTCTCGGGCACGCTGAAAATGGAAAACTCTCATAAGCTACAGAGGGAACCATCTATCTCCGAAAAAATTTTAAAAATTGAAACTTTAGCATCAATACTACCTGATTACCACCATTTTGAAGTACTTCAACTTCTTTAGAAGTAAACTTTGACATTGACACAGACTTCACACGATGAGTAAATTCACGGCTGTAGGTTATTAAAATAAAATAAATCAGGAAAAACTGAAACTAAGAGAGGAAGAAAAGGTAGGAACATATTCACTACAACATCAAGGCAGTGTATCATAGCTAAGAAACAGGAAATCGTAATAAATAAAATGCACAGTGCACCTCCCTATACTTAAATATGCATGAAAAGAAACCTATAAGTGCATATGAAACAATGCGCAGCTGGAGAAATAATTACTTCCGAACATACTTAAAGATAACGAAAAGAAAGATTATACTTGCTCATATCACATAAGCCTATATTTCCTTTTTCATGATAACAAGTCTCGTATAAGAGTTGCACCACATTTTACCAAATCAAGACAAGACACATAAATAAAACGGGAGCCACTGAATAGATTGAGAATTTTATGTAATATTAGTACAAAAGTAATAAAATAAAACACATAAGTCGTCAGCCACCAAATATACTGATACCAAAAAATCAGCTCACACATCTGTCGACGAGATCAGGTGCATGCAGGCTGACAAAAACAATCAAACATTTGATAGGAGGCATCTAAATGTGTATATTGTAAGACAAATGCATTAGACAACCGTTTAATTATTAGCTAGTCTGCAGAGATTTAAATTGAATTAGACTCAATAGAAGCAATATAGCAGAAAACTAAATCGCGGGATGAACATAGGAAACCGTTCACTAATATCAACAAAGAAATATATATTCAACAACGCGAACAAAAAGGTTGTTTATTGCTACTTTACAAAATACATACAACTTAACTGTAAAATGTAAGATAACAAAGAAAATCAGGGATTGAAAAAAGGTCAGAAACCAGCGTAAGATCTCTAGAGAATGATTACACAAGAAAGAACACACAGAGGTCTGGAGTAGTTGCAAAGGAAGTATATATATAAGTAACATGGAAAGAAAGAGGAAGGTACTCACTGTATCCCGCTACAAGCCATGCATACGAAAGTCCAGAAAGTTGTGCAAACATATTGAGGGCCCTGCATCAGTACCAAGACTTACTATAATAGCCAGAATGAAAATAAATCCAAATGAATGGAAAACTTTTAGCTATCCAAGATTGTCTTTCCATTTCCATATCTGGAAATAAGAAAATTACTTGGCTTTGCAGATTTACTTCACTTATAGAACCCATCAAGGGACATAAATCAAAACATTTTCTAGACTAGAAGGAAGAGACAATCAAAAGCCCCCAAAAAACATATCTTTGAAAAGATAATAGAAATGATAATCACAGAAGCTCAAGTCAAAGACAATAACAACGAAACCCATCAGTTCAAAACTCAGTAGAGACACTCACAGGAACCATTCCAATTAGGCCTTTGAAGGAAGGAAGACAAAAATTGGTAAAATGGGAGAGAGAGTTAAATAAATTACAAGGCTATTGCAGTTGATACAACGACGATTCGGTGGAAGCTTCATAAGCCCACGAATAATCTTCTCGTTCCTCTCTTCTTCTCTTTTACTTCCCATCATTTCGCTTTAGAATAGATGCTGCCAACAAAGTTATGAGATTGACCCACGAAGCGATTCGTGAAATTGAAGGCAAAGTTGGGTTTAAGTCGCTGATAATCAACGATTTTGGAGCTGGATTTTTCGAAAGCTCGAATTTTGAATTTCACAGAGATGATAGAGAGAGAGAGAAAAAGAAAGCTTTTTTATCCTTTTTTTGTTTGAGAAAAGGAGAAGAAGAAACGCTCACATATTTTTTCTTTAATTCTCTCTCGTCTTTATCTTCCTTCTCTGTGGGCTTTTTTTGCTGACCCACATCATAACAATTATTGAATCTAATCAAATCCCTTTTTATGTCATTAGCAATAATTATATGAACGAAAACTATATTCGATGATTTTTAAGATATGGTTTGTTACGATGGTTATATCATCTGTTACATGGCTAACCATACTAACAAAACAAAATTACGTTTGACTTTTGACTAAACCAAAGGAAAAGGTAGTAAACTAGTTTAGTGGTTGATGATCCTCTAATTGTATTGTTTACCCTAATTTCTTGAACAAGTCTTCATTAATTACTTGCCTTTTTTTTGGTCTCACACTTCATTTGCTGTAATTGCACAAGTAAGAATGTTTCCTTATTTCATGCAGTAGAATTTACAAGTTGATCATATTTCCACATTATCTAGGTTTTTTTAATCAACCGTTTCAATTTGAATCAATACTAATTCGTTTAAGACCAAATCCGCGCAATGAAAAATTCTTCAACCGTTTTTGGCATAAATTTAGTATCTTAAAATAGCTTAATCAAGAATATTTTCACGTAGTAATATATGTGTAAGATATAGTACATAATTGTGAGGATGGAACAGTTTTAGATGACATCATCTTGAAGATAAATTGAAGAAGGCAACAGCAAACTAAAAGATAAAACCATCGATTTCTCAATCTCCGTTTCTTGTCTCTTCCATAGTTTATTAATTTTTACCTTTGACGTTCAAAGAGTGGGTGGGTTTTTTGTTCTAGGTATAGTGGAGTTGTTGTTCTTCTTACGTACTGCAATTCTGATAAGGTACTTCAATATATATTGAAGACACGAGAATGATCTCTTCTCTATATAGATATTTTTGATAGAGCAGAAAGAGAGATGTCTAAGCTTATGCAGAATCCAGTGTTACATGAACTGAAGAAGCAAGCTTCTTTCTTCATCAAGGAAAAGATCAAGACTGCTCGTCTCGCTGTAACCGATGTCACTGCAGAAGAACTGTGAGTAATCTTTACTTAAGTTATAGAAACATTTCCTGCTAAACCTAAATCGATATGTTATATATTAGAAGCAACCAAAACTTGTTTTTGTGGTATTTAAGAATATCGCTCTAGTGATTTTGAGTTAAACCGTCTAAATGTGAAGATTGACAGAAGAAGTTACGGGCAGCGATCACTCATCCATAGACTCACGTTCCATGGCGGTCATAACAAGAGCTTCTTTTGAGGTTGATCAATTCCAAAGAATCGTGAAGATTTTACGTCAAAGGTTATTTTAGCCTCTCACTTTGATACAAAAAAACAACTTAGAAATAAAATCATTAAAAAATCACCAAAGATTTCATCAATAGTCAATACAAAACTACACCAAAAATAGAATCACCATTTAAGAATTAAAATCGGCAAAATATAGTAATTCATCATATTATTGTCTATACACTTTGATGATTGGTATTATTTTTGTAGAATGGTTATGTTTGATAGAAGGGAATGGAGGGGCATGTACAACACGTTGTCAATGTTGAACCACTTGTTGCTCAATGGCCCACTAAGTCTATTCAATGAGTTTCAACATGAGAAGGTAATTATTGAAGATGCCATAAAGATCGAATGGATTGATGAGAGAGGGTTCGATTGTGGTCTAAAAATTCGAAACATAGCCGAGAAAGTATTAGGATTGCTTGAAGATGACATGTTTCTTAAAGATGAGCGAGAAAGAAACCGTAAGCAAAGCATTGGTCGGATCACAGGATTCGGAAACTCGAGTTTCGTCATACATTCTGAAGCGAACAACAGACAAGACGGCTTGTTAATGTTGAGTAACCATCAAACTTGTGAAAATGATTGTATCGCGGATGATCATCCTTTCGTCGAGAATGAGCACAAGACTGCTCCACTCTTGCTTTCTTCTTCGACTTGAGTTAGATTTCCCTTGGTTGTATTATTATGTTTATATGTAGAGACTCGTTTTCCATTTTGATATGACTATTTCCAAGTAAATATACTTAAATCTACAAATTACGTTGTATACGTTAATAAATTAGTAATGAACATTTAAACTCGTATCTAGCTTTTGAATACTAAATCTACATAACAATATGAAAACAAGCTGAATTTGTGGAATCTATAACGACTAATGCGGGATACAAAATTTGGTTAGTTTTCATATTATTATGTAAATTTAATATCGAAAACAATAAAAGAAAAAAAAATTAAAACAAACACAAAAAAAAACTTTTAAAAACTTAGATATTAAATCTACATATCGATGTGAAAACAAGTTGAATTTGTGGAATCTCTAACGACTAATACTGGATCCAAAATCCAGTTAGTTTTCATACATCACTATGTAAATTTAGTATCCAAAATAATAAAAATAAAATAAAAAAGCTTTTGAAAGTCCAAATAAAAGACTTGAATACTAAATCTACAAGTTGAATTTGTGGAATCGCTAACGACTATTGCTGGATCCAAAATCCAGTTAGTTTTCATACATCACTATGTAAATTTAGTATCCAAAATAATAAAAATAAAATAAAAAAACTTTTGAAAATCCGATTAAAAGACTTGAATAATAAATCTACATAATGATGTAGAAAACAAGTTGAATTTGTGGAATCGCTAACGACTAATGTTGGATCCAAAATCCGGTTAGTTTTCACTTTTCACATATCACTATGTAAATTTAGTATCCAAAACAATAAAATTAAAAAAAAAAAAGCTTTTGAAAATCCGAATAAAAACTTGAATACTAAATCTACATAGTGATGTAGAAAACAAGTTGAATTTGTGGAATCGCTAACGACTAATGCTGGATCCTAAATCCGGTTAGTTTTCATATTTCATTATGTAAATTTAGTATCCAAAAACAATTTAAAAAAAAAACAGACAAAAAAAATAAGAATGAAAAAATATATTACCTGGTTCGAGTTGGGTAGTAGAGAGGGCCAATACAAGAAAGCCCATTGGCAAGGAGAGAAGTAAGCCCACCGTTGTCTCGTGACATCATCCTTCATCCATCCTCTTCGACGAAACACTGAGATTGTTTTTGTCTTCTTGTTTTGATATTGTTCTTCCTCTCCGGCGAATGATTGATGATCCTCTTTGTGTAGTCTCTAATTTAAGCCATCGAATTAGACTTCGGAATCTGCTTCTCGGTGTTGAAGATCATTCAATCACGAAATTGAGATGATGAACTCACACGGCTTACTTCAATCTAGACTCTTACATGCATTGGCGATCGATTCTCTCTGTATTGAGAAGAGAACTGTATCATCATATATGAAAAAAAAGAAACTGATGACAAATTTTGTTTTTTTTGGTTTTCGTTTCTCAACAAGAAGAAGAAGAGTAGTTATAAGCCAAGGTTCCGTTTTTTCAAAAGCAGAAAAAAGGAAATTTGTCACAAGAATTTCCTTTTCTTTTTAATGAATCAGAGATTTCCTTTTCTTAACAATTCGTCGACTCACTTAAGTATGTTTTTTTTTGTATATTTATTAAAGGTCACGTGAGATTTAATTATTTGCATATTTGGTCCTTGGGATTTAGATCTCGTAACGGTGTCGTACTAGAAGTATCCTCCGGCGGCATCAGTTTGTTGTTCGATCACACTCACCTGCTTCGTTCGTTGCTATTCCCTTGGATTGGATTCGCTCTTTTTCATGGTTGAAGAATGAGATCTCACCAAGCTGGCCGCAAACTGCCGCTTCTTCAACTTCTCGGCTGCGTCGCTGTTTTCTCCGTTTTCGTTTTCACCATCCAATCTTCCTTCTTCGCAGGTCATCCATCGCCTTGCCTTCCCCTTTCCTTCGTTTTCCATTATATACACTTCAATTGTTCGAACAGCGATATGATTCTTCATCTCTCGCGCAGATAGTAATCGTAAAGTAGATCTTCAGCCGGAAGATATCCAGATCTTGTCAGATTTTCAGTCCAGCGTTCAACAGTGCGTGGTTTGTCTCCTTTCCCAGTTTCTTTGATTCTTGGCTACTTGCTTTTATGCACAAATTTCTATATGGATTTGGATCGATGCCACACTTTCGGTATATTAATGCGCACTAGCTTAGATTCTGGATAGTTCATCTTTGATCTATGGTAACGTTATTGGATACATCTTTTAGTCTGTGTGTGTATAATGGGATCAGAGTTTGAAAAATCTACCAATCTATCAATTACATTAATGTGCTAAATTGTATAGTAGAATCATGTTTTGGAAGTCAAGAGTCTGAGCTAAAATGCTACATTTTGGTCTTCCTCTTTAACTTATTTTTGTGTTGGAAGAAACTAGGTTATGGGTTTTTGATGAAGTTTTTTAGTTTGGAAGCTCGCATGTGTTGGGAATCACAATAATGTTATTCTGTTTATGCAGGCAAACAGAGGGCTTGGACTCTCTGCCCATATTATTGATCACTGCAATTTGATCCTTAAGTTCCCTGAAGGCACTAACAGTACTTGGGTATGTTTACACTTGTCTGGTTTCTTTTTGAGATTTCATTGGTATTTTAGTGGTCAAGTTTTTTCACTTATAATATTCTTGTCTGTCAATGACAGTATAATGCACAATTTAAAGTGTTTGAAGCATTGGAGTTCAAGTATAATGTTTGTGAGGCAGTTCTCTTATGGGAGCAGGTTTAGCTTCTTTCTTTCTCTGATTAGCTTTTCTTGTCTGAGAACTTCTCAGAATTCTAATGTGTCTGAGTAATGCAGTACCGCAATATGACTACAGTATTGACAAGAGAATACCTCGATGTACGCCCTGATGGGTGGTTGGACTATGCAGCTATGAGAATTGCACAGCTGTATGATTCTAAAATCTAAACCTCTTGTCTAATGGTTTGATTGTGTCATTTGATCTATCTTGTTGAGCTCTTTGATTTTTCTGGTTTCAGGGGAGCTGATAAGTGTTATAATCGTACATTGTGTGAGGAGCATCTTAATGTAATCCTTCCAGCGAAGCCTCCTTTCCACCCACGGCAGTTTCATAAATGCGCTGTTGTTGGAAATTCTGGAGATCTATTAAAAACAGAGTTCGGAGAAGAGATTGACAGTCATGATGCTGTATTTCGAGACAATGAAGCTCCTGTGAATGAGGTAATAATATGTCTTAACATTCTGATTTGTATTTTCTTTGAGTTTATTGATTGCCGTTTCGACATGGTCTTGATTCTTGAATTGTGATTTTCGTTGCTGGCATTGCTTATATTCATGTTGAATTATGTTGCAGAAGTATGCCAAGTACGTAGGAGTGAAAAGGGATTTCCGACTAGTTGTTCGTGGTGCAGCTCGTAACATGATTAAGATTCTCAATGGTTCTGGTTAGTTACTCATATTAGACATAGAAATTATCTGCATCTTGTGGTTCATTTTCTTGAAGCACTCATTGCAGGTTGCAGCTTTGCCCTTGTGATGTAACCTTCTGTAACTATCATTTACTGCAGACAATGAGGTGCTTATAATAAAAAGTGTGACCCATCGAGACTTCAATGAAATGATAAAGGTATGATTACCATTTTCTTTATCTTTTTTCTCTACATTATGACTTGTTTGTTTTTACAACTTCCACTGGGGTCGTTTGTAACAATGCCCCTTCAACAACATAATTGAAGAGACTGAATGCTGAATCCTTGCAGTCGCTTTTACATGGATTTCATCCTAGTTCTAACACGACTTTGAATTTATTTTGTACCAGCGTATACCAAACCCTGTTTATCTTTTCCAAGGAATTGTCCTACGGAGAGGTGCCAAAGGAACCGGGATGAAATCCATTGAACTGGCATTGTCCATGTGCGATATCGTTGACATATATGGTTTCACAGTTGATCCTGGATACACAGAGTGGCAAGTATCTTAAATAACTCTTTATCCATACTGCTATCTCTCACATTTCGAAAGCTGTCTAGGAGATTGGATACTTCGAATCTGACAAAGAATTTTCCTTAGTAATCGGGAAATGTCGAGTATGCTTCTAGAGATAAATCGTCATGTTTCCTCACTTTGTATCTTGATTATCAATGTAGGACGCGTTACTTTTCAACGCCAAGGAAAGGGCACAACCCACTTCAGGGAAGGGCATACTACCAACTTCTAGAGTGTCTTGGTGTACAGATAACTTGTCAAAACCTTAATTCTACTTTGCTCTAAACCTTAAACCTTTTGTGGTCTTTCTGAAGAAATCAAGCTTGGCAGGTAATACGGATCCATTCTCCCATGAGATCCCAGAGAAAGGAGGACTGGTCAAGTGTGCCAAGTCGTGAAATGATAAGCCGGGCTCACACAGCTGCCTTACGCCTAGAGAGGAGCCAACAGCCAACTAGTTCGAAGAGGGATGGGTCAGGACAATTCGGTAATTGCAAGGTGTGGGGGGACGCAGACCCTACAAAAGGACCCGTATCGGGATCTCCAGACATGAGTGAGATCAGGAAGAAGTCAAATTACAAGAAATGGGAAGTGATGCCGTTTAAGAGCTTAAGAAAGGAAGCTAGGGATCACTATATCCAAATGAAAGGCGTGTCACAGTATAAGATGGATGGAAATAAACTGGACGATCTGGTTTGCGTGAGGCATCCACTGAGATTAGAGGCGTAAATTTTTTTATCATCTTGTAAAGGTTCAATTTCAATACCATCTTGAGCTTACAAAGTAAAGGTTCCTACATTTCACGGAAATTTTGTTGAAGCAATCTGTTTAATCAATTAGCTCTCTACGTAAAGATCTATATTGATCTAAACATAGTTGAGAGAGAGATCGGTAGAGCGCAGTTATGGATGTTCTTTTTGTGGGTAAGGAAAAGGAATCTTTAGAATTTACTGGTGCGAGTCATCGACAAACAAACAGGATTGTTTGTAGTACGGATCCTAATTCCTAAGGTCGAAATATTGGGCCCTTTATGGTTTTGTTTTTTCGGGTATACCTACAAAAGTAAGGACATAGCTGAAGATTGTTGTTGGGAATATTAGAAAAACCACCATTCATATAGTGGAATTTTCATCCAACACGGACGAAAATATCCCTCGGCCAAAAAAAAAGGTGTGTCATGTATTAGTTTAATTGTGTTAATTTGCCGCATTCCAATATGTTATTTATGGTTTTCATAGCTAAACATAGAGGCAAAAAAAAAAAAAAAAAGCTAAACATATGCTCTTTCTACTTGTTAATTATTTTCCGAACCAAATATCTTCTCTTTATGATCTTTTACTAACCTCTTCTCAGTTATGCTTCCAACAATGATATTTTTAATTTGTTGCTTAAATATTGCTCATATAGTATACATTTCTCAAGGCATGAACCTTGCTGAACTTTTTAAACAAAATAATCATCGTTAACCCGTCACTACTCCGTAAATTAACTTGTCAAAGTTACACGTCAAAATTATATATAGAGTTCATAATCAATTGAACAATAAAATTCGGATCGGCCGATCCGTCTTGATGTCGACCATAGTCACCGCTTGCAAAACCAAAACTATTATCCGGAGTTAAAATAAAAATCAGATATTCTTTAAGACGTTTATCAGCCACAATTAAAATCATGATAAAAACCTTAAATCCTAGTTTAAATCAATGTAATGAGATTTCAACCACATGAGTTAGTTTATTATCGTTAATTTTCCTTGTTTTTATCAAAGGTGCATTGGGTAGTACGTGATTGTTTTATTCACCACGTGATTGCTTCTTTTTCTGTTCTTGACTTCCGAGGCTACCGTACGAACCATCTTTAGACAAATATCGACAGAAGAAAAAAAAAAAAAAAAAAATGGAGAAAAAAACAATTTATAATACGGCATCGCTACTATCCAAAGGCAAATTGCTAAAAGAAAGATAGCTTATCAACCACCACGTAGTTGATTCTTCCGTCGACCACATGACGTGATCTGTCAAGCCGCTGATCACCACCAGTCGTAATGGGTCCCGCTCCTAACGCTGCCTTTGACGCGTCTCCAAGAGACAGTTCCACAACGGCACAAATTATTTGTGGGACTAACTATATCATTTCTTTAATGAAATAATTGTTTCTCGAAATATGTCGCAGTTAAGGTATAGTGAAAAAATGTCGATATCTTATTAGCTAAGGCTCTGACAGATTTCAAGATATGAGAGTTAGGTTCGGTTTCAATAAGTTAGGTTAAGTTTGTCTTTTCTTGCATGTTTCTCTCAGAATTAGTTTTCCATTTTTAATCGCTCTTAATCATTTTTAGGTAACAGGCTTTGTACAAATGACTATAATATAGTACTAAATTCAAACTTTGGATCTAATAATATAGAAAATACTGTATTTTAATCGGTCAAAGTACGTATTCGTATTTATATAATATTACTAGTTGCCTGCACAAATTATGGTCTTAATATTAAAACTTGATTTTTTTCTCATCAATTAATTATGGGTCAATTCAATACCCCATAACAACAACTCAAGAGTCATCGATGAGATATTTATCCACTAAGCTAACCGTACCACATGGGTAGGGCCTTAGTGTTGTGTTGCCTTCTCCACCTCGTTCGTTTCTCCCAAATTTTGTTTTGTTTTATTTGCTTTTATTTCTTTTTTTTTTTAAATAACTTTTTTATTTTAATGCAATTAATTCAAAAGACAAGAAAAACAGATATAACGATTCCATCTTTCCATTTATCAAATGATTCCACGTCTGCAACCATGAATTAAAAAATGAATTCTACGTTAGTGGATTCCTTGCTAGACTCCACGACACTTGACATGCACCACTAAAGATTGTTATGTGTTGATGATGGATATATACTAATTAATATACTATGCCACGCAGTTACGTGACAGACGATTTACAATGCCACAATCGATATCATATGAATTTTCCAATAAGCTTTATTTAATCAAAATATAATGTTTTAATTTTGCTGGTATCGGAGCTAGTAATATTTTATAGAGTGTTATGGGCATGATAGTGCAAGACTGCGCAAGTCATAGGGCATGTGAGATATCACGCAATATGTATTACAAAAAGATTTATTCCTTTGATTAGGACTGCCAAATTATGGTTAGTTTTTTTGGTTATTTTATTCTTAAATAATGTAGGATCCTTTCATGCGTTCATGAAAGGGGAATTTTATGCGTTCACATTTATTTCATGAATGGACAAACGAGAACATTAAAAGAAAAAGAGATTATAGGCTACAACAATGTTTAAATTGTTAATAAAATTTTAGTATCCTCCATTGACTCAGAAGACTCATAATGAGTCACGTTAAAATTTAAGAGTCCCCTTCAAGAAAGGAATCAAGAAGGGTTTGATCCACGGCATATACTAACGTGGGAATATCTCATGGAGATTGGAAATTTCGTTCGAGGTCTATTTATGAAAGAATATGCTTAAAATATGCTCATACCAAATAAAAATTCATGTTTAACTTGTGGGTTTTGATTTTTTTAAGATTCCAATATATATTTGGGGGAGACAAAGAATAAATATACGGAGATGCTGGAAAGATTTGGATTATTATTCTTATAATTTGACTTTGCAACAAAAGTGGTGTAGATTTGAAGTTTTGAAATGTGGGGAATTTTGGAAAATAGAAGAAGTAGTAACGTACCTAACTAGCTCACCACCGTACAACGTGTTTTCCCACACCGTACATGTTGTCTACGTGAAAAAGTTGATCTATTACGAAAAGTGTGCACTAACTTTAAAATCGGTGGAGTGTTGTTATCAAACACACTATACTGTAAATAGGATCCGCATGTAAACGAATATTTAAATTTTAAAAGGTTTATATGTATATATTTAAAAAGAATATAACAGAGTGGATAATAATCAGATAAAAAAAGGATTCCAAGTATCTCGAAGACATTTTTAATTGCTTGAGAAAAATTATTTCATTTGATATATGTGCAAAGGTTAGATTAGGTCTTTATCAACAAAAAAAGGGTTAGATTAGGGATAACATAAACTTATTTATTGATAAAAAAAGCAGAAAAAGGAGTACAACTCTGCTTTCTCACATCCTTTTACTCACCCACATGGAAAAAAAAAACCCGTAAAAGGCGGAAAAAGATAGTTATCCTCTACATTACCGTCCCTACTACCCTAAAGACTTTTCAAAGCCAAGCAAAAATTCACATAAGCAACAAAACAGAAAAAGAAAAAAAAAAACTCATCGCCAAACTCAGAAGCAGCCACAACAAACAAGCTTCTTATTATTTAGCTCCTTTTTTTTGGTTAAAGTCTTTTCCAGAGTCTTCTCTTCTACTAGGTTGGTAGGTTGGCGGAATCTACAATGCCCAAAGCCAAATTTACATGCCTGGCACACACATACACACTCCCCCATACTTGTTAGATAATAAGCCCACCCAGAGAGATAAGCTATCACTTATTTATTCTCCGAGAGAATCTTCTCTACATGAATCTTTCCTCTGTTTCTCCTGCTCTTTGGATCCATGGGTGCCCTGAAACAAAACAAATTTACAAAATTTAATTTACTTTATCATAAATAAAACCAATCTACTAAAAATTTGGATCTAATGGATAAGATACTAATCTGTTAAAAATAGATAAAATTTATTGACATAAAAAATTCAAAATAGAGACACAGATCTGATGGATTTAGAATCTTACTTAATGCTTGTTCGGCTGAGAATCTTCTAGAAGCATCTTTGCATATCAACTTCCTTAGGAAATCTTTAGCCATCGATGAAACTCCCCGGAATATCTTAGTCGGAAAACGGAGGTTTCCTCTGAGAACCGCTTCGAATATATCCTCCGCAGTTTCCCCGTAAAACGGTGGAGTTCCAGCGAGCATCGTGTATAAAACGACGCCGGCGCTCCAGAGATCGACCTTCTCGCCGTAAGAACATCCCATCAAAACCTCCGGCGCTACGTAATACGGCGTTCCAACGACTCCTTCCGTGGTCTCTCCCTCACCTAACCAAATCCCTGAACCGAAATCGCAGATCTTAACCGTATCGTTTCGTAGATCTACCAAAATGTTCTCCGGTTTAATATCCCTGTGAACAACGCCGTATCGGTGACAATGCGAAAGCGCCTGGAGAATCTGTTTAGCGAACGACGCCGTCTGAGACTCAGAGAATGTTCCAGAAGAGACCAGACGGTCGTAGATCGAAACAGAGGGATCGACGAGCTCCATGAAAATAGAGAGAGTCGAATCAGTGTCGATGAGATCATGGATTTGGACGATGTTAGGGTGATAGGACAAGAGAGCCATGAGCTTAGGCTCGTTATCGAGACAGGCACGGTCAAGGTCGTCGGAGAGGGAGGCCTTGTCGATGGTTTTGCAGGCGAAGAAATCACCGGTGGCCGGAGCGTAGACGCGAGTGACGGTGCCGAAACGGCCACGGCCGATCTCCTCGCAGATCTGGTATTTGTTGGCGTTGTTGTTTCCGAGTGTTTGGCTGCAAGTCATAATATCACTATTTGATTTTTTTTTTGTTGGTTGTTGTGTGAGTTAAGAAGAGCTCTTTGAGTCGGCTCTACCTTTTTTTATAGCCAAAATTCTTCTTAAGAATATTCCTTTTGATGCCTACATGTTTTTTTAAAATAGGATTTTAGATATTATTTCCCAATCCAAATCTATTTTTTTTGTTTTGTTTGAAGTTTACAGGTTTGTACTTTGTATAATGTCTTTTTAATTATTATTATTAAATACAATTTTATTTTCTAACAATTCTTTATCTATTTAAGATTTTGTTTTATTCATTGAAATGGTAATTAGTACTTTATGGTAGTCTAAAATCACATTTAGTTTTTTTTTTTTAAAAAAAATCACATATGAGTTATTATCAAATGTACTAGAATCCTCTCTGAATTACACAAAAACATAATCAACCGACCCAGATTTGTTGACATAAAATATATGATTTACCATTTAATATGTTTCCAGAAAAAGTTGATAAATTTATAATGTACTATCTAGTGAAAAAGAAGAAGGATATCCATCCCCTATTTATGCAAAAACATTTCCAAATTGAATGTATTAAACGATTTCTTAGAGGAGACTGAAAACTGGAAAAGAGATAAGAAAAAGGGCAATAAGTGTGGCATGTTTGTATTCGAATTGGGAGATAGTCCCTGCAAGTAATACAGAGATCCCACGCAACCAAACTAAAGAAGAAAAAAAAACACTTTGGATGGGCCCAATAATTCGGTTGGGCTGAAGAAAGAAGGCCTCTTTTTCAGTTTTCAGTCTCGTCCAAGAAAACAAACTGAGAAAGAAAGAAAAATAAAGGACTGTGGTTTGGCCCAGTAAATCGGTTGGGCTGAAGAACGAAGGCCATCTGTGCATAAATCGGAGCGCATCTATTACATAAATCGTTCACGATGGGACTCGAACCCACAATCTCCCGCTCCGGAGGCGAGCGCCTTATCCATTAGGCCACGCGAACTAATTGGTCAGCCCGAAGTTTTAAGTAAGTAATAGTATATTTTAACATCACCAAACACATTTACTTCTAGTTTCCTTTTAGCCCTATTAGAGCTCTGCTCTGCCATGGCTCTCGCACTATCTACTTGTGTTATGCCTTGCTGCTCCATCATGGCTTTTTCAATATCCAACGCGCTTCGTTACCCTCATCCTCAAATTGCTCTCAGGAACTCTCTTCGCACTCCCAAATCGCCTTCTTTTGTCAGGTACTTTCTCTTGATGCTGCTTTTTTCCACTTCTCTCTCCGGTGGCTTTATAATTGAAGAATCATCGTTTGTTAGTTCCTTATGTTTTAGGTTTCAGTGAACTTACGGATTTTGTGAGTAACCCTTATCTTTTTCATTCATAAACATTGTCAATTGAATTCCCGACGGTTTAATTTGTGGATGAGCTTCTTACTGTTGGCTACAAAGTTTACAACTTTCAATTGCACTTAAGGGAGTTCCATTTTTGTGCTTATCAGACCACTTCGTTCACGTAATCATTGTAATGAGGATGATTGAATTTCTCAGGCTTCCCCTCGGAAGGGTGTTGCAGAGCAGGATTGTGATACGTGCTGCTTCCTCTGCGGCTGGAAATCCACAGTCTGATGCTGACTTTAACCCGTATGAGGTAATTCATCTCTAGAGCCCTATAAAGGACTCTTTTTGTTGTTGCTCACTGTGCACTCCTCAAGATATGAGTGTGTGTACCTTTTCAGGTTCTTGGTGTTAACCCTATTGAGGGATTTGACAAGATCAAGCAGACTTATGGAAGAAAACTTAAAGATGCTCAGAGAAGCGGTGATGAAGCCACTGCTGCTCTTGTAGGTTACCTCTCTCTTTCTTTGGCGTCCTGTTAGTAATGATTTTTTTTTTGTTTCTTGTTAACACGTCTCTGTTTTACCTTGATAGCTTGAGAAAGCATATGATAAGCTCATGTATGCCCAGTTAATGAATAGGAAAAAGGGTGTGACTTTTGGTTCGTTTAAGGTATGTATCGTGTCCTCTTTCTATGCTGTCTCGAACTCTATGAACTTTCTTTCTCAATCCTGGGTGAATTTCTCATAATTCAGGTTTCCAAGGACATTAAATATGCTGATAAGCAGCCCATTATACCATGGGGTCCAAGGTAGAGATTCTTTATGAGTCTACTCGAATTATTAATTTTCATCATTCAAAAGCATGAACTATTGCTAATCATGATTTACCCATGTTGTTACAGGTTTTCTAGGTCCTCCAGAAATGATATGTTGATCAACCTAGCGATATCAGTTGTGTTTGTAAGTATTTTAAGCAAAATGAGGTTTGCTATTATTAGAAATGTCAATTTTGGTTTTTAAACATCTTTACCCTTTATGAATTCAAGAAATCATGCTTTGGTTTAAATGATTAGATTCTTGCAGAAAAAGTGACTTGTTTCTAACACATGTATGCATATATGACATATCAAGTACTTGGATCATACAATCAGATATGAACCTCTCTCACTCTCTCTGTTTCTTTCTTTTTGCAGAGTGCATGGATTGCGATAAAACGTAATGTGGAATACAAACCGCTGCAATTCATGTCTTTTGTATTTGTTTACAGAATTTTTGAGAAATTGAAATCCTTTGAAGCACCTTCATCTCCAATATATAACGTGAGTTTTGAAAAAATTTGAAGCCTTATGTTTTAATGTGTGTACCAGTGGCTTTTCTAGTCCTGATGTGCACTGATGTTTGACACTGGCTGCAGGAGGAAGGCGAAGAAAGTGGTCGGGGATTGAGAATGGGAAAGAGGCTTCTTCGTTCTCTTTCCTTAGTTTTTGGCTCTATACTTGTGGCATCTTTGGTATGCATATCCATCAAGACTCCGTTATTTTAAAGAATCCGTTTATGTTGCACTATCTAGTATTAGCTTTTATTCAAAGAGAGCGGTGTATGTGATATAATACGGCTCACAGTGTCAAAGCATTAGTTTATGGATGCTCCTGATTGTTAGATCTAGTTATTATTATATATGTCAGGAGGTCTTTGAATTGAGAATACCTATGTTTAACTCTTAGTGAATAATGCTTTGCAGGCCTACACTGGGTTCTTAAATGGCATCGAGTACATGGGCAAATCCATACCCATGGTTCTTTACAACAACCAGGTTGGTGTTCTTGGATAACTCATATCTCTCTTCACTTGAAACCTTCCCTTAACTAGTCCCACAAAATTATCATTTTGGTCAAAAGTGGTTTAGGATATCTATTGCTGGCTAAGCCTCAATGAACATCACTAGTTGATTAGGTTGTAGATGATTGTGTCGTTTGCTGTAATGTAATTGATTTTTCACATCTATAGGTATTATGGTATAGGTTTTTGTACTGAAATGAAAACTAGATGCACAATTGTTCGGTATGAAATGAGAACACCTGAGTTGGATATGTGTTGCCACAATTGCTGAATTAAGATATAGCAAAGAGAAAGGTCTTGTATCTAAATTAAATAGTTCCATAAGTGATAACAGTCGACCAGGCTTTTGATGTTGTAACAAGAACTGAATCAACAGTGCTAATTGGGTTGCAGGAACTTATAGTGACGGCGTCATCGGCTTTCATGCTCTATGTTATAGCGTCGTATTACAGATAATGCGAGAGAGCCCAAAGGAGAGTTGATCAATTAGAAGCTTTTGGAGAAGTTATGCTGTATAGCCTGTGGCTGTGAGATGTTACCAGTTGAGGTGAAATGTTTATTTTCTTCGGAGAGATGGGGTTTTCTTTATAAATTTTTGTGTGGAAAATCAAGTAGATTTGGCAAGAGAGCAAATCCATTAGAATCCCTTTTGCACTAGATGCTGTTAGGATTGGTTCCAACTTTTTCAAGGGATAAAGATTACGAAAGCCTCTGCTTATTAATATGCGTGAGTTGAAAAATCTCAAGAGATACCTCCGAAGCAATCAATATTGAATGTACATACATTATAAGGGAAACGGTACCAAGTATCATTTGTTCATACATTGAACCTTGTTCAAACACAACATTTGAGAGTTGTATCAAAATAGATAACTAATATCTTAGTCCTGAGAAAATTAATCTAAAAAGATGTTTCATATATTTGAGGTACGATCGGATTGGTTGGGTTAGATAAACGTAAAAGGTCAGATGGCTAAGACTGAATTCGGTCGTCATCAAAAAAGTGCAGTGTCCACTACGGTCAGCAAAAGAAAAAGGACTATATACAGGTGAAGTGAATCCGATAGAAAAATAAATGAACAAATCTGATAGAGAGACGCCACGAATTTAATTATGAGTAGAATTGACACGTAGGAGCTGACTCTGTCTCTATCTCTATCTCTCTGTCTTTCTCTATTTATAGGTTGAGTACGTACAGCTGCTCCACACTATATATACAGTACATGCATACTTTGAAAAGTATATTCGAGTTCCGTCTTTTTTTTTTTCATCATTCGAGTTCCGTCTTCGACTTCAAAGCCTTTCTTACTACTGCTAAAGCCTAAAGTGGTACGTTTCCCTATTTTGCTCTCATTTTTCCATCTTCTTCTTCTTCGCCTTTCTTCTGAAAACACACATACATCTTCAATTTATTTTCTTATAATCAATGTGGTAACCATATTTCCAGATGACGTACTTTGCCTAGTGCCTCAATTAATTGTGGAAATGATGAAACATTGAATAATTTTAACTTTTTTTGCATGGGACCAAGCATTAGATTTAGAATCTTGATTGTAGACCTAAACATTTTTCATTTTTAATGAATATTTACATTCTTAGCAAAAAGAATAAAATAACATTGAACAATTGATATGGGAATGAATCAAACAATTTTGACAGTCTAAATAAATAAGGGAAAAATGTTTAATATTTGGTAGTATATAAACTTTTTTTGTATGATTATATTCATAATTTTAATGGCCTAAAATTATATTTGGTAGTATATTAATATAGTTTGACTGATTTTATGGTAATATATATATATATATTCAATGTACAATAGAGAGTATAAATATAGTCATTATATATGAATTTTTTTAGGTGGATGGTTACTTGGAGTTAGAGGTCACCGTTAGTGTGTGAAGAAGGTATGTTTTTATAGTATGTCTCAATGTGTATTTGTGTTTATAGTGGTGATTTCTAACATTTGTATATGTTACATATGTGTGTGTATTGTCATTAAACAACTCGTTAATTTGGATGCTTTCATATTCCGTTTTGGAGAATTTTTTGGTTTCTTGTTTGAGTTTAGAATATTCTCTAATTTTCATTCATTATAGATATAGTAGGGATGAAATGTGACCGGACACCTTAGATTTCGATGGTATCTGAATCATTTTACTAATTGAAATTCTAAATTGACATTAACGAATACTAAAGTTTTGGTTCATCGATGAGTCCGAGAGTAATAAGAAGACAACAAATCTCGTGAATTACTTTTGCATTGGGACACGTATCTACGTGTGTTTCCCACATAGAACTCAGCTTCATCCTTTTCTCGTGAATAGTTAGTTTCTTTGTCTTTATTAAACCAAACAAAGAATTTGTCGTTTTTTCAATAATATTTAGTTTCTTCATTTTCGTCGTTTATTTCTTTCTAAGTTTCAATGCCAACGGTTCCTAATCTCTATGGCGTTCATGATTGCCAAATGGTAACTTTGGTGGCCTAATGAATGTCACGTAAATTATCAACGTGGCACTCGATATATATAAAAAAAGACTTCATAAAGACAGAATCTTTAATTTGCCCAAAAAAAAAAAAGGAAAGAAAGAAAGAAAGAAAGAATCTTTAATGTGCAGACTAAAGACTCTAATTCAGATTCTGAATTTCTTTTTTTATTGACAAAGATCTTCGAATTTCTTACACCCATTCGAATTTCATCTTATGATTTAGAAGATTCTGTGTTAGTATCCTTCTTTTTGTTGTTTATTTCTTTCTTTTTTCTGCCATTTCGAAGGAACATCCAAATCTGAAACTCTTCTTCATTATAGCTTCACGGTCCATGTTTTTTTCTTTTCTAATTATTATTACGTGTTACTTTGGTGTCAGGTGACTACAAGCTTATTTAATAAGAAAGCTTCAAATTAGAATCAGAAACAAGAGCATCCTTCTTCATTTACACAGGTACTCCTCTAGTTTTTATTTAAAATTGTGCATGGTCTTTTTCTTTCTTCTAACACAATTTGTCCAATCATTTATCCTAAATATTCAAAACCTATGTTCTTAATTTACTAACTGAATCTTACATATTTTAATAATTTGTTAGGGGTTTGTATTTGAAATTAATTGTTATTCATAATGCATGAGCATCATTTTCATGTCTCAACAGACTCAACACCATATATTTGTTCTGGTCTTTTTATATTTTAAATTTGCTTACATTCCTTATTTTAATATTATGATTAATGCTTATTTTATACTTCACATTGGGGGAGTGAATCTAAAATATTCCTCATTCTATTTTCTAATATTGAAAACAGAGTATTTTTATGAGGTTCGTACGGACATTTGCAATTTAGTAGGAGAGTGATTGTGTTGTCCCCAAGACCAGTTCAATTCTAAGAGGATATGTTAGTTTAAGGTTCTTCCGTCAAACTGTTGAAACAAATTCTTGAGATTAAAAAAATAAAAAAAATATTCTTGAGATAAATTATTGAGAGAGGAGACTCTCTTTTATTGAATAGAATTTTATCATGATTAATGGTTTCTGCAGATAGATCTAAAATGTAGTAATCAGAATAATCTATTCTCAAATTTATGAAGTATAATATTGCTTCTTAATTCTTCCTTTTTTTTTCTTAATTTGTTTTTATTATTGGGTGATCATAGGTCAAACTCAGACTAATTCCGACGTTATAGGTATTGGTACTCGAAGTGTTCTTATGGTTTTCTAACAAATGAAAAAACAATGTCTTATAGATAAATTTGGTGTAAAAATGGTGATGAGAAGTGTGGATCTACGATCTGATACCGTTACTAAACCGACTGATGCAATGCGAGAAGCAATGTGTAGCGCAGAGGTGGATGATGACGTCCTCGGATACGACCCAACCGCTAGACGTCTTGAAGAGGAGATGGCTAAGATGATGGGGAAAGAGGCTGCTCTGTTCGTGCCATCCGGGACAATGGGGAATCTCATCAGCGTGATGGTTCACTGCGACGTGAGAGGCAGCGAGGTGATTCTTGGCGACAATTGTCACATCCATGTTTACGAGAATGGAGGGATATCGACAATCGGTGGAGTACATCCCAAGACGATCAAGAATGAAGAAGACGGGACCATGGACTTGGAGGCCATTGAAGCAGCTATTCGAGATCCTAAAGGAAGCACATTTTATCCATCAACAAGGTTGATTTGCTTGGAGAACACACATGCCAAGTAAGTACAAGGAACTATATCTGAATATTTGACTGTATGAATCAAAATGTTTAGTTAGAGCTTCGTTCGAATGCTCTGCTTATATGTGCCAATAAACGGCCATGCACCTGATAATGCAGCTCTGGTGGGAGATGTTTGAGCGTGGAATACACTGAGAAAGTTGGAGAGATAGCGAAGAGACATGGCATAAAGCTCCATATTGACGGAGCCCGTCTTTTCAATGCTTCAATTGTAATATCAGTCACCTATTTCTTTTCCATTTATAATCAACAAGACTCATAAATAAAGATTATGAAATCTCTTTTTGTAGGCACTTGGAGTTCCAGTTCATAAGCTTGTTAAGGCTGCTGACTCCGTTCAGGTGCCATTTTCTCTCTTTCTCGTCTATAACATCTGCAAATTTTAGCTAAAAGATGAGTAAGAGTTATTTACACACACTCTGTTTTCAGGTGTGTCTCTCTAAAGGTCTTGGAGCTCCGGTAGGATCTGTAATCGTTGGTTCGCAAAGCTTTATAGAGAAGGCGAAAACGGTTAGGAAAACATTAGGTGGAGGAATGAGACAAATAGGTGTACTGTGCGCAGCCGCTTTGGTCGCACTTCACGAAAACCTCCCAAAGCTACAACATGACCACAAGAAGGCTAAGTTGTTAGCTGGTACGTACGCACCACTCATTTACCCTAGTAATCAGTATAATAGTTAACAGCAAAAAAAAAATTCATTACATAAATATTTGCAGAAGGGTTGAATCAAATGAAAGGGATTAGAGTAAATGTTGCAGCCGTGGAGACCAACATGGTGCGTATTGTCACAACTATTGTCTGTTTTTCTTCTTCGTCAACAACATGCATTATGCGGATTTAAATTCGAATAGTGACTTAGCGACGCATCAGTCACTAGGACTAACCATTAAGTTACATAACAACATATTCTGTCTCTAATTCAGATTTTCATGGATATGGAGGATGGTTCAAGACTTACGGCTGAGAAACTGCGGAAGAGTTTAGAGGAGAATGGCATTCTCCTCATCCGGGGAAACTCATCCCGGTATGTGTAGCATTTGCGTGTTTCATGTGAAATATATGTAGTTTTTACAAAAACAATTTGAGTTTTCAAGACTATTTATGTGGGTTGTGGTTTCAGGATCAGAATGGTTATACACCACCAGATAACAACAAGTGATGTGCATTATACACTGTCTTGCTTTCAGGTAATAAGAATATTCATATCTCTCAACTACACACTTTCTAACTTTGAAACATCTAATTATATGAAATTGATGTTTCTTTGGCAGCAAGCAATGCAAACGATACAGGAACCAAGCCGAATCTAATTTGCCGAAACGGAAATGCATCTTCTTTTCTTTTGAACTTATTAAATATTGTTGTCTAAGTACATTTTAATTAAAGCTATAAGCATCTCAATGCAATTGTCACCCTCATTCCTGAATCTTTGAGTTTTTAGTATACAGTAAGTTGTTTTAAAAAACGTTGCTACGAGACGCACATAGTTGAATGCTTTAAGTGAGATATGAATGGAGCATTAAGAGGGCGTTGATATGAAATCTCCTAAAATCCATCTTCTTTGGACTTTCAAAACAGATGTCATACTAGTAAACTGAGAGGCAACTAAGCCACACTTGATCCTCTTAGCCGGACTAGTAACCAAAATCAATGGTTTTAAGAACCCTAAAATCTTCTTTCTCTCTCTTTTCTTTTTGTTTTGAGACAGAAGAAGAAACTAGGTTTTTAGCTATATGTTTATATCCTTCCTCTGTAAGGGTATCCAAAAAGAATGAGTAGGGAAGGGAGCCTCATCCTGCAAAACAGTGAGCGGATTCAACTCCGTATGTACACTCTAAAATCAATCCCCTTCGAATCAAATCAGCGACGGTTCTGGATCTCTTCCTTCACAATTTCGGTCACCAAATTTGAGTTAGTCTCACTTAAAACCTGTTGAAGTGAGCTTAGTTCCTCCAGGTTAGCTTTCTTGAACAGAACTTTGAGAATAGAGTTTACTCCAGTAGGCAATGAATGGTGTCCAGGGTTTAGCTGGAGTTTTGCCCCATCCGATCTAACACTTGTGTTGGCTTCTCTGAGAAGAGGATTTGCAGGGAACTGAACTTGTGGCCGCGAATAAGGCCTGGAATCCCAATAGTCTGTGCAAACTCGATTCACGTCTAATGCTTCGATAGCCTATTAATCACATTAGAGTATCTATATGTCAACTAGATTTACAAATGAAGCTTCCATTTTCAAAAGATGAGAAAGTGTCAAAAGTTGGACTTTCATATTGGCTTGTTAGATTTTTTACTTGTATATATAATTAGAAAACCGGATAAGCAAGCATATAAATCTGAGTCGAATACAAAACTTGCAAAGATTTACCTGAACGATTGCGGGTGACGAATATCCAAACATTTCAAAACCGTCAGGACTCCCAGAGGGTTGCAAAGGAGGAAGATCTGATTTTCCAGCTTTGTGCTGCTTACTTATCTCTTGATTTACTCTATCTTTTACCATCTCCCAGCATCTTGTAGGTGACAAATGAACGAAAACCTCACCGGGATTACTCTCCAAGTAAACCTGACAAGAAGAACATACCACACAGTTTGTTGATGGGCAAGATTTTTGGAACTGCACAATGACCGATAGAATTAAGGCAAAACAACCTTTTTTACTTACACACAAGATATTAAGGGATGATTAACTGCTTAAATCTGGTTTCGATTAAAATCATTCTCATTTCAAAACTTTTTAAAGTTATTTTAGCAACGTAACATGATGGGTCTCTACGTCAATGACATCCAAATAATGGAACATATTTCCGGTTCAGATTCATGTCATCGGATTTATTCATATGGCTATATTATATTTTAAAATGAAACACTACTCTTGACATATTTTTAAGGTTAGTTAAATTAGATCAGCATCTATCTACCAACTAACCATGAACAATGGACTGTTGCGTCCAGCATCCAGAATTTCTGAAATGTAGAAGCACATATTTGTTGGATCCAAAATGTTCATGTACCTAACCCGGCTACGAAATCCTGCACCAAAGAAGAATAGACGATAAGCACTTGCAAAATGTATATCTGTTTGTTTCTCAAGTTGCAAAAATACTTGACCACAGGTCACCTTTAGGAAAAATTGCTCGTCGGTTGCACCATGATTTTCCAGAAAGCACACATCCATAACTTAAAGGCTCTACATTGCAATTGATTCTCCTCACGACCTTTGCAATACGGGGACCCTTTTGGCGGATGAACTTATCAGGACTATTATTTTGCGAGCAAGACGGTGTACCTGAATTACTTCTTGTCCCATCAACAACATCCACTATAGCCACACCTCCAGAGTTTTTGGATTTACAACTAGTAGGTTTTCCACCACCGTGGCTGTTAGTGTCCATTCTATTACATATATCCTGAGCAAGCCCAGCAGCCTCAGCCTTAACTTCCGCGTGCAATGTAGAACTCGGTACATCCCTACTCATTGCTCTTTGGTCATTAGTAGGCAATGATATAGTGGTTCGTGTATCACGCAGCGAATCTCCTTTCCTTTGACAAATTGGAGCAGCAATTTTAACAGAAGCTTCTAACGCTAAAACATGGGTTGGTCTGTCTCGTACTTCTAATTGCTTGCCAGAAGAAATTGCATCTCTTCTCACAGAACCTCGTTTCCTAGGTATGTCATGCTCATCATCACTGAGGAGTATCACATCATTGGGTAGACTCTGTGAATTCTTTTTACCACTTGCAGACTTAGCAGCTGTCACAGAGATTATGCCTTCTTCAGATGGTTGGCAACCTGAAACGTTTGGATCAGAAGAATCATAAACAGTTTCTTCTTTGACAGGCTTCATACAGTGACTTGACGTTAATTGCTCCTCCTTGTCTTTCAGAAGTAAATTAATATCTGATAATTTACTAGTCTTTTCTAACTCTTTACTTAGATCTTCTCTCGATGTTACTTTCAACTGCAAATCTTTCCCTGAAAGTGCAGCTACTTGTGGACTCAGGTCCTTGTGGACTTTTTCTTCCTCATCTATCTCCATCTTGCTTCCTGAGACCTGTGCACTTAATGCCAATCCTAAATCTTGACGCGCCCATCTATATACAGAACTCAGTTTTCCTTCCACTGCCTCAACAAGAACATTCAGTTCATCGATATCATAGCGAAATAGAAAATATTTAGTAACCCATGGACATGAACACAACTGCTTCACATGAGTCAAACATGAATACTTCTCTGGGGAACAACGGCAACCAGCAGCAGACAGGTGCAAATCAAAGAAGCATATACAGCACTCTCTCTCGTTGGTAGCATCGAAATTACTGTGCATCTTTAATGCAAGTGAAGAGTTGCACAGAAATTCTCTTCTTGTACGTTCAATGTCAATGCGTGCCTATATAAAAAACACGACAAGTCCATTAATCACCATATTGACAATAAAGAATGATCCTCTTAAACCTACGAGTTTTATTTGTACAAGACCAAGGCAGAAGACGAACAACTCCTGAACTAATCATTTGTTTTAACTAGTAAGAGGTGTACTAATCTTCCGTTTTTCTCTTGTTAGTTAGCTGTAGATTCATGTAATATGCAAGAACCCTCAACTTCAGAGAATTTCAAATTTCAAATCAATTACAGCCTCATGCTACCAGTTTACAACGGATGGAACCGTGCTACCGGTTTACAAAGATACCTCTCAAGTTCTTAATGACTTCAGGATTTTACAATCATTCACACTTCTAGGCCTCTAAACTTCAAGAATCAAGAGTAAGTAATCTATACCTTTAGTGTTTTTGCCAAAATTCCATCCTTTCCACTGAATGCTTTCCACCTTAAGTTATCTACAGTATCTTTCTTTAGTAAGTTCAGCTCCCAGTCGGCTTTCACTACTTCTCTTGCTGCCCCAAGCAACAATTTATCATGCGAGATGGACGTTTTTCTACCCTGTTGACAGTATAACTCTATGGCAATCTGCCCATGAGGCAACCAGTCAACTGGTGCTACATTCACAGCTTCAGCACAATTGAAACCAGAATTAAATCCAGCATGATATGCCCGAGGAAAAGTCAAGACAAACTCTCCAGCATGCTGGACGCAACGGTGCACAGGTACTCCTGCGGTTTTCAGTTTTGACGGGGAGAGTTGTGTAACCTACACGAAAGAGCATCAAAGGATTTATTTTACACAGAAACAATAATGTGCAACAAATATATTTAAATCAGGTGCAAGTCGATAGAGGACTAAAAACGGATCTATAGAAATTCCTACAGGGTGATTAACTACAAAAATGGAAACACAGATATGGTATTTTTCTATCATATGCTAACGTAATAATAAAATAAAAACATCATAGTGACTGAGCCAGGTTTAATAGGCTGCTAGCACAAGTAAATGCTTTATTTATTGGACGTATTTTTCAAAATAAGAAAGTCTATAATGGAAGGCGTCCATTGTGTGATTATAGAGCAGCAAAGCTATGATTTAGTTCATCAAATATCCAACACTTACTAGCTTATGAAGTAAGTCAGGCTGTTCTTCAAAAAGGTCAGGCAAATGCTTTCTCATCGCCTCCTCGAGTTTAACAGCATCCTTCCCCCCAACACCATACCACAATTTTGGTGCACCCCAGTGCATATAATTCAACGAATACAAGTGGTGATCTTCAACATGCTGTTTCAGGGAAACAAAAACAAAAAGCAGAACAAAAGGAATGTCAGCAACAGAAAATATAAAACGAAATAAGATGTGAAGTAATGAATCACATCCACTGGTGTAAGAAAATTGTATGGTATGATGACACTAAAGCACTTGGGAAGAGTTCCGTATGCAGAATGTATTGAACACAGACAAAAGACATTAAATACTTTCAATTTCGTTCAGATTTTTCAGATGATGAAATAAATATCATCAAGCTTACTTTTTTTGGAAATTGAATTAAAGATAATCCTAGTGTAGCAGGAATAATGGAAAAACTATCATTGTAATTATGTAGCACAGAAATTTAATCACATTTATCTACTATTTGTGAATAGGTATACAGAAACAAAGCACATTTGGTTGTAGTTGTAAGTTTCAGTATGAGCCTATGCTTGTAAAAGGAAGATATCCCAACTAAGAATATGCTTTAACATGCAAAATAAATTATGCAAGTCATAGAGATCAATCTTACCCAACAGAAAGAAGAAAAGCACATCCCAATATACAGCCATGGCACAAGGACACCGGAAATATCACTGCCCTCATACTTAAGGAGGGATCCCGGAAGCCTTGGAAAGTTATTTAAGTTCCAGCCTGATTTTGCATATTTTTCTTCGGAAGAAGAAGCATTGTGACTTGATGATGTCTTGGGGAATCCGCTTCCAAATACACCAGTTTCAAGATCAGCACCATAAAGCACCTATATTGAAAAATCATTGTGGTAGTTAGGAGATACAGAGGACCTAATAGACCATAAACTCCAAATAAAAAGAACAACAGGGAACAAACTTCACCTCTATCTCTTCAGTTGCTTTATCTACTATACACCAATATTCACCTTCAACATCCTCAAGTGCTGGCTCCCAGCAGTCTATTGAATTATCAACTTTACATTTATCGTCTGTAGAAGTTTCACTCTTTTTAAAGTACTGCGCCTTGAACTCATCAGCATATTTTTGGAAGTCTTTTAGTGTAAACCCTGGACCAGGTTCAAACCCAAACGTCTCAAGTTCACTCATTCCAGTGCTTGCAGAACAGGGATCGCTCACGCCATTAGTGACAGAATCCATTCCCATTTTCATGCACTTTCTTTTCTTCTTTCTCATTTGATTAGAAAGCTTTGAAATCTTCTTCATTGAACTACGATTCTGAAGTTTATCAACTCTTTGGACACGCGTCGTAAATTTAGAACCCTCCCATACTTGCTTTTCTTTCAGTGGGCACGGCGGTTTCCAGGAAGGAGGAGGAACAATGCGACAGATTCCATACTTTTCAGCCTCCGGTCTTATTTTAGCTATATAATTCAAAGTGTCTTCAAACTCCTAGAAACAGGTTTGCAGTTTATGTCAGAAATATGGATCTAGTTACATAGAAATTCAGTTAAAAAGGATTGATTGGAAGTAAAGAATATGAACAAGACCTCTTCGGTCGGGTAGAATACAGGGGCGTCTTCAAGGTCAGGCCTACGAGCTTCATCTGGATGCCATCTCGCAGTTACCTGCCAAATTTGTGAATATAACGTTAGAGGGTTATGAAACAACTAAAATAGAAGAAAAGGTAAGACATCTAATGCTCAAGGTAAAGACATTAATAAGTTATATCTTAAGTAAGCATTAACTGACATTAACCTTCTGGCAATCTTTACATTCTTCACATCCCCTGACCACACCCTTTGGAAGAGACTGCTTCACAGCACAACTCTGCAACGACACGATGCATGAGAAAGGCAAAGAAAGAGATGGAAACACAAGTTGTCAAGCATAAGATAAAAAGCAAAACAAAGAACGAACTTGATCAGGATTTTGAGATGCAGCATTGTCGTTTTTTGCACCATCATCATCATCATCACATCCGCTATTATTTATCCAAGGCCTACGCCGTAGAGCCCGAGCAGCTTTGGCTTCATCGGATTCAACTTCCATCTTAGCTTGCTCGGTAACAGAAACACTTTCAATTGCAGCAGTCTTGGCTTTATCAGAAGTACCGGGGACTACTCTTTTTAAGGTAAAAGTAGCATAAGATTCAAACCCAGGAGGAACAGATGGCAAATCATCACTATCTTCTTTCACACAGATTCTCATTAGCTCTGTCCCCATTACTTCCGTGCCAACACTACAAATGAAACATCATTCATGTCTCAAAAATACCACAACCCAAATTGTTTAAAAAAATAATAAAAATACATGACACAAAATGGTGGGTACAGATTTTCAGGGCAAAGTAAGATCACAGATATATACGGTTCATCGCCAAATTAGCTGAATCAAAAATAATCAGGAAGAACCATGAGGAAAATGCTTACATAGTCTTGTGATTTAGGGTTTGTTGTGAATTGAATGGTCAAAATAGCTGGAGCTCCATCAACTGCACCCAGATTCAGAGAAATCGAGTAAAATCAGCAACAGATTTAAAGATCTGAAGAAACCCTAGATCATTGAAATTTAGTGCCTTATATTTTTAATAATCCAGTTTTCATCAGATCTAAGCCTAGTAGATTCAGATTATCATCGCCATGTCCTTTTCCATGTTTGCATAAAAATTGAGAAGAAAATTCAACACAAAAAAATGGTCCAAATATGAAACCTAACCTTTTCCATATTCCCCAGAAAAAAAAAGAGCCAACAAAATCAGATGAAAGGAAGAAGAAAAGGGTAAAACTGGAATCAAATCTACTACAGGTCCATATATGTTGGGTATTGTGATAATTACCCAAACAAATTCTCTGAAGAATGAACAAAAACAACAAGCAGCAAAAAGCTATTACACTGGTCAAGATTAGATTAAACTTATCACCTTTTTTTTTTTTCCTTTTCTATAAAAATTTTAAGATCATCAGAAGAGAAACATGTGGTGGGTTTTTTCTGGGTTTGCCTAATTTTTGCTCTCTATGATATATATGTCTTGGTTATAAATTTATTAACGCTTCAAAAGCAAGCTGATGCAATTTCCTATGCAACTACTCTAATGTATTTTGTTTCAACCATCAAATAAATAAAAATGCAATAAACAAGTGCATTAGAGGTAATGTAATTGGTTTCCTTTTTATCACTTTGTTGGGTCATATAACACGTAAAACATTTATTCACGGGTGGGACATTACCGCATATCCACACACAAAGGATTTTTTTTTCTTTTTTTTTTGTCACACACAAAAATTATTTTTATATATTAAAAATTAATTTACTAATTTAGATAGGTAATATATATACTAGATAGGATTTGTATCTACGCAGGTAATTTAAATACAAAAATACGACGTTAACAATTTTATATATTTAAATAAAATTTTATTGTAATAGAGAACAAAATTTTACCAAAAATATATCATAGAAATTTTTTAGTAACAAATATATTTCAATAACTAGATTTTCATGTAAGGTTTTTAAAAAAAAAATCTAATTCAAAAACCATCGATTATTTTTAGAAGTAGTTTTTATAGGCGCATTCGATTTTTTTCTATATTCAAATGAAAATAACACTAGAATACAAATTATACAATCACTTAGTTCATAATTCATGTAAATAAATTATAGTATGTGAGTATTACTTAATTCTCATTTAGACCAACATATTTAAAATTTTGAATATGATAATGCGATTAGTTAGACATTATAATATGTAATAGAGGCGTGTATAAGGACTATACTCTTGTGTATTTATTTATGGTCATTTTTGTATGCGGATAATTGATATTGTACGATTATAATTTGGTTTAAAAAGATTGTATTTGTACTCAACGAAAACTTGAAAAAGCCCAATCCGATAGCTGAATTGGCCCAAAATAGTCAAACCGATTCACAAAAACAAAAGAAAAAACCAGAGGAGGTGAATGTTAGATGTTTCACAAGTTGTGGGAATAAATGAGAAATATAGAGACATGGAGGGTGTTCCTTGTAAATTAAGGATAAACCCTACTTATCATCTCAAAACCCGCGTCGAAGCCCAAAAAAAAAAACGCGCACAGCTTCGAAGAACGAACAGTGAGTTTCTCACACTCATTTCTCCAGATTTGTTAGGGTTTTGAAGATTTTCTGCTTCTATTTGTTTTGAATCTGCTTCTGTTTCTCTGTCTCTGAAACTTGTACCTTTCCTTTTCACAGGTTTGGTTTCTCCACTCATTCAAAAATAGGTTATGATATAAAGCAGAGACTGAACATCCTAGCAGCAAATATTTCTGGGTCTAACTTCTTCATCATTGAGTTTGATAAGCTTTTGTGAAAGGAAATATCTCTGTTTTGTTTTGGATTCTGAGAGATGGCTTCATCGAATTTGCTACTTGAGGTTCATTTCTTGCATATTCCAAGTTTGTCTCCAAAGCAGGCGAATTTCTGTTTGGTGAATCCTTTATCTTGCAGAAAGTTTTCTTCTTTAGATTGGAAGCAAGAAATTGGGTTGAAAATTTTGAGCTGCCACGGCTTGATGACTAGTGTGTGCATTGACAATGTAGATGATGTTGATGATTATGCTGAGAGAAACTCAGAATTCCATCACTATGGTGTCGGCAATAACTTGAGAGCCAGAGTGAAACCCAGGAAGCAGTTAGGTTTATCATCTGATGGACCAATTACTGAGAACGATGAAGAGACAAACAATGAGATCCTTCATAACCTGTGTAGCAACGGCAAGTTGACAGATGCGTGTAAACTAGTTGAGGTTATGGCACGTCATAATCAGGTTCCTCATTTTCCTTCTTGCTCAAACTTAGTCCGTGGTTTAGCCAGAATTGATCAACTGGATAAAGCAATGGTTATCTTGAGGATAATGGTAATGTCTGGTGGGGTTCCTGATACTATTACCTATAACATGATCATCGGAAATCTTTGCAAGAAAGGGCATATAAGATCTGCGTTGGTCCTCTTAGAAGACATGAGTTTGAGTGGGAGCCCTCCAGATGTGATCACGTATAATACAGTAATTCGGTGTATGTTTGATCATGGGAATGCTGAGCAAGCCATCAGGTTTTGGAAGGATCAACTGCGGAATGGTTGCCCTCCATATATGATTACATACACGGTTTTGGTCGAACTTGTGTGCAGGTACTGTGGAAGCGCTCGAGCTATGGAAGTTTTAGAAGACATGGCAGTGGAAGGTTGTTATCCTGACATTGTCACATATAATTCTCTGGTAAACTATAACTGCAGGCGAGGGAATTTGGAAGAGGTGGCTTTGGTCATTCAGCATATCTTATCTCATGGATTGGAACCGAACACTGTAACTTACAACACTCTTCTACATTCCCTTTGTTCAAACGAGTACTGGGATGAAGTGGAGGAGATTCTAAACATCATGTACCAGACGTCATACTGTCCAACAGTTATTACTTACAACATCCTGATCAATGGTTTGTGCAAAGCCAGGCTTTTGAGTCGTGCAATCGATTTCTTCTACCAAATGCTGGAACAAAAGTGTTTGCCTGATATTGTTACTTACAACACACTTCTAGGAGCCATGTCCAAGGAGGGAATGGTTGATGATGCTATTGAGTTGCTTGGATTGCTGAAAAGCACGAGTTGTCTGCCTGGCTTGATCACTTACAACTCTGTAATCGATGGATTGGCCAGAAAGGGCCTGATGAAGAAAGCATTGGAGCTGTACCATCATATGCTGGATGCTGGAATCTCTCCTGATGATATAACCCGTCGGTCTTTAATATATGGTTTCTGCCGGGCAAACCTAGTTGAAGAAGCTAGCCAAGTTTTAAAGGAGACGAGCAATAGAGGGAATGGGATCAGAGGTAGCACTTACAGGTTGGTGATCCAAGGGCTATGCAAGAAGAAAGAGATGGAAATGGCGATAGAGGTTGTTGAGATAATGCTAACAAGTGGATGCAAGCCAGATGAGACAATATACACCGCAATAGTTAAAGGCGTGGAAGAGATGGGAATGGGAAGCGAGGCTGTTCAGTTGCAGAAGAAGCTGACACAATGGAAACTCTTGAGAGAAGTGTAGAAAACCTAATTGAAGCCGACTCTTTTTTTTTGTTGTTTCTATTAAGCTTTTATTTGTACAGGAAATCAGTTTTGTAAGGCAATGGTTGAATCAGAAAAGATTAGGCCTTCCATTTGCTCAAAATTACTTCTTGCTCAGTGACCGCTCTCTACTATACAGAAAACAACAAACATTTTGAAAGTTGTATATTCAAATCTCGAAACAAGGTACCATTACATATTTCAACATGACACAAGTTTCAGTATGATTAGAAGTCGACCCCCTAACAAACGCCCTGATTTGTTCTCAGCAATGGAACTATAATCTAACTCATCAATAATCTAAAGGGAGTTTCAAATGTTACTATTCCCATTAATTTTGGCTTCAGTCTCAGAATTTAAAAAAAAAAAGGAAAAATGAACTCAAACCATTTTGCAATGTTCATATACTATTTAGTTTACCGCTGAAAGTTTGGATGCGGGTATAACATCTTCCCACCTTAAGACACGCCCACACTCCCCACAGACCGTGCTGCTACCAAATTTTCTTCCTTGGCTTATGAGTGTAAGCTGGTGCGCGGTTCTAGTGCAGTTGCGGTTCACAAAACGACTTCTGTTGAACCCCTTTGGCTGGGGTAAGGGTTCTGTTTGTATGGAAGGAGAAGGTTTTGGAACCACTGGAGATTCGCTCAGTGGGACCCGTTGAACTTCCTCCCACTCAAGCGCTCTCCTGTAAACTTCCCAGGCCATGTCTTTTTCTTCCTTTGTCAGTCTTTCTTCTTCATTCTCTTGTAGCAATGTCTCGTGCTCATGGAAACTGGAAATCCAGCTAGTAAAAAAAGGACATACAGCGTCATAAAGCAAGTAGCATAGAAAACCAAAGATTTTAAGTACTGATGTCAATATGGTTACGCTTGTGAAACTTACTTCGGGCCGTGTCTCTGTAGTAAGTTCTCCATCAATTTGTCGCAACCAACACGAGATAAAGTGGCCTTCTGTTTCTGTGAATTATCCACCAGATTGCTTTGTGCCGCTTCATTTTGCTTGCTTATCTCAGTTACAGCGTCGGATTTCTCATCATCATCGTCAAATTCAAAAAGATGTAACATCTCTTCTTTGGAGATAGTCCTGTGCACTTGTTGTCTATCCACTACTCTCGCAGCTAGCCCTTCCTTGGTTACCTAATCATATTAACAGATCTAATTCATGAATATCTCCTTGAAGGAAAGAAACAGCAAAATTCAAAATTGTTTAATGTCTTTCAATACCTGACGTTTATATATTTTTTCTTCAATAGTCCCACGTGCCATCAATCTGTACGCAAATACTGGCTTCTTTTGGCCATACCTGCAACCAATAAGTCCACGTATAATAAGCCACCGTTTGTTAATGCTGTATTGACAAATTTTAATCCCACAGTAGTCTAGGAAATACCTCCAAGCTCGAAATATAGCTTGAAGATCATAGGTTGGATTCCATGAACCATCAACGATGATCACACGGTTAGCAGCATAAAGATTAATTCCAAGGGATCCCGCTCTGGTTGAAATTAGTGTACATTTCACCCTTTTGTTGTCAGGCTCATTAAACCTATCAACCAACTTCTGGCGTTCTGAGCTTTCAGTTTTTCCATCAATTCTGCATCCATCAAGGGAAGTTAGAGCCTTCATAATTGTTCAAAAAACGTTCACGCTAATATAAGAGAACAAGATACCAACCTATACCAGTCTTTTCCCTTTTTCCAGAACTTTCCTTGTTTCCCATGCCGAGGTACTCTTGAAAGATAAAGTTCTATGAGATCCAATGTTGGGATACTCTGGCTAAACACAAGCGCCTTATCCCCCACATCCGCACTCATGGATAAAATATCCAATAGCAGAATCATTTTGCCACTAAAGTCCGACACCTTATAATTATTTTTTTGAAGTAGGTCGACCCACCAATCCTGGCACAAAGACAGGGATAGAATCAGAGCATGAGTGCACAATTACGCTGTTTACTTTAAAGTTGTAGGCAGTAATTACTAATTCACTCAGGCTGAGTAAACTATAGTTACCTTCTGGAGGTATCCATCAACTTTATCCTGCAAATCATTCATAGTTCTCTGTTTTTCTGTCAATATCCAAAACAACAACGATGACACAGATTATTACTATTATTGAACTTGCATAGATGCAAACCAAGAAAGATCACTCCTGAAAGCTCCATAGAATATGATGAAGCTTAAAACATAACATTGCTGAATCGAAGGTCCCTAAACTATTGCATGTCAGAGATTATTGTTGGTAAGAAAGTCTTAGACCAATAAACTAATCCTCTATTGGCAATCTTATTAAAACTGGAACGGTACAAAAAAGGTATAATTTCTACTGCACCTAGTGTTCCTTGAATTCAAAGCCAAAAAAAAACTATCTTAACCATGGAACAAGTTTCAACAAAACATAAATATACGTGAGCAGTGACAATTAAGAGTTACCTCCTGTAACCATGTTGTAGTCTATATTTTCATCACTTGAACAGTCATCTGGAATATCAACAATGCTACCACGACGCCCATTCTTGCTATCTTCACTTCTTAATTGCGGAATCCCTGGATGATTTAAAATCTGGGAGACGCAATACCAAAGAGAGAGTTCAGAATATGAAAACGAATACCAAATAAATCAGTTCTTAACATTATTTTTCTTAACAATTTTTTTTCTCAAATAAGTTAGCAAGGCGTTTATCACATTTATACCTGAGCCAAGACCTGGTACGCAGCAAAAAAGTTTTTTCTCATCCTTTCATCTGTTCTTCCATCGCTGAACCCATAAAGCTTAAGAAATCTCTTATACAATTTCCGTTGCAAGGGAGATAGCTTGACAGATATTACGAAGACTGTTTTAGGTGGCAGATCCTTTTTCACCACATTCATATCCATTCTTTGCACAAAACCTTTCAATTGCTCATACAGAATGTGTGACCTCTGGTTCATAATTTTTACATCCTCCGCAGTTGAATTCATATGCTGTCCGTTTTCTATTGGATTTTGGAATCTGCAGGTATGGAGAAGCACAATTAAATCTCTAGAAACATCATATCATAATAGGCAGATAAAAAAAATACTGGTACGGAAGACTTACCGGTTTCTAAACTCAGGGCTACTTCCCAAGAATCCTTCTCTCACAAAATCAACCATCTGTTGCAGTACAGACATAGCTTAACATACTGGAGCTAAGAAAAAATTAGTTCACAATTTTATATGGTTCCCTCAGTAACTTACACAATAATACTCCATAAGATTGTTTTGAAGGGGTGAGCCAGTTAAGGCAATTCTTCTCTGGCATTTAACTTGCTTCAATGCTTGTGTTGTGTCAGCCCTGGTGTTCTTAATGATGTGAGCCTCGTCGCAAACAAGTATATCAGGTCCATCCTGCAGCCACATAGGTTTAGATAATTGCAAGAATAAAATATCGCAAGCAGAGGAATATGCACAAGGGAAATCATAAACAAGAGAAATCATGAAAACAACAAAATCTATGATACAGAAATGCCTTAAATAGCAGAAAGATTAACCATCAAAAAGGAATGCGTAACCATAAACAGCACGTGAAACGTTCTCCTAAAAAGATCTAGAATATTAACAGGATACAAACCAATAAATTTTGCAAGTGACATTATCGTCTCACCCTCAAGGCATTACAGATCTCTCTGGCAGCACTCAAGTCCTTCACCCCCGTCCCAAGAGACAGGTTTCTAAATTTTGCATATCCCATCAAAAGGACTCCACCCTTATTTCGCCACTTTGTTAACAATTCCAATCTCCTCTCCCTTCAAAAAAGACATTCACGCAGGAAGTGGATTGAGAAACTGTCACCAAAAATACAACTTACATAGGCCAAAAGAAGTGTTTGATATCTGGGCCAATTTGTCAGTTTAGTAGGAAGTTAAGAGAGCTGAGATCTTGTGTAGTTGGACGCGAGGGCTTGCAACTATATTAATTTATTAGGGAAAAGATCTTCATATAGCTTTAGTAGAAGTAACATTCAGCAGTCTTATGGGCCATAAGGTACGGCACACTACTATAGACTACCCAGCCCCTATTGTAAATCTCTAAACCTAGACTAGATTAGAACAACATGAGAATCTTAATATCTGAATTGCCAAGTACCAAAAGCTTCTTTCATAGAAGAATTTATACCTTGAAACGTCTTCAAGCATGAAGATGTGAAGTTTTTTCACTTCTGAAGGCCTCCACTTCTTAAACTCACTTCGCCAATTGTGCAACACATTTACAGGAGTCACGATAAGAGCAGTTTTTAATCCCAAATCAACACATCTCATTGCGGTGTACAAGAACGCTATAACCTGAAAAGATTTAAGTGGGAGAAGACATAAAGAGCCAGTAATAGCACACCCCATATTAACAAATAACGATTAACCACTAGTAGTATGCATTCACAAAATGATAAGATACATGCAACCAGTCTCGTGCATGAAAAGAATTAAGCACCTGAAAAGTTTTGCCCAGGCCCATTGTATGTGCTAGAATGCACCCAAGACCTTTATCACCAGACTTCACTCTGCTGATAGACTGTATAATATTTTCCCACATAAATCTTATCCCTGTTACCTGAAAATAAAAACCTCCAAACTTACAGCAAAAGCCATTTCCATAATAGGCATTTCCAGTCGAGATGGCTATGTTTAATACCCAATGGTACATGTGACAAGCGAGATGGAAGTATGTTATGATGCTAGGGATGTACATATGTATAAATGCTAACCTGATGGACTTTTAGTTTGGCAGATATGCTACGAGGAACTCTCACAGCTTCTTCACCAATCTCCCTAGCCACATTCACTATGTAACCACTGTGAGCATCACCAAGAACCTCAACTTCCGCACCTTCTGGAATAGATTTCACGTCTCCCATAGAGCTAATTGTTTTGTATCTGGCAGAAAACTGCAAGGACCTAAGGCGCTCCTGTCGTGCCTACAAAAAGAAAGAACCCAATGTACAATGACAATGATCAATACTTAAAAAAAAACTAAAAACAAAAATTGAAGTTTATATACAAGTATAACAAAAGTAACTGCCGAGAAATTTAACACCTTTTCAATTGCAATTTTTGTTCTCGTATCTTTCCCTAGTTCAGCGTCATCGATTATCCGCCGAATTTTCTTTTTCGATTTCTTCTTTGAGCTAAAACCCATGCACGTAAGAAAAATAACAAAACAATACTAACCAAATTAGTTGGAAAACATGCTGGAATTTTCAATTTCCGCTAGATAAGTATATGATAATACCTGATTGTTACATTGACATCAGCATATGTATCAACGGAATTGTTATCAGAGCTGGAATCAGAACTCGAATCAGAGCTGGAATCAGAGCTCAATTCTATTGACTTTTTATCTCTCATGGCTTTCTCCAGTTCCAGCGTCAATCTTTGCAAGGGAATTGGAGAGCAACAACAACAATCCCAACCAGAGGATTGAGCTTCAGACAAGTATTCTTCACCAATATTCCTCTTTATACATGATGCACAGAAAAGTTTTTCGCATGTCCTACAATCTATTAAGTCAGCAATATGACCACACCATTCACAATGACGTTCCAAAGAGTCATCAACCTGTTGGCAAAATTCAACGTTTTGGTTAGAAAGAGACAGATATAGCAATAATATTCTTTAGATTACGGTAACATTTTTATGTGATCCTCTAAATAACAAAAAGTAACATAGACCAAAAGAGTCCGTTACTCAGAGAAAAGCAGCTGATGAAGGCGACAAAAATGAAAAGAAATTTAACCCCATCATTTAAGAATTGGTGCAGCCATGAATCTACTACGACAACAAAAAATCTTTCCATGTGCCAGTCCCCCAGAATTTGTGCACATTGAATTTCCATACCAGCAATCATTGTATCATCCATGAACACAATTTGGTACTTTTTAATCCCTTTCAGAAAAGAAAGCCATCCATGTGACATGCTATTCACCACATTAAAGAGATCTAATTTCTAACTAAATTCTGACCCATATGAAAATACATATAGTAAGTCGCATAAAATTAGAAGAAGAAAAAACATACCTTAGAAACTCTATCTTCAATTGAACGTTTGCAATCCATGCAAACTATTACTTCTAAAAGGGGATGACTATGCACTTCCACAGCTACATTATTACAGGCAGTACACCTAAAGTTGTTTGCTAGATTCTGTGAATCATCTCTCATGGTATCTACATTAATATGTGTGCTGGGGACCATCTTATCTACATCTGAATTAGACAAATTCCCGTTTTCCTCTTTGTTGACTTCATTATTATGAACTTGAGTGCTAGTCTCCGGACTTTCTTTGGCCAAATTTGGGGAAGTATAATTCCCATCCAAATACACAGAATCGTCATCCATATTCTCTGCCGCACACCTGATAACCTGAAATAAAACGAAATGAAGACTGATACATGAGCCAAAGATTATTCCTTCAAGCCAACGAAACCCCTGGCACCACAAGTCCCAAATGTCGCTTTAACTCAAGAAAGAACCATCACTTGACAATCGAGCAACAAGATGTAAAAGCAAATTTACAGGCAAATTGCCATCTTTATACTAAAACTGTATATTCCTCAGTAATATATCTTATGATACTTGAAATCACCATTATTATTAACTAAGAAAATTTTAGGAAAACACAAACTATATGTGACTAAATTCTCCAAAACCAGGCTCATTAAGAATGATATCCCCTAAAGAAGATAGGCGTGTCTATGCTACTTGACACACCAAGACGCCTTCAATCAGATATATGCAACATTACCATAAGGAACTCAAAGAATATGCATAACAGACCTGTTTAGATCTTTTCTTGCGTCTCTTCCGTTTCAAACGAAGTTGAAGTTCACGATCACAATTTATATCATCCTCTTCTTTGACCTGAAGATAATTTAATGTCATAGTAAAGCTGATAAAGGGTAAGGTGGGAGTTGCGGGTAGTCTAAAATGGTATTTCATTTATAGATTTACCGCCAACTCCGCAAAAAGCAAGAACATAAGGAGCAGCCAGAAAAGGTTATAATCTCAAAAGTAGAATGCTTAATTCCAGAAATCTAAGAAGTTAAGTGAAAGAATAATACCCTATATAATTTTATTTTGTTCTAACAGCCAAAAAAGGTAATACTTTCAAAAGTCGAAGACTTAGTAACAGAAAGCTAAGAAGTTAAGTCAAAAGTAATACCCTTATATAATTTGTCTTTTGGTCTTCGGTAAGGGCAAGTTCTCTTTCGTTGTCAATTGCATCAGCTAAAAATGGGTCTGCCAAGCTTGCATCAATCTCTTCAATTTCCTCCACCTAAAAACAAAATTAAATAAATAAATACTGTGATAATCACACCGGACTGCCAGGAGTTTAATTAAGTTGCCCTCAAGCTGTAGGATGGCGTGATCTAGGATTATAAAATCCCGATATTTTAAGAATTCCAACTTTGTTAAACTAGCTGGATAAGGAACAAGAGATCTTTAATAATTACTTGCCTCCCAAGATTGTAAATAGTGCCTTGCATCATCTAAAACTGTTACAGCTAATAACAAAGTCTAAGCTCGAATTTTATTTATAGAGCTTGGCTTAATATTTGATCCTAATGAAAACCTACATTGCCGAGTGGGTTACGTTTTCCTATCCTGATTATGGCATAACAATGGACCAAAAATTTAGTGACTTGCGAACAGAAATAAAAAAGGAAAATTAAGCCTGCTTTCATAGATGTCCTAGGGCAAGTAAACGGTCAAGAAAAGGGGATGCCATGTTCAATGCTTTTTTCTTGGAGTGAAGAAAAATTCACAGATGTAAACATACGCAAATCATCATCAGCATCAGAACTATCAGGAAATATAAAGGCATGATTATAAATTTAACCTCATTGACTCCTGGAAATTCTAATCCCATGGCTGCAGCTTGGTGTGGAGTGCTTGCCAAGTAAACAGAAGCCCAATGCTTGCTACCAAAGGAAATCGACTCATCCCTTTTTTTCCGAAAACACTTTGTTTAGAGACGACCACTCAAGCTCAGATGTTCCAGCTAGAGATTCTTTAACATCACCATCAGCGAACTTTTTCTCCAGAAAACCACTAGCTCCCTCCTCCAAAAGTTTTCCATGTCGTCTACACCAGAAAATGTTTAGATATACCATCCATGGCACTCAGAGTACATGAACTAACTAAAAGTTAAAGATAATAAGAACCCTACTTTCGGACAGGCCGATGAGTTTGAAGAAACCTCTCAGCGTTAGCCAATGATTCCCCAGTTTCTTTTGTCACCTGAGTACCAACCCAGTGGGCTCTTTGTTTCCAAGCTTCAGTATAGCAACCATTAGGGGCTTGACTTTCTATCATTTCGTACAATTTTGGGAGCTCGATTCCAGCACCATCAAGTTGCTCCTTTAAGAAAGAAACAAAAAGGAAAGCAGAACTGCGTAAGTTACTTTAAATGACAAGTAACCCTTTGGAGTAAGTTTTGTGGGAATAGAAGAAGCAACAACGAAACATACCAACAAGTGTGCACTTTCTATTTCAAGCTCATCAAGATTTGCCTCCCATTCGTCTTTAAAAGTCATCATTTCAGCAGCAACAGCTTCATCCAGCTAAAAAGGCACACTCTTAAAATGTTTAATGGAAAAGAGCAAAAGAACTCGGAGCTTTGATAGAGAGACAAAGAAATTAACCTCATCACCACGGAGTGCTTGTGCTAATTCCTCCCTAACTTCACTCTCTACCTTAGAAAGAGACTCCTTTTCAAGTGCTTCTTGAGCTTCTGCAGCCTTCAGATCAATGGGAAATCATAAATAGTGAGATTTAGACCTGAAAGTTAAATGGGAATATCTAGATCTCCATAGAACAAAAGAAGAGATTAAATACCTTGCTCTCAACTCCCAGAAGATCTGAAATTAACTCTTCTATTTCTTCCTCGCTCAGTAGGTTTCTGCACAATAATTGTTAAAAGCTATATTAGAAAAACATACACTATTTCTCGGCCAAGTGAGCAAGAGATATCCATGTTGCTTACCTCAAAATCCAACTCATCATCACGCCCCGGCAGGAATTGTTCATCTTCGTCTGAATTGAAATCAGAACTTTCAGATCTACTAAGAGTATCTTGCATCTCCTCATCATTTTGTTCAGCCTGATTGTTGTCTTCTTCCATCAGTACATCTTTTTGCTCAGCCTGATTGTTGTTTTCTTCCATCAGTACATCATTTTGCTCCCCTCTTTCATCTCTTGATTTCACCTCTTCAAGCTTGGCCTCCATTCTTTCTTCAGTTATTATTATATCCATCTCATCCTCTTTTGCCTCCACTGTATCCTCCTTTTCCTCTAGCACTTCATCTTTTTCCTTCACTTTTTCTTCGTTTGACTCCATTTTCACTTGCTACTGAAAAAGTGTCAATAACAGAAACGCTAAGCAAACCTCCTGAGACTTATCATCTATTCACTAACACTGTACCCCTAAGATTTAGGTGAAAATTCAATAAAAGATCTGTTCTAAGTCCAGACAATTAATAACCACGAAGCCGGGATTTAGAGTTATCCAGAATTAATTGACATAGAAAATAAGAGAAAAAGCAATAATAGCGTTTACCTAAAGAGAGGAGAGGAGAATTGCATCCAAAATTTTGCAGGTTCTGAAACAGAGAAATAGAAAAACCCATAATTAATTGTGTACACAGTAGAAGAAGACGTGCGCAGGAGAGCTGCATAAACAAGTCAAAGTGGAGCAACCAACGAAAACAAAATCCACTGATGACAAAATTTAGGCGACGGCGAATATGCTTACCAAAGTGAGAGAGAATCCTAGTGCGAAAGCAGACTCTAGGATTCGCAAAATCGAGGAAGAAATTGCTAGGGTTTCGTTTGGGGAGCCGAAGGGACACGATCGAAAGGGTTCGCCGCTGTGGAGAGTGTCTGGTGGTTTCAAAACTTCTTATAGAGAGTTGCAACGGTTTCGAAATGGGAATTACAGATTCTTTTCCTAACTAGGAATATTAGAGATAATATTTGGTGGTGATGAAAACAATGTATTTGATAAGAATACAGATTTCATAGCAAGAGAAAGCACTTTTATGTATTGATTTTGGAAAAGAAAAAAAAGTTTAGAGGTTGTAGTTTTATTAGATAGTTGATGATGTAATTGTATTAAGATTTTTAAAACAATTATGTAAAGATTAATACAATATATTTAACTCATTTTTCACACGAAAAAACCGGTAAAACGGTTACAACTTTACAACTTTCCGGTATATTTAACTCATATATCCCGCAAAAATAAAAAAGGTAACATAATTACAACTTTCCGGTATATTTTACTCATATTTTGAGCAAAACGAAAAAAAGGTAAAACAACTACAACTTTATAAGTTTCAAGTATATTTAACTCATATACAACTTTCCACCTCTACGGTTGTGCGATTTTTTCGGTTTTCTCCACTCGTGTTCAATACTAAATTTGGTTGAGATTTAGTTAGTTTTTGTTTTCTCTCAATCGGAGTTTAGTTGAATATATCTCGATGTTACCAATATCGGCGAATAATAGATGGTTACAAACCTCAAGTGAGAAGTCTATCAAATCAGAATAAATAAGCATATGTTTCTATTTCAAAAATCTATCAAGTAGCAAGTGGGGACGTGAAAACTACAAACTTTTGGTGAGGTTTGTAATTTTTATCAACATCAAAATAATTTCTGATAGCAAAAAGAATCAGTGTATAGGATTAAGATTTATTTGGAAAAGTTTTAGAAAATTATAATTCTTTTTAGAAAAGAGAGGATCAAATTGTTCAACAGAAAAAGTTAATATTTCTCTGTAAATTTTTAAAGATTAATATCTCATTACAAAAAACTTATTTAAAAACTTTATTTAAAACTTGTTTAGCCTCCGGTAACTACAATTTGCTGGATCAACCATCGAACAAGGGACCTATTACAATTTTGAATCATGTCATTCGGTTCAAAGGCTTAGTGCACTGATCAGATTTGAAAACATGGGTTGTTGATTCAGTCCAAGGTTAACTTGTTGTTGGCTCAAGCCCAAGGTTAAAATTATCCCAGCTGCTGAAATGACAAAACTACCCTTTTAGCCCCCGTCATCTAAATCAGCCCTACCATTGGCGAGTTTCTGAAAATCGGCAAATCTCCGGCGACTTGGCAAACACTTTTCCGGCGTGGCTTAGCCTCCGCGAGCATCGTGATAACGTCTCTAATCGATGGTCTATCCTTCGGGAGCTTCGCAGTGCAGAGAAGAGCGATTCGCAGTGCCAGAAGCATTTCTTCGATCACGTGTTTACAATCTCCGGCGATGCTCGCGTCAATCACTTCTTCCAAGCTCTCGTTCTTCTTCACCTTCCTCCGAATCCACTCAACTACGTCAATCGATTCCTCAAACGAAGGATCTATCGGCATTTTCCCAGTCACCAATTCCAGAAGCACAACACCTAAACTGTATATATCGCTCTTCTCGTCAATCTTCAGTGTGTATCCGTACTCCGGCGCTATATACCCGTAAGATCCAGCCACCATAGAAACCGTCTCGTTCTTATGAAGCATCATCTTCGCCAATCCGAAATCAGCTATCCTCGCTTCGAGGTTTGAATCGAGGAGGATGTTATTAGATTTGATGTCTCTGTGAATGATCGGAGGATAGCAATCGTTGTGCAAGTAATTGAGACCTTGAACGACTCCGACGGCGACATTGTATCGTGAGAGCCAATCTCTTAGTAAGAATTTCTCATCTTTGGAATGCAAAGCAGTTCCCAAGTTTCCATTGGGCATGTACTCGTACACCATCATCACTTCTCTCTCGTTGTGAACGTAACCTAGAATCTTCACAATGTTTCTATGTCGGAGACCACCAAGTAGGTTCACTTCTCTGAGTATGTCGTCCTCTTCTTCTTCTTCGTGATGATGATCTTCGATATCATTCTGTGGTGATGGTGATCTCCACAGTTTTTTCACAGCTACTGTGAGTAATGGCCGTCTCATGACTTCTGCTTTGTAAACGATCCCCATGGCTCCCATTCCAATGATGTTTGATTCTTTGATATGTGATAAGATGTCTCCCGCAGTGAAACACAGTCTCTGGAAAGCCACGAGTCTCCATGGCCACTCCTCCCGAGGTTTCTTGCAGAATAAATACTCTCTGGCAAAGTTGCTGTAAAGATCCCATCTTGTGTATACCCATCTCCCTGCCAAGAACATCATTCCCAGAGACACAATGACTGAAGTTCCAACTATGAACCCGAAGATTGCGTGATTCACGTGAATTCTCCCTGGATTTCTGCCTTTTGCTGACAAAGCTAAGCTCTTAGGGCAAGGTGGTAGAACTCCACCACATAAGCCATCGTTTCCCACGAGGTCTTTTGGGTTTATGGCTGCAAACAGCATGTTTGAAGGAATGGGTCCTGCGAGTTTGTTGAATGACACGTTTAGCATCTCCAGTGTTGGGGAAGCTCCCAAGTTCGCTGGTATATTCCCCGTTAAAGAGTTGTGTGAGAGGTCAAGAACAGCTAACATGTGCATCCCGGCTAATGCCTCGGGGATTTCTCCAACCAATTGATTGCTCTTGAGATTGAGACTCACAAGTTTTTCAAAAGAAGCAATCCTTTCTGGGATTTCACCTGAGAAATGGTTGAAGGAAAGATCGAGGACAGACAAAGATGGACGATCTTGAATCTGGTTAGGTATTTTTCCGGCAAAGTTGTTATGTGAGGCGATGAAGGTTTGAAGGTTAGGACTTGAGAAAATGGAGGAAGATAGGGATGAGAGGTGATTAAATGATATGTCTATGAATGAGAGTGATGTAGATAAGGCTATATCATCTGGAATTTTACCGGTGAGGTTGTTTTTTGCGAGTTCTAGATGCTGAAGCATTGGTAAGTCGCCTGAACCAGCTGGTATTGATCCGGAAATGAGATTTTTCTGGATTCGAACGCGAACTAAAGTCGGACATGAGAAGATCTCCTCTGGAATCTGACCTGAGAATGAGTTGTCGAAGAGAATGAGTTTTGTGAGGTTTCTGGAATAGCACAATCCTGATGGTATTTCTCCGGAAAGCTTGTTTGATGAGACGTCTAACCACTTCAATGGGGAATTCTTGCCGAGATGCACCGGTAATGAACCCATCAGAGAGTTCTGCCACAGCTCAAGAACCTCAAGATTTGGTAACTCAGCAATCTTCGACGGAATGATTCCCGTTAGTTGATTCCTCATCAAATTCAGAAGCTGCAGATTCTTCAAGTCAGCTACTTCCATAGGTATTTCTCCTGTGATCTGGTTATCAGACAGATCAAGAAACACAAGAGAAGTCATACCACCAAGTTCTCGAGGAATTTTCCCTGTGAGACGGTTCTGGTAGAGATACACTGTTGTCAGTTGTTTCAGCTGCCCCAGAGAAGATGGAATCTGGCCTGTAAGGTTTCCAACAGCCAAATCAAGGTACTGAAGGCGCGTCAGGTTCCCAAACTCTTCTGGAATCTCACCCGTGAAGCCATTGTAACCAAGAATGATGGTCTCCAAGGAAGAGAGCTCACCAATCACCTTTGGTAACTTTCCACCAAAGTTATTACCCGAAAGACCGAGAAACTTCAGATTCTCGAGATTCTTAAAGGAAGAAGGCACCGAGCCCTCGAAGTAACCTCCTCGAAAGTCCAAAACCTCAAGTGTAGTTGCGTTGCTGAGATCTTCAGGGAGAACCCCAGAAAAATTGTTGCTTGAGGCATTGACGTGTGTGAGACCAGTGGCCATCCCTAGACCATAAGGGAAGGTTCCAAAGAAGCTGTTCACACTCACGTCGAAGACCTTCAAGGACGTGAGATTAGAAAGAGATTTAGGAAGAGAAGACTCAAATGCGTTATTGCTGAGATCAAGGACTTGCAGAGAGAGGAAGCTCTGAATCTGATCTGACACGTTTCCGCTGAGATTCATGTTAGAGAGAAGGAGCTTAACCACAGAGCCATTTGCATCGCAGTGAACTCCGCTCCAATGACAATGAACCAACTCAGAAAATGTTGTGGCATTCTCAGGTCGCTTCCAATCTTGGAGATTATTTGAAGGATCAAACAGGTCTGACTTGATTGCCAACAAGATCTCTTGTTCAGAATTTTGAAATGTTTCAGAAGAAACAAAAGGGAAAAGAGCGAAACCAATGTAATAGAAGAGGAAGAAAAGGTGAGGGATCGCCATTTTATCTCCTCTGTTTCTTCACTTTTTGGCTAATTTTATGGCATTTTTGTGCAACTGAGATTGAAGGTCCCCAAGCGAAGTTGATAATAAGAACCAAAAGCTGGAAAACAATGATTAGTCAGAATCTTATTTTATTTTAATCTCTCTCAATTATTTTATCATGATTGTGTTTCTTTTTCAATCGGTGGAATAATATACGGGTTCCATCGGCTTCATCACAATTTGTATGATACAGTAAATACTTCTTCGGTTTCTTTGTGTATCTGTGACATTACATAATTTAAAAACCGATATGATGGTTATGCTCAAACGCTAAAAGTAAGAAAACAAGATTTGATACAATTTCCTTGATGTTTTCATCCATGTTCGTGTGTTAAAAAAACTGCAAATTGTGTTTGAGAAAACGAAATTATAATTATAAGTTTGTTTTATCATCTACAAACGCAAATGCTAAATTGTGAAAAGTTGAACTGGAAATTAGACGAGCACTAATTCCATAACCATATCAGATTGCTGATCTGTGCAACCTCAAACGACTAAGTGTGATAAAGAAGATTAAAATAATGATGATGGGATATATATAATATGAAGAAATCGTGGGTTTCTGAACAGCTAGTCATAAAACACTGAGTGACTTGTAAAGCTTTGTCCTCATTAGGGATTTGTGGGACAGTGAAACATGGGCAGAGAATGTGTCTCACTTACTGTCCAATTTAACTATTTTCTATTCAAAGACGATTAATAATTAGGCAAGATAAGTGTTTAAAGAAAACTACCATGATAAATTAGTTCCACCTTACGAATTATTTGACACAGACAATTTTTTTTTACATGTGTTTTAGTTTCACTTAAATATGAGTAAATAATTAAAATAACGCAAAGTTTTTATAAGAGCATCTCCAATGGCTCAATATTGGAGTTCTCTCAATGGGTTCTCAGAATGAAATTGTGAAAAATTAAATAAAAAATCGTTTTTACAGAGAGAGCTGTCTCTCTTGAGAGAAACTTTGAAAGAGAAGAGAGACGTGTACGTGTCACGTTCTAATTGGGTGTTTTGTTTGACAAAACTGAAAAAAAAAACGTGTGAAGGAAACGACGATTGAGGGAGTCGGACGAAACGAAACGACGACGATAACCCTGGCGATGGTGACGGAGTCGGACGTTTGCTCCGACGATTGAGGGTTGAATTGAAGCAGCGATATGGTGTATGAGCTGTGGTTGCGCAAGAGCAGTGGTTGGACCGGATTCATCATTTTCAGAGGCGGTGGTCACCAGCGCCGGTGAAAGATGAATCAAATCGGAGAATCGATGACGGAAGCTCGTAATTGGTATGAATCTACTCGTTTTCTGCAGTTTATCATGATATAGTTTGGGGAATTTCAACACATGTTTTAGGATTCTTAATTTCTGATAAACAAATTACGGTGATATTTCTTTGTCATGATTAAATCGAATTGAGTTATTGATTGTTTGATAGTTTCAGATTAATAAAGTATTTCATCTCTAATAGTTGAAATTGAATACATTTCGGATTATAGTTCTATGTCTTGATTGAAATCTGAATTACGAAATAGATTGATTGCTTTTGCTAGATATGTAAATCTCCTTTACTTGCTTGATTCAATTTGAATTTTTAATGTTTGATGTTTATGCTAATAAGATTTTGTTGTCTCTGTTTTGGTAAGGTTAAATGGAGTGGTTGGTTAGACGATTGGTACAAGTAGAGAAGGCAAGAAACATTTATAAGTTATCACTTCACATCCACTAAATGGTGAATGTTGTTGTGTGTTTTACAGGCAGAAGAGGAGCCGGTTTTGTGTAGCTTCTTGTATGCTAGTATCTTGTCTGAAGTGTGACTGAAGAGTAGTTCTTCCATTTTTACACCTGAAGGTTGTTTCTTAACTGATTATTTAAAGACAGTAATATCTCTTGAATGATTATTTATTTGGAATGGTACATCTTTAGATGATGTTGAAGAATTCACGCAGTCCACGACACCAATAATGTCTACGTAATGGTATTGGTCTTGGTTGGTTTTGTTCTATTTCTATGATTCTATGCACTTTAACCTTGATGATGAGATCTTAGTCATAGGTCCCCATGGCCAAGTCATGCAACTGAAGAATGTAAGAACTCTCAAAATCCCAACTTTTTAATTATGTGATGAGGAGTGAGGTGAATGTTGTGTGTCAAGTAATCAAACGAGTCTCTCTCTCTTTATGTCTCTATTTTTATTACAGCACTTGTTGAAGGGCTAAGTTCACATTATCTTCAATTCCTTGTGTGTCTATAGTTCATTCTAGTTTTGCTATTGTTACCTGAAGAACATCCTAGTGAAGAACATCCTAGAGAAGATAATGAGTAATGACAAGCAACTAGAGTATTGTTACCTGAATGTTGTTTGATTTCCAGTATAGAAATCTTGACATTTAGCTAATGGCCATTATTTAGGTTCAATTGTTATGGGTTTTGCTCACAAATTACTTGAAAGTGTCACATGAACTTGTCCTCCTCCTTTGATCATAACTTTGTTGTAAAGTCTAGGACCATTGTAACTAGGCTAAGACACAACAGTTCTTCTTGTTATATCAAAACACAACTCTTCTTCTTGTTATATCAAAACAACAGTTCTTCTTGTTTTACAAACACACAACACTTCTTGTTTTCCAAATTTAAATGATTTATTCTTGAGAACCCTACCATTGGAGGAAGACAAATTCAAGAGCTCTCAAAAATATTCAAAACTTTAAATTTTGCAAAATTTAAATTAAACAATTGGTGAGAACCCATGGAAGAGCTCTCACCATTGGAGATGCTCTAAGGACATGGTTATAAGGTTAGTTCTATCATGCTTGAAGGTAGAGCTAGGTCGAGTTCCCGCATGTCTTCATTAGTCGGAAAATGTTTTGTTCGAATGGCGTCATTAAAAAAAACACATGAACGATGATGGTCGTGAGAGAATCGTCCCACGTTGTTCCAACATAATTAAAATTAGGGTAAGAAAGTTCATAACAATTCATTGCCAAGTTGCAACTCTAGGAACGTCCCATGACACCTACGGCCATATATACATCACATATACTTACACATGCAATAACAATTTTTTTTTTACACATACATTAATTAAGTTATTGTATTCATGTACACATATATCTTTTTCTAGATCTTATAAACGCAGATTTTTACGTTTTTCTAACTACGATTGTCAGAATGTTGTTTTCTATGTTAATTAGTTTGAGTCAATCAGAGATTTAAGGCCATATATATGATATATATGCATAAAGTTTGCATATTAATGCATTTTTTGGACAATGAGTTATGCATTTTCTTTTTATTTTTTTGAACAAAGCAATGAGTTATGCATATGACATCAAGACGTAACTGAATATGTAGCCGTAAGTCTGTAACCGAAATTGTTTATATTCGTGTGGGTTGTGACTTGTGAGTAGTACAATGAATCTACATATTATGCATGTTATTTTTTATTTTTTCATAGAACCACAGTTTACGTTTTGTATTAAGAACTTAGTAAATCCAAAATGTCAGCTTCGCCTTCATCTACAAGCTCTGCATTGTCCTCTTCTTGTTTCTTCAGTTTTTCTATCACATCCATTACTTCTCTATTGACGAGGGTTCATGACATTCCTCTGTGCGCGTAGTGTTCGTCCACCTCTGCTTATCTCTCTCACTAGAGTTTTCCCAGCAAATTTGGATTAATTTCAAGAAAGCCTTGCAGAAGTTATGAGCACAAGGTGTTGTCACAGGGAGAGTTAGAACTTGTCGACAGATCTGGCACTTAAATATTATGCATGTTGATCTCGCGTGAAAAACAAAGTAGCATTAAGTGCTCTCACGATATCAAAATAAAGTTTAGAACCATCAAAATGGGCCCTCTATCATTTTTATTTTGTCCTTAAAACCTAAAAACATATATATATTTAGATATACCTATTAAAGGAATGAATCATGTTTACCTTTAGAAGAATCAACAATTCAACATATTCTCGTGAGTGAATTTACACAACTCTATACATACTTGCGGATTAACATCTAAAATTTACACACCTCGAGCATATTGTATATCCATTATCGACCATGGTTCGTCCAACACATTAATTGTTGTAGGTTTGCAAAGTGGATATGGATAGTACCTCTAATTAAAGTTCTTTGTCCTTTCAAATTATCATAAGAGGAAAAATAATTGGACAAATCTAACTTTATAATATGCCCTTTCATATTTCACATGCACCCATATGGGACTTTTTTTTTTAATCATTATTAACAGTTTTTTAAAAATAAAATATATAACGGAATAACAACAACAATATATCCTATATGTGAGTGATGATACATGCATTATTAATTAATTATATGTATATAATATTACTCATGATTAGATCATAATTTCGATAATTTAGAGAGAAGATGAAGCTGGAGAGCATGTGCTAAGACCTTTCCATTAAACCATCTAAAAACTTAAATCTAATAAATTAAACCACCTAAAGACAATCAAAATGTATAATTGATTTCTGTAATTTGTAAATAAGAATATGGCCTCTTCTAACTAAAAGAAAAATCAGATTTATATAATAAGATTTGGCGACTAATAATTCGAGCCGGAGTAGACCGAACCGGATCTAATCGCAAAAGTAAATAGTACCATCTAAAAAGCCCAAGTAAAGATTGGGAAAAAGCCCAAATAGAATTCGAGCGACTGTGGAATTTAGGGTTTTAGGAGAAGTTAGTTTTTAGGTCTTAAGTGGAGAGAGGCGTTGAAGCTAGTAGAAAGTAAGAAGATGGCGAAATACAACGAGATCGCGAAGAAGAAGAGAGAGGCTAAAGCTGATAGAAAACGAGCAATTCACGGCGATCCTCTTACCAATAAATTGAAGACTAGAACTCCGGTCCCATCCCTCTCCGGTAAACGTCAGAGAAAACTCCTTCGCAAATGGCGCCGAGTATGTAAATTTCTTCTTTTTAATTGGTTTATACTAAGATTGAGAATCACATTAGGTCATATGTATTTTTTGTGGGTTCATGTAAATTATGTCTTTTGAGTAAGTTAAGTGGAAAAAGTAGTTAAGAAAGAGTTGTTTGATTCGTGAACAGGACCAGAAAGAGATGGTGGAGAAGGGTCTTGTTACAATGGAAGATGTGGAGATGGCTTCTGCTCAAGGTAATTCTTCATCATGAAATAAAGCTTCTTAAGTTATCTTGTGTTGATTGATCTCTGGACTTTACGGCATGAATGAAGTTTGTCAATAGAAATCTTGTTTTGGGAAATATCAGTTAGAATTATACTTTCAATGCTTAGAAATGTTTCTAGTATCTCTTGGATTTGGTCATCAGTGTATATAAAATCTGAAAGTTATTGGTTACATATTCATAAGGAGGTCATTTTTGTTCTGTATCTTATCTTTCTTTGAACCTTATTCAGATGTCTTCTTTTGTATATTGTTTTGTATATTTCATGAAATTATTCAGCACAAATGCTTGTTAGGAATCCTTTTGGTCTGGTGACTTTAAAAATTTTGTTTGCATTGCTTTAATTAAAAGCTGAGCTCTCTTCCTTCTGGTTTCAGCTGGATTAGACGAATCCAAGAAATCCCCCAAAAAATTTAGCGTTAAGAAGAGCTTGAAGCTCAATAAACTGAAGAATAAAGGTAATCCTTGACCTTTTTGCCAACCTAGATATCTCATAATACCTCAACGACTATTATTACTTGATGCAAATTACCCGACAATGGAAGTAACAAGATCTTTGCATTCATGAATCAGGTAAAAAGAAGAAAAACCAGAAAGCCAGTGGTGAAGTATCTGCTGATTGTATGCTAGAATGAGTTTCGTGTAAACCCATTTCATCTAACGGATGATACAAGTTTCTCAATGTCTGGTTAGATTCTTTCAAAAATGGGAAACTTGTGTTTTTGCATGAAGAGGATGCAAGGCAGAGGAGTGGAGTGTTTGATAGGATTTTATTTAAAGTTTTCCCAATCTTATAGTTTCTCAAACTAATTTGTTTTGTCGTATTAAAAAAGATCATATTTTGTATTCAGAGTTAGAGATGGAACATTTTGATAAAAAGAAAAGAACCAACTCACTTTCCTTTTTTTTCTTGACATCAATCCAACTCGCTTTCCTTTATCTCACTGAATCAGCAAAAACAACCAACTTGAAGTACCAATTATTCCTAGAGCTTTTTCTACGATGAATTTTTCCCAGGCCAAGATCAACCCGAGTATAGTTGACCTTTAGTCCTGTGGCAACTGGAGAACAGAACACTAACCAGCAGCATAATATGTAACTAAGAAGATAATGTCCCAAGTGGAGCAACAGACTAACCACACTAACCCAAATCTGAAGCCTTACAAATTTTACACGTTTTATCCAACAGATGTTGAAGATGACTATAAACAAATACATGTAACCTTAATACATGTAAACAAATACATCAAACAAATACTAGAGAAACCTTAATATATACTATATTAGATACCAATTCATAGAGCCTTCATGACATTGTATGATAATCCTCATTGGATTTTTATTTACATTAAAATCTTAAAGCAAATAAAAACAAACAAAGAAACCAAAACTCTACTGAAGCTGATTGAAAGGAGAAAGCTTCCATGCTGCCGAGGGCACGACCTTCCGCTCTCAATCCCATAAGAACTGAGCAAAACTCAAGTAACCATCGGAACTGGTTTTGCTCTAGGTAAACCCAGATGCCAAGAACCGATTTTGCTCAGGGGACCCAAAAAAAAACTAAACCCCACTAAACCGGCTGGTTGCTCCGAGAACTGACATCTTTAGGTACTGCAATATATCCAGCTGCTGCTACTACTACTACTATCACGCAAACTGTACAGGGAAATGTTTATTCGATCTCATCTCCCTGCGGAGACCAATGTTTTTTCGTCATTGGCGCTCATCGAAGGAAGAGGAACAGGGAGACTTGGGTTTAAATTAGGAGTGGCTGCTTCTTTCTCAACTGGTACAGGCTTTGGTGTGTAAGTAAAGTTGAGTTCTTTGTTGGCTGCAAGTGCCACAAGCTCTTTCTCTTCAAGGCCTTTAGTCGGTCCAAGGCTGCACCTATCTGGACCATGCTTCGCCAATGCATCTCTGAATTTCTTGATCTGAAAAAAAAATATCAAAATCAACATGGAACCTAACATGTTTTTAATTGGTCGTCTCATGTTTTATAGGAATGAGAACGAACCGTGGCATTGGTACAGCTAAAGCTGCAAACACGACCCTGAGAGCCACGGTAGAATCGGAAAAAAGGGAGAACATGGACACCGAGGCTATAACACATGGACTTGTGCTCCTCGTAATTCACCTGAAGAAACTGCACATCAGGGTTCATCTCTGCCAGCTGACATATCTGCAACACACATAAACCATCATTGTTAGAAAACTTGTTCGTGCCATCAAAAGTGTACCAAACAATCTACAATCCAAGAAGTAGATTGATACCTTAGGATGAAGAGCCTTGCAGCCCCCACAGCCAGGTGAGAAGAAATCAACAACAACAAGCTTATCACCAGCGTTAGTGAGAGAATCAACGAGTTCTTGAGCTGAAGAGATCTCTCTCATGTTTTCTTTCAAACCTTTCTCCCACCACTTCTGAGCTGTCCCAATCCTCAAAGTTGTCTGCAAATTTACACATGTCAGAAACATATTTTCACAGATCCAAAAAATCAACAGCTCAAATTGAAAACACATGAACCCTAAACCAAAATCTTCTCATCTAGCAATAATTCACTACAATATTAAAGCAAAACCCTAAAAAAACGTTTCTTTCAACAATTAGCTCTCAAGATCTTTCTAATTAGATCTCGCATGTAAAATTTGGGACAAACGAAAATGAAAACACAAGAAATCAAATTTACCTGAGCTGTGATGGCTGAAGATCGGAAGCTCCTTCTGAAGCTCTCGTCTTGAGCATCACCGAAAACGATCTGTTTTCCATGGAATTCACTTCTAAGAGGCTTTTGATTCTTCAGCTTCAGACAAGAGAAACTCTTTTTCAAACCAAACCCACCAAAACTCACCGGAGACAAAGAGAAATCATCTACACGGTGGTGTTGATTCCCACAAGCTCCGATGAACAAACTCGTTTTGCTAATCACTTCCGCCATAATTCTTCTCTAATCAATCTACCTCCGAAAGAAGAAAAAAATATATCTCTCTCCAGAATTTACCAGAAGAAAAAGAAAAGTTCTCACAGAGACGACGTGTCTTCTCAGCAATCTTTAGTCGCCAGCGAAGTTTCGTTTTTTATTTCTCAGGAAAATTTTAGCTTCCACCAGAAAATTTATAAAAAAAAAAGTGAAAAGGAAAGAGAAAAGGCCTAAAGGTTAGACATTTCTGGACAAGAAACTGTTTTCCTTCTCGTTAAGTGATCTTGACCGTTCAATTTGGATTTGGCAATTTTAAGATCTAACGGTGGATTCGCTACATCAGCTTTAGTCGGTCAGAAGAAAACTAATAAATGGATAAGGTTCATGACTTCTCGCGGATACTAAGGAATATGTATAGGATAATTTCTATTTTCTCATAACTTTGAATACCGATAAATGGATATATAGGTAATGAATCAAACAGTTTTGAAAAAGTTAAGTGAAACACTTCTATCCTCAAACATTTACCAATCAAGTAAACAACAAATTAGGTTATGAATCATCAAAATGGAAGCTTAATGTAGTCATCTGCAATAAAGTAGTGAAGGATTTAGAACCAAACAAAAGAAAAAAAAAAAAAGTAGTGATGGATAAATGGATTTGGAATTTAAGGAAGGTAGTTTGCCAACACATCACCCACGTGGGTCTCACACTCTCCACCACAACTCTCACCTTTAACCTTTTTATGAACTTTATATTATTGGAGATTGGCCACCTCTTTAACAAAACAATTAGAGATTAGCCTTCTAGTTTTTTAGTTTACATATAACCCCCTCAATTCCATAATGCACAAGTTTTTCGATTCACGACAATAAGTAGAACGTTCCAAGAGAGGTAAATTGGTGTGGGAAAACAACGAAGTCTATGTGTAAACAAACAATGTAAACAGAGCAAACGTAACAAATGTGACTAGTGTTGAACAGACAAAACAATAAAAACAAATTTATCTTAGTGTAAAACAAGCGTTATGTAATATATTTTTTGTCGGTAAACAAATTTACTTTTTGTAATAGCAAAAACAGAATAATCTTTTTATTAGAATACAAAAAGTTCAAACAAAACAAACGTAACAAATGTGACGAGTGTTGAATAGACAAAACAATCGTAACAAATTTATTTTAATATAAAATAAGCGTTACGTAATATATATATTTTTAGTAAAATATTTCTTTATAACCATGAAACGTTACAAAATTTAGTACATACATACTAACGTTATAATAGTGTACTGACACAATTTTTAAAACGATTTTCAAGCGTTACAAAATAAATATTGAATTGAAATTTTACCAATATAAAGGGTTTAATTGATTAGTCCGAATTTTGGATATTATATAGGGATATGATGGACATTGTACTTTTAAATTTGTCTACGATATTGAAACAATTTTGTAGATATTTCGGGAAAAAAAAAATTGAATAGTCTCCAAGTTTAGAGATCAATAAACTAGTGGAGATATTTTATTGAAGAGTCGTTTACATACAAAATTTGAATGAAATCTTTTTATTTGAAAAAATCCTAATAATTTGAATGGTTCAACTAAGGTGTATGAAACGTAACCAGAAAAAATTATACCTTAAGTTTTCCAACATGAACAGCAAAACACAAGAACCACAATTTTTGTATAAATGGTGACAAAAGTGCAGCTAACAACACCACCACCAACACCTCTTCTTTTAAATATACGTAATTACAACTTAGCCCCTATATTTTCTTCTAAATTTCGAAATCCTTAAAACTGTCTCAATCACACAAGTCGGCACTTAAACATACATCTAATTACAATTTAGTCCCTGTATTCTTTTTCAGTTTCGAAACCATTACAAAAGAAATTAACTCAAATTTAAAAATAGAAATAATTCAATAAATTTAGAATTGAAGAAACAGAAACAGATAGACAAATGGACGATAACGGATACATCGCCAAAATATAGCCGTTGGGGGGAGAGAAGAAATCACAGTAACGGCTCTTTTTCCTAAAGTCTTCTTATATTACAAAGCTTTTCTCTCATCTTTACCACATTCACATAATCGCTTTCACTTCACACTTCTCTCTCACATTCTGGGCAGAAACTTTGGATCTAGAACACACAAAGCACAAGAGTATGTTGTGCTTCGTTTGATTTCTCTCGTTTTGCTCTGTTACTTTCTCGACTGTGTCTGATTCTTGTAAAATTGTTGACTTTCAGGTTGAAAAGATGAACGACTTGATGACGAAATCGTTCATGAGTTACGTTGACTTGAAAAAAGCAGCGATGAAGGATATGGAAGCAGGACCTGACTTTGATCTTGAGATGGCTTCGACGAAAGCAGACAAGATGGATGAGAATCTGTCATCTTTCTTAGAGGAAGCTGAGTATGTGAAAGCAGAGATGGGTTTGATTAGTGAGACACTGGCTCGGATCGAGCAGTACAACGAAGAGAGTAAAGGTGTGCACAAGGCAGAGTCTGTGAAGTCTCTTCGTAACAAGATCTCTAATGAGATTGTGTCTGGTTTGAGGAAGGCGAAATCGATAAAGTCGAAGCTGGAAGAGATGGATAAAGCCAACAAGGAGATTAAAAGGCTCTCTGGGACTCCAGTTTACAGGAGCAGAACCGCTGTTACTAACGGGCTGAGGAAGAAGTTGAAGGAAGTGATGATGGAGTTTCAAGGGCTGAGGCAAAAGATGATGACTGAGTACAAGGAGACTGTTGAGAGAAGGTACTTTACTGTGACTGGAGAACATGCTAATGAAGAGATGATTGAGAAGATCATCACTGATAACGCTGGAGGTGAAGAGTTTCTCACGCGAGCAATCCAGGAACATGGTAAAGGAAAAATCTTGGAAACTGTGGTTGAGATTCAAGATAGGTATGATGCAGCAAAGGAGATTGAGAAGAGTCTGTTGGAGCTTCACCAAGTGTTTCTTGATATGGCTGTGATGGTTGAATCGCAAGGTGAACAGATGGATGAGATCGAGCATCATGTGATAAATGCGAGCCATTACGTGGCGGATGGGGCTAATGAGCTGAAGACTGCAAAGAATCATCAGAGGAGCAGCAGGAAATGGATGTGCATTGGTATCATTGTGCTGCTTTTGATCATTCTCATTGTTGTCATCCCCATCATTACCAGTTTCAGCTCTTCTTGAGATGCTTACTATGTTCACTCCTTGTGGTTTGTTTTCGCCCATTGGATGTCTTAATCCTTTTGTGTGCTGAAAAAATGTCTTAATCCTCTTCTGTCTTGTATCCATTTTTAATGAAATGATGAATGTTTTTTACAAAGATACCCAATTGTCTTAATCCTCATGATCACAGTTTCAGTTCTACTTGAGATACTATGTTCACCATACTAGTTTCAGCTCTTCTTCTTGAGATACAATGTTTAGTGTTTACCAATTGTGGTTTGTTTCGCTCAAATGATGTTTTAAGCCTTTTGTGTTCTGTATCCAATTGTTTATAGAATGATGAATGTGTACAAAGATATTACTTTATATGAACTGAACACAGTATGTATAATATAGTTTGGACAACAATGGTGGTTCTTGGTTCTACCTGACCTTCCTAATTGGCAAAGCTTTACCAAACAATTTTTCAATCTCACTTGCTTCCATTTTGATCTCATCCAAAAACTCCATCTCTTCTTTACTGAACTCTCTCACGAAATTCTCCTCGTCTTGCTTCAGTTCGTTAAATCCTTCAGCCAATCTCTGGAACAAGGACATCTCAGTCTTACCAACTTTCTCCACTTCCTTCTCTACTTCCTCTTCTAACTCTTCAACCTCTTTTACGATTATCCTTTCCCCTTCTTCTACTGTCTTCTCAATTCTTTCTACCAGTGGAGGTTCAGGACCACATGTGTTATCTGTTCTAATGAATGTACTGAAGTCTCTGCCTATGCTTTTTGCTGCCTTTTCTAGTTCTGGTATAATGCTATTGGGTAATACAGAACTTCTTGTGTATACAACTGCACCACCATATCCATCCCAAGCATCGTTTCGTCCACGGTAGTATACAAATATATAGTCGTCAGGTTTATTCTCTATCTTTGAAGACAGGATATACCTGCAAGAATCATATGAAAACTTGTTAGGCCAAAGAAGAGAAGCACGACATTTCCCTTGTGGGTGCATACAAGATGTTATTACCAGTCATCTTGATAGTGGAGGTACTCGTTATCATGATTGTAGAGAACACCAGGTTGGTTAGGATCTTGCACAAATTTTTGTACAGCTGACCTAGTAAAGAATCCACTGTCTAGGGTCTTTATTCTCCAGGAGATGTTGCCAACAAGTTTGTTGTCACCTTCTGTGTGGAACTCATGCAGCTGGCAGTCGAAGGCATCAAAGGTTGGATTCAAGCCACTTGTAATGTACCACTTCCCGTTAAAGTCCGAGATGTTGAAGTTCTGGACAAGAACAGAAGGGTCTGGGGCAGGAAATTCTCCGAGATCAGATTTTCTAGGAACACACTTTTTTCTCGACACAGCACACTCGTTGAACTCATCAACTACCTTGTTTTCGAAAAGATCCCCGCATTTGATCTGAAATCAGCGCATATTTTTAAACAAAACCATTGGTCTCGTCTCCAATAAGAAAGCAATATCTCTGCCTCAAAATGATACACAAAATAAACTTTTAACCTGGCACTCGGTTTCATCTGGACGGTTATTACAAGTCTGGAGGCACGCGACATTGGCTGCGCAGGCAGGGTTGGCAATGCACTTTGCGAGTTCTATCCTAACAGATAATTTGGCTTCCATATGGTCAGACAATGAAAGAAATATATAAAATTTTGGCAAAAAAATCAGAAAGATATCATCAACTCAAATCAGCTCTATCATAGACAGACACTAACTTCATCTAGATGCACAAACAACCGGCACATTCTCAACAACTGAAGCGGTATGGAGCCATACAATTCAAAACATGCATATCCTCACAATATTTTCCACAGTGAAAATAAAACCGGTTTTGGTGCGGAACACTATGCAGAATCCAAACGAAGGAAAGTTACCTGCATCCCTTCAATAAGCATGCACAAGTCTTAAGTGCATCAACTGCGTCTGCAGATGGAACAATGAGGAAGGCGCAGGCTAAAACACCCACGAGTTTTAGCAACAGTGGAGTGGTCAGCTCCTTGAGTTCATTTTTTGATGGTAATGCCACAATGTCAAATATCCCCTGACATGATCAAAAGCAATGAGAATGATGATCGAAATAACAAATTTGTATAGAAACACAAGACCTGGAATGATTGAGATTACCTTAGAGAATCCTGACCTGAATGCAGATATAGGGCGTGAGGATCTCCCCCCAGCATTTTGGATTGGAGGTAAAATCTTGAGCAAGAAAGTGCCATTGATCCTCTTTCTAGTAATGCCAAGCCGACCATCATCGCTTGAGAAAAATCGAATACGGTCATGACAAGGTGAAGTGAAACAATGTGTAGCTACTGCCATTAGCTTCACTCTCTAATCTTCCCCAAGCAATATTTGAAAAAATTGTGATTTCAGCTCATAGACATGGAAATCGACGACAATTCGGAAACCAGGAAAAAACAGAATAAAGCTAAAGATTGCGATTTTGGGTGTTGAAAAGACTAATTGTGATAATTTGATATCAGAGTTAGCGAGAGAGACGATGTTACCAAGCAAAGATTGAAAGCTCCGCGGGAAGAAGAGAGACAGAGACAGAGACGGAGAAGAAGATATTTAAGAAATATATGCTTTGCTTTGGATAAGGCTTGGAAGAAGAGTGTTCCGTGTGGTGTGTGAACGAAGCCGCCTCCTCCTCCTCTTCCTCTACCCACATTTTTTGTCCTAGGCGCTTGTTTTCTCCAAATATCTCTAATCTTTGGATTTTTATTTTTTTCCAATTATTTTATTTTTTCAGACAACAAAAATCTTTTTTGATTTAGCAATTTGCATGTTATAAAATCTTGTGGATATGTGAATAATTTTTACGATTTAGTAGTATTTCTCAAGAATAGTAAATGCTAAAAATAATAATTTACTGCTTGTTATGCTCGGGTGGGTGGGTTCTATGCACAAAACATTCCATTTTGAAAGAAGAAAAAATAATTATGATTGTGCGACCAAGTATTGCTGCAAATGGTTGCTTCTTTTCTTGTTCTTTAGTTTCCTGAATGCAGACGACTCTATCTGCCTCACTCTCTCCCTGCTCACTCCCATCATCTCTCCTATCTCTTGCAACGTCTTCATTCTCCCATCCTCCATCCCAAATCTCCAACGTATCACTTGCTTCTCCCTTGTACCCAACGAGTCCAACACTTTGTCCAAGTCCTGCCTCATGAATTCCTTTATCAGTATATCTTCTGACGTTACTGCTTCTGGATCTGCTATCACTTCCTGCATTTTTTTACACACCCATCTCAGATTTTACTATTTTAAAACAAACAGAAAGACTATCTTGTATGGTCTGTGTTGTGTCAGGAGGTACGAACCGAAGGTTTGAGGTTTTGATTCATTCCGATTTTCTGGTCTAGCGACCTTGGAGGTTTAGGAGAGAGTAGAACCGCCATGAGCCTCTTCATCGATAGCCCTGTTGCCTCTGCAATTTCTTCGTTCTTTGGGTGCTTACCGGTTTCACTGTACAGTTGCTTTCGTGCCTCTTTCACCCGATATGTTGCTTCCACCATGTGAAACTGCCAATCATCCCATTAAATTTTGAGGCACAATCCCAAACCTTTGTTTAAACAAGTAAAAAGGAAAAACATTTGGGATGACTTACAGGCAATCTTATCATTCTGGACTGATCAGAGAGAGACTTCCGCACTGCTTGCTTGATCCACCAATGCGCGTAAGTTGAAAATTTAAAACCCTTTGTAGCATCAAACTTCTCTGCTCCCCTCACAAGCCCTCTGCACCCTTCCTGTGACCATTTTGAGATTTTTTTAAACAAGATGGAAGTTATGGTAGTAACTTTTGCTAACAAGGTGTTCAATATCTATCACTTTCATCAGTACGGTAATAACAGATGTAATTATCACCAAAAAATAAGGAGAGAAAAGCTCAAACCTGGACAAGATCTTGGAGGTTCATCCCAGCTCCTTGATAATTCTTTGCAATCGAAATAACGAGTCGAATGTTGCTTTTAATCATTTTGTCTTTGCATAGTGTGCCATGATGTATACGTTTCCTTAATGATTTTTGATCGACTCCAGCAGCAGAAGCCCACTGCGCAAAGGTTGGCTGACGTCCACAACGCTCTGTAAGCTCTGTTTGAAGTCTTTCTAACTTCAGAAGGTCCTAAACAAAGAAACCAAAGTGTGTGATCAAGAAACCACAATAAAGAGAGATAAGAAAAATTACAGAGAAGAAGAAATAACGTTCAAAATCAAAATTGATCATTCAATAATGTTGATTCTTCCAAAGCTGAACATCTGTTTCCCATTTTCTATCAATGCTAAACAGGTGATGATTGATTGGCTCCATAATAAAGAATGTCAGGATAATTAGCTTTCATAGAACATCAAATGATAAATTGGTTAAGAAAGCACAAAGGATCGATCTTGGATTCAACCATCTAACCACTAATTTCATCATTCTCAAACATCTAACGATTTTGTAAACATCATTTTCGCCCAGAATCTAGAGTCCTACGTAGGGAGAGTTTCTGTGATGTTTCAGATGCGATGCAGAGAAAGGGAAGTGGTTAGTTTAGAATTTGGAATATTGGTGGCAAACCTGTATTCCTGCCGACAGCTCATGTTCTTCTCTGACAGTGAGAAGCTTGGAACTGCTTGTTGTCATTCTTAGATAACGCAAAGGATCATTATGGTCAACTTCTTGCGCAACAAGACGTTTCTTTCTAGGGCTCGAACCAGTCTTCACAGACGGAATACCTGATGCAGTTTTCTCTAACCCTTTTGCCCTCCGAGCTTTCCTTTCAGTTTGGCGTGTAGATCTCACAGCTAAACTAACTGAAGGTTGCTCCTCCAGAAGCTCAACTTCTTCTTGTTTTTCTGATTCTAAATCACCAGACAACTCTTTGTTAGAGGCAAGTGCAGTGATTTTATCACTCACAATTCCATTGTCCGAAACCGCTAGATGTCCCAATATGCCAGCACGTTCCTTCTCAGTAAACTGGTCCCACTTTGAGCGTTTGTCGGCTGTTGATGAAATTAATAGGTTCGTGTTGTTACTGTTCTTAAATAATGTTGCATCTTTAGCAACTTTGACAGCAGCTCTTGCAAGGGCGACTGCTTCAGCTGCTGCAGCTACAACTACTGCGTCATCACTTGTGAGAAGTGTCTCAGAGGCTAAAGCTTCTAAATATTTTGCCTACAAATACAAGGAACTTATCAAGTGGACTTCAAATAACAGCAGCTACAGCTACAAAATACCAAGAATAACTTTGTTTGTGCGTGTGGGACTAATAGTCACTACTCTGATACAAATAACTAAACGAACTAATCTTAGTCATTCACTATTAAGCCGATGAACACACGGTGATTGCATAGAAAATATATGAACAACAATCTCATTGAAGCTTTGGGAACCATTATTAGACTGATGTAACATGTAAATATACAAATATTAGTTACCTCAGTGGAAGGAGCATCGGCCCTTGTATAAGTCCATTGCCTGTCTGATATTCGGGAATCTGAATCAGTATCGAAAGAGGGTAGTCTAAGCTTTGCCACATCAAGCGTAGAAGTTAATAACGCCGGTGAAGTGGATACCGCACACTGCGGTTGGAAGAAGACTGAACCCTTATTGTGTTTTGCTGCACGTTCCAACAAAAGTGTGTCACATCACACCACATCCAAAAAAATTGTGAACATTTGAGAAATAAGATATCACATTGATTAGGATGACATAGTGCACATTCCTGAAAATTGTGTTCCTTTCTATAACACTAGCAACAACTAGATATTGGAATTGGCTAATTCAAGGAATTTCATAATCAAACAATTGGTTAATTGGGTCTACAAAAATTTCTAGTATCAGCTTCTGAGCTAACTAACACAACCCTCATCGATAAATTTGGATATTTACTACTACATTCTTCAAATTGATATGAATCGATTCATGAATTGAAGCATGAGAACAGAGCAAGGAAATTAACATGGAAGGAATTACAGCTAAAGCATCAAAAAATCACATCCAACAAAAGATAGATAAACCAATCTGGAATTGAAGTAGCTAACATATGCTTTAGGGACAATATAAATTGGACATGAGAGAATGTGAATGAGGGAGAGAGAAGGAAATACTAACGGGCACAGAAAGAGGTTCGGAAGTGAATAGAGAAAGAATCAGGTGGGCACTTGAACTGAGGAAGAAGACAAGAAGACATGCTCGTTCTTAGCCTATATTCGAAAGCTAAGTCTGACCATTGATTCAAGGGCCGTAAAGAAGATTTGTAGAGAGAGAGAGAAACTGGTGATGGCGGATGAAGACGAAGAAGAGAGGATAAAGCTTCTCTGTCAAACAAAGGGATTCATTATTTCTAATTTTCACTTCTTTGGGCCTATTAACTTTTGGCCCAATCCCATCTTACTATTACCATCTTTGCAAAAGTCAACCATATGTAATAAGAATAAAATAGTTTTTTTTTTTTTGGTCGGCTTGAAAAGTAAATAATTCATCCATCGGTTGTACTTGTATCATAAAATGGCTTAACCCTCTCGACTTTCTCTTTCGTCTTCGATCTCGTGTTTATTATAGGCTTATAGCTTTGGAGAAAGTTTCAGGAGAAGTAAAGTTAGTTGTTAGTTATTTCTTCTTTTGTGTCATACACATATTGGTAACATAAATATACCAAATTCTACAAGTCATGTTCATAGATTCTCTGTTTCCCAGTTTCCCTAAATGGACTTTACCTTGTACTGATTCCTTCAAACAAACACAGAAAAAAAAGAAGAAGAAAAACAAAAAAAAAACTCCAAGTGAATGCTTCTAAACGTCTAAATCTTCATCCTTGTTTCCTCCGGTTATAATGTTCATTAGTCTCTTAGTTGCACTGCCGATTGCGTGAGAAGTCTTCTCTGCTGCACCAGCCACAACAGGTTGCAGTGATATTTCTGGTAAATTTGCTCTCTCTTCAATCATTGCTGAATCACAAGATCAAGGTCACCACCATCAGATCATAATTTCCGCTTTTTCTGACCAGAGTGACTGTTGCCACCATGAACATCAGCTTTTAATACAGATTATTCAAAAGATTAGAAGCTTACAGAGAGTTTGCTCTTGTGCAAGTGTTCCAATCTGTTTGATTCCAGCTTCAGCTGCTTGAACCGCTTTAGCTGATTTGTTTATCCCATCAGCTATATCTTGGCTGAAACCATTTACATCGCATAGTAATGATTTAGACAAATTTTGTTATTCCAGACAGATAAATTAATAGGTGACTGGGACGAAAGAAAAGAAAAGAGCTTTAGTGATCACCTTAAATCGCTCAATTCTAGAGTAAGATCGCTTATTTCCATGCCGGAGAGCCTTACCGCTGCCAAGGTACTTGGAAGTTCTTTGCGAGCTGTGTCGGCTAACTTTGCAAAGGAAGTTGCAGCTCTACCCATGGCCTGAAGGTGTGTAAGTAAATATAGGACATATTGGATAGATATGAATCCAAGAACAAAGATACATAAACTGAAAAATTCACCAAGCTTTGTTGAATTCAGCCAAATTTAAAAAGAGAAACAATCATATAGCTGAACCAAATCTAGGACACATATAAAGAAGAGTGAAGTGTGGAATTCAACAATTAAAGGTTTTAGTTCAATCTTTTATCTGTTATTGTATTCATGTGTTGCTCATTAGCCTTTTCTCCTTTAACAGCAAGTGTGGAGTAGAAATTTAAAGCAAAGGACTACACTCATGCCATAGTTTCTCACTGAATTTTGGAAAGGAAAAATGTCGATTGTTGATAGCATATTACAAATACTCAATCCATTTACTAGAAACAGTTTTAAAATAAGTGATTCCAGGGGAGATAAAGCTGAAACAAAAGGATTGAGACAAATGTGGAGACTTACCAAAAGTGTAGGAATAGCTGCAATCACAAGACTTGTAAAAGCCACTGAAGTCTGTAAACAGAGGACCATCAAAGAGATCAAAAAGTCTAAACCTTTATCAGTGAATTAACACGAGCCAAATCTTTTACCGTGCAAACGATGAAGGCCAAGAGAAGAAATGCTTGATCACTCAAACTCAGCTTAGCTAATGGATTAATTGAATGCAGAGAAATTGGACTGCCCACTTGCATCTTTAGATTGTTAAGCGAAGTACCTCCGAAGACACTGATCGATGCCCTAGACATTCCACCATTGGAATCCAACGATTTCTCAGAGCTCGAGGGGTTTGAAATACTGCATCTTGTTGGATGGGATAAGTAGGGAGAAGATGGAATCTTGAGAGTAAATCGATTCAAGCTTGTTCGAGAAAGAGGAAGAAATGGAGACGAACGAATCAATGGAGCTGTAGAAATGAAGCAGAGAGATTTCATTTCTCTCGGAAAGCTGTTCCTACTGCAGAACTCTTCTCTTTCTCTCCTCCAGCTCCAGGTAGCCAAGTCCGGTTTTCTTTTATTTCGGTCCAGGCCGGTTTGTCCGCCGTTAAATTAAACCACCGAGTAGTATTTGATGTTGTGATGTGGTTTAGACATTAGAGTATGGTTAGTACAAACCGGGATTATACCGGCATTCTTATCCTTGAGTCAATTGTGAATTGAAAGCTTCATCTTCTTTTTAGTACAAACAGTGATCTGTCACTAAAGCATCATCAAATCAGTCGTCAATTACCGACCAACGGAATAAAATCGGAAATTCTTAGGAAGAGTATGTTAAAACAAAATTTCTTTTCTTATAAACTTCATGTTTAGTTTAGTGACTGAAATGTGTTGCACAATTAGAATATACACTTTGATCCAGACTCATGGTATTGCAGACAAAATGAGGTCAAGAATTCTTCAGATCAGATAGTGCATCCCTCGTGGTGGCCGAGATGACAGCGTCCGAAGCATTTGGCAAGTAATAGTATTTTCCTATGAGGAAGAACAATCAAAACACAACGTGATTATTGTCTGCTTTAAAATAACAAAAATATATCTCAAACTTAATTGCAGAGATCAAACCTTGAGCAACTCTTGCGATCTCCTTTGCAAAACCAGTTGAAACAAACTTGTTCTCAGTATCAATCACTAGAAGAGACATCCCTGCCTTGTATATCTTCCCAGCAACTTCCAGAATCTCATCCTAAACAACACAAGACCCGCATTTTTAATCACTGCATCTGCCTTCACACAACACAATGTTCAAGGACAAAGAGCTTGTTTTGCTTTATGTTTTCCGTTAGAAGCTGTTTACCTTCAATTCTTTGGACGTGGGTCTAGGCGCATCTGGGGCAATAGAGTCCGGATCAGTTGATCTTTTCAGTGTAATGTTGGCTCGACCATCGGTTATCGCAACAATCATTATGCGCCCGACATCACCACTCTTCTCTGCGTTGAGTCCCACTCTTACAGCCTGATATGAATTTAGTTATTGCTGTTATTATTATGCTGACCCACAATAATGGTGTTAAGACCACCTTAGTAGTTATCATACTAACAAAACCATAATTTGACATACCGTTGTTAAACCATGGGCAAGAGGAGAACCACCACCACAAGGAAGTCTCTCAAGACGATTCCTTGCCATTGCAATTGATCTAGAAGGGGGCAAGAGCACTTCCGCAGCATCTCCTCGGAAAGGAATAATCGAAACCTAAACCAGTTACTGGTGTATGAGTCTCATCCGAAGGCCCAACGAATTCATTCAAACTAGCAACAAGCACGTTTACTATTCAAAAAAAGTAACCTTTACCTGATCCCTGCTAGTATAGCTCTCTGCCAGTAGTTTGAGTGCAGCACCTTTGGCGTTTTGCATACGATTCAATGCCATACTGCCACTTGCATCAACCACAAAGATAACCTGCCATACAACAATGGTAAGACAGAAGCGTAATCAGATATTATCTATGTTTTCACTGAAGCTTGTTTCAAGGAAACTGTCAAATCTATCATGCCAAACATCTTTGTGTTTGAAGTATAAGTGAGAATAATGTTGTATCAAGGAAACTGTTTATATACAGTCTTTTAGAAGAATGTATGGACAAGGTTCAGTACCAGGGCTCCAGCTTTCCTTGCCATTCTTTTGGCCCTCATATCTGTCTTCTCAACAAAGACTTTCCTAGTTCCTGAAATATCCTTCTCTCTGCGCAATTTCTGGTATGGTGCAGCTGCTCTAAGGGTTGCATCCACAGCTAATCTTTTTACTGGACCCTGTCAAAGTAAAATTGTTTAAGGACTATGCATGTTTGGGAGCCTGGAAATTTGTTAAGGGCAAACCTTTGGAAGCATTGGCTTTATATAGCGTCCTCTATCTTCTGAGAATATGACATTCTTCGCTCTGCCGGCTTTCCCCCGACGTTTCTGGGCTTGTTGAGCAAAGAAGAGGAGTTTTTCATCCACCAGACCGCCCTCAGCGTCAAATATAAACTCGTCAGGTATTTGGTCTTGTTGCTGCTCATTTTCATTTTCCTCATTGCTTTCATCCTACATTGTTTGATGATTTATACTTTAGAGAACCTTGTTCGTGTATTCAACGAGAGACACTAATGTGTACCGCATCCACTGACCTCTTCTTCTTCTTCTTGTTCTTCATTTTCTTCTTCTCCAGATTCGCTATTTTGTGGAGGAGGTGGAGGAGGTGGTGGTTGGTTTTGTTGTTCAGGTGGAGGAGTCTCATCTAGTGATGAACGAGGAAGAATGACCAGCTCAACCTATTGAAAAAATGGACCACATTTGCTAATCAATAACTGGAGGATGTCGTAAATACTCCATCCGAATCATTATAGAGAGTCATTTCTACATTGCTAATGAAAACTTCTATTAAGATGTTCAATTATAGACAGGCACTACAAGGAAAGTGAAAGTAAACATTAAATTTAAACCCTAATGACTAATTCTAACGAGAAAATGTTTCTGCCAGAAAACATATAACTATATAAGTTTATGACTTACTTGATCGTTCTGGGAAAGAAAACAAAAATAAATGAGCTAGAGAAGAGTACTTAACGGCCTTTCTGAGGTCATCAATTGTGACTTTTTCTCGTCCTTCAATTGCAGCTAAGCACTTTGCCACACGAGCTGCATACAATTCGGCGCGGTGTCCCTGTATCATAAATTTGTTATTTGGGAAAGGAATATTAAACGACTTCCAGGTAATCAATCATTGACAAAAAAATACGCCATGAGAATTAACTACCAAGTACTCCAAACACAGACATATATTATAGTAATATGATCATAACATGGTGAAATATCACAATCAACAGCGCAACAAAAGCACTTGATACCAAGCCCTGCTTTATCCAGTTTTGTTTCTAAATCAAAACAACTCTATCTAGATGTATCTTTCTGCCTGTGGTGAGCGATTTCTTGCATTCCTGTTTAAGGACTATACTAGTTGAAGTCTATAATCGTGACATTATCTTGCATGCATCTTGTCCTTTCTTTTCGTGTTTATCCTTATTCTTCCAGGAATACTTTAATATAGTGTAATTATTCCTTAAACACAAAATTACTTGAGAATTTTTGCTGAATACCTGAACACCACCTCGGACAGCTTCCAAAACCAGATACTTCAATTGCTCTCTACTTATCTTGATATCTTTCAAATATTCTCTAGCCAATATGATCTGCAGTCAGAGCAAACTGGATTATGACCGAGCAAAGTGGGATGAGAAGCATAGCATCCCATCCAATTTTTCCTAATGGGGCATTGTACCAGCCCTTTTTCTCTTAATTCATTTGAAGATACCTGCGTCTTTGCTGTCTCTGTCTCTTCATTTACCATCCTAAAAACCTCATTACAGCGTTCCTGAAACTGTGTGGCAATGCCAACTGCTGCGACGCGATCTTCAAAACTCATAGGAAGGTCTGCACTGCAAATGTTAACATCGTGATGTAAAAAGAGGAAGAACTGGGAATTTCCCAAAAGAAACAGACCATATTTTTCACACTTGATTCATAAACTCCAGCAATACCTTAAATTAATGGCAACACGGTCTAGCAAGTGCTCTCGAACAGCACCTTCTTCAGGGTTATAGGTTGCAATTAAAAGTGGTTTGCATGGGTGCCTAAAGCTGATTCCTTCTCTTTCAACTATATTAACACCATCCGTCAATACATTGAGAAGCAAATTACTAATTCCCTCATCTAAGAGATTTATTTCATCAACATACAACACTCCTCTATGGGCTTCAGCCAAAAGACCAGGTTGGAAAACAGTTGTCCCCCTTTTCACAGACTCCTCAACATCAACAGACCCAATGAGTCTGTCTTCTGTGACACCAAGAGGAATCTGTGTAATGCAAATGAAAGAAAAGCCTAAGTATGAAGAAAACAGTTTCAGAAAGGTTGTAATGGCTCCTAAAATTAAATGTACCTGAATGAAAGGAGATTTGACAATCTCAGTCTTAATGGTATTATCAGCATTGTACTCTATTCGCTCATCTAAGTCGTCTTCCCACCTAATGTATCATAGGGTACAAGCCAGCAATGTATGAATTGAGAAGAGAATGTAAATAAAAGAAGAAGAAAAAACAGTTCTTTTTCAGCTTGTAAGAATCTTACTCATCTGGGCAAGCTGGGTCAGCATTTGATATTGAGCCTACAACAACTTCTATAGGAGGCAGGATTTCATGTAGCCCTCGAGCCATGACTGTTTTTGCAGTGCCTCTACGACCTGAAATAGCAATCCCTCCGATTTCACGATCAACAGCGCCAAGTAAAAGAGCAGTTTTTATGCCTTCCTACAAACAACATTAGTTAAAGCAAACAAATTACATACCCTGTGAGGCTTTTGTATTTAAGGAAGTTGAACAAATATATGTAAAAGTCCCATAACACAGTTCACTGATGAAAAATTGAAGCTTTTTCTTATACCCAATTCAACTAAATCAAACCATTATCTATTAATGATGCAAATATACAAATGTATACGACACTCGATAGAGAAAATTGAATCAAATTGAGTAGAATTCTGCAAATTCTCTGACCTGGCCAACGACTGCGGCCAAAGGGAAAAACTGTCGGCCATAGGAGGTGGTATCCGTATCCGTCTCCGTCTCTGATGTCGAGGCAGGGACACCGTTTGGGGATTCGACGGTAGCATTGGCGGAGGCACGTACAGTGAAGCGGCAAGACGCACTTCTGTTTCGTTTGGGGAGGGAGAGAAACAGAGGCTTAGGTAAGAGATCAGGGAGGATATTGCAGCGAAATAAACGGCACGTTGAAACTGGAGACGATGACGCGACCGGAGTCATCGCCATTTTCAAAGATAGGAGAAGAAGAAGTTAAGAGAGTGTATTTTCTACTGTATCAACCTTATCAGCTTATTTGGCTCCTCTATCTTTTGTCTCCTCATCTTTTCCTGATTTCAGCACTATCCATATTAATTAAGATTTCAATAAAATGTCTCAAAATTTATTAGTATGAATTTCGAATATGATATTTATTATTTTATAAATTTATTAATTAACCGAAAAAATAATTAAAGAAGTTTTATAATTGATTGGAGTTACGTTTTTATTTTATTTATATCTTAGGAATAACGAATGAACAAAGTTTGCATAAGAAATCATAAAATCTTTAAAAGATGGTTTAAGAGTATGGGTACATTTAAAATTTTAAATGTCGCTTGGATTTAGAAAACAAGAGATAAATGTGTAAATATAGACCACAAACATATTAGCTATAACTAAAAAAATGATCATCAAGGGGAAAGTAGGCTAAATCCTATAAATCTCCAAGGGATCATCCTAAATTTTATGAGTCATTCATAAGAAGAATTGAGTTAATAACTGCAATAACTAGGTTTTCAAAAGGCATCATCGACTCTTAACAATCACAAATCCTATTCAACATCATATGCTCCAACGTTCCTATATGTTATTTACTTATTTCTCATTAAACAAAAAAATGCAAATGCAACTAACGGTTTTAAAATCATCTTTTGTTTATTTAATTAAGACTTTTAATATAAAGCAAATAAGACAAAATACGATATATATTCAAAATGAAAGCGAAATTATCAACGCGACTGTTTTCTCCTGACTTAATTCTTGACTCGTCTCCAAGCAAATTAAAGAGTCCAAATGATAAATTAATGGAGTAATAACCAAAGATTAAGTAATATCATCAATGACGAAATAGACAAACATAGTCAAAATAAAATAAGTTTATTGTGATTTAGTCTGATCTGTCTTCTGTATTTTCTCAATGGGTCATCACTCATCTCTTGTAGGCATGTACCGTATACGATGATCACTAATAGGCTGCTCTCACGGCTCATTTTAGAATTGTAGGTACGTTCCGCTTAAGGCATCCCTCTCTATTGAAGCCGGCCATTTGGCTCTTGGGAAGTACTAGTAGATCACATACTCTAAAAACGTATTACGCAAGTCAAATCAGTGATCATTATTAATTATATGCATCTAGGTGACTGCTAATCACGCTTGTGCAAGTGTGCATCTCCCACACGTCTCTCGTGGTAGCTACCTATGTCCCTAATATATGTGTTGTCAAGCGTCTATTGATATATGCTTGCCATCGTCTCATGCATGTGTCTCATATTTATGATCTTCAAATTAAACCACGAATATAGAGCAAACAAGAGACGGATATTGTGGTGTATCATGCGCCAGTTTTTGTCCTACCTATTGTGGTGTATCATGCGCCAGTTTTTGTCCTACCTACTAGAACTCGTAAAGATCGGCAATCATAGTCTTCTCTTCTGGATTTATACGCTACCAAATGCTAGCTCAAGGCAAAATTGATCTCTCCAAACAGGTAAGTGATGGTCTTGTTGGGAAGTCTATCTACCTGCTCTCCTAAACATTTGGATTGGCTGTTGTTCCGATTTGTAAAAAAACAACACGTTGCTTTGTATAATAACATTAATTTATATAATTGTGTTCGGTGGAAATATTTATAAATCCGACGGCTGACTCTGACTTCACAAGTTCGACAAAGTTTTTATGGTTAAACTAAAAAAAAAAAAAAAAGCTAGTGTTAGGTTTAGTTTAAATGTTGTTTTCGTTAGTCTTAATAAATACAAGTAAGATAGAGATTGATGCACATGTACCTTGTTGTCTCTGCCCACTTATTATTACACAGCGTCGGTGCCAGTATTGACAACAAGCTTGCTCACACATTCGGATATGTGTCTTTTTCTCTACAATTTTCAAATATGATTGGTCCGATTTCTTACAAAAGTTTTCCAAGTCCAAAGGAAATTTCCACGGAAGAGCAATCAAGTTTTGCGTGCTAAATGAAATTCAAAGAAATTTGTAGTCCATATGAATAAAAATTTAATAAATTTGCCTAATTAGGTTAACCAATCTTGTAACAAGAAAAGGGCAAAATGGGAATACAGAAAAAATAAAAATGTGTTGTTGTTTTGAAACTACGAGAAGAAGGAAAGGCAATATATATATACAGTATAAGCTAATCTCCTATCCACATTTCTCTCTCACCCACCTTATAGACTTTTCTCGGCCTTTATTTTTCTCTAATCTTCTCTCTAATCACCAAAATTCGTATTTATTTTTAATATTTTTTTTTGTTCCCGAAAAAGTATTGAGAATCGCAAAAAACTGAATTGCAAAAAAATATTTGAGAAGGAAAATACAAAAAACAAAACACAAAACAAAACAAAAAAAGTTTTAAACAAAAGGCAGAGGAGATCGTGAGAGACAGAGAGGCTGCCGAAGAAAGGAGAATTTAGGGTTTGGAGACTTTTGTAGAAATTTGGCGTTACGTTTTTTGTATTTCTTCAATTATTTCTCATCTGCTCTCTTCATATTGGTAAGATCTCTCTCTTTCGTTTTTTTTTTTTTGGGTTCTGCTCTTTGTGTAATTTCTGAATCTCTTCATCGCTGGTTCGGATTCGTCATCTGATTGATGTTTGATTGAAGAATGATGAATGAATTACATTTTTTGTTACAAGTTTTTTTTTCTTTTTTTTGATGATTCTACGATCTGATTTTATCGGCTTTAGTTTCTTCTCGCTTCTGTTCTTTGTTGTTTTGGATTTCAGATCTGGTGTATTTTTTTTTCTTTCCTGCATCAGATTGGTTGTTCCCAAAACTTCGGAAACCTCGAATGTTGAATGCTTTCAATAAAAATGACGATTTTTGAAAGGCTTTTTTACAGTTTGGAATTGGCCTAGACTCTCAGTGGCCGAACTGGATTGTCTTAGAGAATTTACGCATAACAAAAAGAATTGTTTTTTTTTTTGTGTGTTGAAGATTTTTTTGTGTGCCTTTAGTTCGTTTATGGAAGCCCTTTTCTTCTTCTGCCATTTTTGTTGTTAATTGGATAGTATATCTACTTTAGGAAGATCCTCCTGCTAATAGCTAAAGATGTAGCATTTATTATATATCACTCACTTGAGCTAACTTTTCCCATCTTTTTTTTTGGTGGGCAGTGTCTTTGAACGCTTCATCTCCTCGTCATGGTGGCCACCTCTGCTACTTCGTCATTCTTTCCTGTACCGTCTTCTTCGCTTGATCCTAATGGAAAAGGCAACAAGATTGGTTCCACGAATCTTGCTGGACTCAATTCTGCACCAAACTCTGGTAGGATGAAGGTTAAACCAAACGCTCAGGCTCCACCTAAGATTAATGGGAAAAAGGTTGGTTTGCCTGGTTCTGTAGATATCGTAAGGACTGATATCGAGACGTCACACCCCGCCCCAAGAACTTTCATCAACCAGTTACCTGACTGGAGCATGCTTCTTGCTGCTATAACAACGATTTTCTTAGCAGCTGAGAAACAGTGGATGATGCTTGATTGGAAACCCAGGCGTTCTGACATGCTGGTGGATCCGTTTGGTATAGGGAGAATTGTTCAGGATGGCCTTGTGTTCCGTCAGAATTTCTCCATTAGGTCGTATGAAATAGGTGCTGATCGCTCTGCATCTATAGAAACCGTCATGAATCATTTGCAGGTACCACTTGATTATGATTATTGTCACCTGTTGTCACTGGTTTAATTGATATGCATGAACAAGCTCTTATGCTCATGACAGGAAACAGCGCTTAATCATGTTAAGACTGCTGGATTGCTGGGAGATGGGTTTGGCTCTACCCCTGAGATGTTTAAGAAGAACTTGATATGGGTCGTCACTCGTATGCAGGTTGTGGTTGATAAATATCCTACTTGGTAAGCTATCGGTCTTAACAGTAACTTACAACATTGCTGAGAATCACTGGTTTCTTTTTTGAGTTTTTAGATTCTCTTGCAAAAACCTGAACATAACATGCAGGTTCATACTCTCACTTCTTTTTTACCAGGTTTGGGAAAATGATGAGCATTTTGCTTCTTTTCTCCAATGAATCAATTACAATTCTACATTTTTTATGCTCAGTCGATATTCCTTCTACTTTAGCAAAGACATGCTTATATAGCTACTTTTTGCACCCTGGATTACCTGCTGTGCATGCATATTATAGTCATCATAACTTATGTGCTAATTCAATATCTGCCTCATAGGGGAGATGTTGTTGAAGTAGATACCTGGGTCAGTCAGTCTGGAAAGAATGGTATGCGTCGTGATTGGTTAGTTCGGGATAGCAATACTGGAGAAACCTTAACACGAGCATCAAGGTTAGTTTTTCTTTTGGTTTACAAGTTATTCTCATTATCTTCATGTGATCATTCATTGGTCTTTCTGATGAAGATACCTGATGTCTATACTCTCTGTCTGTAGCGTTTTCTCTATCATCAATTCAGAAAGACTACACAAGTTTATGTTATGGATAATTAGGAATTTTTTGGTCTCATGGGTTAGATATTTGACAGAGGTATTACAAAATATTCTTTTGCAGTGTGTGGGTGATGATGAATAAACTGACAAGAAGATTGTCAAAGATTCCTGAAGAGGTTCGAGGGGAAATAGAGCCTTATTTTGTGAATTCTGATCCAGTCCTTGCTGAGGACAGCAGAAAGTTAACAAAACTTGATGACAAGACTGCTGACTATGTTCGATCTGGTCTCACTGTAAGTGTATATTATATGATGTATGCTTCAACAAACTGATCCTCAGCCTATAAATCTCTTAATGGGTTTGGTTATGAACTTTTTCCAGCCGCGATGGAGTGACCTAGATGTTAACCAGCATGTTAATAATGTAAAGTACATTGGGTGGATCCTGGAGAGTGCTCCAGTGGGAATAATGGAGAGGCAGAAGCTGAAAAGCATGACTCTGGAGTATCGGAGGGAATGTGGAAGAGACAGTGTGCTTCAGTCCCTCACCGCAGTTTCAGGTTGCGATATCGGTAACCTGGCAACAGCGGGGGATGTGGAATGTCAGCATTTGCTCCGACTCCAGGATGGAGCGGAAGTGGTGAGAGGAAGAACAGAGTGGAGTAGTAAAACACCAACAACAACTTGGGGAACTGCACCGTGAAAAAAAACCCACAAGAATGGCTCATTTGGTTCCTTTGTAACTATATCTGCTACCACCTTGCTTGCTTGCAACAACCACCACCACCACCACCACCACAATTTCATGTCCTCCCTTCAAAAGTTTCGGCCACCAACCCTTTGTATATTTCTTTTTTTGTTCTTCTTTTTTTTTATTTTCGATGGAGATTTATTATATTTATTTAATCTTTCTATTTATTTTTTGCTCAATGGGAAATGGGTGTCGTGTATCAATTACGAATTATGATGTTATGTAACCCATGTGCCGGCGCAAGACAAAGGCATCAACTCTCTCTTATCCTAAATTTATTGTACTTTGTTTAGTTTTGTAGTTGTTTCCAGCTAAACAAGCACGTGGACGATCTTGTAATGAATTATGAATGTGATGCTTGTACCTGTAAATTTGATTGAAAGGCTATTAAATAGACACGAACAACCAAAACGGTTTGTCCAGCAATAAAGCCATCGCATACTGGAATCCAGAAAGTGAAATCTAAAATCAAGATTGAGTAACTAAATCCGGAAAGAGACGATGAAGTGAAAGCAAAAGAAAATACTACTACTTGATAGAAGAAAGGTTACATTGGATCCCATTATGGAGAGGATAGTAAACTTGTTTAAAAGAAAATATTTGCGTGAGATGAAAGCAAAAGATGATAAAGACAGTTTTGGAGAACATAAATAAAGTTAAGATAGTGCATGAATATTGGAAGTTGCTAGGTGATTAAGTTTTTAGTATTCTCCATGAATAAAGAATTATAAAACGATTCTTGACTTGACCATAAACAGTCCCTTATTTTGGAGTTTCTTGACCAACAAAAATGTGGTCAAAACATGATGGACATCATTGGAATCCATAATCTCTTGAATAAACATGTTAATGCATCAGTAAGCTTTTTAGCACAGGTTCTTGTCATTGGTCCAACTTTTACATGTAATGATCGTTTTGATTAATCATATTGTTGAGGATGTTCTCACCATTTCCTTTCTTGTGAAAATGATTTGAACTTAGGCGTCATGGTTTCTTTTATTATTGTTATATTGGTTAACTTGTAGTTGTCAGTATTTTTGTATATAAGTTGCATCAAATTATTTAAGTTCTTTGATCCAATAACCTTTTTAAAACTATTGTAATAAAAGTAAGAAAAAAAACAATTTAGATAACGGATGAACATTAATTAATTAACTTTATAGATTTGTGACTAAATAAAATATGTAGATACAATGAACTAGTCCATCAAATCAGATTAGTATGTAGTATAACCTAATAATTTGTGGTGGAGTCGTTATTGTGTCACCTACTAGATTTATATCCGTCATAATGCATATTGATGATAAAATTAAATCATCAAAACAAAATTGTAGTTCTACGTTGAAGCACGAGTGAGAGACTATGGAACTTAGACTCTGGAACTTTTGAGACATCAAAATCCGAAGTAAAAACTGAACACAATAAAAACTACTATTCGATAAAAAATGGAAAACTCATTTCTTTACTCTGTTTTCTCTTCATTTCCTTTCTGTTTTAAAACTTCCACTAATGCTCTCTGTTTCTTTTATTATTAAAGTTCTAGAGTTATCAGGAAAGATAACTACTAGAGTATCTTCAAAAAACAGAATGCTTATACATACAAAAATTCTGGTAATGAAAAAGGAAGAAAAGAGAATGCTTATACATTAAAAAAAATCAAAGAATATTTGATTAAAATGATGCAAAAAACGCCATAAAGACTAAACAAAACAAATTAGATTTTGTTATGGAAGAAGAACCTTTTCTATTATGAACCTCTTTATCATCATCATTATCACTTTCAATATCTTTAGGATGGTCGAAATTGGCTGGGACGATGGTGTCAGGAGCAACTTCATCATCACCGGATTCGCCTGGTCCAGGCGCAGCAGCTTCATCTGGTGATGATAAATCTGGTAAGCCCTGACCATGTGTTACATTGATCATAAAGTGCTGCCCGAATTTACATTGTTCGCCATCATAATTTCCTGAGAAGAAATAATTGGAACCTTCTCTAACAAGAGGAACACTTATTGAGACGGGAACAGGAGATGTTGCTGAAGGATTTGCAGCCGACCACTCTGTTGTATCATTGTTTTCATTATTGTCGTAATCACAATCTTTGTATGTTTTGAAATCATATGTCTGAACCACCGAATGGTTACTATCTGTGTTGAAAACTACATATTGAAAAACAAAACAAACGATATAACATTTTGCTAAGTTATTGTAATGACAAAAATGGAGTTGAACAGAAGAATCTTACTCAGGAAATCACCCAAAGAAAAGGATTTGGAATCAGCCCATTTCTGATAATTAGCAGAGGGTCTCTCCTGAATATCGAACCATCCCGTGGACTCTCCCACAGTGTAGTTCTTGTACGCATCAGCTGACAAACTCAGAAGCATAAGGCACATGAGGAGTAACACATTGACACAAGATGAACAAGAACTCAACATAACTCTGCTTCCTCTCTGTTCCATTTCCGTTTTTCTTGATTATAAATTGTGATTCGTTGATTGATCTTTCTTTGTAATAAAGAAAGGTATAAGAAACTGTACATAAAGTTATAATGATGAGCTCGTCATTGACTGCATATAAACCAAGACATGCGTAAGTGTGACATGTGGACAAATACTCATAAGAATACCAAGGAACATGAGACGATACGAAGTGGTCGGTCCAATCAAATGACAACGCCTCTTTGCGCTTCCCCATGTGACCTCTCACACCTTACTTTTGCTGTCTTCGCTTCCCTACGTAACATTATTTCTTTCATAAATATCTGTCAACTGTCTTTTTCTACTAAATGGGATATTTAAAAATTAATTCAGTCGGTTGAACCGGTAACAAACCGGTTTGATTGGACCTTAAAAACCAAGGGCCCATTTAAGGGCGTAGTAAGAGGCCTAATGTGGCCCATATATCTACAGTAATAAGTGTGTCAGATTAAATTAATCTTTTTACCGCCGCTTGTGGTCGAACTCGCGACTTCGAAGACTCTACCCAATTACTCCGGTAAAACTCACTCTTCTTCATTCGTCTTCTCCACCATGGAAGGTGTGGCTATGAAACTCCCGTCGTTCAAATCTCTCTCCCCTAACGCAATCTCTATCGGACACCGAAGCTTCTCCCGTGTTCGTCGCTCCTCTTCGCTATCCGTCTGTTCCGCCGCCTCTTCCTCCGCCACCATCTCCACTGATTCCGAATCCGTCTCTCTAGGCCATCGCGTTCGAAACGATTTCCGAATTCTTCACCAGGTTTGTCCACTTTCCATAAACCTGATTAACTACGAATTGTATAAATCCATATGGATATGGAAGAATTAAGCAATTTTACGATTGATTTGAGTTTTTTCAGGAAGTGAATGGGTCAAAGCTTGTGTACTTAGACAGTGCTGCAACTTCTCAGAAGCCGGCAGCTGTATTGGACGCCTTGCAGAATTACTATGAGTTCTATAATTCAAACGTTCATCGAGGAATTCACTATTTAAGTGCCAAGGCTACAGATGAATTTGAGTTGGCTAGGAAAAAAGTTGCTCGTTTCATCAATGCTTCTGATAGTAGAGAGATTGTTTTCACAAGGAATGCAACTGAAGCCATCAATCTTGTAGCTTATTCATGGGGTCTTTCTAATCTTAAACCAGGAGACGAGGTTTTGCTTTGCTTTTATCAATCCATCTTCTTCTTCTTTTTTTAATGGGAGTTATCTTGTTGAGATTCTTCCAAATGAGATTGTGAATGATGCTAGCTTTTCAGGTTATACTTACAGTGGCCGAACATCATAGTTGCATTGTTCCTTGGCAAATAGTATCTCAAAAAACTGGAGCAGTTCTAAAGTTTGTTACTTTGAATGAGGATGAAGTCCCGGACATAGAAAAGTTGAGAGAAATGATTTCTCCCAAGACAAAGCTCGTGGCTGTTCATCATGTTTCTAATGTTCTTGGTAGATTCTTTTTCATGTTCTCATCATATTCAATTTGTTTAGCTTGTTTTATTTTTCGATGAAAGAATACGGGATTACACAAGTATCTAACTTTTTCTTTTTCTTTTTTCTTTCTGGTTTAGCATCTTCTCTTCCTATTGAAGAGATTGTGGTCTGGGCACACAATGTTGGAGCGAAAGTTCTTGTGGATGCTTGTCAAAGTGTTCCTCACATGGTAGTTGATGTCCAGAAGCTAAATGCTGATTTCCTAGTTGCGTCTTCTCATAAGGTTGGAATTGTTTGCTTTTCTTTCTGAGATACATAATAAGCCTTGTGGCAAGCTTATAGTAATATGATAATCATTCTTCAGATGTGTGGACCTACAGGCATTGGGTTCTTATATGGTAAGAGTGATCTTCTACATTCCATGCCTCCATTCTTAGGTAAGCCGTCTATAGTATATTTCTAAATGAAAACAATCGTCATTTCTGTTTCACAAGGATGGGACTGGACTGAGTCTTACATCTATTTTTTCCTTTTATTTCGATCTTCTTTTTAGGTGGCGGAGAAATGATCTCAGATGTATTTCTTGACCATTCAACTTATGCGGAACCTCCATCCAGGTAGGGATTCTACATGTGTTAGTTACTAATCTGCATAATTGCTGCAGTTTGGAAATAAATATATTCAAGTTTGTACCAGATTTGAAGCTGGAACACCTGCAATAGGAGAAGCAATTGCCCTTGGAGCAGCAGTTGATTACTTGTCAGGAATTGGCATGCCTAAAATCCATGAATATGAGGTTTGATATGATTTTCCTACAACTAGACGTCAATGACCTTATGGCATACTACATACAGTGTTTTTTTCAGTCATGGAAGATTCTCACATGTTTTCTAATTGTAGTTTTTAATTTCTTATGTCGTCCAGGTAGAGCTTGGTAAGTATTTGTACGAGAAATTGTCTTCCCTGCCTGATGTCCGGATATACGGGCCCAGACCTTCTGAAAGTGTTCACAGGGGTGCTCTTTGTTCCTTCAATGTGGAGGGCTTGCACCCAACTGATTTGGCAACCTTTCTTGATCAACAGGTTTGTTATAATTGGGAGCTATCTGTCCCATCACATACTGGTTTTCTCTTATCTTTAATGTATTCTCTTAATATGAGGTAATACCTCAAGTAGGATAAGGGAACTACTTACCACCTCTCAGGGAATGGTAACTGCACCACCTTTCTCTCTTCTTGGTGGGAAGTGTTACCATTTAGTGGTCAAAGCGAATCTCAAATGCCTAGCTTAGGATATATTGTGATATCAGCCTACAATTGAGGTGGATCTTCTTTATTCCAAGGGTTAGTTGAAATTTCATGTGTGAACATGAGCCTGGACTCTTTTGATAACTAGGTTAAAACAAAACCCCTACATCATCTAGGTTACATGATACCTGTCCAAGTACTTGATCTGAGCGATTCTCATGCATTTGTAATGAGTACAGCTGCAAGAAGGTTCGAAAACTGATATAGATCAAACAAATTCATCTTGATCGTTCTAATGTTAACCGTCCACCTTAAACCCCTACTTTACTCTCTCATCAGAATATCCATAGTGGGATGAAAACTGAAAACGAATATTGTATGTTGCAGCATGGAGTTGCCATAAGGTCAGGACACCACTGCGCACAGCCACTCCACCGGTATCTTGGAGTGAATGCAAGTGCACGCGCCAGCCTCTACTTTTACAACACGAAGGAGGACGTTGACTCCTTCGTTGTTGCGCTTGCAGACACTGTGAGCTTCTTCAATTCTTTCAAATAAGTGGAACACCTACCTGCTGGATCTCTGGGCTGGTTTGTATGGTATATTGCTTCAAAGGCTATTAATGTCTGCTTTTATATGATCAATGGGAGTGGATTTTGGTTCTTCAAGTCCCAAGGGCCATTTGTGTTGTAGTTAGCACTTGTATGAAAAAATAGACGAGCAATAGTCATGAACAATTTCAGGCCTCGATCATATTTGTACGAATACACATGAAAGCAAATGCTTCGTTGTTAACTTGTAAGTTCATAAAAACAAACTCAGAATGAGGATAAGTTATTGCTATGAATCATCAAAGAGTCCAATATGTGCTTTGCTGAGGAAGTCGTTATTCTCTGAATCTTTTCAGACCAATTGGTTTCTTTCAATTCATTTTCTCAAATCTTCAAAACATTCACGAGGCATGTTGGATTTATTCAGACAAGGAAAACATGTTCCAAGAGTGAGAATAGAAAAAGTTTCAAAGGCGAAAGTCTGGAAATGGATTGGATAACTATCAGCATTTCCTGCTGTTTGCAAGATAATCTGGACGAGAAAGCAGCACGCGTCTTCACTTCAGATTCAGGACCTTCATTGAGACTTACGTTCCCACCATTCCAAGAACTTAACTTGCGCTGCCATAGTGTCCAACTTATAGAGTTGCAATGTGTGGTTGGCGACCTCTTGCCCAAAGGTCCAACCAAAAACACCTCCTCCTAAGAAGGACAATGCAGCACCTGTGGCACCAGCAGTAGTTCAAAGTAAGAAGAAAAGAATAAACATGATTTTAGTATTGAGCAACATGTAAGCCCCATGAGAACTGCATAACCTTTCAAACCATTTTCCAAGCTTTATCATTGACTCCCATATAATTCCATTATCCATGAATATCGAGCGTTTGAAGAAACAAGTGAGGTTTATAAAAGATGAGAATTTACAGAGAGAAAATAGTCATTACCATGAGGACTCCTGGAGTATTTCCAGGCAAAAGCAGCAGTAGAGACAGCTCCAAGTGCAGCGCCAGTAACACCAAACGTCACAGCTTCCCTAGCAGTTTTCAGCTGGATAGGGATGAACACAAATAAATACACAATGTTAACAAAACTTCCAAAGGACCCAAAACGTCAATATATCTTGAGTAAGAATACCAAGTACCAAATCAAAAGTCGAGTTTTGTTCTCATATATTTTGCAAGTTTTTTTTATGTCAACCGAAGAGGATTCAATGGGCTTCTTTCTCTTATATTTTGATATACCATCACCACGAAAATTATTATATCACAAACAAACAGAAACCTCCCAAAGGAAAATCAAATGAGAAAAGCAATCAGAGAGCAAGAGTAAAATCGAGTGCCAGCCAAGCCATAGATAATGGATCAAACTACATCCAAAGGTACCAAAACACAGAGAAAGAGAGAAGGAAATTACGGTGGGTCCATGGACAGGATCGGAGGCAATGAATTCGTCGACGTCGGAGGAAGACCAAGAAGGAAGAGGCGAATCGCGTTTGGTGAATCTGGTGTAATTTTCGAAAAAGGATAACCTATCACTCCAGAAATCCTTGAAACCATTCCAATTTTTGCCAACAAATGACTCCGAATCTCCCATCTTTCTCAGATCGATTTATCTCTTCTTCTGAGTGGAAACTTTTTCTCTGATTCACGACGATTATTATTTTTTGCAGAATAAATAAAACTGGTCTATCCGGTTCACCCGGTTTTCAAGGGTGGTTTTAAACCGGTTTTCCATCAGATTTGATTTTCATCAATTGCTCCTCCACTTTTCTTATATATCCAAAAAGAGCAGCAATCGAAAAAGTTTTAAATTTTCAACCAGAATAAAGTGTACTACTTCAACTACTTCTTCTCTACTTCTCTACCTTAAAACTTCCCCAACCAATTTCTTCAAATCATCATCCCTTCAACCAAAGAAAATGGCTTTGAGCATAGTCGCGAAGATCTTTCTCGTCTTTGCCATCTATTGCGCTCTCGATCCCTTCAGTCACAGCTCCATTTCCAAGTTCCCGGACTTCAAAACTTACAAGATTGACATGCCTCCATTATCGTCCCTTCCCAAGGAAAGAGACCGTCAGAATCTGCTTCAGAATTCGGAGATCAGGTTTCTTAACGAGGTTCAAGGTCCTGAGAGTATTGCTTTCGATCCGCAAGGTCGTGGTCCTTATACCGGAGTCGCCGACGGTCGAATTCTCTTTTGGAATGGCACTCGTTGGACCGATTTCGCTTATACTTCGAACAATCGGTGAGTCTTGTGATTGCAATCGAGTCTTGTGGCCAATTTGTTTCCAGTAAAGTTCTCAACTTTGATGTTTATTAGGTCAGAGCTATGTGATCCAAAGCCATCACTTTTGGATTACTTGAAGGATGAAGATATCTGTGGTCGGCCTTTGGGTCTTCGATTCGACAAAAAAACTGGGGATTTGTACATTGCAGATGCGTATTTGGGGATAATGAAAGTTGGTCCTGAAGGAGGTTTAGCAACTTCTGTTACAAACGAGGCAGATGGTGTGCCTTTGAGATTTACCAATGATCTTGACATTGATGACCAAGGCAATGTTTACTTTACTGATAGCAGCTCTTTTTTCCAACGAAGGTATGTATGGTTCTAAAGTTTTGATCTTTAACTCTCCTGATCAGTGTGTTGCTTGGAGTTTGGTTCTGTTTGCTTATCATGTTTTGCTTCTTGGAATTCCGGAGGCACCGAAATTCATAATTTTGACTGCGGCTATAACTTTTAGAGCCTTTGATGTTGAATTATGTTATCTTTTGAGAATCTACAAGAAGTTGCAGCTTGCAATGGCTTCTCATGTCTAGTTACTACTTGTGTTTTGACCAATTGTGCCCTAGTGTTTTGAGTGTAATGATTGCGCCATTTGTGAATTTATAGGAAATTCATGCTTTTGATTGTCTCGGGGGAAGACAGTGGGAGGGTGTTGAAATACAATCCAAAAACAAAGAAGACTACCACTCTCGTGAGAAATCTCCAGTTTCCTAATGGCTTATCCCTCGGCAAAGACGGCTCTTTTTTCATATTTTGTGAAGGATCAATTGGAAGGTGAGTCCTTCATCGATCTTAATTCCTCTGTGACTTTCATATTATTGTCTGTTATATATGCTTGGCATAACTTCTGTAATCAGCATTTCTGATTGAAGCTAAAATGGAAGGATTCTCATGTTGTTCCCATATCAATTCAATGATCCTGCTGCTAGAACAAACTCCAATACTGTAAACAGAGTCTTAAGTCTTTTTTTTTTTTTTTTTTGTCGTTGTTCAGATTACGGAAATACTGGTTGAAAGGGGAAAAAGCTGGAACCTCAGAAGTGGTAGCTCTATTACATGGGTTCCCAGACAACATCCGCACAAACAAAGACGGGGATTTCTGGGTGGCGGTGCACTGCCATAGAAACATATTCACACACGTGATGGCGCATCACCCGAGGGTGAGGAAGTTCTTCCTGAAGCTGCCGATATCAGTGAAGTTTCAGTACTTGCTGCAGGTAGGTGGTTGGCCTCATGGTGTGGCTGTGAAGTACAGTGAAGAAGGGAAGGTGCTAAAGGTGTTGGAAGATAGCAAAGGGAAAGTGGTGAAGGCAGTGAGTGAAGTGGAGGAGAAAGATGGGAAGCTTTGGATGGGAAGTGTATTGATGTCTTTCATTGCCGTATATGACTTGCCTTAATTTTCTTATACAAATTTGTAAATTTCTAGTTGGCTATGGGATTGCAATATGTATCTCTTTATCGAACTATCCTCGACGTAATCAGCGCAAACAATTACTAAATACAGTATCCTTTTTGTCCTGTCTTTTAGTCTTTCAATGAGCAGTTTAGTTTTTGGTTTCTTGTTTTCGGTTTTTGATGTAGATTAAGTGAATGGTCCCTATAAAGCAGACTTTGATCGTAAAAGAAGACAAGTACTATTTTCCACTGGATCAACAAAACTGCTAATGAAGAGCTCCGCTTCGTACAAATTGTTCATCTCCCTTGGTTTAATGGGTGATTGATGATTACTTGGGTGCAATTATTGATTCGGTTCACGTTATTGGTTCGATTCGATTCTAATTGTTGGGCTTAAACAACAAAACCTATCTACTACTGGGCTGGGCTGGGCTGGGCACTTGAATGATACAGTATTTGTTCTTTCATCTTTGCAATTTAAGATAAACCAATTATTAACAGAATTAGTAAACCAATTATTAAAAAACAGCGTTTTTTTTTTGTTTAAAAAAAAAAAAAGACACAGCGTTTTCATCTTTTAATATTCGACGTTTCATTTATACTATAACATTATATGATTTGTTACAATAGCATATACCGACTAGAATTAAACACATGTTAACTATATATTAAAAAAATGTTTTTTAGAATTCAATCAAGCGAATTACATGTGACTTATGTCAAATTTGTTTTATGTCATTTATGTCTCACATGCAAGCATGTAAGCTAATTAACACCAAGCTGTCTATCCACGTTTCTTATTTGTTATGGACTTAGTTTGGCAAACTATATGGCTACTTATATATATATAATTAATACATTCTTCTTTACATCTTTTTATTGTGGCTATTAGACTAAATTGTTCCGAAACAGATTTACCGTTAAACAAACAAAGAAAAATGAAACGGTAATAGTGAAGATTGAAGCAAAAAACATAATAATGAAAGAAGAAAAAAGGCAGTGAAAAAAAGAAAGAAAGAAAAGGAAACATTAAAGTGTGTGGACAAGACCCGTCAGAGGCACAAACAGCCAAAGACATAACAAAGACCCCAACTAACATGATTTGACGTTTCAGATTCTGTTTTTCTTTTGGACCCTTCATTAAAAATGTCATCTCTCCCCTCTCTTCCCCTCCCTCTCCTACTACTATATTTATACATATCTCAATTCCATATCATATACGCAAAGCTTTTCTACTTTCCTTTTTTCTTAAAATGTGTGTGCATGGACGATATGGAAGGTGTACGTAAGCGTCTCTAATACTGTTTCACACATTGGAGACGACCCCACTTCTCTAACCCTTCGTCGGAGAAATCATCGAGTGGTGGAGATACGATCTCTACGAGATGATTATCGTTAAACGTAGCCACAAGATGATGCAGAGTTAGTGTCCATTTTGGACAAATAGAAAATGAAGTTATAATTAGTACGTAATATTGAATAGAAATTTGATGTTGACGTGGAAACTATAGTGATTGCTATTTGGTCTAATGCTTGAGTCATTTTTCCAAAGTGGCATTCTTTTAGCAAAAGTTGGCCACAGCTATACAACAAAATATCTATAGCATTATTTTTATAACTGGTATATATTGCATTACATTAAATTAAAAGAGACAACGTTTTTGTTATAATATTCAGTAGTCACTTAAAAGAGTTCATATACGATATTTTATCTTTTGAAAGAATGGTTTATGTTGACCACATACTACAAAAGTTTCACAAAACGAGTATGCGTTGACAAAGTCAAATCTTCCATGTTATTAAAACAACCATGGTTTCGAATCTTGATAACGATCACTGCAAATTAATACACGAGCGAACTGATTGTTATATATCATAGACAAATAATAATTCATTACATTGAAATTTACATTTTTCCCCCGTAAAATGTGCCTACCGTCGAGAAAAAAACAAGATTTTCACGCTGCTTATGATTTTTTAAAAAATAGTGAGCCGATCAGCGCAGAATAAATGCGTGAACATTTTAATCATGATACTCAACCGGATTGTGAGTTTTGTGGCTGACAAGAGGAGAGACACGAGCATTGATTTCTCACTGAAAAAAAAAAAAAAAACAATCAAGTGAACTATTCATTGGGAGCCTTTGCTTTTGCAAAGAATGTTTCTTTGGAATGAGTGAGTTTCAGACTTATTTCAGCACCATAAAAGTTACCGTATCATATCCCAAGATGGAATTTATCTTTTACTACTCACTCTCTATGTATATATACTGTACATGCGCTTGTATATATAGATCTCTTTAAATATATATATATGTATATACACACACAAACAAACATCTAAAGTCCAACATTTAAATTCCTTTTATTTGTATTCGAAATTTTTATACATTAATTGAAACAAAACATTTCTCTAAAATATCATTTTAAATGATATAGAGGGAGTATTATATATATAATCAATCAATTTCCACACATCCCCCTTTTACCTCATGTATTCGTATTGACAACTACCATAAAACCAATGACTTTTTATTTTATTTTTGATAAATAAAACTACTGATTATATATATAAAAGTCGTGACCACACAAAAAGCTACACCTTTTCAGAATGAGTAAATCAGTAAAGTGGAAATTTATATTACAATCTTCACAAAGAAGATTCTTCCTAAACATTTAGGTTCAAATTTGAAAACCATAACAGACTTCACTTATTAGGAGAATAAACTAGAAACGAAGTTATAGATGAAGCACACGCAAGAAAAAGGAAAGGGACATACATACATGTATATATATATGTAAGGTTATATGATCTTCTTCTTCCTCGCCTTCTCTTCCATCATCAGCTCTGCTTACACATTCATAGATGCGTACGTACAAAGATAAACATAAAGCATACACACGCATAAGTGTGTATATATATATGTATGTATATATATAAAGGCTTTAGTAATAGCCATTAGACTTTTGGCCTGCAACTGACTGGTCTAATTGCTTGCCTTTCTTGTTGCCATCCAGCTTTAATCCAAAGTGAATGTGAGGAAAATGTGCCCACTACACCCAAATAAATCAAAGCCAAAATTAATATTTTTTAAAATATCTAATACTGTGATATATAAACATTCCACCAATTATAAATAGTGGAACCACTATCTTATTGGTATATACACTTATATTTCGATAGAAAGAGACCAAACCCTAGAATTCTCCCACCACAGCTTATTTTAGTTATAGGACATGATAGTATACTAATTATTATTGCAAAAAAAAAAAGAACTATAAGTTTTGATCCAACCATGTGTTTGTATGTTTTGATTGACTTGTTAGGTTAATTAAAAGATAATTATTTTCTTTTATTTTTAAAATATTATTAAAAATACATTTTAGTATTTTACAGAGTTATATTGAGTAGAAAAAAACAGTGTACTAAAGAAGACTTTATATCTTAGTTACGTGACTTACGTCACTTTTAAACATTATTTTATTTGCATCTGTTTCCTAATTCTCTATAATTCTGATGACATCGTCGGTGAAGCTACTATAAGAAATTTTGTTTTAGAGCTATCTCTCGTATACAATCTACTTTGTGAAAAAGAATGATAAAGAAGGAAGCTTACATTTTTAGCAGCAGTGCTAAATGCCTCACGGTGGCTAATCTCAGGATTGCAAGCCTTGATCCTTTGGATTTCCTCTCTAAATAACAATTAATAAAGTTTCTTAAGGTTGTGGTGAAATACTTGAGAATATTTCATCAAAGGGGAAACTAAAGTTGCAATTATCACTTACTTGATGAATCTGTTGTAGGCCGAAGGTACACGTTGTCTTTTCTCCGGCGCTGCCATGAAAATAAAATATTTTTAAGATAATATTATGGACTCACTGAGCTTAGTGATTGCATATATTACACAAACTTTTAAAAATTGGAGGAAAGAGCGACTTACGGCGAATAGGAGGCATTCTTGGAGCCTCACGATCGATGTGTTCCGATAAATTGTTGGTGCTCCTTGAAGATGATGCACAATCTTTCCTTGTTACCAAAGAGGTTGTGTGCTGTTTATGCGGCTTCATGATTACAAAGACTAGATAAGCCAAATTTCTACATGGTAACAAATATTCAAAATGTTGAAGAAAAAATGGTTTTTGTATGATACCTGAAGATCTTGATGAATGGGAGGAGGTGCGGTTTGATGAAGTGAAACTCCAATGTTGAGGGAGAGCAAATTGGTACAATGGCCACATCTCACCGTCACAAGTGTGAACAAACTTGCGTATGGTACACTTACCTGATCATTAATATATGTGATTTGTAAGATTTCTTTAATCAAATTTATATATATTAATTACAGATATTTTTTGGAAATTATTTACATATACGAACAAGTTATTGTCTTGTTTATCACTATTTATACTTCGATTGGCTCGTTAGACCAATCTCTAATGTAACGAGAGTGCTTGAGAGAGTATGACAAGTGTACTCCATTCTATAGAGCAGCGTTTTTTTTGGTTAATTACAGATTTCTTTTTTCATATGTAAAAGATAGTCCTATAGATTTTATTACATGAAATAGACACTTATAGAAGTATTATCACAACTTATATTTGAACAAACAAATGATCAAATTTAACATATATAAAAGAATGTATTTTTCTGTTTGGTGGGTTCTGATGAATTCTATGTCTGACACACAAGCCTCAAGGCAACATGATAAAAGATAGTAAAGAGATGAAGAATGGTTGATGAAGCTTGTAAGGAGAAGACAGTCATGTTAGAAAACGACGTGACCTTAACCACAGCCCATAAAGTCCTTAACATATATATGTAATGGTACCATCTTTTTATTATAATCTTCTTATATTTGTGTGTGTGTGTATGTGTGTGAGCAAGAGAGAGAGAAAGGATCCAATCCTAAGTGGTCAAGATCGGCCATGATTTAACAGTTTGCAGCTTTTGTATAGATCAAGAAATTGTTGCTGGAACTGGGGTGAACAAATCTTTTGTACTTTCCACTACAATACACACCCTATTTTGTGCAAGGCGACCTTCAACATTTTTATTAAATATGGCCCTTTTTGTTCCTAATCAGACTCGTGCTACATCTCCAATATTTATGTATATGTAGTATAACGTTTATGAATAATCGGTGTAGAAGAGTTTCTCATAATGAACTCTTTTTTCTTTTAATTTTTTTTTTTTGTCTAAAGTCTAATCCATTAGTATAAACCATTAAGCTACATAACCTGGTTAGTTTCTCATGATTGCTTAATTATATGGATCATAGATCAATAATTTATATATACACACATATATAGATAGATGTTTATATACGCATGCACATCAAATATGTACGGAAGAACTGTGGATATTACATAAAACCGTTAAATAAAAGCTGGAAAAACTTAGTGAAATTTTAACGAAATTTTAAAAATATATATATGTAGTAAAAATAGCTTCAGCTCACTGTAGAAAGAAAAAAAAGGAATTTTGGAGAACCCAAAAATGATTTTAAAATTATCAGCTGGTGATGTGATGTAAACATTTTTACATGGACCACGCTTGTAGATGAAAGATCTATGATTGATATGATATATGTATACATGTGTCACATACTACAGTTATACATATCAAAAGATAGTATGAAGTCAGACTATAAAGGTGGAAGACTTAGTGAAAGTTTTTGAGACTGCATCACATGGATGTTATCTACCAAATTCCTTTTACAGAAAATATTATATTAATGGCTATTGAAACTTAGGGAACTAACACCAAAGAAAATATGAATACTAGATTTACTGAAAGGAGATGAAGAAAAGAAAAAACAAAAAAACCTTTAAATAGTGAAAATAGGGAAAGAAGAAGTTAGATTTGTAGACTTTAAACCTACTCATAGAGCCCTAAATCTGATCAGGAGCTGTTTCCTTTGAGTTTACTTTGTTTGAGCACTAAAATTTATGTTTCAACTACCCAACTTCTTTTGCTTCTTTTGGGTATAGAAGAAGAAGAAAAAAGAATAAAAAAATTAGGGTTTCTGAAATTAAGAAACTTCCCTACATATCTTCATCAATAATCACAGGAAAAAAGTACGTTGATCCATGAACCAGATGCAAAATTCATCATACAATTATACACATATAAATATATCACCAACCATCTTTGATAGGTAAATAAAATAATATCTTATCTAACAGTTTGATTTAAGTTAGAAAAAAGGGGATCTAGCTCAGAGTAAATACCAAATTAACACTCTTTCTTGAGAGGAAGATTTGGATTTGCATATAAAGAAATAAGAGGAGAGGGGAGATTATTACCGCTAAAATCGTGGTGCAGAAGCTGCAGTGGACATAGCAAACACGCTCAGATGATAAATCTACAGACATTTTTTTGTGTGGGTTCTCTCTTCAACGATATGTTTCTCTTCTTGAAACTTTTAGTTATCCCAATGAGAGATCAAAGAAGGAACTATTTGATTTTGGAAGAATAAAATAAAAGAAAAGGGCAAGCAAAGAAGAAAGAGGAAGATGAGAGAGAGAGAGAGATGGGTGGGGGGTGAAGGAAGTGTACAAAAAATCTGAAAAGACTAATGTGGTTTATTTGGAGACGAAGAGAGACAAGTGGGGACTATACTACAATGTTCCTCTTTTTTATTTTTCGATACTTATATTTTTTTTTCTTTGATAATTACAGAGATATATTATTACTCCATTATAAAGTGAAGATTTCTCCTTGTTATTTTTTTTTTAACCTTTAATTAAAGATCATATATAATCGTCCTATCACCAAATAAGTTTATAGGGTTAAGTAGGTCAATAATCTTATTGTTTCAGTCATTTTACAGCAAATACTAATTAGTACTAGATGAGAATGTGTATTGTCTAGCAGATAAGAAATGAGGATATTTTAACAGTTCGATTCAATTATTTTTATGACAAACACGCGACACATTTGAAAACGATACAGGGACTTGGTTAGCACTTAGCAGCTAGCAACCGTAAATTTAGTAAAACGATACAGTTTGTGAATTCAGGGACAATTGAAAACGATACATAACCCTCTTCAGAATCAAAGAAAACATATTTCATACTGACAATGATGGTCTAATTTGTGAATGAAGTGATTAACATATACTCCCTCCGTTTTCGAATAGTTGTCGTTTTAGAGCATTTTTTTGTTTTAAATTAGTTGTCGTTTTAAGGTAATAATGTAACTTATGCCAATAACTACCCAAATTACCCTCATTTAATTAAACACAAATTATTTGTAAATAATTACTTGTCATTTTTATGAGGTTAATATAGTCATTGTATACCTTTTCTTAATTTGTCTAAATACAGTTAAAACGACAACTTTAAAAAAACAGAGGGAGTACTATATAATTTGATGTTTTTCAAAAAGATGAATTCCTTTTGGCATTTTCTTTAAATTTCGAGCATGTTCATAGGATTGGTTTAATGACTTAAATTTGAGTTATAAGTTCATTAATTTCCCATTCACTATGCAAGTGCACATAAATGCACATTTTTATACTTTGAGTGTGGATCCACAAAACGACATTTATTATTGCTTTTCCCTTAATAATATACGTTTTCCAAAAAAAATATTTCATAAAGATAGATGTTTCATAGTTTTGTATTTGTAATGCAATTTTTGTATATGATCATTTCCTATTTTGTCTTTATTATGGTACTTAGAGTGAAAATAAATGAAACAGTTTATCTGTTTTATGAAATAAAGATTACATTTGGTTATGTATTTTCTTATATTTTTAATATAGGTGTAAAAACCTTATAGGTACATCTAATTTTACTTTTTTATTTGGGGTTTGTTGTACTATATCCGATTCCAATGTAAAAGATAAATAAAACGAATAATCTAATAAAACACATCGAAAGTATTTGGAATCAATCCATTTCTTAGAATGATTCATATAAACAAGTTTCTTTCTAGCAAATCATAGAGACGAGAATACAGATCTTATCCTGACATATTTCCACGATCGAGGTTGACATGCATTTCTTTAGGACCCGCTATTCTCTAACAGTGATCTTCACGACAATGCCAATCTTATTTCCAAGCTTGATTTGATTGTCCATTTCTAGTGTATATTTATAAAAATCTCTTTTCTACAAAATTATATTTTCGTCACAAAAAGTTGTTCTTCTAGTCGAAACCTAACTAATTGTTACAAAAGTAGCTAGGACCGTGTGAATAAGTTGTCGTCCCAAAGAGAGTTTTTGATCAACAAGTATTTTGATATATGCGGGTTTGACCTGATTGATTTGGAGTTGTGTTCCAACAGGTCACAAGACAACGAGGAATACACAAAGTCATTCATACGACACAGTTCAAGTTCCTCTGAGAGATGGAACAAATTCGGAGTGGTATCTTCTGATTGATTCCACAGCTGCAACAGCAATAGCTTCTTCTTCAGGATAATAAGCAATCGGATCTGATAGATGCGGTTCTGGAATCTTCAGCACGCCTTCGAGCATGGCGTGGAGGCAGTACGCTGCATATGTTACATGATACCCGCCTTCTTGCACCATAAGCAACCTTCCATGGCTGTGCTCCTCTGCAACTCCCCTCATTATCTGACCAATCCTTCTGTATCCATTCATTGTCAGGCTTTGTCTCCCGTTTGGATCAAACTGCAGATCCGACAGTAAAAAGTGGTTATCTGTCAGTCCATGACATTCTAATCACCTCTCAAACTAGACATCGGCATCTCTAGCAAATGTTTGTAGCCAAACCAATAGTTCTAAGCCGGAGAACTGTAAGAGAGATTTTCCTGTGAACCAGATAATTCATTAACTTCCATGGGCCAAAAAGTGAACAGCTCGGTTAATAACATTTGTGATGAAATAAATTCACTAAGCTCAATAAGGGGACCACTAAGTAGTGTAATAAGAACCAGAAACCATATCTTCCTTTATTCTTCTCTGAATCAGAATGCAAATGAAGAACAAAGAACAAACTGAAGTAAAGGAACCAAAGATCCTAGGGTGAATTCGAGCACCCTAAACTCTTTCAATGCCAAACCAATACCCAAATCCCTAGACAAACCCTTCCTCCTTTGATCATCTTCTACTTATACTAATTCCTTTATCTATCATTTGCTATCTGAATATTAGAGAGGTGACATGGCTGATGCAACAGCTACACTCTTCTAACTTCTTATGCAGACTTATCACAGCAGAGCCATCAGAGCCGCATAGCTAATTACCAGTAACCAAGACAATAATTGTGAACAAAACCATGCGTAAGTGCTCAGTCAGATAGTCTACAATGCATTTGGGCAAAGAAAGAACTTACAGCACTGGAGTCTTGACCAACAACGAGAACAACCATATCGGGTCCAAACCTTGTAACTGCAGGAACCACTAACTCATTCATGGCATATTCATAGCCTCGGTCACCCGTGCCATTCGGTAAAGGCACATTCAGATTGTAACCGAATCCCACATCTTCACCAAGTTCATCAATCGAACCTTTCTGCGGGTGAGAGGATCCCCATGATCCATGGTTCATATGAAGGGACACCGTAAGAACCTTATCAGATGAGTAAAACCCTTCAGCTGTCCCGTTACCGTAGTGCACATCAATGTCAATAACCGCAACTCGGGAACAAGAACCCGAATTCAATGCAAGCTGGACAGCAAGAGCCGCATTGTTGAGGAAGCAATACCCATCAGCCTGAGTAGGCTGTGAGTGGTGACCTGGTGGGCGTACCAGAGCATATGCAACTTTTCCATGGCAATCAAGAATATGTTGCATTGCTGATAGAGTTGTTCCAGCTGCAAGAAGAGCAGCTTCCCACGAGCCTGGGCTCATGAAAGTACCAGCAGCAATTTCACGCCTTTCTCCTGATTTATCTGCCTCCACTAACTTGTCAATATATTCTGCACAAGGATCACAATGGATTTGTGGTTACATGAGAAAGCAATAACCACAAAATCAAAGTCGAATTTTTTAAAGTTCCTTCTTTTCTGCCCTAATTCGAACCTTAGCTCGATGTACCTGAAGTGTGAAACATTAGAAGCTCCGAAACGATTGCTGGACGGCCGGTAAACCAATTGACATGAGGAGCGATGGGACCTCGTCGGAGTATCGAAAGCATGTTCCTGACGCGATCGGCGTTCTCCGGGTGTTTCTCCAATACGTCGAGGAATCCAGGGTCGTATCCGGTGTCGAAGACGCCTTCTACGGCGTCGTGTCGGAGCATTCCTTCGTGCCAGAAGACGTCAACGCGACTTGTAGCCATCGGAGAAGCCGGCGACGGAGATAGGCTGGGGACGTCGTCGGAGGCCATCGGTGGTGTGATAATGGAGGAAGGTCACGCGCAACGCACGTGTTCTGTAATTTAGTCACGCCATTGAGATAAGGGGTATACATGTCTTTTAAAAGTAAGAAAATAAGTGTTTACTGTGGAATTTAAATAAACTCAAGGATTAAGTTATCAGTTAATTGCTAATGTGAGGTTAGTGGGAAAAATTTGGAGAAGAGAAATTTCGTGCTTATTGGGCTGGACTGGGCATGCTGATAATGACATGGTATACTGTTATTGATTGGAGTTTTTCTGGATTTTATTATCCCACATTTCTTTTTTTATCTGCAAAAAATTATATTCTTGGCTCTCTTTTTTTTTTTTTTTTTGTTAAAGGATATTCTTGGCTCTTATAAAATAAAGAAAAATATCATTGAATTATTATGATTACTAGTTTTAGTTAGAACAAGATTTGAGACCATTGGGGGGTTTTGCCCCATTTCTTACGATGAAAAACGACTTTGAATTTTCTTCAGTCCACCATGCGACGACTTGAAGAAAAAACAACAGACTTGAAACATGCAAACCTTTAGGGGTAATAATGTAATTAAACCAAGCGACACTGAGTCAACATTCTTCTTTCCTATAAAGGGCCAAGCACAATTATTCACTAACCATGGTGAAGTGAGAGATTCTCAAAAAAAAATGGGATTACCTCAAAATAAGCTCAGTTTTCTCTGCCTCTTTCTCTTCTCTGTGCTCACTACTGCTCCGTTGGCTTTCTCCGAGATCTTCTTAGAGGAGCATTTCGAAGGTGAAGTATATATAACAACACTCTTCTCTCTTTCTTTTTCTGGGAAACCAAACAAACGATTTGTTATCGGTTTTTGTTTCCTTTCGGATTTATTGTTATGATCAGTAAGTAGAAACTTCCTTGGTAGATTTTGACTTGTTTGAGAGAGTGAAACCATCACTAGAATCTTCTATTATTGGCTTTTCCTTTTCTGGTTAATATAACGATTCTGTGGTTGTGCGATTTCTCTTATATTGTGGCTTTCTATTTATAGATTTATGCAATTAACTTAGTAAGATGTGTTCAGGTGGATGGAAAAGTAGGTGGGTCTTGTCTGATTGGAAGAGAAACGAAGGCAAAGCTGGAACCTTTAAGCACACTGCCGGTAAATGGCCCGGCGATCCTGACGATAAAGGTTATTCCTTTCGCCGACCTTTATTTATCTTATTCTATATAATTGCACAACTCTATCTTTTTGGCGTTAAGGGTTTCAATTGATTTTTGCAATGCTAAGTAGATTTTGTACCAGCTGCATTTGCAGAATAAGAGAATCTAAGTCACCCTTCTCTCTGCTTTCATACGTTGCCCTGTGATCTTTGCTATGTTGCAGTGTTTTAGTTCTTTGATATGTTCTTGTCAGCTGCCAGTTGTGTGTAAATCTTTAGCTCTTTTGTTTATGTGGACTAAGACATGGAGTTCTCAAGTGTACTGGCTTTCGATATTTGAAGTTATCTTGAAGAAAATAGAATGTTTAATTGGTTAAAACTAGGATTTGTATTTTAGTTCGTAAATATGTTCGTTTCAGCAGCAGGGTTGTGTGTAGATTTTGAGCTCTTTTGTTCTGTGACAAAGTTATGGATTGTCAAGTGTACTGGCTTTCAATCTCTGAAGTTAACTCGAGGAAAATATAATCTTTATTTGGTTTAACTTCGGATTTGTTTCTTTCTTTTTTGATTTTTCTTCATGTGTTTAGGTATTCAGACCTATAATGATGCCAAGCATTATGCGATTTCTGCAAAGATTCCTGAGTTTAGCAACAAAAACCGGACTCTTGTTGTCCAGTACTCAGTCAAGATTGAACAAGACATAGAATGTGGTGGTGCTTACATCAAGCTCCTCTCTGGCTATGTTAACCAGAAGCAGTTTGGTGGTGATACTCCTTACAGGTAATCTTGTGCCTTATACCTTAATGCCTTTTTAATGAACATCAGTTCCTAGAATGTTATATGCAATCTAAGTTAAGCTGCCTAGATTTAGTTATATCGTTGTTGCTATGAGGCCAGACCATAGTGGAAGAACAATGGTGAAGGTGTTGATTTAGTTAATCCCACGAAAAAGTGGAGATGTTTTTGAATTCAATGAACTTATAGATGATTGATTACATGTCCATGCTTTTTGCTACAAGGTCTTCACATGGTGTTGTTGTGTTTGGGGATTCTCATTAGTTCTTCTTTTTCTATGCAGTCTAATGTTTGGACCAGATATATGCGGAACACAGACGAAGAAACTTCATGTTATACTTTCATATCAGGGACAGAATTATCCAATCAAAAAGGATTTGCAATGTGAAACAGACAAATTAAATCATTTCTACACATTTATTCTGCGGCCTGACGCTTCTTACAGCGTTCTGGTGGACAATAAAGAGAGAGAATTTGGTAGTATGTACACAGACTGGGACATCCTTCCTCCAAGGAAAATAAAGGTCAAGAATGCAAAGAAGGTAACTAACTGTCTGGGTGCTTGCTTATAAGGTTTCCCAGAGTCTTTTTTAAATGCAATGTGAATTGCTGAACCAAACATTTGCAAGACTGGATAACCTTTTCCTGAGATAGTTACACTTAGCTTTAGCTACCTATTATAATTTATGATGTATGACGAGAAAAATGGATTATGGTTTTGATCTGATGTTTTACTAAATTTTCCTAGAAAGGGCAAGATATGCAGTAACACTACATTTCTTTTAGCTTTCACCTTGATAGATTTGTACCAATCTGTTTTTTGCAGCCAGAGGACTGGGATGATAGAGAGTACATCGATGACCCCAACGATGTCAAACCCGAGGTAACTTTTTAATAAACTTATCAATATAGAAAATACTATTTGTATTGAAAGGAAGCTATTCAGTTCCCAGTCTCTTAATTCTTAGTTTAATTCAGGCAACTGGTTCTTTCTCTCTTTTGTAACCAGGGTTTTGATTCTATTCCACGTGAAATTCCAGATCGTAAAGCTAAAGAGGTATGTACTTTTAAATTGAATTCTTTTAATGACTGTTTTGTCGTTATTTTTAGTAGTAGTCTCAGAGATCCATCATTCTTTCTTCATCCTATATCACTGCAAGTTCTGAAATTATGGCCCCTTTTTTGGAACTAATTAGTGTGTGATAGTCTGAAGCTTTATGTCTTGTATCTCTCTCTACTTGTTTAGCCCGAGGACTGGGACGAGGAAGAAAACGGTCTCTGGGAACCTCCAAAGATCCCAAATCCTGCGTACAAAGGTCCTTGGAAAGCAAAGGTTATTATTTGACAGTCATCAATGGTTATATAGATTACCAACTTTTCTTCTACACCATTTGACATTTCTCAAAACATTATTTTCCTACAGAGAATCAAGAACCCAAACTACAAGGGAAAATGGAAGAACCCATGGATAGATAATCCAGGTATGTTTCTGCCTATTTAATGTGTATATTAGTTTTGAGCTGGATTTTCTTCTAGTAAATACTAAGCTTGAGCTTCTCGTTTTTGAACAGAATTTGAAGATGATCCAGATCTTTACGTTCTGAAGCCGATAAAATATGCAGGCATTGAAGTATGGCAGGTAAGTTCTAAAGCTTTCTTGACTTCCATCAAATATTAACTTTTATAATCACTGCATCATCACCAGACATAGATGAACATTTATCTAATAGTCACTGCCAATTAGTTATTTTAACAAATATATGCAGCTTGGATAGACCATCCAAATTGTTAGGGTAGAACTTTTAGGATTAACACAAAACAAAAAGAAACAGAAAAGATCAGATAAAAGCCTTCATTTTAGACGATGGACCAAAATTATCTAGTGCATCTGGATGAAGACATTGATATTTAAAACTGCAGGTGAAGGCTGGCTCTATCTTTGACAATATCTTGATCTGTGATGACCCGGAATATGCAAGAAGCATCGTGGATGACTATTTTGCCCAGCACAGGGAGGTAGATTTCCAAACCTTTAGATATCTTTTGCTTATTTTTGGATAAAATCAAAGAAGTTTTTCGATCTTAAGAATGTGTAGTAATTGCAAATGAGATTTTCTGCATGCTTTTATATACGAAAATGTCTTATTAGTAATTTGATATGCTATATACTTGGCCATACGCACCAGTCTGAGAAGGAGTTATTTGCGGAAGCTGAGAAAGAAAGAAAAGCTAGAGAAGATGAGGTTTGTAGTTTACAAACAAGTTCTTGTTCCCTTTTCAAATCTTTTCTGTGTATCTTACTTACGAGCATGGCCATACAAACCGATGTTTACAGGAAGCTCGGAAAGCACGGGAAGAAGGTGAACGCAGGCGGAAGGAAAGGGACCACCGGTATGGAGACAGGAGGAGGCGTTACAAACGAGTAAGTAAAGTACATATGGAGACCTAATGAAATCTATAGTTTTTCACCTTCCCAACTCTGTTATATCTGGGGACCAAGTGAGTGAATATAGTTGCAAATGGTTTGTTTTGTTTTTGCAGCCGAATCCACGTGATTACATGGATGATTACCATGTAAGTGGTTTTCTTTTATTAAAAAAACTGGTTTATGCATTTTAGTACTGGATCATCTTAATTGTTCTAAAATTGGTATGATTCTGAATTTCGTGTAGGACGAGCTGTAAGGCGCAGTGGTGGGCATTTGGAAAGCATTGGGGAAAGTAATTATATTTTGCTCTGTATGTGTGATTGTAATTTCATAATTTGTAACCTTTTGTATTCATATTCTTATAATGTATTTTGGCATGAAATCTGGACTTGTTATTTTGCTTTCAATACAAACTTTCTTAAATACAAACTTTCTAAAATTGGCAAGAACGACAAACTGCCATGCGGTGATCTGTGAAATTTGATAGAAGGGGTAGTTTTCAATTTTTACCACAGATAATTTATTTGCATACTCATAAAGAAAATAGTTGAGTTGAACTGAGGTTGGCGTTTCTTAAAGAAACAAAAATAAAAATGGAGACCTATAGCTACAAAGTGTTAATAAACTGTAGTTTTTTATAATGTGACACACTATTGGAATCCAATGACTGCATTACTTATTTATATATTAAAATTTTATTTTATTGTAGTTGAATATTGTATGTGGTTTTTAGCGGTGTTTTGTGTTACCCGAATGGTGATGGAGGCTAATTGTAGTCCGTTCAATGAATAACCACTAAATAATCATGCAAATATTCATATATATGTTAGTGGTAAATATTTCGAGAACATGAGGCACCTTCATTAACATTTTCGTAGGGTTAGTAATGACATCTCGCAATAACACTTATCAATCAATTTCTCGTGCACAAAATCTCTTTAATTAATTAAATTTTCGAAAACAAAACGCATCATTTGTTATAGCTAATTTTATTGGGCATGAAATTTAAATTTAAGTAACCGGGCCTGGGCCGTATAAATTTTATTGTAGCCCATTTAAACCATAATTTCCCTTTATGCCTCTTGAAGAAGAGAATCGAAATCGAAGCTTATTTTCGCCTCGATGATCTGTAGGCCCATCAAATCGAAGCCCATTATTAACGCTATATATTTGCGGCGTTGTAATTTAACTGCTTTTCTTTCAATCAGGGATTTCGGAACCCTAATCGTCCATGGACTCATTGCGTAGAACCCTAGAAGTTATATATTTACCCTAATCGATATAGAGATCAAGTATCTATCTGGAAAGTTGTATTTGCGATAGAGATCAAGTTGTATCTGGAAAGTCTTGAATGATGGAGCGTCCTACTACAATTGAGGTAGCTGAGGCTGCAATAGCGGTCTATTGGGACATGAAGATGTGTCCGGTTCCCGATGGCTATGATGCTCGTCGTGTGGGTCCGTTTATTGAATGGAATTTGAGGCAGTTAGGCTACACTGGTCCTATCACCATCACTGCTGTTGGCTTACTATCAGATGTCCCTGAACAGATCCTTGAAGCGCTCTTTTCCTCTGGAGTCTCTCTTTCTAACGTCCCCTACGGTTAGTATCTTCTCCATCTTTATTCCCTTATTTGTTTAGAGAGTCTCTCAAGTCCTTATTTATTTCTGAAACAGGTACCAGAGACGTGGCAACGCTTGTCTTGTTTCGTACTTTCGATTTGCCACCTCCAGCTAGTTTCATGGTCATATCCCATCCAGAAGATGCCGCTTTATTTCTTGACTTGGTAAGTGAGAGAGGATACAACCCTATTTTCCCGTTTCCACTCAAAGAAGCCGCTGCTCATCTAGAAGATGATGATGGAAAGCCCCTCTGGGAAAACTTTCTTCGGGCAGGTTTGTGTTTTCCCTCATCTCTCACTGTCTTCACTGTCTTGTTGTTGCTTAACTAGCTACCATTTCTTTCTTTTTTTGTTCCACATATACAGAGCCTCCTGAGGAGGATAAGTGCAGTGAAACGGGTCAATCCTGGGTTTGCCGTGTGTGCCATGGAGTTACTGGCCGAGACTTTCAAAGTTTTATCACTCATCTCTCTACTCCAAAACATATTTGGGAGGTAATTAAGCATCCCTAGCCAAGTTTTGTCATCGTCCAACTATATTTGACTCAAACAAGCTCTTAGCTCTTACCCAAAGTAGTTTATTTCCCTTCCTCACTTGTAGTTTATTTTCCACTGGATGTACATTTGTTTTTCAAGCAGTTTCCGCGCTGGCATACCTATGCTACTAGCGGCAACCAAATCCCCTGAGTAGGCTCGGACGAATCGGAGGATGCTGTTGAAGCCAGTGTTGAGGCTCCCCTTGATTCTTATCCCGAGAATGCTACTATCAGGGTGAGTGAAGAATCAACCAAAAGACCTGTTTTAATATCTATCTGAAAGCGTTGAGATATCTAATCTTTCGAGTTCTGGGGTTTTCTTTATGAAAACTAATACATTGTAAGCTTTGTAGCGAAAGCACAAGAAGAGGAGGACGTGAAGAAGAAGAATATGAAGAGTACATGGCCCTTGGTGTTGTTCTTCTCGAAGGCCTTCCCTTTCGTGTGGTGAATCGGACATTTGTTCTACTTGTAGCTGCAAATGTTGGCTTAACTTATTACTTAAGCTTATTTTTCAAGTCGTTTTTCGTTTTAAGTTATGGAGATCGGACATAGTAACCGTATGGTATGTTTGAAATGATTAATAATGTGACAAGTATATGTTTTTATCTACGTGTGATAAAAAAAATATTAACACTCAAGTTTGAATGTTGGATAGTAAATGCCGGCTTATAGCTCTTTCTACAATACTAAAACATGTTTTAAAATTGTTCCTCCGTATACCTATCTTCTTCTTCCCTTATCTACTTCTATTCGTTAAACACTGCTACGAGCTTCTGCTTTCTACGACTGCTCGGATCCTTCTCAGCAGAGGGAACCATGAATCCTTCACTCGTCACCGCCATTATTGTGAATACATATTAGGAGGAGATCTATGTCACTATGTTAACTGTTAAGATTGTTTACTGTTTTCTAATGCATTGGTTTACTCTTTTTTTATGAAGCTTGTTTAATGATTTATGTTTATCACCGACATCGTCTCATGCATATCGGACACTCGTCGTCCCTCAAAAAAAAAATATTGGTCCTAAAACATTGAAAATTCTATTTCATATAGATAATCGCCAGTCGCAAATGGTAATCAACCATAACATATAGCTTAAAAGGTTGTTTTAGTGTCGATGTGTCACACTATATAGATTTAAATTCACATAATATAATTAATATATTGTTGAAAAGAGACAAATCGTCAAATGCTACCTCACCTAGCTAATGTTTTTTTTCTTTCTTTTTTGACTTAGCAAATGTTAGAAGGCCATCTATTTGCATCCGTAATGATAAATAGTAGTTTACCAAAATGAAATGATAAATAGTAAGAAATATAAGAGTGATATTTTATTGTGTGAAAACGAATACGAAAGTCAAAAGAAAGAAAAACGAAAGAATTTAAAATGCGTTTTGTGTTGGGCACAAATGTGTAAGTGTACCTTTTCCCACTTTAAATGTACGGTTAATAATCACATCAGCAGCGACTTTAGGAAATAGAAAATTTTCACAATTGACGCGATACGCATTAAAGTCGTTATCAATAGACCTTTTTTGTAGTTTGTTCTTTAGTGGTTCGTTTAATCTGGAACGTCCTTATAACATAAGAAATATATTTACTTAATTAGCTATCTAATTACAATAGTATTCAATTGATATAAGTAATGGTAATTAATTGCGGAAAGTTTAGAGAGGTGGTGGTGCACGGTGCATCTGAAGAGCTTTTGATACGTAAGTGGAGCACTCATGATAAGCGAACTTGTCTATTTATTAAGTGTTAATAAACTGTTGTTTTTATAATGTGACACACTATTGGAATCCAATGACTGCATTACTTATTTATATATTAAATATTTATTTTATTGTAGTTGTGTTTTGTGTTACCCGAATGTTGATGGAGGCTAATTGTAGTCCGTTCAATGAATAACCTCTAAATAATCATGCAAATATACATATATATGTTAGTGGTATTATATCGAACTGACAGAAGAAACATGAGTTGAAGTAGTCTTTAACTAAGACGATCAAAGAGGTTGGTGGTGTCAGACATCAGTAACTATGCTAATCAATCAATTTAAATGTGTAAACAATTAGTCTAAAGACTTCCTACAGGTTTCAATATCATCATAATTATTGATTATCATGTGGTGTTAATCTTCTATTATGTCGATTTAGTGGAGTATATCTATGGACTAAATGAATGGAGCTAAACTTTAAGCTTGACCCGCTTCGGATTTCTAATTCAAATCATTATTTTAATTTTTGTCTTTATTAAGAAAATTTTAGAGACTTATATTCAGACGATGGAATAACGGATATTCATACAAAACCAGGGTTTAAATCAAAAAGTAAGGTTTAATAATGGAGACAAATACCTAATTACTTATAACTTACCCTCCACTTTAATTTGCCCCCCATTGTGTTCAAGAGTTTGAAAAAAGCAATTGGACGTAAAAGGGCAAAAAGACAAACGAGCACGAGCCCGTGAGCATAGGAGAACATGGGGCACCTTCATTAACATTTTCCTAGGGTTAATAATGACATCTCGCAATAACACTTATCAATCAATTTCTCGTACACAAAATCTCTTTAATTAATTAAATTTACGAAAACCAAACGCATGTATATCATAGTCTATAGATAGGGATATATGAGGATTTTACATTTTCTCAATGAATATTCGTATCTGCCATATAAGTTACACATAACACTTCCGTAATTATTTGACTTTACACATATTTTTCAGTTTAAATTTTATCAATTTCTCTACAATTATTATTAGTTGTATCAACCTTCAACTTTTTAGATATGAATTTGTAAGTTTGTAACGAATAGTAAATAAACGTATTTATCCTAGAAAATGATACACACAGATTTCCTTTATTGTTTTGGATTAGAATATATCTTACACATGTCTGCATCATCATACTGAGGAGGTGTATATGAAAAATAAAATTTGGTTTATATTGTTTGATTTATATTAACTTTCTTTTATGATTGACAAATTGGCTTTGTTAATTACTATTATTGTTTGATTTCTATTAACTTTCTTTTATGATTTACAAAAATAGGAAAACAGAGGAAAACATGGTCGAATTAGGTTGGATCTAATAACAAATCCTGTTCCAAGGAACTTTATTTAATATACAAGATTAGTCCCTTTCCCGGCACCTCTAAATCCTATAATAAATAGTTAGTTATGCCTTATTACTAATTCTTTTTAACGCCACTATCTAAAAGATCACTAGCGTTAGTGTGCTCACATGATACACGACTCGTATGTACATGTATATGATCACCATCTTCATGTTTTTCATGGATCGAATCATCATCGTCAATCTTTATCGCGACATGATGACATGAGTCCACTGAGATCTCTCCATGCGATTGATCAACATTGTTTGATGTGTCAACATCACCTAAAATTGTAACAACATGATGATCATCATCATCATCATCATCATGAGATTTATTTGGCATGGCACGAACAATGCTTCCCGAATCTGACTTGGATGGCTTCGTCTTGTTCTTAAATTTTGCTGCGGATGCAAGCTCATGTACGGATTCTGAGATCTTTTCGGTTAAATTAACAATGTCAATGAGCAGAGAGACTGTCGTCATCAATGAGATCATTTGTAGAGGCTCAACATCGTTTAATATGCCTGATTTAAGTAAAGTTGAAAGAGTTTTGCAGGCAGATTGTGAGTTTACTACATGGATATCAAAAGAAGATGGTTTTGTCATTTTCTTTAATGAAATGGACACTTCTTTCATTGACTTCCCCGACTCCGAGCCCATTCTTCTTAATGGTTCCTCTAATTTTTTTTTAATGTCCATTGGGATCTAATAGAAAAATAATAGGTAAAACATAGGGTTAGAATGAACATTATCCATATAAAAAACCATAGACTAAGAATTCATTATGTATATGTAGTGTTAGCATTTGTTTTCACCTGCATATCTGAGTTGATGTTTGAATTCAAGGCATCAATCCGGTAAGCACATTGCCGGAGTAATGCACCCACGGCAAGATATTGTTTCCATGGATGCCGAAATCTAAATTGGCCGTGACGCGGTTCCCATTTTGCGAAATTTGCCTAAACACAAATGAACAAATAATCAAATATCAATACAAAATCCAGTCCATGTTATTTCAAAAAAGGGTATAATTATAGAAGTGAAGCGAGAAGTAGGGAAATAGCTAGGGAGAGTACCCACCAAAGCTTCTTCATTGCTTTTTGAGTTGAGAACACTTTTATATCTCTCAAGATTCCTTCTCCTCTTCTCCACCTCTTTGATGTCCCCATCCTCTGTCGCTTCAAAATATTCGTCCCCAAATTCTGCCAAATTCCCACTTTTTAGTTCATAACCGAATATATATATGAGAAATCTCAAAAATACAATAAGCTTTTTTCCCCAAAATTAAAAAACTTCTTCATTGTAGTATTTTGGGGGAAAAGTTTGTTTTAGAGGTATTTTTAGGTAAGGATTATTATAATCAACCTAGAGAAAAAAGAAAAACCTTGAAGGAAGTGGGCAAGTGTGTCAAAGTTGGAGGCAAGGAGAGAATGAAGGTCTTGTCCTGCCCAAACAGGGCAGACAAAGATAGAGATAAGTACGCAACTAACTCCTCCCATTATCACTGTCGATAGTCTCTTATGCGCCAAATCCAATATCTCGTCCTCTCTAAACCCCGACACTGATATCAGTGCGAACGTCAATATGAATATCAATACTCCATAATCATATCTTGCCTTCACCCGCGGGAAGAACCTCACAAACGTCGACAATGCAGCTGCACATATGTATTACGGTTAACGCTCTTTTATTTCAAGATAAATATATGCATGTTATCTAGACTATTACTACTATACTAAAGGACTAAATTTTCTCTGTTCTAGTCCCCTGTCCGAAAAGGTTATATATAACCAAATTCTCAAAATTTCAAAAAATAAATATGAGTGTGATCGTTACCTTGCACAAAGACAAATATGGCAAGAAGAATGGGTTCTACTGTTGTCCCGGACAAACTTGCTAGGTGATGCGCTCCAATCCCTAGTCCTCCTGCTACTAATGTTGCCACTGCTCTATTTATTCCTTTCCCAAGTGTGGCCCCTAATTACACACCAAACAAAAAGTTAAATAAATTGTAGCTAAAATTTCAATACAACAGAAAGTGGCTGATCACATGACGGATACTGACCTACAGAGAATTCAAAGACGACAACGACGGTCATGACTGCCCACATTGCATTGACACCGAAGTTATCGTAGAGAGGTTGGTAATAATAGAAGGAAGAGACCAAAGCAAGAGCAAGTCCCACTTTGAAAGCATGCACTACTCTTCTCGGATCTTCTTTTCCTACTCTTCTCCCTTCTCTCACTATCTCTCTCACTTTCTCCATTATGCCTTTTGATGATCACTCAACTCTCTGATAAGTTTCAGAAAGAGAGGAAGAAGTAGAAAGATGACTTGTTGTTTTGAGCAGATGGATCGTCGTTATTTATAAAGAGCATAGAGACTAGAGAGTCCTGTTTGGGATTCGTGAAATGTTATTTTATTATTTTAAGAAAAAATTCAGTGGTGCGTTGTACTTCGTATCGTACGTTGAGGGTTAAAGAAATTGAAAATGAGTAATATTATTAATTAGAGACAAGAGTATTTTTAATTAGAGGCAGAGACTAGTACTTACGTAACCAAGTTCTACTTTGGTGCTGATTTTATCCGATATTTAAAAGCGGCTATTAGTAGCATGCTTTATTTTTTCATTGTTAATTTATTTCCAAAATTGCCAATTAAATTCCACGTCCAAAAGAATTCCTTTCTATATAAAATTAAATAGTGCTATCCAACAACATTTGATTTCTAACCATTTTTAAAGTTGCTAGCTGTACTTTGTAATCAATATTAAAAACTCGTAATACACAACTCTTTCATTTTTTATCTTCATTTAACAGAAAAAAAATTATCTTCAAAAAAAATACGCAGTCCACAATTTACAGTCCCAAGAAGTATTCACAAAAAAAAATTGTTAAAAATTCAAGGAAAATTATTGAGATTTTTAAATTTATTATCAAATAGAAATATATTTCTAAATTCCCGTTATGAACATTTTTGGTGAGTAAACAAAAATAATTCAGTATAGTATTTCTTTCGTCTCAAAAAAAAAAGAGTATAGTATTTGTTTACGTTATTGACAATTGACATGATAATCATGCCAATCAATTTGTCATTTGTCCCATCGTTTCTCTCTTTCAAAGCTAGTAAAGTATCCGTCCATATATTTGCTCATTCACATATGTTACTTTCACCAATATTTTAGACCTACCTTATATTTATTCGACCAATTGTCCAATTTATCTTTCTTTTTTGACCATATCCACTAGTATTCTCTTTTTTCTCTACGAAAACTAACATACAGATTATGTGATTTTTTTATTGTCAACAAGAAAATTTCGGACCTCACAATTTTGATAATACCTAATGATCATATCTAATCATGCTTTCCAAGTGAGACTTGAACTTGGAAGATTGTGAGATATTTTTTGTCAACAAAGAAGTTTCGGATCTATATCGATCATCCCTCTCCGGCAGATAGACTTATGGATTATAAAAAATAATACTAAATGAAAAGGTAATGGTTAGAACGCGGAAGTAGATAGCATGGTGCATTTTGCACCGAGTCACAATCAGCCTTGTCAATACCAAGTTGGCATCAACGTACGGAACCCATTAGCCCAATCGTAAAAGGCACTTTTATTATACTATAGTCTAACCTAGATACAACTTCCAGCTTTTGTTTCTTATATACTGGTTACGTATTGATCATGTTTGTTACTTTATTGGCAAGTATGAATTAAGTTTGACTTAGTGAGAAAATTTCTATTAGTTATTGCAGACTGCATATAATCTCATACATTTCACCAGAACATGACACCTGATACGTGAAATTGCTTTGTTGATCTCTAGCATGATTGGTATATTGAAAATCTTTTTTTTTTCTAATGTAAAATTACATTCAACAAAAAAAACGTTTGTACTGCAACATTTAGAGTTGGTATATTAAAAATAAAAACATTGATGAAAGCTACGTTTTGAGAATTGAAAGGATTACCATGAGGCTTTAGCACTGGCCAGTGGCCAACACCACTTTTGTTATTATCAAAAAAAATAAAAAAAAAGAAGACCACTTTTGTTTTTTTTTTTGATAAACAAGACCACTTTTGTTATTAACAAAAAAGCCGACGCCTCCTCACGCTGCGCCAGATTTCCGCCTCCTCCAATGATATATATATATATATATATATATATATTTGCAATTGCATATGATGTTTATAATTAAATAGTCATAGTGATCATAGAAAATAACAATCTTGAGTTGTTGCCGGAGTTAGTTGTCTTTATCGTCCCCATTTTTCCTCATCCCTTCATCTGGCGGTCTATGACGTTCTTATTTAGTGAGGCTCTCTGAAACACCATAATCCGAAAATAAAACCAAGCTATTTTAAAATTTTGAAATCAGTTGGATACAAGACTTTTTAAAAGAGTAAACGCAACGGAAAACGAAAACCAAGACTTTATTAAATGTGTGACCAATAGTTCAAAAATGCTCAAAGGCTACAGTAGTACTTATATAACAAACTTCAAATCTGAAATACCCGAATACGTTATATACCGATGGTCTCGTCTCTATAATCTTGCGGGTACCGCCTCAAAAAAATGAGGTTTGAGGAACGAATTACTTAGTGAAGACGGCCATTCCTGGTCACATCTTCTAACAAGCTCGTATGTACATGTATTTCACCATCTTCATGTTTTTCATGGTTTGAATTATCATCAACAATCTTTATGGCAATATGATGACATGAGTCCTGTGAACTCTCTCCACGCGAATTATCAGCATTGTTTGATTTATCAACGTCATGTAAAACTGTGACAACATGATCATCTTCATGAGATTCTACTGGAATGGCACGACCAATTCTTCCAGAATCCGACTTCTCGTATAGCACCATCGGCCTCATCTTGTTCTTAAATCTTGCAGCGGATGCAAGCTCATGTACGGATTCTGAGATTTTTTCAGTTAAATTAACAATATCTATGAGTAGGGAGACAGTCGTGAGCAATGAAATCATTTGAAGAGGCTCAACATCGTTCAAGATGCCTGATTTAAGTAAAGTAGAAAGAGCTTTGCATGCAGATTGTGAGTTTGAGACATGGATATCAGAAGAAGATGATTTTATCATTTTCTTTAATGAAATCGACATTTCTTTCATTGATTTTCCCGACTCCGAGCTCATTCTTCTTAATGGTGTTCCTAATTTCTTTTTTATGTCCATTGGGATCTAATAGAAAAAGAGATAAACAAAAGGGTTAGAAGAAACATATACTACTATATGTTAAAACATCCATACAAAAACATCTACTATATAACAGACTAAGAATTTCAAACCGATGTTATTTGTGTTTGCATTTGCGATTATATTTACATGTTATAGCCTATTATTTTTTCGAATTTTAATTTAAAATCAAACACCTATAACAAAAAGTTAGTGATACCTGAAAATCTGAGTTGATGTATGAATTCAAGGCATCAATCCTGTAGGCACACTGCCGGAGTAATGCGCCAACGGCAACATATTGTTGCCATGGATGCCTAAACCTAAATTGTCCATGCGGCGGTTCCCATTCTGCGAAATTAGCCTAAACGCAAATGAGCAAATATATCAATACAAAATTCAATCCAAATGATTTCATAAATGTGAAGCGAGTAGGGAAAGAGAGAGATATAGAGAGTACCCACCAAAGCTTCTTCATCGCTTTTGGAGTCAAGAACCCTTTTATATCTCCCAAGATTCTTTTTCCTCTTCTCCACCACTTTGTAGTCCCCATCTTCACTCGCCTCAAAATATTCGTCCCCAAAATCTGCCAATTTCCCACTTTTACATTCACAATCGAATATGCATATTTATTTTCTTGTAAAAACATAATTAGGAAAAGAAAAAGAGAACGAAAAAAAAAAACCTTGAAGGAAATGGGAGAGTGTGTCAAAGTTAGAGGCAAGGAGAGAATGAAGATCTTGTCCAGCCCAAACAGGACAGACAAAGATAGAGATAAGGACGCAACTGACTCCTCCAATCACCACTGTTGAAAGTCTGCTTTCTGCCAAATCCATTATCTCTTCGTCTCTAAACCCCGACAACGATATCAACGCGAACGTCAATATGAATATCAATATCCCATAATCGAATTTTGTCTTCACCCGTGGGAAGAACCTCACAAACGTCGACAAGGCAGCTGCAGATATATATATATATTACCATTAATCCTAGCTCAATCTTCTAGATATGATGTATGTATGCAAATATGAGTCTACAAGTGTACTAGGAGACCTTCCAAAGGAAGATTGCCTCAAGATCACGCGTTCAAGTTTTGATGTTGTGGAAAAGACTATATATGTCTGATCTAGTGTTTAGCTCAAAAAAGTTATGAATCAAAAGTCTGGAACCGCATGCATAGTAATCTAAAAATGTAAGAGTGTTATTAGGGTTTACCTTGCACAAAGACCAACATGACCAAAAGAATAGGTTCCACTGTTGCACCCGACAATCTTGCTAGTCGATGAGCTCCAATTCCTAGTCCCCCTGCTACTAATGTTGCCACTCCTCTATTTAGTCCTTTCCCAAGTGTAGCCCCTAAATACACACCAAGCCGAAATTAAATAATATTATGGCCAAAAAAAAAAAAAAAACTTGCATTCTCCCTCAAGTATTAGACATATTCATATGTTAGAAACTAGATGATTGTGGTCACGTGACGAACCTACGGAGAATTCAAAGACAACAACGACGGTCATGACAGCCCACATTGCATTGATACCGAAGTAATCGGTGAAAGGACCGAACGGTTGGTAATAATAGAAGGAAGAGACCAAAACAAGAGCAAGTCCCACTTTGAAAGCATGAATTATTCTTCTCGGGTCTTCATTCCCTACTCTCATCCCTTCTCTCACTATCTCTCTCACTTTCTCCATAACACCTCCTGATGATCACTCAGCTCTCAAGTGTTTTTTTTTCTCTGATTATTTTCAAAGAGAGAAGAAAACATAGAAAGATGACTTGTTGTTTTTGTGTACATGGATCGATGTTATTTATAAAGACCAAGAGAGACTCTTGTTTAGGACTCATGAAATGTTATTTTACTATTTTTATTGAAAATAAGTGGTGCGTTGCACTTCGAGCGTTGAAGGTTAAAGTCTTAAAGAAATGGAAAATGAAAATGTAATTAATTAACGGGGTGGAACCTAGCCCAGTAAGTTGGGTACTAGTTAAGCCCTCCCCTCTATTGGAGCGACGCGTGAGGAGTTTTATGCTGAGCTGGATTAGTTAGATGAACCGGTAGGAATTGATGATGATATAAGTTATTTAACTATATCATACTTTAGTGAATTGTATATAGTACAGTGTATGATACATTTGATTTAACGAATGAAAAAGGTTTAATTCAACTTTTCCTTTCAGCTACTCCAAATCATTCCGTTTCTGCAGTAATTGACAAGATCATTCTAGCTAATATCAAATCAATCAGATCTGATAATGTCCCTAAATTAGCATTTACTGATCAAGTTATAAAACTTGGAATGATTCATTATTATTTTGTCCATACATACCTCAACAAAATTTTGTTGTTGAAAACATCGGCTTTGACTGAATGTCCCTTAATCATTATTCTTTCAATCTAGTCTACCACACACACAAAAAAATATCAACAAGTTGGCATCAACGTACGGAACCCATTACCCCGATCGTACAAGGCACCTTTATTCTTAAATTACTTTTACTTAAGCCCTTTAAACTAAGAAAACTATTTTTATATATATAATAGTTGGAAAAAATGACCTACAACAATCCAAACCTTTGACACATAATCATTTCAACTTTCAATTACTCAAACCACGCAATCTAAAATTTGGCAGTTTAATACCACATCAACTATATGAACGTTCTTAGTTCAATCTTCCTTTGGGACAGAGAGACATTCTTTAAATAAGAATGGACTAAACACTGCCTCCGGGTACTAAAAGGAGATTATGGACCTTAATTTCCGCGGTTTATCTAAAAAAAGGAACTATATCAATGTTGTTACTGATAATATCACAGCATTAGCTCTCAAATCAAACTCAGATGAGATGATTAGAAGAAGTTTGACTAATACATCATCAGGTTTAAAACTAATCTAAACTTTTTTTTTTTTTATTATCATCCTAATTCCTATATCCAAAATAATATTAACTTCAACCATCTAATGCCTCTATTCTTAACTTCAACCATCTGATCCTCCAAATATTTCGCCAAAACAAGATTTTTTGGAGCTAATGACAGCAGCATCGATGCCAAATCACACCGACATCAACATTGTTTCATTTTAAGGCCACAAAGAACAAGTATTTATGTATCTCAACCAAATCGAGTGACTGAGTCCATCACCCGAGGATCCATGAACCAATTCAGAGTCGCTTTCTAGGACATTAAATACATCTTTCTTTCTTTTTTTTCTTTGGTCTAGGTCTAGCTTAGACAACCCAAAAGTAGCTAGGAAAAATTTTCGTATCATATAATCAACACAAATGTTACAAAGTATGAACTGGTAATAAAATTAAAATACACAAAAGCCCCCCAACGACATCAGACCATCCTCCAACTAATCAACCATTACCATTCTAAGAATTCATATCCACTCAGCCAAGAAACTATACCACAAACGAAAACGAGGACAATTGAAGAGGAAAAAAGAAAGATATGATATGATATAAAAAAGCAGCAGCAGACTGAATAAAAATGAACGAGAGGACTAAAGCCCGAACAAATAAACTCTACAAATCACTACTAAACCACCACCAAAACTGACTTCTCTAACCTTTTAACATCTTAATTTACACACCCCCTGATATCTCCAAACCTCATCGTTTCTCTTCTATGGCTCATCTTTTTCTGTACACATGAGGAACACCAGGAGGCAGATGTTACAAATGTTTTGGGAGCGGTATGTATGTGCACGAGTTCCTCTTTGCCTGCCTCACATCCAAGCCAGAGAACCTCCTCGGTCATTTGAGTTTTGTGGGCGTCCTCTGGTTGGCGTCGCGGGCCTATTTGCATTCAACTCCTGCGAAAAGTGCATACTACGCTAAGTACCAATGTTTCAGGTCAAACTATGGACTAAGATTCAGTAATGATATGAAGCAATATGAACCTGCATCCAAGTGTCTTCTATATGTCTTTCTGGTGAAGTTTCAGGCGATGAAAGTGCTGGAGGTAACGGATGAATGAGCTTAGGAACCACTACAAGATCTCTCCCTAATACTAAGATAGCCCCAGCATTGTTTGCAGTACCTGAGGTTTAGTATAAAAACTATTAACAAAACAGAAATAACCCCATCAAAGTATCTAAATCCGGTTATGGCACTAGTGAGTCCATGTACATACCACAATAGTTTGTAGCAGAAAAGAGCGTTATCAAATGCCCCTGAGCAAAACGCTCAAATCCATCCATTACGCATTCGTGTGCTCGTACAATCAACTGAAGATCATTGTTGTTGCAGAACTCCATGACACGGTCAGGCTACAATTGCCAAGTGTTGGTGAGTAACAGAACAGGCAAAAATGAAGTGCAAAAGCAATTAAAACTTCTTCATATGGTAAGTTATTGGGAGCAAACTAGACTATATTCCTCAGCTTCAAACAAAAAAATATCATATATTCGAGACCAAGGGTCTAACAATAACAGCATCTCATTGCAGAGAAAAAATATTGTGAGAAAATAAAGAGATGAACCGGTTTTAGGAAGGGAGGAAAAACTAAATTCAGAAAACATAAAATTAAAAAAAAAAGAAAAGTACTTACCCCAAAAGTAACCAATCCAGGACCTCTAGCATTGGGCCTTAAACCTTCCACACTGTCATTTTCAGTTGGATCCGACCTAACGAATTCCAAATTAACAAACTAGTAAGACTTGACCAAAAAAATAACCAGACCAACATATAGAAGCCATGGACAAACCATAATAAATCCATAAGTACAATGGAGCCAGCTTCCATTGTAATTGGACGTTGAATATTTTCTATCTGCTCCACATGATTTATAGAGCGACCAATACCCCCATGCATACAGATAATTTTCTTCTCAATAGATGCAGCAAGAGGTAGCCAATTAAATAAACGATTTATTCGGTGCCACACCCAGATTCCATCGCGTTCACCCTACAAAGCAACCACAACATGAGACAACTAAACATGGAAACAAAAGATTCAGAAGCAGAATACATTACCATTCGCTCAATGCACTCTATTCGGAAGCCAAAAAGGGCGTTAATATCCGCAGCTTCATGGTTTCCCCGAATTAAGTGTACGTTATGCTGGTACTCAACCTGCAGTACCGAAAGTAGAATGTCAAACCTACTATGGTCAAGCAACTAGAACATCTGCATCAAGTCAAAATTAACATAATTTACTTAGAACTACCTTTAATGCAAGCAGAAGGGAGATTGTTTCTAGACTGTGTTGACCCCGATCAACATAGTCCCCTAAGAAGAGGTAATCGATGTATCTGACAATTAAACAACAGAATGAGCAATGTCCCAGCAAAAATAGCAAGAAGTAGGGCCAATGATGTCAGAATTTTTAGTTATGCACGTACGATATGTCTCCAGCTGTAGATGGTGAACCATATTCATCAAAAAGGCGCATAAGATCCCCAAACTGCCCATGCAGATCACCAAATATTTTAATAGGAGCTTTAAGCTGTAACACAGTCGGTTCACTTGCGAAGATACGTTCTGCACTATCACAAAGATCTGCTATTTCATTGCAATCTAGGAAAAACTGGCGTCGAACAGGAGGTTTCCACCCACGAGGCTTCAAAAGATGAGCTATAACCTATTACGACATAGTTAGGTCACAGATCGTTAGAACTCACGAATAGACACCTGGCCAAAATACTAAGCGAATCTTAGGCACCCGATTCCCAATTGAATAATTGAACAAAAGAGATGATGAAAAGGAATCTTCAACTATGAGTTACTAGTAATGCAAACCAGGAGACAGTATACCTATAAAATAGCATTTTCAATTTCTATCACAGCAATCAGACGATTAACCAATGCCGCAGAAAGAAAGTATCGAATAATAGTTCAAGATTGTATCCTTTTCATCACACTTTACCAAATGTATTACTGTGTATTTAACCCACATGTAGGATCCCAATAATTTCCAGAAAATTATGTTGAGAACCAAAATCTTTACCTTCTTTGGAACACTATTGATTGACATTTGTCGATCCAATAGTTTCCTTGCTGCTGTTGCACTTTCTGGTGTCCCATAACTGACACGCCGTCCCTCATTTTCAAATTGATCAATGGATAACTGTCTAACCATTCCACCTAAGGCGCCACCAGTTTCTGCAGCAACCACCACCTAATAACAAAGTGCCAGAATCATTAAAAATCAAAAATGCATTAGTGGTGAGAATCTGGGTAAAAAATACTAGTAAATGATGAACATGGTGTTCGAAGTAGTATATTGCAAGACTTGAAATATTCAATACAATAATTGTGACACTCACGGCTCTATGATGAAGACGAATCCCTGCAGGAGTAACACTCATTGATCCCATAGAATCTGGCTTGATTAGCGAAAATGTAGGTTTCCCACTAGGTGTAGCCTCTGCACCACAATCCCTATCTGGGAGTTCAACTTCACCATTGACTTGTCGTGCCTTGGCAGCAGCCAACGTAGCACTTATCGCCTCAGCTTCTGCTGCTGATGCTTCAACAAGATACTCCACACCCTTATTCGTTCTCCTACAAAGTTGTGATGGATGGTTGTCACTAAATTCATCACTGTGTTAACAATATAGCACAAGATAAATCATTATTTAAGGAAGTTGGCTAACCGAGTTCCTGGAAGTAATGCATTTTCAGGGCTAATATCGGTATGCATATCACCATTTACAGGGGGTGCAACAGGGCTTCCCAGCACAACAGCGCCATCAGCGGCTGATTCAGATAACTCCCTGTTCCTTTCATCTGAAAAACCATACCTTCCAGGTAATCGACCAGGTGGGGAACTTGTTGCCGCAGCTGCAGCAGCATGAGAAGCAGCATATGTTGTTTCCGCAGCAGCAAGATCTTCAGCAACCAATAAGTCATCGAGTAACACCCCTAAAGTATAGTGAAACCATAATTTGAAAAACAGATTAATAGAGGGAGGGAACTAATTTTAAAACAGTGCAGGAATTTTATATAATTGCTATTTCTGTTATGGTCTCTCAGATTCTAACGAAAAATAATACCTAGTAAAGAAAGTTTAATTCTAGAGTATCACACACTGGCTACACAATGTATATTATGCCACATTTATAGAACAATCCAACCGTATATATTGGTTCATCCTCATTGAGAAGCATGCACAAAAAATTGTAATCTAAACAACAGTGGTCTGTATCAAAGCATCAAAGATACATTAACAAAGTTCTGCCAAGCTTTTCTCTTTACCTCCACGTAAACCGCCATAGATAAATATCAAGTCACCGACTGCAGCAGCAGCATGCCTACAACGCCTAGTCAGCTCAACTGAAGCATCACCACCAGCTGCATCGGCACTATACCTGCCAGTTCTAGGACTAGTAACAACTGATTTTGTATCACACCATACACCTGCTGCAGTATCCAATACTGTAAAAAGACAATAGATAATCAGAGAATTGTAGATGAACCCCATGCATATTTTAGTATAAAACCATCATATACAACTCTCGTCTATACATGAGACACATTAAAACAATGGCCAACAGAAGACTAAAAGTGGTGCAGCAATTATTAAGGAAACTCAAGTATTTCCTCAATGATAATCCAACAGCACAAACATCAGATTGCTTCTCTTCGTTTGCTAACCTGCAACACTGGATGAGTCTTCAACCATGCGTCCACCACCAAGTGCCCCACCGGACACATGAAGTCTTGCATTTACAAAGACCTACATAATCCATCAAACAATTTAATAATTCTGATGAGGACAGAAAAGAGAACCAAAGAGGAAGAACCATTCCATACTGCTGCATGCTGATATCTGGAAGATGGTGAGACACCAGGGGCTATGGCCCATTCCCAACGTCCATCTCTATGCTTCGCAAGTCCATATGCACTGGCCAGAGGCTATCCATCAAACGTAGAAAACAAAATATTAAGCTCCTCAATCAAGCATTCAAGATTAAAGCAGTCCATTGAGTGTCAAATTTCACTTTACAAAGAATTGACAACTTCTCATGATCATGTATAAACACATCATAATTGATAATAAGCTCATTCCTTGTTGACAAAAGAAATTATAGTTCCTTTTCTCGTAGAGAAGCTTCATGAAGTCTTGCACACAATTTATGTTTGTTACTTCTTCAGAGTCTGTGTTGAAACACAAACTCTTGATTAATTTAACCAGCAGAGAAGACGTACATCTCCATTAATAAATTTGTAGCTGGGGAAATAGAATACTTTTAAATTTGCTCAGTGACAAAAATCAACCTCTATAAAAAATTGACAAAATCTCACGCCCCCATTTTTATCTCACACTAAAGTAAAAAGCCAAAATTCTAATCATGCCTCTATATGTGGCTCAGTGTCTGTTTTCAAAGAGATAATTGGGCAAGACTGCAACGAATCTCTTCACTTACCACACTGTTTGCATCCCTTCCACCACAGAGGAGAAGAAGACCATCAGAACGCGCACTTGCAGTAGCATACCTAGTCACAACGTACAAACAGATAAAAACAATATTACTCCAGTGCAAAGCACACAATCATAAAGGAGTGTAATCAAACTTACATGCAGGGAGGTGGACCTTCCCCTTCTGGTTCCAGCTTACGCCATTCATAAGGCTTGGCGGCAGTATCCAAGGCCCATACATCAGCGAGTGGACGTTTTCCTGGTAGTTTAAAATGGAGTTCAGAAGGGTGAACGTTTAAGTTGAATATAAAACATTGAGAATAAGTCAACGTGGAAAACTGCTTACCATCATTTCCACCAATTGCCATGAGATACCTTTGTCCCACAAGTGCCATGACATGTCCATAACGCGGTCCTGGTCCAGGACCCTGAACAACAACCCTGGATAGAGAACATAATCTATATCAAGACACAAACTAGTAATATGGATTTTAAACAGAGATAGCCACTAGTGGCAGGTTTATTTTCAGACCTGTGCCATCGTGGCCGTTGTTGAGTGAGATCAAGAACATGAAGGTCTTCAGCCGATAAACCAGCAGGACCAATTCCACCCTGCACAACAGAAAGAATTTATAAGCACTTTCATAGCTGACTGAAAATGCCCATATTAAACTGATAAACTTCAATATAATAACATCATTGCTCCCCTACCTGAATAACTACCATGGTCCCGACTGCAGTGGCAACATGTGCGGCCCTCGGGGTTGGTGGTTCTCCAAAGGGTGTAAGCCTGTAGCCTCATTTCATTTAATTAACTGGTATCCACAGTTTTAAAAGGGGCAGGACCTCATGCAGTTTTCATAATTAGGATGAAAAACCAAAGTAATACACATTTTATGCTCACCTAGTCCACTTATTAGAAAGTACATCATAACAATGAACATCAGCAGTTGCACCAGCTAGCCCTGCAGAGAAAAGAACACCCTATTTAATTAATACAACCGGGTAAGTCAAGGAACCTTAAGAAATAACAAGAGCTAGAACATAAAATCTATCAGCAAATTAATGATCTAATATCCCACAGCTAATACTGTGTCCTGCTACTACATCAAGCTCTTCGCTCTACCGATTCCATATGAAAAATTCAAAGCAATAAATGTTGAGAAATTTTCACCTAAGAGTGCCAGCTAATTTAACAGATATGAAGCTTTCAGAGCTAAAGTTTCCAAACTTAGACGAACTCACAAGGATTGCAAGCAAATAACCAGTGTATATCTTTGTAACCGGTAAATCTTTAGAAGTTTAAGGCTTGACAAGGGCCCTCTATCAGAATAGTTAAGCCATAATAAACGAATAAACTTAGAACCTCAATAGTTAGGCAAAGGAGAAGGCAATTGAAGAGCGGTGATGCTCAAAATTATTTAAAAAGTTAGGAAAAGGAGAAGGAAAACGTACGAATGCCGGCACTTCCAGCTGAAGTTGGAGTTCCGGTGCCACCAGAATTACCCTCAAGAGCCGTAGCACCACCAAACAATACAAGACGAGGACCAATATAACCAGGCGTTCCTTCATCACCAACAGCAGGAACAGCCGTCAACGTGTGACCACACCTAGGGCCAGGGCCATCCTCTTTTTTATCCATCATAGCATCCACCACCGAATACGTAGGTGCACACCTCGGACCAACAACTTGCGCCGGCTGCTGCTCTTGTCCAACAACCGCAGCCGCTTGCTGCTGAGAACTCGTCGGATTAGGATCCGAAGGCGGCGGCGTTGGCACCGATCCGTCTTCAGGAGGTGATTGGTCGTTCATCTGCTGAGACGTCTCTCTTTCCATAGGCGAAGGAGATTGGCCTCCATCAAGGCTCTGAAACTCCCGATCCTGATCGTTGTCAGCCACCATAGACGAATCTTCATCCATTATCAAACCTCAAAAGCTTCAAAAGTGGGAAACAGAAAGAAAAAAAACCTAACTAAAGACCGATCCAGCTGATCAACATATCTGATGTTAAACTTGCCGCTCTCGGAGAAAATATCCGGTAGAATCGAAACCCTAGTTTTCCTTCACCGGTCAGATCCTCGAGGCTTGTTTACAACAGAAACAGTTATTTTCCAGGGAAATTATAACGAAGCAGACATTCACACACATTTAGGAAAACCAATTTTTCCTTTTTTTTTGTTTATCACAAGTTTCTCTCTCCTCTCTTCTCCATAGTCTGATTAGTCTTAACCCTCAAGGACGCGAATGGAACGAGAGACACGAACCAACTCATCGCCAAACGTACTAACCGAAATCACTAAAACATTTCTATTTTACTTTGGTTAATATCGATTTAAGGAAAAAAGAGTTGTCGTATTGTTTTGGTAATGACATATTTAGCAAAAAGAATTGGTTATTGAAATGTTTAAACATTATTTTCACTATTTATTGTTCAAAAGAGTCCAAACCCAAATAAGAAAAAAAATTAATGTTCCATGAAAACTCTATTTATGGCTATTTTATTCTCAAAACAAAGCGATGAGTATCTCCAACTGGCAAATACAATTCTCCAATTTCCACCAGATTTGAGTTGTCACTTTTCTAACCTTTTCTCTTCTTTTTTTCTCCTTTTCCCCAAAATATTACTTTAATTATAAAAAAAAAACATCAAGACACTCGAGAACTGCGACAGGTTCAACTGTTATTACATTTTTTGAAAAAAAAACATTAAGTAGCTTTGGTTGCCATCTTTGCTCGGATGAACTACAATTTGCTAATCAACGCATCGTGAGAGGCCCTGTGTTAGCCGGTTTCTGGAAAACTTTAACCATAGGCATCCCATCTCCATCTTCTGTGTTTTGAACCCTCCAAGTCCGATCCTTTTTCCTCTGTGGCTTTTTGTGCTGTTTATGTGACGCGGTTTGCTTCTTCACTGTCACTTTCTTTGAAGACTTAAGCCCATTGGCAAGATCAAACGAGCTCAGATCATCTAGCACAGCATCAATACCAGGAACTTGCTCGCTTTCTGTCTCATCTCCTACTGTAGAGTCTTCAGACTCTGACCCTTCGAGAATATCCTCAAGTTCTTCAGTGTCCTCTATATCCGCTTCATCACTTTGTGTCATTCCAGGTGGCATTGCATAATGCGGCAGCTTACCTCCAATGTAATCTTTCAGAATCAGCCTAGCAGCTTTCGTTTCATCAGGTAGTCCACTAGAGGCAACATAGCCACGAGAAGCACAGTAACTTCTTAAAAGCTCTGCAGCATGAGGCGGGCGGGACTGACGCTCATAGGTTTTGGGTTTAGGAAGAGAAATGTTGTATACACTCTCAATGACACGTCGAGGAACCTTGTCAGCCACCACCTGAATAGCTTCACGGTGCTCCGTCATCCTGTCAATCGGAAGTACACCAGAAGCAATCATTTCATATCTCGAGCTTGAGAACGAAGGGAAGACTAAACCAGGGCAATCGCATAGCATAAGCTCCTCAGAGATTATCAGAGTCTGGAAATGCTTTGTTTTTCCTGGGGTAGAGGTGACACCTGTTCGCTTCTGACCCACCAATGCGTTGATTGTTGAACTCTTTCCAACATTTGGGTACCCAACAAATCCAACCACGGCTTGATCACGTTGATATTCAACAGTCGATGACTGCGATGATACAGATGCTGCTCTAGAATTCCTTACTTTGACAATCTCTTGAGCCTCAAATTCTAAACGACTCAGCAGCTCGTCCCTGCCATATATCATAATGTCTGGATCATCTGTCTTCTGAAAGTTATCGGGTTGTCTCCATTGCTCTTTCAAGACTTTACCTTCTAGGGTGGCTGTAGCAGCTATGGCTGACCAGAAAACAAACAGAATGTTGTTAAGGCGGAAATATTCTGCCCATTTCTCCCTACAGATATGTCAATAGGTAAGCCAATTGATTAGAAGACAAAAAAGGTTGGAGGCAAAGTAGTAAGCCACGGGAGGATTGGCTAACCTGACATCAGTAGGTAAAAGATCCGCCTTGTTAACTAGAAGCATTATTTTCTTATGCTCATCAATTTCTCGAGCATATGCCTGTGTCACGACGAATCTTTAAGTAAATATAAATCAGGAATACGGTGCCAAGTTGAGTTTCAAGCTGGGAAAAATGCACTACCTCAAGATCAGGGCAGCGGTAAAACAGTGGATCCCTAGCATCAACTACCATAACAATCTGAAAAAGGAAAAGTATAAGTAACCAAAACTGTTTTGAAATTAACTAAAACGCAGAAAGTGAACTTATTGAGAAGGTTAATACATTCTTGACAAAGACTTACCAAATCACTGCGTTCAAGCACTCGCCAAAGCTGTCTCCAGATGTCAAGGTTCTTTTCGAATGGAGTCAACACAAGCTTTTCATTTTCCTCAAGGCTAAACCAAAATACAGGAAAACAAGTAAGCATGCAGAAGCAAATAGCAATAAGCCACCAAGAAAAGTGCACATGACAAAATCAAATCATACACCCAATATAGTAAAAGAAAGGATATCCTTTGTGAGTTAGAAATTGCTTCAAGGTGTGAGAAAGGATAGCTTTTCAATCCAAAAATTGATTAGGGTCAAACATATAAACTCTAGTTTGGTTTATATACGAAGATATCTTGAACACACCTCAATTCTATACAAATTCCAACATAATAACTTATATACACAGCACACTATATCAATAACAACAAAGCTGAGATTTTCTGGGGAAAATGGATACAAGAATGCGATTTCCTCAACTTATCTCCTTTCGAACAAACAGAATATTTACTCCAAATACATGCATTTTATCAATTAAAGCATCAATTTTTACCATTTGAACAAAACTATGTGACAGATATTGATTTGTTTATAGCACACACACACACACACTGAAGAAGCAAAATTAATAATAGGACCATGAAGATGGGGTAAGCTAACCTCACAAGCATCCGGCGCCAATTTAGAAAAGCTTGTTTTTCATTAGCATCAAGTTCTTCCACTGACATTTCGGGTGTCCACGGAGGTCTGGTGATTAAGAGAGAAAAAAAATGATACTTTGTCTCGAGAGCTATGAGAAAAAGGACGAATAAATCTAAAGAGAATGAAAAGCACATGCCTTCGAGGCACTTGAAGACTACTGGCGTGTAAAGCCTCCTCTATCTTCTGTTGCTCTCTCCATTCTTCAGCTGCTATAACACTTGAGCTGGAATTTGTGTCTCTGTTACCAAAAACAACATTAGAGAAACAGCACACCATAAGAACATTAAGATGGACAAGTAATCGTTCTCCAATCTCATTACCAAATTGAATTTATACAAACAGATCCACACACACCTAATCAATCAAAGGACAATGAAAAAGAGGAATTTAGAAGAAGAGAATCATACAGATTGATAGACAAAGGTGTGGAGGAGCTGTGATTAATGGTGTAAAGACGCTCAGCCTCCTCGGCTTGCTCAATGATGGCGTCGATGTCGCTGACCTCGGTCACGGATTCGAGAACTTTCTTCTGTAGATTCTTGTAGTACTTGCCTTTGTCTTTGGATTCTTGAATCATATGGTTGTGGTGCTTCACCAGTGATCGCCCCAACGACGTCTTTTCGCTCTTCCCCATCTCTCTGGTTCTCTGTCTCAGCCTCCCTTCTCAAATAAACCCTAAAGTCTCTAAACCCTTGAAGATGGATTCGACGGCGCGTTTGTTATGTGTTTCAAAGTGTTGGGTTTTTCCTTAGGGTAACAAAACGTCAGCCGCCGACCACACTCGCTGTACGGAGAAGCTAATTCAACTCTTTTTTTTTTACTTCTTTTTCTTACAATTTTTCTTACTTCTTTTTCTTATTTTTCTTACTTCTTTTCGTTTAAAAAAAAAAAAAAATCATATGTGTCACACGAATTGAAAAATGAACCATATCCGGAAATTATCCTCATCACTAATTTCGTGATAACGTTAAAAATAAATCTCTCTAAATAGTAGATAATATAAATTATTTTGTAAGAAAATAAAAATTAATTATACAAACCTTTTTTTGGTGCAACACTGCAACCTAATTATAATTTTAATTTAAAAATCATAACATAATCCATTGGACTCGAGGACGCGAAGGCTTTAAGAAAAAAGGAACAACCGTTTCCCGGCAAATGCTTCCGATGGAACATCCACTTCCACTGTCGTTCGTCTTGCCAAATCCGACCAACCTTCCCGGTCTCTCACTAAACCTGCTTGACGGTAATTTTGAGGACCTCCAAGATCTGCTCCTCCGCGCTTCGACTCTAACGTCTAATTTAAACCACGACTGTTCTGATCTAAACGACCGTCTTCTCCATCTCCGGACGGATCTCACGAAACACGCCGTTTCCTGGATCTCAACCTCACTTTCCGCTAAAGTTTCGCTCGAAGATTTGAGATTGAACCTGGAGAGCCTCCTCAATCTCCGTAAGTCACCAAACCTTCGTGTTTATTTTGCTCATGTAAAGATATTATTCTGATTGTCTCCAATTTCTCATTGTAGCTACGGATTCTGTCGGAAAGCAAACGAATTGGGAGTTACAGCAACTCGTAGAGGAATTGTGTCGTATACAGAATCGGCGCAAATATTTCGGTGAGTTTGGCTCGAATTATTGATTCTTGTACATCATCAAGAGCTAGCTCACCTACTTAGAAAAGATTCGAGTTTTCAGTGACTGCCTTAAAGTTGGAGAGTCTTGTTGGAGATCTTGAAGATTCAGTGTTTCATCATCCTATAAGTAAACGCAAAGGAAGTACGCTTCAAGTAAAGCTTTTTCAATCCACAAGTTAAGTACTATATAAAGGAGTTGTGGTTGCTAAACATGAAAGATTAAAACTTTGATCTTTTAAGTGCAGGATCTTGCATTGAAGCAGGAGAGGTTCAGTCATGCCATTAAGACCATGAATCAGATTGAAGAAATACTTGGTGATGTTACAATGCATCACTCACAGTGGCGTCGCCTTGTAGATTCTGCTGATAGTAGAGTAGATAAAAGTTTGTCTGTTCTTCGTCCACAGATTATCGCAGAGCACCGAGCTTTTCTCTCATCTCTTGGCTGGCCACCAAAACTTGCAACATCCAAAGTCGAGCATGGAGAGGTTGATAGTATCCCTAATCCTCTGCTCTTGATGCAAGGAGATGAAAAGGAGTCTTATTCCCAAAGCTTTCTACTCCTCTGTGGTTTACAGCAACTTAATACCCAGAAGGAAAAACGAAACAAGCTTCATATGACCAAAGAAAATGATAATGACGGACTTTGGGCAACCGATGAACTAGTTAAACCGGTTGCATCGCGGATGGAGTATCATTTTATGAAATGGGCTGACCAACCTGAGTTTATTTTTGAACTTGTCTATAAAGTTACAAGAGACTTTGCTGATGGGGTGGACGATTTCTTACAGCCTTTGATTGACAGGGCTATGTTAGTAAGCTGTAGTGCTAAAGAAGCTTGGGTTTCAGCGATGGTCCAGATGCTATCTGGTTTCTTAGAGAAAAAGGTTTTTCCTAGGCTTATAGATATGTTCAAGGAGAAACACAAGAAGTCTGAAGCTCTTTCATCATGGTTCCATCTTGTCGATCAGATGGTTACATTTGATAAACGAATGCAGACATTTGTGAATTCAGATACTTGTCTTTCTTACGAAGGCTCTTCGACAGCGTTTTCTCAAGGTATATCAGTAATGGGACTGTTTTGTAAGAAACCTGAGTGGCTCAAGACCTGGGGGAAGATTGAGCTAAAGGATGCTTATAGAAAAAGTAAAGAGGATATTAAGAATGAGAAAGCTTGGGTAGTTGATAGTGAAAGAACTAGACTTGGTAATGAATCCAACTCACGGTCTGCAAAGTATGTTCTATCTACAAGAGAAGATTATAAAGCGCCATTAGTAGCAGACTCTTTTCTTAATAGGACTTGGAGGTTGATAGACCATGGTCTATCTCTACCGGCCATTCTACCAAGGATCCAATTTATAAGAGCTACTGCCACCAGATTTCTCTGGTGTATATTCAAAATTCTGTTATTGGAGTTCAAAAAGACTGATCTCTCTCATTATAGTTTGTCTGAAGATTCACTGATACAAGCCTGTGGACCGATTAATCTTGCTCGGTATCTTGAATCAAAATTACGAGAATGGAGTGATGATTTGGTCTTTGTAGAGATGTGGGCTGCCGAAACCAGTGTCAAAGTTGATAGAAAGCCTGAAGTTTCCTGCCAAGGCTGCTTTTTTGGGGAAGAACTGAAAAGCCTTGTTGAGTTGGAAACCAATTGGCTTATGGAGATCATAACAGTTTTTCTCCACCAATTCGACAATCTTTGCAGTGACCACTTCCACAACAATGTAGTTTCATGGGAGGAAGACGTCATTACCAGTTCCAGCAATTTAACAGTTTCACAGGGTGTCGCAGAAGCATTGGACAATTTAAGAAGGCATCTATGTGTTCTTCATGTAAACATGAACCCGAAAGACTTCTTGGACTTGTGGAGGAATCTCGCGGAAGGGCTTGACCATTATGTTTCTCGTAAATTTTTCTCAGGAGATCCTGTTTTAGGGAGAAAAAAGTTTGATAGGTACGAGGTCGACGCAGAGGCACTTCTTACGGTTCTTCAACCTTATTGTGTTCGTCCTGGTGCATTTTTCCCTCGTGTGCGAGAGATTCTTAGGCTGTTGAGGATGCATGAGGAAGAAAAGGCACGGTTGAGAGGAGCTCTAAGTCGAAATGGAAATAATTGTCTAAGGTTGTTTGGCATTTCTAACTTGTCTGCTCAACTTGTGGAACAATTTTGTAGGTGTTACTAGTAATGAATGCCTTTTTTGTAAAATTGTATCAGTATTTCAGTCCATGATCAAGAAGATGAGAATTGCTGCAGAATTTGGATAAAATGAAAACTAGCAAAGGTGTGTTAGAAATGATACAACCTTGCTTTTGATTCCTGTAAAAGTACATACCCATGACTCTATGATTATCTTCAACAAAAATGAATTAATCTGGTCTGGTGAAAGTTTCACCGTGAAACTAAAAGAAGGATAGATAATCGTGTACTCGAGAATAAAAAGTTAAGAGAACTCTTGGATCAGGGGCTCATAGAACAGTCTGTACGCGTCCATGACTTCTAAATACCACATGGCTTCACGATCTGGGCTCACTGACAGGTCAACCATCTTATGAACCTGGTTTTAGTTTAAAACAACAATGACAAGTTTCAGTAATCAAAGCACATTGCATGTAAATGCAGGTGATACTCTCACTCTAACATCACAAGAAAAGATATATAATCACAAGATTGTTACTAATACATTCAATCTCAAAACCTCTTCTGGAACTTAAAGCTCCTTTGTGATTTTAGTCACCTAAGCTTGTGTCACCTTGATCTTGTGATCATAACATCTAAAATGCTCACTTAACTCTCTAATGTACCAATTTGACTTGTCTGCAATTCTAGCCAAACTAAAATCAGATTGGACTGATCCAATGTGCATATGAAGAAGCATATCAAAGACCTAAAGTTTTCATATCAACCTTAAGTAGAGGTATATCCCCGGTACGGATATGGTAAACACCAACAACCATCACATACATTCCTGATTTCCATTGACGGATGGCAAAATCGCCCGAGAGACCGAGCTCGACAAGACCGGTCCCGTCATCAAGGACCAGAGAATTATCGCCGCCGCCGGAGATGGGGACCAAAACTCCCTGCAACGGAAGACTCGATGTCATTGAAACAGGAATTAACAATTGAGCTATAAGACAATGAGAGGATGATAGATTCGGAACCTGTAACCAAGCACGTTGAAAAAGTACACCACCTAGGGCGGTGGCGTTCTGAGAAGGCGTTGGTTTAGCGTCCCGGAGCTGGGAACAAAGCATCTTCACCGCCGCTAAGCTGTAGTCCATTTTACCCGCCGATCCGACTCGGCTGATCAATTTCAATGTAGTTGTTTATGCCATCTCCTCATCGATTACCGGATTAAACCGAACCGAGCAAATGGTATTGGTACAGTGATTTGATTTTGGTAAGAGCTTGGAGAGAGAATTATTTTGACAAATATAATGGAAATTCATGGTGTTCTCACTAATATTATAAAAAAATTAAAAAGCCTTTATTTTGCGGGATAAATCCTTTTAATGCAAACTAAAAATATGTAAAAAGAAGAAAATAAAAATTAATTTAGAGACAGAAATGAAAAAAAATCTTAAATCAACCTCCTTATCCAAGAAATAAAAGGTAGACCCACAATATCAAAGAAAATATTGAGGTGTCACAAAGCTATTGATTGATAACCCATCCTCGAAATCTCTCTCTTTGTCCACAAAATAAAAATCTATTTCTTGTGTTAGTGTTAAAAATAAAGGAGATCAGTTTGGGAGAAAGAAGCAAAGATCAAAAAAATGGCAGCAACATTTGCAACACCATCGACGGTGATAGGCCTCGGAGGATCATCCATCACCACCAAACCCTTCTCTTCATGTACTCTCTTTCTCTCTGTCTTTTTGGATAATTTGATTCAAACATATATACATATGAATAAATGTTAATTGTAATTTCTCGTGATTTTTTTTAGCCTTTCTAAAACCAACATTAAGCGCCAAGAACCCTCTAAGACTCGCTGGGGCATCCGGAGGAAGAGTCACTTGGTAGGTCAATCTTTCTTTTCTTCTTAGTAGTAATAACAAAGATAATTCTCAAAACTATCACGTTTATGTTTTGTTTTCTAAAGTAGCAAGAAAATGCTTAGATTCCAAAAAGTATCACAAGTTATGTTAGATATAGGAATGAGTCCTAACTGATCTTACGAACTAATAATAAAGCTTGTTTTTGAGGTATTTTTAAGGTATTTTTCTAAAAACATGATTTGTTTGTGTCAAAAATGAAAAAGCTTTGAGAGGAACTGGTTGAGGAGAGATTTGAACGTGGTGGGATTTGGGCTGATCGGATGGCTAGCTCCGTCGAGCATTCCAGCGATAAATGGGAAGAGCCTGACGGGTCTCTTCTTCGATAGCATCGGAACTGAGCTCGCTCACTTCCCAACTCCTCCAGCCGTCACTTCACAGTTCTGGTTGTGGTTGGTTACGTGGCACTTAGGCCTCTTCCTCTGCCTCACTTTCGGACAAATCGGATTCAAGGGCAGGACTGAGGATTACTTCTAAGGATAACTATTCCTCTTCCATTTGTACTATATGTTCTCTCTCTTGGTTATGTGTAATGTTATCAATCAAAACAAAGCTTTCTTTGCTATTTGATGTTTCATTCTATATATCGACAAGTCTTTCGTAATGATCTTGATTTTAAGAATGTTGCCAGTCTAACTAAAGTGGCAAATGTTAAAGATTTTCTTGAGCGAAGCTTACAAATGATAATACTTCAAAATGAGGATAAGTCTTTCCACGAAACATGACAATACGGCTTTGACTTGAACCATACAAACATGTTTTTACTTACAAACCTAATGATCTGTAACCTTTCAACAAATGGAAAAATTCTCTCTTTTTCTCACAGTTTCATATGATTTTTATGTTCCATAAAAACTATTAACATGCATGAAGCTTTGTGAATCTAAAGTCTTTAATATGTCTGTCGACTACGAAACAAAAATTGATAAGAGGAAAGGTAAAAACTTGAAAGTAGATAAAATGAAAAAGTAATTCCATGAGTTAAACAAAAGGAGCAGTGCAGTATCTTATAACTTCCTCTTCCGAGGTTCCAACAACACTTTCAGAGGGAACAAAACTACATTTTAACTACACATTCTAAATCAAACAGCCACTGTCCCACACGTAGATGCTGACCCAGCGCAGCTTCATGGTTGATGTGCATTTTGTAAAGCTCGGGTCATCATGTCGATGAATTCATCGTGCTGTCAAAAGCAACTCGTTAGGTTTGCACAGCAGCTCAAATAAAGTGATGTGGTAAAGGACAAACCTGAAACAGGGATAAAAGGGCTTCTTTCACTTTGTCTCTGCTGATAACCGGACCAGTGGGTGCAGGAGCGAGTGATGGTGGTGGAGTTGGGGGTGGGAAAGGCTGGAGCACCGGAGTACCGTATGGCCGCTGCTGGTGACTCGCATTATTAGGATTGAGAGGAGGAGCAGTGGGCATAGATACACCAGGAATGAGGTGTGGTTGTGCCATCATTCGCGGGGGCCCAAAGAAAGACGGCTTCACCAAATCGGCGTGAACATTGGAGTTGCTGCTAATAAGATCAGGGTTGTTGTCAAAGAGAGTCATCAGAGGAGAGGAGGATGGTAGAGGCGGTGGTGATTGTATCTGTGGAGGTGCTGCTGCCGCTACAGGAGGAGTGGGTTGGTGAGCTTGGTGAGGTTGGTGAGGAATCGCTGATGATTGGTAAGGTGGTCCACTTGCTGACCCACTCGCAGTGTTCCCAAGAGTCATCGTTGACTGTAGTCAAGGCAACAACAATTTTGATAAATTCAGTGTTAAAATTTGAGGAGTTGAAGTAAGAAAATCAACAATTTAGAAACTAAGTTGGACCAAATACTACGACGCTGAAGATAATTCAAGAATCTAGAACTAATAGAAAGCCCTCCTGCCATTAGTCGTATATGATGCTGTCATGATGAAGATGATAGTGTGAGTGTGTAACAGAAGCTTTAGAGACTTACGCTAAAGAAGTTGACGAAAGCAGGATCATCAGGGGAATCCCTAGCAGTTGATGATGGTTCAAGAGGACCATCCATAACTGCCATTGTAGGCTTAGCTTCCAATTCCTCAAACTCACTGCAGTACATAGAAAAATCTAACTCAATTTAACATATAAGAGATGATGTAGATTTTCAAGTTTCCACCTCAAAGAAAATACATCTAAGAATAACGTCTAAATCTAATCATGAAAATCTTACCTTTTTGAAGATGAGGCCTTTGGCTTCTGGTTAACCTTGGAATATGCACTAAGTATTCTGTCATGCCAAGGAACCATTAGGCAGAGATACAACGAGTATTCAAGTCATAAAAATGATAATAGGCAACAAATAAAAGACGATATTGGTATTATTCATGATCCAACAATTAAAACCAACGTGTTTATGGATCTAGTTTTACTTTCACGATTGTCCAATAAATAAAAAAACAGTTTCTACCTGATATGCAGTAACTTATATATACCTGTTGAAAAGAGTTGCTACCTCCTCGCATTCACGTTTATTGTAGAACCAAATGCCATTTACTTCTTGAGATGCATTACGGTAAAGTAAATAAGGACCTTGGACTTCATACTCAAAATCTCCCAGGAGATTCTCCACCAGATTATCTGTCCAGACAAATACAGAAACACACTGATGATGATTACTAATACTGAATCCTTAAATAAGAACTTGCAATAAATTCCTAAATTCATATCACCATTTTTTTTAACTTAGGAGATAAACCTTCTCTAGACACAATACACACATCAACTTTATGTGAAGAAAATCCTGACCTGTATTTCGACGATTCATCACAATAAACTGAAATCGAGGTTGTGTACTTCTGAAAGAAACAAAAAAAAAGGATCCATCAGATTTGAGAAGACGATTAATGATTAACATTAGACATAGCTAAAGATCGAAAGTAGTTACCTTTTGACAACAAACAAAGATCCTTCAACATCCTTACGACTCTGATTGATAAAAAGACAGATCAATCGTTAGGTAACAAAGCAAACATCAAATTATGCATAAGAAGATTGATTGAAGCTTACCCATTGGCTAAGCTCAATGTTGAATTCATAGAAAGTGACATGAGCGGCTGTGATGAGGATTTCCTCGATGTATGGATCGATCCGCTGGAGAACTGTGAGATTGAGGAGCCTCGTACTGTTCTGGTCCAGATTTGGGATTATCTTCCCGTTCTGAGACATCTTTTATAAATCAAAGATCAGATTTTTGGGGAATCTCGATTCGATTTTAGCCTAATCGGAAGAACCCTAGAATTCTAATTTACGGAAGCTGTGAGATTTGGGGACGGAGACGAAAACGCTAACTTTTGGAACGCACTTCGCTATTTTGTTGTCTACTTGGAAAAAAATTAAATATATTAGAGTTAATATTTTTTTTTTTGTCAATACTGTAAAAATCTCATTAAAAAACATCTGAATATTTAATTTATAAAAATATACACGAATTTTTTGGTGTTAAGAAAATCAATAAAAAATAAAAAAACCATTGTACTTCAGCTTAGTATAAAATCGTCTATATTTAAAATATAAAATAAGTATTTGGTATTATTTTGACATAAGTAATTAGGGATTTTTAATGGGATCTTTTCTGTATAATAATATACTAAACATAAAAAGCATTAGAGTTTAATTAGGGATACATCAATAGAGCTTGCTTAAGAATGAATGGTCCAACATAAACAGAGATTAAAAACTACATTGAAGAAGATTTTTTATTCAATTAGAGCATAATCAGTGGCTTGATCCTTCTAATGCAAGATCAATTAGAGCATAACCAATAGAATTTGGTTAGGTATAGAATACGCACATCTAATTGAAGATAATAAGATAATATAAGCTACAAAAGCTATCAACCAAAATCTCATTGCAGTTCTTTTAAATTATCCAAACCAAAAGCTAAAGAGGAGAGTAGCACAACTCTTACACTGTTTCACAGATGTGTCTGAAACAAAAACAAAGGGCAAGAAGAAGTGTCTTATAGGCACGATTCAAGTTGGCGAGAGCTCAGAAGATTCTTTGTGGTGGTCCCATTGTGCTCTTGAGGTACAAACACCTGACATTTTGCCAGTTCTTCTTCAATAGCGAGACGAGGAAGTTGACACTCATCTGAACATTCTGAAAGATCTGCTTCTCTTCCATGGAAAGGTTACCAACTGCAACTCCCATGCACAGAACCTTCTTCAGCTGGAATTTCACTGTTGCCTTTGTTTCATTCACCTTTGACTCTAAGGATTCCTGGTGGCTCACAAGAGTTGGGAACTTTCCTGAATAAAATATAGCAAAGGAACGCTCCTTAAGAATCATCAACAAAGCAAAAACTATATCCAAATTAAAAACAGATATAAGGAAGAACAATGGTAAATTAGCTGTAGCCAGAACTTGCCTGCCTTGTTGAGACCAGGACCAAGAAGACGCGGAATCTGCTTAATGACAGATTCAGAGGCCAAGAAAGCATGGTATTTCTTTGCAAGCTTCTTGACGAGTTTCTTGTTTTTGTTAAGCTTTTTTAGAGACTCAACATCCATATTTTCCAGTCCCATTTTCTCAGCCTGCAAAAAAATACAAAATAAAATAAGCAAATATTTAATAATGCAAGAAATGAAGCCTAAATAAATAATGACCAATTCCCGAAAAATTCACGCATCTATATTCAAAAGAGAAAAGTACTACTATCAAAGTAATAGAGCCACCATGTGAAATGAGAACAAAAACCATTATACAAGAAACAGAGTATAAAAATGACCCATTTCCAAAAACAGTAATCATTTTTCAAAAGGCAAAATTTTTATCATATTATCAAAGGAAATGGTAAGATTAATCACCTCTTCAACATGCTGGGCATCTCCGAGCATGCAGATCTTCATTTTAGGACGGGGGATATGTGGTAACTTGACAGATCCACTGAAACGCTTGTCCTTTTGAGGATCATAGTTCTTCAGACCGATCTGGAGCTCAACAGTCTCCACAAAGTTACGTTTTTTTGCATCGGATTTCCCTGTGATAATAGTGATGGCTTCTCTCACGGCCTCACTCTGAAGCTTACTGTATTAACACACACAAGAACAGAGTTAAGCAAATTACATCAACAAACAAAGATCCACAACAATGACAATCTCAAAATGAACAAACCACATTATAGACACTACAAACCACATTCTAGACATTACAAAATAATCTTATTTTAATAAACCTAAACTTTTATGAGACAAGATTTAGATTTATCACCAGATTCAAAGGGCTAAGCTGAGAGAATTTATGCAAAACTGCAGAACAACTTCGTGTCAATTCTAGGCTAGTAACATCGTAATACTATCAATCAAGCTCATTCAGAAAAACATCAACGATTGACATATACATAGAGACGTATTGTTCTCTAATTAAACTTAATTTGATTGGTAAACTAGAAACTAAAAGTTGGCACGCCACAGAATAACTAGTTTTGAGGAAACCAAATTGCATACGACAGAACACGAGTTAAATTTAGAGAATGTAAGAGATGAGTCAGGTACCTCATTTTGAGCTTGTCTCAATTTAGCTAAGATCTGATCCTGGAAACGAAACAAAGACAAAAAAAAAACGAATGAAAATCTATAGCAGAAGCTCGAGAAACAAGAATCTTGTAATGTACAATACACATATAAACGAAGAAGAATCAAGCTAGAAGTGAAGCAGTCGTTGAGGCACAAACCTGAGTGATGAGACAGAAGGAACCCTAATTTCGTCGAAAGGCTAAGACTTTATAGTAGGATAGTGATAAAAATAAACTAAACCTAAATGAATTGGGCCTTTAGCTGCAACAATCATAAGATAAATAAAAGCCCAAATCGAAAACGTTAGACAAAAAATCACTTTATTATTATTTTATTTCCGTCAACCAAAAATCACTTTAACGATCTAACATCCGACTATGTTTCCACCGTCTTGGGGGACTTTCTGATTTCTGATGATGGTCTAGTCAAAGCCACTCAATCCGGCTTAAGCCATTCATCATCATATCATTTCAGGTTTGACTTTGTGCCTCTACGACGTCGTCTAGTGTTTATTTCTGTTCTGTATGAATTTCTTGAGCTGTTGTTGTTAGATTACGAAGATGACTGTTTCTCGAGCTGTTGTTAGCAGCACATATTCATTCGTTTCTTTTGGAAAACAGCACAAGTGTGTCAATTCATGGCGCCATTTCTGCTCACTGTACTACAAGTCCTACTCGCATTGACCTTCTGGATCGGAATCGGATCAGGCTCGTCGAACCGTTATAATGCCGGCGATCATGTCCCTTTGTTCGTCAACAAAGTGGGTCCTCTCCACAATCCAAGGTTATTCTCAAATCTTTTGGCTAATTCTTCTGCATTTTGCTTATTGGCTTATGGTGACGGGTTAGTACTCTAAGAGGAGGAGATCTTTGGTTAGATTGAAGTATGTATAGAAATTATCTATATACACGGAGAGATCAAGTTTAGAGAATGTGTAAGATAGGTTTTTGTTCTAGCTTTAGTTTGACCAAGGAACTCAAAGATCGCTCATTTTCTTAAGACCCATTTTAAAGATTGCTTTTTTATTTGTTTTGTCTTGTTTGCAGTGAGACCTATCAATACTATGATTTGCCATTCTGCCGTCCAGGTTAGGTTTCTCAAGACAAACTCAATGATCATGTTTTCGTTTTAATTCTACATTAGTCCCTAGTTTCAGTGGTTTATTCAAGATTGTTTTATATTTTGTAGAGCTTGTGATTGAGAAACAGGAAACTCTTGGGGAAGTTCTTAATGGTGACCGATTAATGAGCTCGCTATATGAGCTTAAATTTAGGGAAGACAAAACTCATTTTGTATTGTGCCGGAAGAGATTAACATCGAGTGATGTTGCCAGCTTCAGAGATACTATTGCTCAAGATTACTACTTTCAGATGTACTACGATGATCTCCCGTTGTGGGGATTTGTTGGAAAAGTAGAGGGAGATTATTTTGGTCAAGGAGAGAAGCATACTAAGTATTATATATTCAGTCACTTAAAGTTCCATGCTCTGTACAATGCAGACGAAGTTATTGAAATCAACAGTTTTAGTGATCCGAGTTATCTGGTTGATATATCCGAGAACACTGAGATTGATGTTCAATTTTCATACTCGGTTTCTTGGAATCTGACTTCAGAACGCTCTGAGACAAGAATGAATAAGTACTCCCAGGCGTCACTTCATCCTATCAGCCAGAAGATTCACTTGTTCTCATTTCTTAACTCGATAACTATTGTTGTTTTGTTAATTGGACTTCTTTCTTTACTCTTCATGCGTCATCTCAAGAATGAACTAAGAAGGTGACATTTTTTTCACAGGAGACTATTCTTCTTTTGTGTAGTTTAGCATATCTGATAAAATTTATCTTTCTGAATTAACTCCTCTTTGTGCATTTCAGTTCCTCAACTGGAGATGAAGAAGAAAAAAAGGATGTAGGTTGGAAACTTGTACAAAGTGATGTATTTAGATGTCCTCAGAACGTTTCCTTGCTCTGTGCGTTCTTAGGAACTGGTACTCAGTTGCTAATCTTGTAAGCTTCTATTATCTAGAATTCCATTATTGTCATTCTATTTTCCATTTTTTATTGTTTATCTTATCCTTTTCATTTGTATACCTTATGAAAGTAATACATAAAGTGATTTAATCACTCTCAATTCCACTGGTAAACTTTGATTTTTCAGTGAAAACCCCAGTTTTGTCATGGCTTTTAGTTAAGTGCACTTGAAATACATATATATTTGCTTAGTTACTGACAATTGTTTCAAGTCAATCTCATGATGATACATATTGTTTCCATTTATTGGGAGTACTTGACTCCAGTATCAAGATGAATTGTGTTAATGACTCCATTTATTGTTCCATGTCTCTGACTTGTTTTTCTTTTGTCTTCAGGATTATTGCTCTATTTGCATTGGCCTTCACCGGTTTTTTATACCCATACAATCGCGGAATGCTGTTGACTTCTCTCGTCATCATGTACACTCTAACTTCTGTTGTGGCTGGTCACACATCTGCTTCTTTCCATAGCCAATTCGAGGGAGACAAACAGGTAGTTGACTTTTCAAGTGCCTTCTACTTTTGCTGTTCTCAAAAGATTCATTGTTCGCATAACCTTAATGATTAGAGTATTGTTGCCTTTTTCAGAAAAGGAGTGTTCGTCTTGCTGGGATCCTCTACCCTGTTCCTTTCTTCATAATAGTTTCGGTCCTCAACACTGTGGCAATTACTTACGGGGCAACAGCTGCACTCCCCTTTGGCACAATAGTCATCATCATCCTCATTTTCACTCTTTTGAATATCCCATTTCTCATGTTGGGAGGAGTTTTGGGTAACCGTTTCGGATTACTAGAGTTTCAACCCCCAACCGCTGTTAAAAGAAACCCCCGTGAAATTCCACTTCAGAATTGGTATCGTAGGAAGCTGTACCAGGTGTTTCTTGGAGGCTTTGTACCTTTCATTGCAGTTGTTCTCGAGTGGCACCAACTCTATGCAAGCTTGTGGGGATTCAAAATATATACCTCGCCTGGAATAATGCTTTATACATTCGCTGTGCTCATCTTCTTGAGTACGAGTGTCGGTATTATCTTGACCTACATTCAGCTATCCGGTGAAGATCATGAATGGTGGTGGAGGTACGTATTCTTTTACTGTACTGCGGTCTTTTTCATCCTAACTTGTGAATTTGATTTAGACTTGATATGATGAGAAGCCATCATCAGATACACATTACCTTGAGTATCTAGATTGAAACGGTCATATAAGGAAATGTGAAACATGATTGGCGTGGAATCTTTTCCTTTCATAATAATCGCTTAATTTCCAAAGAGACATACTAAAATTATAGAAGATACTACTACATTTCTTTGCAGATCGATATTGTGTGGAGGATTCTCAGCGGTCTTCATGTATGGGTATGGAGTATTGTTCTATCTCAGGTCTGACATGACTGGATTTCTGCAGCTGAGCTTTTACTTAGGATATACTGCTTTGTTCTGTTACGCTCTCTTCTTGGTTCTTGGAACCATAAGTTTCTTGGCTTCTTTGATGTTTATTCGCCACATCTATCGTTCTGTCAAGCTTGAATAACTGCCATGAACTAACTCTTCCTTTCATCATGCGACTCATCTCTGTATTAATATCTTTTTGATTTTAGTTGTTTACTCTTTCATGTTTCTTTTTTTAAGGAAAGGAAATGATCTTACTAGATATAGAAAGGTACATTATGTTGTCATCCCACAGAGTTAGTCTCATATCATATCACCATTCAACAACAAACTACATTACTTAGAAGTTACATATGCATAATGCAATCAAATAAAGCAATCCAAACACACAGTAAACTAAAAAGAAAAAACATCAATTTCACTTGTTTCCTATACGGTTCGAACTGCAAATGGGTGGCTGCACAACTCCATTATCTCCCTTTGAATCCGAAGCACTAGATCCCTCAAACTCACTCTTCATGCTTCCTGACTTGTGTTCATCAGCAACCACTTTCATTCTCTCTGATGCTTCTTCCTCGTTAATTATGTACACACCATCTCCTTCTTCTTCTTCTTCATCATCTTCATCTTCTTCTTCTTCATCATCTTCTTCTTCTTCTTCATTGTCTTCTTCTTTCTCGCCATCTTCGGCTTCTTTGCTACATCTTCTGTCAACCACAGAAGAGGAAGCTTCCCTTTCTCTCACAGTTTTCTCTGTGAGGCTCTTGAGCAACTTCATCACTTGAACCGCATACATCAATGCAGTTAAAGGGTCTGCCATCTACACACAAAACCAAAACAGAGCCAACACATTTCAAAAAATGAAACCTCCACAGTTGCAGAATCATGCTCTGCTATTTAACTGTCATATTATCTATCTATACAGTGATTTATTGCAGCCATTAATCAAACATAGGCTTAATTAGAGTATCGCTTGTGTATTTTAGGAAAAAGACTCACCTGAGACATATTAGGGGCAAAGACTAAAGCAAGGTTACGAGAGTTCATCTTATTAACATGCTCAAACTGAACAACATCAGCCATGAGATTGATGGCCCAATTGAGAAGAGAAGCTTCTGTTTGAGGTAAGAGTCTCACAACCTTAACAAAATCCTCATCTGACTCACACTGCATCACTTGCTCCGATGGCAGAGGATCAAGAACACCTCTCGGCAGCTCTCTGAACCAAGCCTGAAAACACACACACACATACATCATCAAACTCATGTGCCATTGCCAAAACAAAAGCAAAGTGATTCACAATCACAACAAGAACCTTAATAAGTCCGGCTAAACAATGGACATCGATCCCATCTGGTATGATCCCTTTATTCAGCTGCTCCCTAACAAACTCTTCTTCGCTGTTCTCTCCAGTGATTCTGAATACTCCTTCTGCCTGCAAGCCTCCTTGATCATATAGCCGGCTCTGCAATAACAACAGTATCACAGGAACACAATTCCCTCTCGAATCGTATGATAACTGCATTGACTCTGTGGATACCCCAAACACAGTTGCACTGCCAAACACAAACAACATGATATGAAATCTAACTCTCAAAACCAATTCGCAATGAGTTTAAAGAAGAAGAAGAAGAAAGTGTCAACCTTGCACTGGGAGCTTTCCTGGGGACATCAGGCTCGAACTCAGAGGGAAGACCGAGGAAGCCATTGAAACGATCAAAGGTAACGTGAGCCACGTGGCGGATATTGGTAGGACCGCCAATATCCATGGCTGGACGGTCGTTTTCTTCCACCACCGCCGTCGAGAAACAACGGGCGAGCTCCAGGACGACTCGAGCAACAGACGACGTAGAGCCGCCGAACCGCCAAAGTTCGGTCTTCCCGCGCTTTCTAAGTCTCTCTATCTCTCCTCACGCAAAACCGAGTCTTCTTCTCGCTCTTTCCTCCGGGAGAGAAAAAGGTTGAGACTTTTTTGGCAATGTGATGAAAAAGGGGAAGAGAAGAGACTATGATGGGATAAAGGAATTGGTAATGGCCGGCAACGAAGTTGGGTTAATAAAAATAAATAAAGGTTGGCAATTTACACGTTACAAAGAAAGTTGCAGCTAGAGAGATTGAGTGGCGATGAAGAAAAGGGTTAGGAGGAAGGTGCAACGTGGGAATCACTCACTTCGTTTTTTTATTTCTAAGTCTATATAGATTTTAAAATTAAGCAAAACAAATTTTAGAGTGGATTTTACTCTCCCTACTTTATAACATCTGTCTCTTATATTTTCTGTTTATATCGATTTATTTTTAACACAAGTTTAAAATTCTAACAAAACAAACAAACTCTAATTTCAAAAGTGTAAGAAAAAAAAAAAACACACTTTATCAATGTTAAATTACACGTTGCAGATCTTTGTACCATTGTTACAATCGAACAGCCCAAATTAATATGGGCCTGAAGCAAACCAAATAATATGTGGCCCCTTTATGCATCATATAACTGTTACAGGATCAGAATTCAGAAAGTCAATGACAATAGAGAAAATTTGACAATTTCACCAAGATAATGGTTAACCCGAAAAAATGAAAATTCTAAGATGGATTTTTAATATAACTAGGCCACCAGGTTATGAATATAGTTTTGGGGCATCAGCTTGTTGGACTTTTTTTTTTTAGATCAGGCTAGGACCAAAACTGATTACACTATTTTGTACGAGTAATTCAAAAATTTCTTCTTCACTTGGAATGCATATTGCATCATTCTTATTCGTTCGAAAACGAGCTTCAGTATTTGTTCCAATGTCATTGATCATGATGTGTATATAATATTTTGACAATTCTTTGTTTTTTGATAATAACTTTTTTTCAACCACCATATGTATACGCAAAGAATGATAATAGGCATCATCCAAATAAGATTGTGGTATTGGGCTGAGTTGATAATCTAAGCACTATTTTGATGGACAATTTGATATTGAATTTATATAGAGCTTAAGTGTGAATTATACTTCCACCAACAAAAGAGCATCTAAAGAGCCGTCAAAAGTAAACTCTCAATTTAAGGGATTCATTATGATTTATGACACAAACTAGAGAATAAAGCGATGACAAATGTGGATTTGCAAGAGAGCTCATTGACTAAAACAGCTATACGAATCAAAGGAGACATATAACAATTTCTAATAAAGGAAAGGAATCTGAAATGTGGCATTAGGATTTAGGTGATGACAGGGAGTGGATGTTGACCCATCAACAAAATTATAGGATAATACCAAACTAATCAATTTAAATAACACTTGATTGAGATGTTTATCAATATTATTGATATTTTTAATGCTATTTTCTATATTTATTTACGATTAATGCAAGAAGGCCGTTTAAATTTATCTTATTGGTCTACATAATTGTCATTATTCTAAGGGTATTTTGGTTGAACTGGTAGAAGCAAAATTGTTAATTATTCAACTTAAGTATGGTAGGTTAACCGACTAGAGAAAGTTGCTCTAGTTCTTCTTCTATTATATATATCCAAATTTGAAATTTGAAACTTAAATAAGCTATATTTTTTTTTAACCGTCTCAGAAACTATCTCATATATGCTATATATTACAATCTCTGCTTTCAAAAGGTTAATATAGACTGAAGATGAAACAAAAAAATTTCGGTAATCATATGTATATATAAATGTAGACGTATTATATTCATACTATTCTAATCCCTCTCTATATATATCCCAAAGGTCATTTGCCAAAAAGAGCTGTGGTTTAGAAATAGAAACTCATTCGATTCTGCTATTTTAATATATACATACATGATACACCCATCAACAAACATTCCTTATCCCACATGAATACATTGTCTTCAATTCTGATTATGTGTATTAACATTATTTCACCACTAGCTCATTGTGTATTCTAATCCAATAACAAACTCATTAGATCATCCAAATAATATGTATATAACTTAGCTTAATCTATAGTTGGGGGAGTTGTATTCATTTAATCATTAATAGAACCACCAGAGTATATATGTCTACTAGACTAAAATTATATATATCAAAAAACATATAGTATGATGTATTTGTCATGCCCATTCAAAGATTCTTGATATAATTCCAGACTTTTCATGTTATTTTTCTTTTGGTTTTAGATTAACACACAAGCTACTTAGAAAAAATAACTTCATGCATGATCCATGCTACTATGATTATAATTAAAGTGGGTTTTCAAGACCCACTTCTTTTATGCAAATTTTTCCACTTTACTTTCACATATACAAATACGTATTTTAATATAGGAATGTACGTGAATACGATGAATAATGTAGAAAAGATGATAGATTATTGAAAAAATGTGTACGTGAATAAGCCCAAAAAGAGATTTGATGAAAAAGAGCCAATAAGCACAAACAGGCGGTTACAAAGAGAGAGAGATTGTGGAGTAGGAGTCAGTGATTCTAGTGGGTTCCTCCTCTTTTTCTGCTCTCTTTCTTCTATTTTTATTTAATGGACTAAATTACAAATCCTCATTTAATTTTCTTTCTCTCCCATTTTTTTTCTACATAGTCCATAGTTTTCTGAATAATCTACCTACATTTTCTCTTGTGATCGGTCCAATTAATCTTCTTATTATCTTCTACATGTTGGATAAGGCTCTTTTTCTTTACCAAGGATAAAGCTCCTTTCTTTTTCTTAACAAGGATAAAGCTCTTTTAATTACTCTTACTCTTTAGATTTTCTGTTTTCTATTTTTCTAAATTTTCTCTTTATGGGAATGTATAAACATCGTCCGTCTGATCAATTGCCAAGTACTAGCTTGACCCTTGACAGCTATAAAGTTAGTCAACCTAATTTTCAATTTTCTGTACAGCTTTTTTGAACCCACTATTATTCAGAAAAAAAAAATAGCAACACACACAACAACAAAAACATAGCCTGGAGACAAAGTCTGGGAAGGACAAGATCTTCGTCTGATTTACCATGAAATATTATCAATATTATTTTCTTAAATAAAAATTTGAAATAATTTAGCAAGTGCAATTAGTGTATACTGTGGAAATAGATAGAGAAAGGTGGTGAAAAGGAGAGAGTGATGAATCACAAAGGTTTCTTCACATACAAGTATATAGAGAGAATAGTAATAAAGAGAGAAAGAGCAATAATACTATACATTAGTCAATTACTAATACTTTATTATCATTTCTCTATCTAACTACATATATACACGCCCACATAATTTGTATATGTATCTTGGAAAGAGAAAAGATTGGACCCTCTTTTGTTTTTCTGTTCAGCCATAAAAAAGCCTTTGACGAGAAAGCTTCCATTCTACTTTCTCTCTCTCTCTCTCTTCTTTGTTCTCAAACACCCAAAGCAAAATAGAAAACTTCACAAAAGGTAATAAATTAAACATATAGATATCTTACTTTCATGTTCATCATCAACTAGCTTTTTTCTTTTCAAATTCCAATCATTTGATCAACTAATTATCAAGAATTAATTAAGACTAGCAATCTCCCTAGTTCTCTCTTGTGTTTCTTAACTCAAGCTTCTATCAATAGTGATTATCTTTCTCCTTCTGTTCTTTTTCATCTTTTCAAGATTTAATGTTTTACAGAGAAAGAGACTAACCAAGAAGAAGTAGAAGAGAAGATCAAGAAAGAGGAAGATATCATCAATCGAAGCTGTTTCTTTAAGGAGAGATGGCCAACCATAGAATCAGCGAAGCCACAAACCATAACCATAATAGTCATCTTCCTTATTCACTTATTCATGGCCTCAACAACAATCATCCTTCTGGTTTCATGTAACATATCTTCCGTAGTCTTTTTCTTCTTTACATATATTAATATTGAACTCTAATTAAATTTTATATGGGTTTTCTTTGTTTATTCTAAAATTGTCAGTTTCTTAATAGTAATAAGATATGTTATACGGTTTCACTTGTGAGATAAGAAATGGTCAACGGAAATCTATAGGTAAAACAGAAACTAAAAAATGTGTTATAGATAATTCGAAATAGCTAGGTTTTATATGTGCGTTAGCTGTTCTCTAAACTTTCATTGCGACCGTCTTTATTTATCTTTTAACTCAAATGCGACCCTCTAAGTATGGTTATTTTAATTTAATTGTTCTTCTTGGTCTCCATTTTTTTGGTTCTGATTATAGTTGCAACACATGATGAATATTCTTTTTGTACTAATTAAATATACTATTATTAAATGAAACAGTAACCAAGATGGATCGTCAAGTTTCGATTTCGGAGAGCTAGAAGAAGCAATTGTTCTGCAAGGTGTCAAGTATAGGAACGAGGAAGCCAAGCCACGTAAGCCCCCTCTCTCTCTCTCTCTCAAATCTTCATGACGTGAGCTTTCCTTAACAAACTCCAATAAAGTTTTAAAAATTCTGCTGAAAAACTGAAACTGGAAAAGCTGAGAGAGTCTGAACAAGTCTTTAGATAGGTTTAGGTGATGATACGGAGGCAAAAGAGAGCCTTGGATGGCGTGACTTGTTTATTTATTTCTCTTCTCAAATAAAAATAAAAAAAATCTTTTACCAACTCCCTAACTTCCTCTATACCAAAATATTCATAATTATATAAGTAAATGTGTCATGTTATGGTATTAGATCCACGTGATAAATGATGTAGTTAGTTCTAAGTAGAATAGTAGCTAGATTACATCAAAAACACACATGCACACATTTAATAAGTAACATACATGAGTATATATGAACATTACATTTGATAAAAGTGTATACAAATGTAATGATGATTTATTTGCAGCTTTATTAGGAGGAGGAGGAGGAGCTACGACTCTGGAGATGTTCCCTTCATGGCCAATCAGAACTCACCAAACTCTTCCTACTGTACCCTTTCTTCTTCTTTGACCCTTTCCTCTTGTTTTTTTCTCCTTTTTCGGCATTCCCTATTGAAAATAAATTAAATTATATATTTTCATTACTTGATGATCACTTTTATATACATGTTTCAGCTTTCTTGTTCCTCTTACTATCTCTTATTTTTGCTTCTTTTCCCTCAAAACTGATAGCGATTTTAGACTAGTTAATTTACTCCATTCCTTTCTCTTGACTTTATATTAGAACAAATAATATACGCGATTTGAAAGACACCCATTTGTCAAATTATATACGCTAAGGTCAATTCCTCCTTAGTTACATTCATTACCCCTTTTCTGACTTTTGATTAATTGTTATTTAATTTTATTATACGTTAATGATCATGAGTATGATTATGTTGAATATGTATTGCAGGAGAGTTCCAAGTCAGGAGGAGAGAGCAGCGATTCAGGATCGGCTAATTTCTCCGGCAAAGCTGAAAGTCAACAGCCGGAGTCTCCTATGAGTAGCAAACAGAATCATCATCATCTCATGCTTCAGCATCATCATCATAACATGGCAAACTCAAGTTCAACATCTGGACTTCCCTCCACTTCTCGAACTTTGGCTCCTCCTAAACCTTCGGAAGATAAGGTACTCATCATCATCATCATCACCACTTTTAAAAATTTCAATTTTGGAAAGAGATATATGCATGTACGTACTTAAAGTCATCATGAAACATGCATGCTTATATAATTTGGTGCATGTACATGGTATGTATATCATTCGCCTGCCTCTCTCTCCATGCACATGCTTTTTCATTTATGTCTATGTCCTAACAAATCTTTCCAATAAAACAAAAACATACACAGATCCCAAAAAGGAAACGGATCAGAGAAAATTCAGAATTTTGACCTCTCGAATCGTTGATAAAGAAATGAAAACAGACAAATTTCAAATACAAATTATTAAATGAAATCCCCAAAAAGCGGAATAAAGCAGAAGAATCTTCCTCTGTGTTATTATTATTTTTATAATTTACTTTTTACATGTATTTTCCTTTTCTATGTTTATTATAATTCACACACATATTTCCTAAATACAATAAAAATATTTAATGTGTGCTGCTTTTTATTTTTTTGTATTGTGTATATATGGATATTTATCACATGAGTCGAGTTCACTTACAAAATTAATTTATGTTTTCTTTCTTTCCACTGAATGGGTTTCTATTTTCATCTTTGTTCTCTGACATTGCAGAGGAAGGCTACAACTTCAGGCAAACAGCTTGATGCTAAGGTACTTTAACTTTCATCATCATTATTTCCTATTCATTTTATTTGACTCCCCCCGAGGAGACATATCTAGCTATATGCATATATATAGGCCTGGACACAAATATGGATCCACATAGAACCGAACCGAACCGAACCGAAATTGATGGGTATGGTTCGGTTCTGGTTCTAGTAAAAATATCGATTGGATCTTGAATTTCAGATCCATGGGTATTGGTTCGGTTCGGGTAAGAACCGAGATCCAAATGGGTACCCGAAAAATATAATCCATTTACCTATATCTATATATCCCAAAGCCTAAATCCATACAAACCTAAACCTAAACCCAAGCCCAACAACCCACCATATATATTTCATAAACCTAAAGAGAAGAAGAAGCATAAGATTGTAACAGATTTAAACTTCGGGTTATTTTGGTGTCTTAAAAACTTGTGTTTTTCGGTATCTTTGAAACTTTGGGTGTCTTTTGAGTTTTGACATAACACTTTCCAAGTTTCTAATATTTTTTGGATTTGTAATGGTATGCTTACTAATATGTGATTGCATACTTACCTAATTGCATTTGAATATTGTATTATGATTGTTTTGTTTTTTCGGTTCCAAAAATACCCGAAATAATTTGGTTCCAAAATTTATTACCCGAACCGAACCGAACCGTAGAGGAACCGAACCGGAACCGAACCGATTTTGATTTGGTTCTAATATGGTTCCTAAATTTCAGAACCAAAATACTAAGAACCGAATGGTTCGGTTCTAGAACCGAACCATTTACCCAAACGCCCAGGCCTACATATATATATGGATACTTTTTAATAACCTCTTTTTACCCGAATTAATTCGTTAACTTCTTGTTTAAATGTCCTTAACACTTGATCGATTCAGACTCTGAGACGTTTGGCCCAAAATAGAGAAGCTGCTCGCAAAAGCCGTCTTAGGAAAAAGGTAACCATATAATTTCCTGACTTTTCACCTCAAATTATTATCATTTTAAAATATATATATTTATTTGAGCTATTTATTTATTCATTCATTACTAACTTTTTTTCAAATGGCAATCCTTTATTTCTTTAACAAACACATAACAGTGTGCTATTGCTACTAGTACAACATAGGCAGTGGTGTTTTTTTTTTGTCTTCTTGGAAACCACTGTTATATATACATGAGCATTTATTTCTTTAACTACCATTTACCAGTCTTCTATAATTCATTTATGAACATATATATAATTTCCATGCACAGAAGATAAATCTGTCATTTAATTACGAGACATCAGTTTTTCTTGTTATCCTCTATGTATGATATATATAAATAACAAATGCATACATATGGTTTGAGCAGGCGTATGTGCAACAGCTAGAATCAAGTAGGATAAAGCTTTCCCAATTGGAGCAAGAACTTCAGCGAGCTCGTTCTCAGGTTGAAATTGAATCATATATATTCTTATAATCTTATATATTCTCCTAAATTATTTTAGTTTGTCAAAACCTGTCAATTGTTAAGTTTCTTAATTGATTATTGGTCATTAAAAATGTCTGTTTGTGGAATTTAATATATTGTTTATGTCGATGGTAGGGGCTGTTCATGGGTGGTTGTGGACCACCAGGACCTAACATCACTTCCGGTACTTGAAACCTAAAACACAAATTGCAGTGTATTATTGAATTAAAATTATACAACAATGATTAAAATTATTATTAACAATATGTTGGAAAAACGTACATTCGTAGGAGCTGCAATATTTGACATGGAATATGGGAGATGGCTAGAGGATGATAACCGGCATATGTCGGAGATTCGAACCGGTCTTCAGGCTCATTTATCGGACAATGATTTAAGGTTGATCGTTGACGGTTACATTGCTCATTTTGATGAGATATTCCGATTAAAAGCCGTGGCCGCAAAAGCGGATGTTTTTCACCTCATCATCGGAACATGGATGTCCCCAGCCGAACGTTGTTTTATTTGGATGGCCGGTTTCCGTCCATCCGACCTAATCAAGGTTCGAATTCTTCTTCTTTTTTCCACCATTATTTATATATGTCTCGATCATTCCAAACGTAAGGTATATATAGGTTTTGCGTTTGAACACATGTTAACTTTTCAAAAAGAAAATAATATTCACGTTAGTAAATTACATAAAAAAAAAATAGAGCATGGCTGCAAAATGTAAAATATATAAATGGAAATGATATTCTTGTGATTAAACACACAAAAAAGTTGTGGAATCATTATTAACTAAAAGAAAGGGATGTGATGTTAGATATTGGTGTCGCAAATGGATCTATTGACGGAGCAACAACTGATGGGAATATATAGCCTACAACACTCGTCACAACAAGCAGAGGAGGCTCTCTCGCAAGGCCTCGAACAACTTCAGCAATCTCTCATTGAAACTCTCGCCGCATCTCCAGTCATTGACGGAATGCAACAAATGGCTGTCGCTCTCGGCAAGATCTCTAATCTCGAAGGCTTTATCCGCCAGGTTCCATTTTCTCACCTATCTTTTTTTTGTTCTTACTTCATTTGCTTTCATCCAATTTTATATTCGTACTATAGTCTACATACACTATATATGATTACAAACACATGCAAAGGAGGAAAAAACACACCGTGTCGAATATACACAAAATTTGACCTAACTATATAATTATAGATAATGTTTGACTAATTATAGATATGTTTGACTAAACATTTTACTATATATCTTTAAAATATATAAAAAATTTGGTTTAGAGTTATAAGAATGGAGAAATTTCGAATGTGTTTCTCCGGAATATGTTAAGTAAAAATTAACGTTTTGGGAGCAAATATACTAGACGTACAAATTTTTAAAATGCGGAAATACGTGCGTATATTTTGCGTACATATATGAACAAAACGTATGTGCTGGCTAAATTATCTAATTGAAAAAAACAAATAATTTGATCAAATGTTGCTTTCACGTATTGTCTGTTTCTGGATTATGTCCGATTGGCCATGTCTTTTCAATTCTTTTTTTGGCGCTATTTTTCTCATGTCATATAATAATATATGTTGTTTTGGCCTTTAATTTAATTCTTCCAAGAGCCAAATTTCTTTCACCAACTTGTTTTTATATATTAAATCGCTGAGAAAAACAAAGAGAATATGTTAAAAAGTATTCTCCATCTCTTTCAATGTTTTGTTTTGAACTCAAAATTGATTTATTTTTTACATATCAATTACAAGTTATTGACTTTTGTAATACCCATTAGCCCACCAAGGTAGTAAATAGGTGTGCAATAATGATTATTAATAATCTTATCAAAAGAAATAGTACGACCAGTTTAAAATGTCAAAAGATAAATTGTGATTACGAACTGATTTTTTTCTCTTTCTATTGTTAATCTAAATGAAGGCTGATAACTTGAGGCAGCAGACCGTTCACCAGCTGAGGCGGATCCTGACCGTCCGACAAGCCGCACGGTGTTTCCTAGTCATCGGAGAGTACTATGGACGGCTCAGAGCTCTTAGCTCCCTTTGGTTGTCTCGCCCACGAGAGTAAGACACATTTTAATGCATGTTTACATTTCATAAATGTAAAATGCTAAAATATGAATTTGATTTCGGGAATTATTAATGTGAATAGGACATTGATGAGTGATGAAACATCTTGCCAAACGACGACGGATTTGCAGATTGTTCAGTCATCGCGGAACCACTTCTCCAATTTCTGAATGAAATGGAACTTTGATAACTAAATGGCCAAGTTTCATTGTCTGTCTTAATTTCACCTATTTCCCCTTTAAGTTGTACTAGAAAAGATAGGATCTTCTTTTGGCATTTTTCCTTTTTTATTATAGTTTTATGCTACTATAAAATTAACGTACCACGTAAATTGAACCGATAATTTATGTGTCCAAGAAAAATGAGCAAAAGAAAAAAAAAACAGCAACTTAATGGTTTCAAGTTTCAACCCATATAACTCTATTTGGGAAGAGTGTTCTTGGTTCAGTGAATTAGCTTGTACCGTTTTATCTCAACTCTTAAGTGCCTATCAGCCTATCAATGAGAGAAGCACTTGATGCAACCCATATATTGAGATTAACGGGCCTTAGCTGGGCCACTCGCTTCTATGTGGCTCTAACCATGAAAGTTGTCTTCGACGAAAGTAGAAGTTTTCTTCTCTTCTCTTTGAAAGAAAGATCTGGAGAGGATGATTTCGTACCGATCAAATTTTTCTTATGGAATAAACATTTGACACATGTTCCTGGATAAAGAAGTACAATTCTAATTAATAAAAAACAAAAGTTGTACCTTTTTGTTGACGAAAGAAAAAGTTAGACCTTTAATTCCCACTTATGATGAATTATGATGACGCTTTCATTCTTGTTTACTCTTCCAAACTCTTTAATACAACAATAATTAATACAAGTGGCTTTGTTCATAAAAAAGTCCAACTTCATCATCCAATAGAAGATAATTAGGTTTTGAACAGAGAAATTCCACCATTCATCAAAATCTTCTCAATGGAAACAGCAAAGCGTAGAACCATGTCAACAATCGTCTCCAAACTCAGCTCTGTCTCTGAGCAAACCAGAGCCGCCGCTTTAGCTGAGCTTAGACTCATCTCCAAACAAGATCCTGATAGCCGTCTTATCATCGCCGACGCCGGAGCTATTCCGTACCTCGCTGAGACTCTTTACTCGTCGTCACACTCTGCTCAGGAAAACGCCGCCGCGACTCTCCTCAACCTCTCAATCACCTCTCGCGAACCCCTAATGTCTTCACGCGGCTTACTCGACGCGCTTTCTCACGCGCTCCGTCATCACGACACCACCACTTCCCCCGCCGCGGTTCAATCCTCCGCCGCCACGATTTACAGTCTTTTGATAGCTGAAGAGTCTTACCGTCCTATCATCGGATCTAAGCGCGATATCATCTTCTCCCTCATTCACATCGTTAGATATGCAGATTCGCATCCCCGATCGATCAAAGACTCGCTCAAGGCACTCTTCGCCATCGCTCTCTATCCGATGAATCGATCGACGATGATTTCACTCGGCGCGATTCCTGCTCTGTTTTCGCTGATCGTGAAGGATTCACGGAGCGGGATCGTGGAAGATGCGACGGCGGTTATGGCGCAAGTCGCTGGATGCGAAGAGAGCGAGGAAGGGATGAGGAGAGTTTCAGGAGCTAACGTTCTCGCGGATCTGTTAGATCCTTGTACTGGTTCGAGCCTACGGATCAAAGAGAACGCCGTTGGTGCGCTTCTCAATCTGGCGAGATGCGGAGGCGACGCAGCGAGGTCTGAAGTTGCCGCGGTGGTTGCCTCTGGTGCTGATGAAGGAGCCATGGAAGGGATCGTGTATGTAGCTGAGAATGGTAGTGTGAAAGGAAGGAAGAAAGCGGTTGATCTGTTGAAGCTCGTTGTCTCCGGCAATGGCGGCGATTCACGTTTTGATTATTTGATCAATGAAAATCCAAATAGCAGAAGCAGCTGATTGTTTAACTAATCCATTCATTGATTCAAACACTTCATATTATACATATCTATTGTTATTGTACACTTTGAACATACTTTGTTTTGTAGAAATGAATCAATCAATCAAACACATAATTCGTTACAAATCAAATTCTATTGTACATGTTTTCATCAAATGGTGAGTTCAAGAATTTGGTTTTTACAGCTTTTGTTGTTCTTCCTTGAGCAGTAGTGCACGTAAAATCGCATCGCAAATGCCATCGTAGTGTACGATCAGATGTCCGCCTTGCGGGATTTCGTGGTAGTTGATCAAAGGTTGTTTCTGCATAATGCATCTTTGAAGTTGAAATGGAACAACTTTGTCCTCCATACCATGCCAGATGTGAATATAGCTCTCTTTACGAATGCTTAGATCTGCAGGTTCGAAGTCCCATTGCCCGAAACAAGCCATGAAATCGTCCCTTAGAGTATCGAAAACATTTCTTTCTCGTAGCGAATCCTATATATAGTTGTGTCACAATTGATCAAACACTACAAATTGCAATACAAGTTGAATCGAGAAAACTAGGAGTGACCTTAGTGAGCATGGGAAATCCGGTTGTTCGCTTGAGCACTTCTATGTCGTGGCTGTTGAAATAGACCGGATTGCTTTCAAGGACCGAACTAGTTGAAGGGAAGAGCTTTTGAATGACCCACCAATGTAACAGTCCAGGTGCATATTTCGATATCCTCAAACCCCATTTGATAATACCTCTCCTATAATCTTTTTTGATTAGCTTCTTAGGAAGCGAGGGCCACCGATAATTAACCACCGGAGCAACAAAAGCCACGCCGGATAGCCTGCAAAGACAACGAAATACTCAATAGTTACCTAACTGTTCACAACTTATCCTTAAGGGTTTCAGATATGGTTAAATTGCCTGTGGGGTATGTGTTTTAGGCAACCCCAAGTAGGGTAAGATCCCATGGAAATTCCAATTAGATAAAACTTAGGTCCTAACTGCAGATGATCTGCAAGTTCTACTATGTCATCAACTTCGCTTTCCAACGAACGTTTCGTGTTTGAATCTGATTCTCCATATCCAGAACGGTCGTAGAATAGCAAGTACACCTTAAGTTCTTCTATCAGCTCCTGAAACACTAAATCCAAGTGAGGTTTTTCCCATTCTCTGTTTGTTTTAAGGATAACAAAGATAAAAGCAGAGGCTTTTCAAACATCCAGACAAGATATAAAGCAGTTTTTACTTTTGAGGCAGAGAAGTTCATATCTTTGGAGCTTCCAAAGCCATGAACAAGAATGATCTTGTATTTGGCCTTTTCCTTTGGAACTCCTCTCTCTCTATAAGCTAAGAATCTCCCATCCCGAAGCTTAACTCTATTTGAACTAGCAGAAGAATCCCCCATCAACCCTGATACAGTAACACTACAAGAAGACACAGATCCGTTAGTGACTGATTTGTGATACTAGACAATATGAATTTGGGTGTGAAAGTGGCAAAAAAAAAAAAAAAAAAAAAGTCTCAGGACAAACCAAAGGAGAAAATAATTGCTTTGAATTTGGGAGGAATACAAAAACGGTATGAATGGTCAAAAGGTCTGATCTTTATGTGAACTAGATGATTGATAAAGAATTTGGCTACTTGAAGAAAAAACCAAGTATCTTCGTTGGTGTATTGATTTTGAAGGAATAAAGAATGGAGCAAAATATTCCTCTTCTGATGCTTTTTGGCTTTAAACCATTTTCAGATTTGATCCTTTAGTTGTCTTAGTTTACAGCTTTGTAAAACTCCAGACGCCACTGCCAACTCACCAATCTCAGTCTTGTTTCTCCTACAAGTTAACTCTTTATATACATGCATTGTTGGAAACAGCATTTTCACAAACTGTTGTTTTTCTGAGGAGGATTTTCGAATATTCCTTTTGGATGCCATGTTAATTGACCGGTTTGAATTTGGAAAAGGTCCTACTCTATCCAAATTTCGGATGTTGAAACAAAAAGACTTTGAAAGAATTTGATTTTAAACTTAATAAAAAACCATTATTGTAAGATCCGGACATGGCAATCTCATCTAGTAAAATAAATGGACACAAAAGAAACAGAATTGGGTTTAAATTGCAACATTGACCTCGTTTCGCTGGTTAGGCATGAGAATCAATAACCGGAGATGACCGTCTTGACATAATTTGACAAGGTTCCTGTGTTGTGTGAGGATGGCATTACTGTTGCCTAACAAAACGTGAGCTATAACGTAACTCTCTCCTTTCTCATTTGCAAATTGCCATTCCCTCATCGTCAAATTAAAATAGTCTTTCCGTGTGGATACAGTTGCTTTCACCTCTATGTACTCTTTCTTACCGCCTCGGTTTTCGATTATCAGGTCGTAAGGTAACCCGGTTTCGCTCTGCTCATTAACCCATCTAACCAGAGCCGTCTTACCGTATTTTGCAACAAAGTATCTGTAAGCGATTTCTTCACCTTTTCTACCCGTCTCTTGCGCCTGTGCAGCCCAAAGTGCGCCAGTGTGAAGCTGATTTCTTATGCGGAAGTCAGTTGAGACAGAATTGTTCCATTCATGAACAAGATTCCCTGACATTGAACCACTCTTTATGTGCATATTAGCTCGTGAACTTGTGCCAGCACGATCATCATACCCAGCAACCAAGTTTGTATCTGTGATCTCAGTCGGAATATGTTCCTCAAGAGCCTCTGTTACAAGCTCCTTCTGATCAACAGGGATAAAAAAATGAAGTTACTACTCTATTACTGCAAACATCTGCAACGTTCAGCAAAAGAAAATGAAATGATCAAAGATAAGAAAAACGAGATAAATATTCCCTGAAAGACTGAAACAGATTTCCCACTAAAACAACAAATATTTGAAGAAAGACAATGCAGTAATTCTGGAACACTGAGCAAGAAGCCTTTTGCACAAGACTCTGAACCAGGTTAAGAAAAACTGAGACGATACAAACTCCATGTCAAATTCAGGTGTCCAAGGAAATAGCGAGGGAAATTTTCATAAATGCAACCAGGTTTCAGTTTCAGACATCCCTTTACAGATATATCAAAGGATAGAATCTGAAACCTGAGATCTTGGAAGGTTTTCATTAATTATTTAAGAAGAAAACAGGGGGGACGAATTGGGGACTGGAGCAAACAAGGGCGCAACCTTTATCCTTTTTCAGCCTGCCTCAGTGACATAGTGATGCCCACAAGCAGAATCAAAGAGCAAAGCTGAACTAAGGAAGCTTTTACATTTGCTAACTCAACTCCAAGACTTTGCAACTGGGTGCTAAGTCTCAGCGTAAGAGTTGGGAGGCTTGAACCACACCGAAAAAAAAATGAGCACAACAAGGAACAGAAAACCAACAGTTCTTAATTCAGAAATTTCCTCAAAATTTGAAAAGGAGGTATCACAGAAAATAGTGAGCCTGTGTTACACAGTGAAGATATCGAATATCTTTTCCACTTGGAAAAAAAAAAAGGGGCAAAAAAGCAAAGAAAAGGTAGGCAAACTGGAAGAGTGGAGTAAAAAAAAAAGCAAACTGGAATAGTGGAGTAGAAAATAAGTTTGAATGTAAATTGGAATAGCAAAGGTGAAACTATCCCGTATCCTTCAATTTGAAAATATGACCACTAACTCACAGCGACATGTTGTAATCCACCAAATGGAAATGATGACATAGCTTTAGCTCTTTTAATCTGAGCTTCTACTTCGGATCCCCCCAAGTTGTAAGAAGACAACAATTTCTTCACAAACTACAAAAATAAAAGAGTGTTAGAGGATAAAAAAACATACAGCCTCACCACTCCTCGCTTAAGATAATTCACTGTCAAATTCAAGCAAAGAGATTTATCTGATATATAATTCAAACAGTCTCTTGATATACTCAACATAAACTTACCATTGACATGCTTAGCTCTTTGCATGTATCCTTCCAAGTTGAACTGAACAGTCTCAAAGCTCCTTCAGAAAGTGTGAAATCAGCCTCATTGCCACTGAAAACCTGCTTAGCATCAGAATCATCCGCCAAGTTATGTATCTCTTGTTTCACATGTCCTCTATGTAATTTAGAGGGGTATCTTCTACGCAGTTTGGAGAAATCAGATTTTTCATGGCTACGACTTTCAGCCTTCCTTTTTTTATTGGAGCTCATATGCTGCTTCGTCTCTTCTGAAACGGATGGATATGGACAACTACTGAATTGGTCACAACTATTAACATTTTCGACCTCATAATCAGCACTATCATTTTCCTCCGAGCTCAATGAATTAAATCTTGTATGCTTGCCACAATAATCTTTATCTTGCTGTTGTTTCTTTGATGGGAGGATGTGATACTTCTGATGCAGTCCAGTCAGCAAGATCTTCAATGTTTCGCCTTCTTGTCTCTTCGCGTTTTGAATGAAAGATACATACATCCTATAAAACGCATTAATCAAATATAATCAGCTAATGCAGTTAATAACTAGGAATAAGTAGAGAACTTAATCTGGTGATCTCTCAGAAAACCAGATTCCTCGTGAAAAAGGAAACAAGAGAACATTTACAACCAATTACTACAATAAAAATTATGAAAACGGATCTCCTGTGGTAACAAATATAGAAATTAAGAAATGGACTGGACTGAGATCAATAGCAAGTTTCTAAAATAATATTAGGAAACAGTGGTAAGACATGTATGTGCACAACCCAACTTCACTCAAACTACTATGAGCATGCAGATAAGAGTTATTCCTTTCTACGAAATACACAAATATAAAACCAGAACACATCACTGAAATTCCAACCATCAATCCACTACTTGTAACAAACTTTAATTTCTACATACAAAAAAAAAAAATCAACACACTTAACGTAGAGACAAACTATCAAAACTAGTCAAATAAATTGGTGGATTTTTTAAAACAAAACTATTTAACCAGCCTAATATCATTACGATAACTAACTCATAAAGCAAGATAAAATAACCCAAGAAACAATGTCATACCGTAAGCTCTGAATACGGACACCAAGCTTGTCCTTACTTGTAACTGCTTTTTCCTTAGCAACAAAATCCAGGAATCCATCTAGCTTAACATCGTCCATATGGTAAGTGTTTAGATACATATCAAGAAATGAGATTATCTCCTCACTAGTGATCTGAACTGGGGCAGTAGAACCAGAGATGGATGGGAAATAGAGCAAGACAAGTGGATGCTGCAGCAAAGGTCCCAATCCCAGATCATCAAAACAACCAACGAACTCGTTTCGGCATATTGCTACTTCCAAATCATGCAGAGTCACGATTCCTCTAGCGCCAATGAAGCAGTGAATAAATGCAATAATCTACAAGACAGCAAGTAAATGCACATAATTGCTAAAGATTCAAAGGGTTTAAATAAAAGTAATCAACTTTAAAATAGATAGGCACTAAAGTTTCAAGCTTTACCTTGCCTTCAAGGGCCATGAGTTGACGAAGCGAAGGAACATCTTGCATTTGTATCCCCAAGGAACGCCAAGTATCATCAGCCTGAAGTTGTTCTAAAACTGATTGCGACACTCTAGTCGAAGAAACGTTCTCTCCAGCAGCAATTAGTGATTTACGAGTGTTGTTGATGGCCTTATCAATTCGCATGACTTCTAAATTAGCGCCACCGCCTAATTGTGGGTGAGGGAAGTTGATATTCTGCTGAGTCTGGAAATTGTATCTGATGGGTTGTTGTTGGACATTGTAATTGGGAAACACACGAGTCGCTTGAGAAATATATCCTCCGTTTCCGTTGCCGTTTCTACCGTACGCGGAGGCGCGTAGTGACCACGAGCCGTTGCGATTCCCTTGCATTGGTCGGCGCGTAAAAACAAGGAAAAGAAAAGAAGGAAGGGTTTAAATAGAAGAGTGAGTCTCTCTAGCTGATTCGGAGGGTTAGGGTTTAAGGTGAAACGTACCAGTTTTATTAATTTAGCATCTGTAATAAGTTATTTTCAAAATATTTGTAATTGATAGATGAAAATATGATTTGGATGTCAAAAATATATAAATTTTTAACATAATTGTATTATTGGTCAAAAAAATGAAAAACTGTGACTTTTTATTTCATATACAAACGTAGTACTATTTTATTATTGGTGAGTTGTTCAAACCGGATTCACAAAATACGACCAGAAGTATACCGTGTTTGAACCGCATGGCACGTAAACCATAATTCTTTAGTAAATGGAAAAAACATACGGTTCAACGGTTAGCTATAATACCATTCGGAAAATTTGGGAGGTTAATATTGTTTTAGGCTCCACCACAACATAACACATACATTGAATCAGCTTCTATTTTCGACTTGATTAATACTGACTGATTCATAAGTTTTACTTTTAAGTATTTTATTCTTCAGGTATTGACTTAATTGCGGTAACCTTTTTATTTTCTAAGAAAAATCTTGTGCTTATAGGTCAAAATTCTACTACCTCTTTCGCTTCCAAATCTTACAACTCCTAAAACGGTAAAACCTAGCTCGTCTATTATATTTAAAAACTTGAATCTATATATATCAATTTAAATTTTGGTTTATGGAAAGAATATTTCTGCAACTAACTAGTATATTATTTCATTGTTTATTTAGTGGTGCAAACCAAAAGCCTCTCCCAAATCCCTCAAAATTCCATGTTAGTTTCGACAGATAATACACAAATTAACGTAAAGTCGTTACAGTTTTTTGGTTCAACTCCTTCGTGTAGGTCATTTGATTATTGTGCTTCAGTCTTTAAAACGGGAATGAAATACAACCAAAGTAGTTTCATACTTTTTGAATTCAATTTTCTATACCATTTGCAAACATCCGTGTGGTGTGTGGGCTGCCATATCAACTTTAGACCCGTGAACCCAATCATGCATCAAAGAATATCAGTGAACTAAGTTCCAAATATATATGTTGCTGATCGATAAATTATCATCATATACTAATATCTTTAAATAAAATGCAAATCATGGATTAGAGTTCTAGCTAGAAAAGTCTTGCGTATGGAAATAGTGTACTCCCTCCGTATTTTAATAAGTGTCGTTTTAGAATTTTTACTTTTTTGAATTGGATGTCGTTTTCAAATTTCTATGCAAAATTTCTTACTTTTTAATGTTTTATGACATCATAAAACATTAAAAAGTAAGAAATTTTGCATAGAAATTTGAAAACGACATCTAATTTTAAAAAAAAAAAATCCTAAAACGACAATTATTAAAATACGGAGGGAGTATATCTCATCAAATTCGTGTAATCTGCTACTTGGATCATCAAACGTCAATAAAAGTGAACGCGTGATTTTATATGAATTTGCTTTTTATCATTTGTCCCTAAAAAGACGGCTAAAATGATGTTGAAATTGTTGTTTTGATGTAATGATGAATTTTGTCTTCGCCGGTCTATATGCACTTAAAAGACAATTATGACTATAAAATGATGAAAGGATATCGTATTTGTTGGTGTAAGATGTTACAAAAAATTTAATAATGGGAAAGGAAATGAGGGTAAAGGAGAAAAAAAAGACTATGAGTCTTAGGATTCTCTTTCATTGAAAAGCCTTGTGCTTGTGCGTTTCCTTTTCACTATATGAAGTAAGACCCACCACATTTTTATGAAGAAATTTACACTCTTTTTCCCCTTGATGCAAACGCGTAGACACGTGTGATATCTACACTATACGTTTTGGGGTAGGAAAAAAAAAAAAAAACTTTAAAGAAGAAGATTTTGTATTGGAGAAAAGGAAAGAACCTATTTTGACGAACGGCTACGATACACACCAGGTAGGTTGATATATAACCTTTTCCTACTACTAATCTTACTTATCTTCGTGGGGAGGGAGAGAGGGTGAGGGAGAGAGAGAGAGAAAGACATAGAGATGAGTTTGATGAGTCCTTATGAGAAGGTTTTAAGTTTCGAATCCCCAAGCTTCATTGAATGGCTTAAACCTCCATCTTCTACTTCTTCTCAATCTATGTTATATCGTATGAAGACAAGAGATGCTATATCAAGATCAAATCACCACCAGAGTCAGATGAACATGTTGGAACCACTCAACACGTCTATTCAATGCTTGCCTCTTCTAAACAAGCTCATGGAAAATAAGAGTCGTCAAGCCTTGGATGATATTAAAGAAGAGAATAAGGATGATGTGGTTACTCTCCAAATCGGATTTCCTAAATATCACCGTGGTAGCTCGGATGATGACTCTGATACAACTTTCGATCATCAGAAGAAACCCATCAAGAGAGAGATAATAGAAGATGGTGTGGTGATGATGAAGAAGAGGAGGAAGATGAAGTTTGATGAGGAGATAACTGATTCTGATGTGGAAGTATGTGGGAAGAGGTTTTGGATACCAAGTCCGGCTCAGATTCATGTCGGTCCAATGCAATTTGCTTGCTCTATTTGCAGCAAAACATTCAATAGGTACAATAACATGCAGGTACGTCTTCTCTCTTATCATCTTTATCCTATATGATTTGTTAACTATCTACATTCAGCTACAAATATTGCATAATGTGTTAACCATTGTTACTATATGAATGTGTCATATTACCACGGAAAAGAAACGTTATCACTATATCAACTTTACCTTTACCTTCGTCCATTTTCATAGGGTATTAATATTATTAATTCATTTGTGGTTATATTCTTATATTAGCAAAAAAAAAGTTAATAAATTCATTTTTTTTTAAGAAAAACATTTTCCCTTCAAAGGGAAACTTACAAACAATTTTTTTTTGTATAAAAAAAATATATCTTAAATTTTCAACAACACAATAACACATTAATTAACAACATATTTAGTTTTTAAAAAAGGCTAATTAACAACATAAACAAAAAGAAGTGTATGATCATGTATTCCGTAAATTTATTACACCTTGTGTATAGAAATGTTAAAGCAAACTTTGATAATTGTTTATATAATTATATGCATGATCATACATTATCATAAAAATTAATTCCTTCAATGGATCTTACACTTCTTTTTGTGAGAAATTTGTTGTATATGTATATGATCATATATATTTATTATCGTATATACATACAGAATATTGGAAGTAATTTAATTTTTGTAATTTAAATATTTTGAACATTGATGACTTAATTATTACGATAATTAATCGCGGTTGGTGTATCATTTTTATTAGATAATAAATTAAGAGGAGGATAATTGGGTATATAACGTCTGGATTAGTTGAGAAATCTTCGAAAATCTTTTGACTTTTTTTCATTGTTTGCCTTGCCTTTTGGTTGAAAAGCCAAAAAAGCAAAAGAATAATCACGGAGTGGGATTTGGTAAAGTATAATTCAGCAAGAAACAAAAAAGGGTAGAAAAATTAAAAAGCAATGATCATACTACTTTTACTGAATATATGCAATCGATAACTTAACCTAATGAAGATTTTGGTAAAAAGCCTTCTAATTAAGTATCATTGGTTTCTAAGTTTCTATATTTTACATAGGATTCTCTCCTTTACCATTTACTATAAATTTACTTTGGTCCCAACTTTAATTCGAAATTAAAATCATTAAACCAATACCTCTTGTTCAGTAGAAAACACATTTTTCTTACATCATTTATGGTTTCTTATTAAATTTGTGATTACCATATACTACGCGGTCAAAAGTTTTGTCAAATCATTTTATATCCGTTCCATTCCCAATTCCTACAGTGATGAATATAAGCACAACTTTCTACATTTGTGGATTGATAAGTCTCATCCAATATGAAAATGCACTCGAGTCCTTGAACATAATGGAACGAGAAATTTCTGTCTCACAGATTATAACTGTCAATTAGTATATATATCATATAATAGTAATATGATAATATTCAACAGAAATATCAAAATTTAGTTAAAATTATAAACAAATAGAGTTCTTATGGTCTAATGGATTTATATATGCAAAACACTACAGATGCATATGTGGGGACATGGATCTGAGTTCAGAAAAGGGGCTGACTCCTTGAAGGGCACAACACAACCTGCAGCCATCCTGCGGTTGCCATGCTATTGCTGTGCGGAGGGATGCAAGAACAACATCAACCATCCGCGGTCCAAGCCCTTGAAGGATTTCCGTACACTTCAGACACATTACAAACGTAAGCATGGCTCCAAGCCCTTTTCTTGCGGCAAATGTGGCAAAGCGTTGGCTGTGAAAGGCGACTGGAGGACCCATGAGAAAAACTGCGGAAAGCTTTGGTATTGTACATGTGGATCAGATTTCAAGCACAAGAGGTCTCTCAAGGACCACATCAGGTCCTTTGGCAGTGGACATTCTCCTCTCCCGTCTCTTTCGTTTGACGGTTTTGAGGAGGATACAGAATGTGTCACCACAGAGTGAGAGTGATGTTAGATACACCGGGGAGACTGTGGAATCATCGATTGACCGGTAAGATCCGAATTTTCTAATGTTGCTTCAAAACTATGGACCACAAAAACACCTCAAGTCTACCAAAGAATTTCTATCTTGAAAAGGGAGAAATTCTTTGTTAGACTCGATATCAAAATATAGAAATTTACAACATAAAATGAAGCAACATTTTAAAATTTAGATCTTTTTCTTGGGATACGGTTACGATTAAGTCTACATGAAACCTGGTGTCGTCGATCTGTCTATTTTACTTTTTATTTTAGTTTGAGACATGGGTTTGAGTATTTGTGTGCTACGTAATATGCATGTGATATTAGGGTTCTTGGTTTGGTAGGGGATTTTTGCTACTAGATAAGTATCCTTAAGAAAAAAGGAGGTTTAATTATGCTCACTAACAAAAACTTCTCTTTGTCCGAGGGATGTATTTGTCGGGGAGCATTTTGTGGCTCGTGTAAACCTCTAGTTATCTTAGTGATTCGTAGCAAGTATGATTTCAGACCTATTTAGGGTTTCCTTCTTAAATAAGGATGGTTTATCTCTTCAAATTTTGTGAAGCACGTGAATTTTCTGTTTCTCTCATGTATTAGAAGAGAAAATTGGTGTGCTTCACTTCATTGTTGTACGATAACCTTCAATTAAAGACTCTTACTATTGTATCTCATTTCATTACATATGATTTCGATCTTCTTGTTGTTACAAAGATTCACGCTTTTGTGTTTTGTATGAATCAACGTATATTACTACTCAAATCGTATTAAACTTGTGTGTGGGATTAATCTTGTTGACACGTCATCTGAACGATTTTTTTTTTTTTGTTTTTCATCTGAACGATTTTGAACGCTTTTGATCACTTCTATTTATGTGTATAAGAATATCGTCTAAATTTACCATATATATTTCAATATGTGTGACACCACAAATCTAAAAATTGTAAAGAGCACTCTTACCATTTGGAAAGTGTTGCGTCTCCACTGGCCCAATCTCGAGCAAAATCGTTGGGACTTAGACAAAACGACTGAGTATAAACTCTTGCCAACAAGCTTCTTCGCTTGAAACAACAAGTCAATGACAAAACTCTTGATGGTATGTATTTTCAATGGTAAACTTGTACCAAAGGGATCTTGAATTCTTTTGGCAAGAATGGAATGGCCCTGGGATTGTTTTCCAAGTCGCGATACAATCTATACTCTGCTTCATAGTCATGAAGACTCAGCTCTGCTTTCTGATTAGTATGGTAATGATGCTTAGTAGAATTCAACTTCCCAAACCCGAAGACGCTAACTTTCTCACAGATCCCCACTGCAAGCATCACAGCCTGCATACCCGACGAGTAGTGAAACAACGAGCCTTCATGATCTTTACTCCAATCCACAAACCCTTCCGCTTTCTTCTCTTCCAAGAACTTCTTCACCGAGTAATACTTCACGATTCTAGCACACAGGACATCGAATCTCGGATCCGTGATAAGCAGAGGAGCTCGATGAGACGGTTTACACAAAGTGTAATCCAAAACATGAATCGGTTGGCAAATATACAACACAATAGGCACTGTTTCGCCATAAGGATGACAATGACAACTCTCCCTTCTCCCACATTGATGCAAAATGTTACTATTTATGAAAGATATATTCGTTTTCGATCCGACCTTCTTCTCAAACCTCTCTGTTTTCGCATTGTTCAACCGAATCACAATCTCATGTTTATCAATGAGATCTCCGTATTGACTATTCAGCAATGTACCGCTATTCCCAACCACTGCACAAGATGAGTATCTTTCACTCGAAATCGAAACAACGCCGTTGTGAATATCGATCGGATTCTTGACTAATCCAATCAAATCTAACATGATATTAGGTTCATAAGCTCTTCTACGAGCCCAAAGCCGTAAATTTCTTTTGAACTCTGACCAGTAACGATAAACCTGAGAGGAACGAAGCGTTACCGGAAACTTGGAGGAAGCAATGTCTCGGCTCCCATGGCGTGGTTGCTCGCTTGGTCTTGACATGGAGCTGAAATGTCGGCGGTGGCTTCTCCGAGTGTGGTCGTAATCGGAAATCAAATCGACTTCCTGCTTGAATTTAGGTTCGCCGGGATCAATGGCGGCGAATTCGAGCAATGTCTCGTTGAATACAATCTCTTCAGTCATGAGTCCGGAGGTACCAAGCTCAGCGATGGCGGAGGTGAAGGAGAAGCTACTCCGGCGAATCGCCACTCTGCAGATGAGTGTGGCGGCGAAAAAGGCGAAGAGGAGAGCACTGAAGAGAGGTCTAACGGATCGTTTCATTGACGCCGCCGTGATAGATAAGAAAGTCGGAAGCTTAAACGTTAAACCCCAAAAATTGACGGCGCGGGTCGGATCTTGAAGTCGGATCCATTGCCGGGTCTAACAAAAAAAATGGTAAAGGAGACAACTTTAAGAAATCTGTAAATCAAAAATCTTCACAGGAGCTTTAGAAAACTCATGATTCTAATTAGTAAGGAAGGTAAAAAAGGATAAAAGATGTGAAATTGAAGTCAAAAAGAAGGAGACGACATTGACATTGACATTGTTGGTTAGGGAAAGAAAGATTTCAAATGAAGTTAAGGAAGATGAGTGAGAGATATGGGAGCCCTTAAATGGAGGAGATCTGAAGAATGACGAAAGATCCAACATTAAAGTAATCATTCTTTACTCTTTTTTCTGGAGGTGCAAGCCATGATCTTTCAAGGGTAGTTTTCGTCAACAAACTTGTTATTAATTGCGCCATAGAAAGAAAGATTAAAAGGGAAAGAGATGATAAAACAAATAAAAAGAGGTTATTTTGGGAAACCATTATGGTTCGGGTATTATTCTCTCTAGCCGTACGTAGAGGAGTTGTCAATTAGGTTCTATGTCTGCGTCCTCGGCCTAACCTATATAGAGTCGTGGATACAAAAATTAAAGCCCATTAAATGAAGCTTTAAAACCCATTTTTGGTCCGGTCTTAAAACAGCGAGTACTCTCCTTGTCATTCATCAAAACGGTTAGAAAATCAGACGCCTTGACGTTTTTATGTTTTACACACAAACACTCTGTTGTTTCTATTTTCAAATCAAAGAAATCAAAATTTCCTTTTTCTCTGTCACCCTCACCGACTTCAAAACTCTCTGTTTCTCCTTATTTTACCTGTGATCATCCACGCTTCGTCTAGGGTTACTTCAATCTTCAAATCATCTGATTTTTGAGATAAATTATTCAGCTTTAAGAATTGAAGGAATTGAATTTTGTGAACCCTAAAAATATGTACAGCAATTTCAAAGAACAAGCGATCGAGTACGTGAAGCAAGCTGTTCAAGAGGACAATGCTGGTAACTACAACAAAGCTTTTCCTTTGTACATGAACGCGCTTGAATACTTCAAAACCCATCTCGAATATGAGAAGAACGCTAATATCAGAGATATTATCAGCGACAAATTCAACGAGTATCTCCTTCGTGCTGAGGAGATTCGTGCGGTTTTAGATGAAGGTCGATCGGGGACAGGATCGAATGGCGACGCAGCGGTTGCTACGAAGCCAAAGACAAAGCCCGAAGACGGAGGAGATGGAGAAGAATCAAAGCTTCGAGCTGGGTTAAACTCTGCTATTATAAGGGAAAAGCCTAATGTTCAGTGGACAGATGTTGCTGGGCTTGAAAGTGCCAAAGAAGCGTTAAAGGAAGCTGTGATTTTGCCTGTCCAGTTTCCACAGTTCTTCATTGGTAAATGTTTCTACTTTCATTGGATTCGTGGATTTATTTGAGAGCCTGAAAAAGGGTAATTCTATTGATCAGTATTTGTTGTTGTAATTAGGAAAGAGGCGGCCATGGCGAGCTTTTCTGCTCTACGGGCCTCCTGGAACTGGTAAATCGTACTTGGCCAAGGCTGTTGCTACTGAAGCTGACTCTACGTTTTTCAGGTACCTTACCTTGGGATAGGTTTATACTCTGTGATCAATATTCTGGTCACTGTGTTTATAATTGGTAACACGTTTTAGCTTTTGAATAAATGTATTCTTTTTGCCTCACCAACCATTAATGTGTCTTCATCGGACTTGGTATCGAAGTGGATGGGTGAAAGTGAAAAGTGTTGGTTTAGAATCGGTTACGCCCATGATTAAAGCATAATACCGAGTCGGTTTACGTTAACCGACAGTTATGGAATTACTTCTAATTAACGAACAGATGCGTCTCTTGTTTGTTGTGTCTCTCAGACATATCTCATGTGCTGTATATATATCAGACATTGTAGACAAAGTAAGACATGTCTTGAGTTCGTAAGAATTCAAGAGAAAAACAGAGAACAAAAGAGAACAGAAACAGAGACACTAAGAAAACAGAGAAGACGACTCGGAGAGGCACTTGATCTGTGATAAGAGGTTGATATCCGCTTGTGATATCTTCCCTGACTTCTTCCAATTCCAGATTACGTCCAAGTCGTAAGGTACGTCTTCGGTATAAAACGCTTCCGCAAACGTTTAACTCTAATATTGGTATCAGAGCATTGGAATCAATTCTGGATTTTTAAGTTGTTAGTCTGGAATCAATTCTGGATTTTTTAAGTTGTTAGTCTGGAATCAATTCTGAATTTCTCTTAAGTTGTTAGTCTGAAAGTCATTCTCTGTTTAATATATGTGAATTAAGAGTCTCGTTATATGATGGATTAGAAACTGGAGATAGAGAACGTGGTTTAACTAGTTGGAATCAATATATATTTTTTTTGTTGTTGATCACGTTAACTTGTTTGTCTTCGTTAAGGAAGAGAATTTGTGATTTAGAGAATCACGTAAATTAATGTTTCATTTGGTGATTCATTTTTTTATAAGAAAGTGGGAGTTCTGATATGTACAGAACTTAGAATTTTACATGAAATAAATTAATTTATTATAATCAGGTTGTAACGTGAGTGATGATTGGGAACGTACGTAGTAATCTCTCGATCTCATGTTATGAACCAGATTTATTCTATATTAATTTGTGTTCGTTGTAAAATTGTGTATCGTATATTGGAGAAATGCAAAGGAACTAATGTCTCAAAATTGTTCTAAAGCAGGGATGTCTTCTGCTTGTAAGAACATCATTGCAGAGCTCAATAGAGGAGAGAAACTGGAGGGTGACAATTACGATATTTGGTATCGTAAAGTCCAGTATGTCCTTGAAGAGCAAGAGGTGAAAGAGACTCTTTTCCATCTCATGGAAGAACCTGAGCAGGGTACTACGGCTCAACACAAAAGAGACCAAGAGGCATATAATGCTTGGAAAAGAAAGAATAGCATCGCTCGCATTACGTTGTTGAGTTGTATGCAAGATGATCTCATGTGTGAGTTTGAGGAGTATGAAACTGCAAAAGGTATTTGGGAAGCCTTAAAGGAGAAATTTGGCGCCACATCGGCGACAAAGGTTAGGAGGCTTAATCAAAAGTTTAATGACTACAAGAAGCGCCCAAATCAGTCCATGAGGCAGCATCTTAGGGTCATGTCAAACATGATTAGAGAGCTTAGAACTGCTGGGCAGATCATGTCCGACGAACAGCAAGTACAAGCTGTCCTCCGCTCATTACCAGAAAGTTGGGATCATATGAAAATTCAGATGACTCACAATGACAATGTCAAGACTTTCGAAGACATTTCACGTCATCTTGAGTTAGAGGATGAGCGCTTAGAGGCTGCTAGACCTTTCAATGAAGCCAACTATGCGAGTTCAAGCTCCGGCATGAAACGCAAAAGAGGTAACTTTGGTAATAAGGCTTCCGAACAAGCTAATCCTAAGAAGCAAAAGAAACACGCCAAGCGTGGAAAGAAAGGAGGGAGAAAGGATAAGACCAAAATGAAATGCTACAACTGTGACACATTGGGTCATTTTGCTCGTGAATGCACTGAAGCAAAGAAGGTATTATCCTTGAAAAATTCCCGTAAATATGCTTATGTTTCTAGTTGTGTAATGCTTGCTGAATCTAATCCTTTGTGGATTGTAGACTCAGGAGCCACAGACCACGTAGCTAGAAGTCGTGAGGCGTTTACGGAGGACCGACGCATCCCCAAAGGTACAAGATGGTTATATGTAGGAAATAACACCAAAGTCGCAGTGATAGGAATTGGCACTTGTCAATTACATATGCGTGGCGGCAAAACTCTTATCCTACATGACGTCTTGTATGCTCCTGAAATTCGTCGGGACCTCGTCTCCGTGTTAGCTTTGCTTAGATTAGGATTTAGTTTGAATTTCTATGACATGGGTTTACACATTTCTTTAGATACTGTGTTCTTTGGTTATGGTTACACATACGATGGTTTTATTGTACTTGATTGTAACACAACTACATCTAGTAATAATAATGATTGTTTTTCATATGTCACAAGTTCTACTAATATTGAAATTGATGTGTGGCATGCAAGACTTGGTCACATAGGAGTTGATCGAATGAAAAGATTGGCTAAAGAAGGCCTTCTAGGCTCACTAGCTCGATTTGATTTAAACTCATGTGAATCATGTCTTGTTGGAAAAGCAATAAGAAAACCATTTGGGAAGGCAACCAGAGCCGAATATCCATTGCAATTAATTCATTCAGACATATGTGGTCCGATGAATGTGAGGGCAAGACATGGAGCTTCGTATTTCATCACTTTTATAGATGATTACACTAGGTTCGGGCATGTATACTTGATTTCTCATAAGTCAGAAGCACTAGAGTGTTTTAGACGTTATGTTACTTTGGTTGAAAATCAATTGGATAAGACGATCAAATGCCTAAGAACTGATCGAGGCGGTGAATATTTATCTGAACAGTTTAAAGAACTGTGTGATGAAAAGGGTATTATTAGACAATTAACTACCCCGTATACGCCACAACAAAATGGTGTATCGGAAAGAAGGAATCGAACGCTCCTTGAGATGGTTAGATCAATGATGGCACAAGCTAATCTTCCTATTTCATATTGGGGAGATGCGTTGCTTACTGCTGCCTATGTTCTTAATCTCGTACCCTCCAAATCTGTCACTTCAACCCCTTATGAGTTATGGACAGGAAGAAAACCTGTTCTTACACATTTAAGGCCTTGGGGATCAGCAGCGTTTGTTCGCGATATTTCTCACCCTCATGGAAAATTAGGTCCTAGAGGAAAGAAATGTATTTTTATAAGATACTCTGAGCATTCTAAGGGATATGTGCTAATTGGTGAACAAACGGATGGAAGTGTAACAGAAATCGAATCACGAGATGTTACGTTTTTTTGGAAAATGATTTTCCTAAGAAGGGAGAGATTGATAAAGAATTCTATCTTAGAGAAATAATTGACCCAACAAATACTTCTCCTACTATCCAACCTAAGGAAGTCGATGCAAATTCAGATGAATTGCCTCAACTTAGTGGGAGAAATACATTGGTTGATAATTCTTCTATGATGAAATCACAAGAGTTTGAAATGCGTAGAAGTAACCGTGGAAAGATCCCTCGACGTCGTTTTGAAATCGAAGGAGAAGCTTTCATGGTGGCATTGCATGATGACTTAGAGCCTAAATCTGTTCATGAGGCTCTCTCTTGCCCAAACTCAGAAAAATGGAACGGTGCAATTGGAGAAGAACTAGAATCTATGAAAGTGAACCATGTTTGGGATTTGGTTGATCTTCCGCCAGACCGACGAGCGATCGGAAACAAATGGGTTTTTAAGATCAAATATAAGGCGGATGGATCCATAGATAGATATAAGGCACGCCTGGTGGCGAAAGGATACACCCAACAAGAAGGTATAGACTATGAGGAAACATTTTCACCTGTGGTGAGGTTTGCCTCTATTCGACTTATTCTATCCATTGTTGCGGGATTGGATTTAGAATTACATCAGATGGACGTTAAGACTGCGTTTCTTAACGGCGAACTAGAAGAAGAAATTTACATGGAACAACCAATTGGTTTCATTGTAAAAGGCCAAGAAAATAAAGTTTGCAAGCTCAAACGTTCTATTTATGGCCTAAAACAATCTTCTAGGCAGTGGTATTTTCGTTTTCATCGAGCTATGATATCTTATGATTTTACGATGATTAATGAAGATCACTGTGTCTATGTCAAGAGTACTGGACAATCTTTTGTTATTTTATCTCTATATGTAGATGATATTCTTTTGGCCGGAAACGACATGGAGTTCCTCACAACCATTAAAAAATGGTTATCATCTAATTTTGAGATGAAAGACATAGGAGAAGCCGATTACGTGCTCGGTGTCAAAATACACCGGGATCGTTCAAGGAAATTATTAGCTCTTTCACAAGAGTCATATATTCGTAAAATCCTTGAAAGGTTTAAAATGCACACGTGCAATCCTATCGATACTCCAATCGCAAAAGGCGAAGGTCTAAGCCTTAATATGTGTCCCAAGACTCCAGAGGAGAAAAGAGAGATGGAAAAGGTCCCATACGCTAGTGCCGTGGGAAGCTTGATGTATGCAATGATGTGTACTCGACCGGATATTTGTTATGCTGTTGGCTTGGTAAGTCGTTACCAGTCAAACCCCGGAAGGAAACATTGGATGGCGGTAAAAAGGATCCTAAGATACTTGAAAGGAACGATGGATTATTCCTTGTGTTATCAAGGAAATAACCTACATTTGACGGGATACTCAGATGCTGATTGGGCTGGCGATCTTGATGAGCGTAGATCAACTTCAGGATATACTTTCTTGCTAAGTGATGGAGCCATTACTTGGAGCAGCAAGAAACAATCTTGTACAGCCTTGTCTACTATGGAGGCTGAGTTCATGGCGTGTTCAGCCTCGGTCCAAGAGGCTGTATGGCTAAGGAGTTTTATACAAAGCTTGAACGTCACATCTAATCCTTCGCAACCTGTTATGATTCATTGTGACAACCAAGCTTGTATTGCTTACATGAAAGATCCAAAGTATCATGGAAGGACCAAACACATTGAGATCAAGCATAGTTTCGTAAGAGACATTGTAGCAAAGAAAGAAGTGATACTAAAGTACATCTCTACGCATAAGATGGTAGCTGATCCATTTACTAAACCTATTCCTAGAGACGTTTTTAACGCTCATGTTCGAGCTCTAGGTTTGCGTAGGGTCTAGAAGATGTACTTGTAAGCTTTGCTATTTGACATTGTATATATGTTTTTAAACATACCTTATGATATTTAAAGCATGTTATACATTGGTCATTTTTTATACACTTACACAAATATTTAAAAAAAAAAAAAAAAAAAGGTTATCAAGTTAGAGATTGGTTCACTCGCATGAACAATCGCCACATATTTTTTTTTGAAAAATATGAGATGAGACATTATAAGCTTGGAATCAGTGGGAGAATGCCCTGTATTTCTTATAAATGTCGCCTTAAAAAGAAGTTAAGATGAGGTATAAAATTTTGAATACCGATCATGATAGACCCAAAATCATGAACACTTGATAAAGCTGGATAAGTATATAACTAAAGCGCTAGTAAGCACAAGAGTAGTACTTTGATCCACATAGTGATGCTTGATTTATTAAATAGACACAAGCTATATGAAAAACGTAATCACTATGACATGTGAGTCATACCACATGTGCTAAAGGACTATATAGGAAGCGAGTGGTTGAATATTCCCTACCTCTCGCAATGTGAGTTCCTATAAAACCAGTTGTGGTTAAAAAGTTACCCTTGAACTTTCCACTATGTACTTAAAGGGATGAGTTAATGTTTGCTACTTTAACATGTTATTTCAACGGTGATGAAATAATTAGCCTTATGAGACATGTTAAGAAAGCAGTTAATTCAGAACTTATGGACATGAGAATGGAAAGGAAATCATTTGTTTGTATATTAGCATATGTGTTAGCTGGCCAGCCACTATATCACCTAATTGAAGTTAGGATATAGTGAACACATGATGTATGAGAAAGTCTAATATATGCTAAGGGATAAGATATGTTAAGACCAATATAAAGACAAATGGGTTTGGGGAACAGAGATACATAAAAACATATGAATGTTTTATCTTAGGGTAGAAGCAAATGTATATCTTTAACAAGTATACATTTTAGCTCCTAAAAATGCAGGTATGCTCAAAAGAGGTCACACGGTTCATTTGCCGTATGATTTCCGTGTCATGGTCTTCAAGATTGTTTTCTTACGACTAAGATTGTTCTAGTCTTGTTTTCACTATCATGTGCGAGTGGGAGATGTTGGTTTAGAATCGGTTACGCCATGATTAAAGCATAATACCGAGTCGGTTTACGTTAACCGACAGTTATGGAATTACTTCTAATTAACGAACAGATGCGTCTCTTGTTTGTTTGTGTCTCTCAGACATATCTCATGTGCTGTATATATATCAGACATTGTAGACAAAGTAAGACATGTCTGAGTTCGTAAGAATTCAAGAGAAAAACAGAGAACAAAAGAGAACAGAAACAGAGACACTAAGAAAACAGAGAAGACGACTCGGAGAGGCACTTGATCTGTGATAAGAGGTTGATATCCGCTTGTGATATCTTCCCTGACTTCTTCCAATTCCAGATTACGTCCAAGTCGTAAGGTACGTCTTCGGTATTAAAACGCTTCCGCAAACGTTTAACTCTAATAAAAAGCTAGTATCGAACCTTTTTGAGATGGCTCGTGAGAGTGCACCGTCAATCATTTTTGTCGATGAGATAGATTCTTTGTGTGGTCAACGTGGAGAAGGCAATGAGAGTGAAGCTTCAAGACGTATCAAAACAGAGCTTCTTGTGCAGATGCAGGTGAAAAGGTTAATCAAAATAAAGAAACCTTCTGTAAATGAATTATCAGCAGAAACGTGACTATTCCTTTTTTTTTTATATTAGGGTGTTGGACACAATGATGAGAAAGTCCTTGTGCTGGCAGCAACAAATACACCGTATGCTCTTGATCAGGTGAAACTCATAAGAGTGGATTGGTTTTTAGAATTTCTTGCCAGCTTTAGAATAAACAGTTGATACTAAATACCATGTTGATTGCAGGCTATTCGGCGACGTTTTGATAAGCGTATCTATATCCCTCTACCGGATGTGAAGGCTCGACAGCACATGTTCAAAGTATTGAATTGACTTTGCTAAACATTCCTCAAAGTGAAATCATTCAGGGAGACCCAATCCTTTTTTCCTAATGAAACTTTATGTATGATACAGGTGCATTTGGGAGATACTCCTCATAATTTGAATGAAGCTGATTTTGAATATTTAGCTCGCAGGACAGCGGGATTCTCTGGTTCGGATGTGGCTGTTTGTGTAGGTGGCTTGGCCTGAGCTATTATTTCTAACTATATAAACAGTATTTGTTCTGAGTGCTTTCTACTTTGTGGCAGGTCAAGGATGTTCTGTTTGAACCTGTTCGGAAAACGCAAGATGCCATGTTCTTTTTCAATGCTCCTGATGGTACGTGGATACCATGTGGGCCTAAACAACCTGGTGCCATTCAGATTACAATGCAGGATTTAGCAGAAAAAGGGCTCGCTGGAAAGGTAAGCCTCAAAATTATGAATTTGTTGTCAAACTCATAATCTCTTAGCATGAGAATGCATTTGGTCTTTGAGAAAATTGCAATCCTCGAAGCAGTTTTGGTGATGTTGGGCGCCAAGAGCTTATGTTTCTCTTTTTTTCATTTGTTTCAATTCGAAACACAAAACAGATTATTCCGCCGCCCATTGCGAGAACGGATTTTGAGAAGGTTCTAGCAAGACAGCGACCGACAGTCAGCAAGACTGATCTTGAGGTCCATGAGAGATTCACAAAGGAGTTTGGAGAGGAAGGTTGATTATGGCATTCAGCTGGTTCGGCACTATTAGTCTCAGGGAGGGAAAATCTGGAGTTCCCGTTATGTATTACTAAGAGAAAATCGACTCTGGTTTAATGCATCACATCATTGAATTTTCATTTTCCAATTGTGTACATTATCTCTGATTGCCAGATAACACAATTGTGTAAAACTATGCACAAATCAATTAACTTATAAACGATGTCTTTCTCTATTGTTTAGTTAATAGCTGGGGCCAAATAAGATCCATGAGATGTATTCTTCTAACAGTCTAAACTTCTGGCGCTTTGCTATATCCAAGAAGATCTCCATCCTCTTGCTAAACTCTGACCCGCTCTCCTTGCATCTAAAGGAACCAGAACACTCACACTGCTCGGTCAAATGAGCCGCTTTCACCTGATTGCACCTAATGCACACTAGATCCTGCATATGGTACATTCTTTCTCTCTGTCTCACCATCTCGAGAAGGCTACTCTCTATCTTCTCTCTGTCATATATCTTCCCACATTGTGTATCCGCACATGACCATTCTTTCTCTGTTAATAGTGCTGGGTCTCTGCATATATCTAGGTCTCTGTAGGCATCACAGTTGCTGCAATAAGAAAAACAGTACAATCAAAACTCAGTGTATACATTTCCAGCTGTCTTACTGCTTTACTACTGCAAGAAAGTCAAGTATTTATCGTCTAGGATTTGGGGGTCTAAGTTTTCTTTTCTTTTAGTGTTGCAAGCAAACAGATCACGGTTTTGCTATAATGACTCACAAGTTTGATATTGCTGTGTAGATTTGATGTGATGATCACCACAAGGGTGAACCAGGATGTCTCTAAAGGAGGGGATTGGCAGGGATTTATGTTTAAGGCCAAAGACAACTCGATTTCGAAAAACAATTTCTCTATTAACTAGACGTAGCAAATCACAAGAATGCTTATTTGAATCACGAAAATTGAGCATTTGTTTTGGTCAAATAATACCTGCAAGCTACATTAGGTAAGATGAAGGATGGCCCAGGATCAAGAAATTCGGCTTCAGCAGCACACTCTTTTACTTTAATGTACCTCAACAGACTCTTTCTCATTACCTACAGAAAAGAGATTAAATCAGCAAGATTGTAGGTCTAGAGAACAAAAATTGAGAAGACTATAGTTAGCACCCATCTAAAAAGATCCAGCTCTATTGGTAAACATAGTTTTAAGAGCCAGATTTCCGGAGATGAGGTTGGATTTGTGAATGAAATCAGTTACAAAGAGGTTTTCTAACTGTAAAGATAAATAACGCTTCAGTGGACTTTTCATATCCAAGATTAATCTATTCAGAAGACTTGTGAATACGCCATAAGTTAAAATGAAAAAGAATGGGTGGAGTATTTACCAGAACATCTTGCTGGACGTTTTGGTCAAGAGCCAGAACAGCAGAGATAACCTGTATAAATTCCAACGTGTAATCTCCTTTGGGAGCTTGAGCAGAAACTCGAGATGCATCTGAAACGTTTATCTCCTTCATGTGTGACATGATATCATCAACCTTTTTAACAAGCATATTTATGAAGGTTGATCCAATCTGCATAAAGAAAACAAAAAAGAAATGAGGAGACAATCTTTTGAGTGAATGAAAAATAGATCAAGCGAATTGGCTTTAATATGCTACCTGTTCTCTTAGATATTCTACCATCTGTGCCTCTAAACTCTCTGAACTGCCCTTTTTTTTCTCTATTGCAAATTTCCAGGGTCAAATATAAACTTGGCAACGATTATAATGAAATCCCTCTGCCAAGATAGATGGGATGCGTCAGTGTCCAAGAAAAATGGTCCATGTGTTGCCACATGTTTTTTGTTTTCACTAACATTGGTTTGAGTGAGGGTTCTGTCTGCAAACCTCAATATACTCGGGTAAATGTCGTGCAACACTCCACTTTGGTTCAATAATCACTTCGTCAAGTGAAATTTCATCATCGGTAGCTCGGATACCAGCGTAGTTATACTAAAATGTTGAAGAAAAGATATACCACAATGAGAAGGAAAAATATAAGAAAAGGCAAGATCAAGAAGCCTGATTAAACAAAAACTAGTGATGGAAGATTGGATTTTAGTAGAGTTCCTTGCAACTTGGATATAATTTTTAACCATCAAGGTGAAAGGGTATTACTTATAAGTTATAATATCTTGGCCCATTCTGGTTTTACTGGAACAGCATGTATTGAGGTCCCATGGATTGTCACTTTTTCATTTCTCCTCTCGTTGAGGATCAATTTTGTGTTCAGGGATTTGTAATTTTACAATTTACAACAAGTTTTGCCAGGTTTTAGCAATCAGAGATTAAAAATACAAAAGGGAAGTATAAGAAAAAAGAATTCTAACCTGGTCCATGAAAAGTAATGAGTGCCAGTAGTGAACCGGCTCGAGCAATATCCACTCAAAGATATCGCTGTCAGAGGCAAAGCACAAAAATTATGGCAGGAAAATGAGTGCAGTCCATTAGAGACTTAGAGTCATAGACATATATATCGAGCAAGGAAGAAACCAACCTATTCCCCACCGTTGATAGCAAGCTTTCACAATAAGCCTTAGCTGCAGATAGATCAAATTTCACTGTGTCGATAATGACCTTTGAGAAGTCTGCATATATTATTATAGCACCTAATCTCCGCAAATCAGTCAATAGCAGTGCAAACACCTTTTGCATGACCTGCAATATAGATTAAAAATGCAGGGGAGTCAATTGGGTTTAGAATTTTTAAGGCAAATAAAAAGTGAATGTAACTGGAAATCTCAAGATCTGAAGGTGCCTTGGGAATTAAATATATTATGACAGGCATAATCCGGCAAGGAGATATAATCTGTAAGCTACAGATCCCATAAATGAATTGATTGAGAAAGATTCAGACGGAGAAGCAAGGAGGAATTAATATACAGTTTGCTGATTTATCCACACTAACTCATTTAGACCTGATAAAAAAGAGAGCAAAAAGCGTTAAATATGATTTACCTTGTGAAGCATGAGATGAAGAGCTGGATCATGGAGCTTCGAGGAAGGGCTAAAATATGAAATTATAGATCGGTATTTTATGAATCAAGAATAAAATGAATATGTTACAAGATGTGACATAATCATACCTGCAGAGCCACCAAGACAAACGTTGCAAAATGGAATCAGCATATATATTTTCAGATTTACGAACATCAGTCAAGCAACTATGAATCAACTGTTTCAGGACACGAAATGCTTGAGCACATCCAGTGGTCTCATCAAAACTGGTGTTATCGTTTGAATTAATTCCTCTAGGAGTCACATCTTGTTCAAATCCCAAAAAACCGCCTCCTTCCATTTCATTAACCAGGTTGCTTTTCAGAAGGGCATTAACAGCCAAGTTATGGATCTGCACATTGCATGTTAATTAGAACAACATCCAAAAGCACGATAATGAAGGAATTTTTTTTTATGACCTTTAACTCCACAGACACTTTTCTATACGCTCCAGGGAATATTAAACTTGTCTGTTGCACCTGTGTCAAAGAAGCATGCCAGTTTTATCACCTTGATAGTAGCACAAAACAAAAAAAAAACCCAACAAACATGGAGATGGGAGAAGATCATGACAAAGTCCAGAGAAACTAAGAGAACATGGCATACCTCATCAGCAAAGAATGCCTCTTCGTTGTTTATACCTCCAAGGTCTGGAACACCATTATCTGACACCCAAAGGACCTGTTATACAAAAGGAAATTCAGTGATATGGAAAAGCGTCTCTTCTCTTTCTAAATACATAATAGGCACTTCTAAAATAAAAGAAAAAAAAAAAAAAACAAAAAACAAAATCAGTGATATAGAGAGAATAGCCTTTTGCCAATGCTTCAGGAATGTCTTTGAAGATGCACTATTAAAATTGGAACTATTGGAACTATTAAAAGAAGGCATATAGCGTAACATTGGAACTATTAAAATTATTCGAAAGTAGACGAAAATTCGAAGAAAGAACCTGTTGCTGGTCACGGAGTGCCCTGGATAGGAAGATATCTATTGTGAATGTTAGCCAATCAAGTCCAAAATTCCCCAGAGGCACCTAGTCAGTTGTACAGGAAATGTCAATAACTGCAAAAAAGCAATGATACGAGGAACTATATATCCACTATAGAAACATAACCTACATGGGCGTATCTTGATTGGGCAATCCTCCGATCCAACCACTGAAATGCTGCAGCACAACGGAACATTGCTATTTTTGCTGCTGGACGTTGCCAGGAGACAGGCTATGCATTGCAACCACACCCACACATATTTATTATTTGATCAAATAAACGTCTATCATAACAGAAATAGGAAAAAATGTAGCCAATTGGATTATTAGTCAAGGAACCTGATAACTGTTGTCATCGCCGTTGAAAGGAATCCTCACACATGGGAAATCATCCAGGGCCTTAATACCTTCCTTCATGGAGTTAAAGTCAGGGCATTCGATGACAGCAACAGTTGGTCCACAATTTTCCTCTCTGCAAGAAAAGGAAACAATGAAACAAGTCAAACCAGAGCGGGATGATCTGACATGACCTTTAAAAAAAAGTCCAAAATCCACCATGATCACACCAGAGACCAGACAATCAACTTTTTTTTTTTTTTGACAATCAACGTTGAGGAATTTATTCAATTAGGAAGTAACCAACTAGATCACAAAGGAAAAAATTGAATAGGAAAAAGCATGCGCAACTGATCACCAATAGAAACACTATGGGATTCAATATGTCAAGGAAAACATTAAACATGCTGCACTACTATAATCAGGAAAATGAGTTACCTGTATTCACTTATTGCTATTTGTATAATCTTCTTGGCAGCTTCGGGATGGTCAACATAGCGCACCTGATTATTAGCATTCAAAAAAGCTCAAAAAATGCAGGACTGTTATTGCAGGGGCTGTAAGCAATGATTTTAGAGCTTACCTGGAAACGGATACCATCCCAAGACAATGACTCAAGTGACAATTCTTGGCAACTATCTCTAAACTGTCTCTCTAGGGCAGATGGTAATAATTCATTGCCGTTAAAAGGATCAACTACCACGGCAGACATAAGCTTCGATGCATGACAATATAAAACATATATAGCACGCCCTGTTGAGGTGCTGCAAACAAGTAAACCATGAGATAAGATATTCCGGGTTGGATAAGAAACCAAATAACATGCCCACGGAAGAAGAAACAAAAAAGACAATAACAAAAG